CAATGAATACGAAGGCGCCGACCAGGAGCGTCGTGATGTTTTCCTGGGGAACGTCGCGCGCGATTACCAGAGGCAGCTCGACTGTCTTTCAGAGACCTTCCAGGACCTGTTTCTTGAGCAGGCGATAGAAGAAATTGCCTGTCTCCCGCTTCAGGAGGACCTTGACGTTCTCCATGCCCACATCGAGGACTCGGATGTCGCCAAACCCATCTCGCACTCGGACACGCAGGAAGGAGCATGGGAGGAGATGGAGCAATACTGGAAGGCAATTCGCGGCCGCGCTGCTCAACCCATCGACTTGCGCATCAACATGCACAAAATGCTGCAACGAATGGTCAAGACGCTGCAGACCAGCTCCAAGCGCACCGCCCAGTGGCGAATTGAGAAGCACATCGGTGAGGTACAGGAGGCGGTGGTATGGGCGGTGAGGCCCTCGGCACGTCCCAGGTCGCCCTTCGAGGATATATTCGCGAGAGCCAGGCAAGCCTCGAAACGCAAGCGAGGCACCTCAGACGCCGCCGCTGACGACGAACGTCGCACTGGCCCGAGTGCTGGCCCGCATGCCGTCGATTGAGATGTGAGTCTCTACCGACTTCATACTCATCGTCCGTTCATCGTCTCGTCGCCGTGTCAGTGGGTCACCCGGGTCGTCTGATCATACTCTTCCCCTATCAGGTTGACGCCTTTATCTATCATGAGCCATTGCTCGTTGTACAATAGCGTATCCTCTTCTTGTCCTACCCTCGTGTTGTCAGTCCTGATTCGTGTTGTTGCTGTGTTTGTTCGCTCACGATACTTGTCCGCGCTGTCTACGCTCACGATACTTGTCCGCGCTGTCTACGCTCTCAATTCTCGCTCGCGCTGTATACGCTCTGGACTTTTGCTCGCGCCTACCTTGTCTTAGTAGTTGGACATCGTAATATGACATCGTTGTATTGTTGTAGCATGTTGAGTGGTTATAGAACATACGTTCAGTGGCAGTCACGTGACTGACTCGTAACGTGAAGCTTTCAGCTCAGCAATTTTCTCAACTCTCTGCAGCAACGTGCTCATCTTTCTAGGTTCGGCCTGCTATCCAGTACATAGCTATCCCTACCAGCCTCTCATCATGATCGCTCAGGGCATCTTCGACCGTGGTGGCAAAGGGAGCGAGCGCGAGCACGCCGGTCTTCAAGAGGCGCCCGCCCAGCGACCGATGGGAAGACTTCGCCCCCGTCCTTCAACAAGGCCGAAACTTTCTAGTTTCGGCCTGCTATCCGGTACGTAGCTATCCCTACCAGCCTCTCATCATGATCGCTCAGGGCATCTTCGACCGTGGTGGCAAAGGGAGCGAGCGCGAGCACGCCGGTCTTCAAGAGGCGCCCGCCCAGCGACCGATGGGAAGACTTCGCCCCCGTCCTTCAACAAGGCCGAAACTTTCTAGTTTCGGCCTGCTATCCGGTACGTAGCTATCCCTACCAGCCTCTCATCATGATCGCTCAGGGCATCTTCGACCGTGGTGGCAAAGGGAGCGAGCGCGAGCACACCCCGCCAGCCCAGTGACTGACGGTGAAGACCCGGCTTTCCGCATGTCAAGCAGGCCAAACCTTTCTGGTTTTGGCCTTTCATCCGGTGCGTAGCAACCTCATGAAGCTCCTCATGACGTCCACTTGGGCCTTCATCGAACGCACATAGTCATATTAGTATTATTGTATCACGTATAATCAGAAATGCATTATATTCCCTTGAGGGTGCTGTACATCGCAACAGCCAACAGTTTGAGGAGATTGTTCCACGACCGGTACCGTATGAGAAATCTATAGGTCAGTAAATTAATGATGTCTAGTTTTAACGCTCTGGAACATTGGACGACCGTGACAGGAGAACTGTCACTACTCATCCTCAAACATGGTGTACTTGAGCAATGCTGAGGTTTTGGAACTGGAAACATACCTCTCACAAGCTGATACACTCAGCCCAACGTTGACAGCTTTACTGGGGAGACTGAAGCACAACAATGAAGACGCTTCAGACCAGTCTACGGGGCGGTGCGCCGAGGACTATGTGTCCATGCAACCGTCGGACTCTACACAACCTAGTACAGGTGAAAGTATTACATACCTACCTCTTGTACAAAAGCTGACCATTCAACCACTTGATTAGCAGGATCGACACCCTCGTTGCCTCACAATGGCAGTAATTCCAATGACAGGGAGCGTCCCAACAGCCTGAGTGCGACTGGGCCAGTTCGTGCACAAAAAGCATCACGACAGCGGCGGAAGCTGGCCAACGCACCGTACCCTGGCGGTGGTAAAGAGCAACAAGGCGGGCATGATCCTCAACCTCCGCGGCCTTGTCCCAGAAGCGGGACTCAATACATTGCAAGTCGCAGTCAGCCGCATGCCGCCTGGGAGATGATGGCGCAACCACACCAAGGGACGAGCACAACAATGGAGAACTTTCTGTATACACTGGCAGCCTATGACGTGAGGGACGATGCTCTACGTTACTATTCAGCCCTCTGGTCATCTCCTGGCGCCATGTCGCTCGCTGGACGCAGTGATACGCTGGTCGATCTGGTGAACAGATGTAACCAGATAGACGACAGAAGAAACGTTATCGAGTTCCACACTATGGTATTGTACCTACGCTTGGCCTTCAAATGCGCAAGGTAAGCAAGATTCGCTCATCTTTAAAACGTAAGAACCATTGATTATTGGAAGTTCAGTATGTCAGGCTGGTCGGACGTGAACATCGCTGCCCTGTGGCGAGAGCATCTCTCGAAGCTACCAAAGGGACCCAGCGAACGCACGCTGCAGAAGTGGTATAAAATAGGAAGTAAGCTTGCGAAGCTAGCAGAGGGCGGTGCGTCTATGCGTGTCATATGTTGTCGGCGTTGAGACGGACAATTGCACAGGATCAATCTACATGCTTCTCTGGATGGGGTTCACGACCCTCAGAGTGCCATTTGTCGAGGCTGACGGTACATTGGCTTCCGATGTTGCACACATACTGAGGCGCTCCAATGCCGGTCAGTTGTTCACTGACTAACCTGTGGCATATTAACGTTCAAGCGCAGAAACGCCCCTTGGACGGCTGGTCCGACAGACCATAGTGCCAATCGTAGTTTACCTGAAAGATCACTGTCCCATGAAGTTCGGCGACCTCTTTGCTGAAGATATTCTGCTCGCACTGGGCATCCATCCTCATTGCCCCTGCAACGATTTGGCAGCCACGGATTCTTTGTTCACCCGTCTCCCACAAAAGTGAGTGTAGATTCTTAGTATCTGTGTGTTTTTTACAATTGAGAGCAAATACCGGACAGTTCCTTTGCTGGCATACCTCGAGACAAAGATGCATGGGTTGCATTCGACTCTTCAGTCGCAGCTACAAACCTAGGCAATGACTCACTTATGGCGTTGTCCCCGTTGACACCATTGTCTCGGTTGGCGAGTCTCAGCCCTACAGGTCGATCAGCCTCTCCCCGCTGTTCAATGCCTACGCAGCCTCTCAACCTTACAAGCGCGGTTCCAGGCCCTTCCACGATCACCCCGCCAGTCAACCTATATTCAGTGAACATGACATGCGGTGCGAGCATGGTTCCAAGCTCCTCAATATCTACCATAATATCCAGCTTCGATCCCGACCATGAGCACAACAAACGATTCTCGCCACCCAGAAACAGAGATAAAAACGCACGTTGGACGCAGAACCAACGCGAACTAGCTAGCAAGGCCACTGAACCAGCAACTCTCGAGGAACTGGAATCATTGGTGAGTGACGTACTCCTGTGCCCATCGTTTCTGACTCATGTATGCTAGTTGAAATCGATTTATGTGGACGGTGTTCGTCCCACTCAGAACGGCTATGTGAAGATCAAACGCGACCTCGTCAAGTGAGATACACCGCTACTTCACTCTGTATATGGCTTCTCACAAGCACTTAGGGATGTTCTAACAGTACAATCTCAAAGCTCCACCATTCTTGCGACCATATGCACGTCGATGCCAGAGAGCCTACGAACCGACCTTCTTGGACGCCTGGCCGCCTGCCTCGAACCGGATGTCATACAGACATTGGACACAGCGCAGAGTGGCGGCAGCCACGTCTTCAAAGTGCTGCACTTCACATGGTATAATCGCCATTGTACGACGGTCAGTGCATTGCCTTTGGACTGGGAAAGCAGCTAACTCACTCATATACAGGGAGAGGGCTCACCAGATGACGTACCACCTAGCAACCTCAAGAGAACCGGCGGTCTCAAGACTAACTACCACCAGTTCATACCGTACCCATCCAAGGATATGACGAACTCGACCAACCAATCGATCTACCAGTCCATGAAACAAATTCTGGCCCCTCTGTTCGACTGGTTGGATTTAAAGGTGAGTTGCTTAACCATTAAGGAGTTAGTAATGCTGAGATGTACCCGGCACTTTCAGATTCAAGAGATTGCACCAGATGTATACGACCACCTTGAAGCCTACGTCAGGGTGTTGCCTGGAAACAACCGACCGCTCGCCTCTCCTTTCCTAGGATTGGTCGTCAATATGAATGTCACCACGGCAGCACACAGAGACGGCAAGGACGACGGTATTTGCCTTGTCCTTGCCATCGGTGACTTTGAAGGCGGTGAACTCGTTCTCTACGAGCCCGGACTCATTGTACCTCTATGGAACGGCGACTTCATTTTATTCCCTTCCTGTGATCTGACGCACTTCAACCTACACTACAAGGGAAAGAGAAGTTCTATTGTACTCAACACGGACCGAGAGATGGCTAAGTGGTTGAAGGAACGGAATGGATGGTCTCACAACGTACATTTTGTTTGACGTGGCACATGTCTTGTACGCTCTTAGAATGACATATTATATATTCATCGGATTTGGCGCTTACCTCGGCGGTACATATTGAACCGTGTGTAATCGAACCCTCGATTATCTCGAGTGGTCTCCGTTTCATTTCGCGGTGAGTATCATCTCGCCTTAACTCTATCGCCCTGGTCAAATCGTACAACCCAAATGGACAGACGTATGACCCGATCCGCTGCCTCGAAACAAGCAGAGAATCCTGCAGGCCAGCGAAGCACAGCCTCGAAGGGTACTAAGGACAAGCAGAAAGTGGTAAAGGCGGCTGCAACATCGTCCGCCGCAGCTAAGAAGAAAAGTCAGAAAGCTCAGGAGAAGCAGAGGGAGAAGGAGGAACGAACGGATAGTACGTGCCCTTGTCTACTCCAACACACACTAATCAACTTCACTTTGCTGTGCGTGTCAGAGATACGCAAGAGAAAATCAAAGATGATGGAGGAAGATGAAGCATCGCATGATGAAGAGGACGTAAGGCCCCAGAAGAAGAAGTCGCGCTCGCGCAACGACAACGCACAGGAGGAGGACGAGCCTGCCAATGACACGGCGCAAGGCAACAAGGTAGCTGACGTGGTGATGCAAGACCAGACGGCTGACAGCGAGGGCGAGCAGCCCAAGAAGCCACGGCGTATGTGATTCATATACATTGGCACATGAAACTCACAACACCACGCTGCTCTAGCTATGCCAAAGCGGAAGTACGGCCAACATGCAGAACCTGCGCCTACGCTAGACGCGGACGAGGAGGACCTGGCACGAACATTGGGTAAGTCCTTTGGCCATCGTGCATACATCAAACTATGACCACCTGCTAGGCGGCGGACGAAAAGAACAGAACGCTCGGGCTCCTCCGAGCAAGTCGGTCAACACCCCCTCACGAGCGACAGATGCGGCTGCAAGGGTTCGCACCCTGTTCCGTAATTTGCTCTTGGTGACATGACTCATAGTGACGTTCACGAAGAAGCAGGACAAGGGTAAGAATCGCGCCAACAACAACTCGGATGACGAGCATAGCAAATCCCCGGCCGCCAGCGACGATAGTCGCAAGAATTCTGACAAGGCCAAGCGCACGGCTGCAGGCCCACATGACAAACCATCCGATGACTCAGATCAGGACGACAGCAGCAAGGATGATGATCAAGAGGAAGGAGAGGCGTATGAAGACGACAGAGATGAGGAGGATGAAGAGGAGACAGACCACGCAGAAGAGGGACAGAGCGACGACGATGGGATGATCGTCAGTGTCAATCATCTCTGCAATCATATTGAATGATGCAGACATCTCTCACACTTTACAGGTCTTGTCTGACTCCAGGCGCAAGGGCAAGGGTGCTCGTCCCAAGGCGTATCGCACCGGTGGGGCCAAGGGCGCGCGCCTCAGGGTGTCAGACTTGCCAACATGGCTTGTTCCACTTTTCCATGCAGCACAAGATGCGCTGCGCCTCCGCACCGCTCTGAAGTCCGCCTGGACGAAGGAGCCGTCAGTCGTCTCCAAGCGGCTGCCCAGCGTGGATAGCGGAGATCGTGCGCGCGTTATCTCAAACTCGAAACGAGCTCAAGGGGAAGGCGTCCCAGGTGATCCAGAAGGCTTACGACCTGAGCCCTCACCTATACTCTCTTGATGACAGGAGGCCAATTGCGTTGTGGCTGATCGGCAAGGTCAGCGTGAAGATGGGCGATCGAACGGCTTTGCTTCCTCGTTACATCTTCGGGGAGATAGAACACAACCTTGGGAAGGAACAGGGCTCGTCCGTGGAGAAGAGTGTGAGTACAATGCCTTAGCTATACTACGGAAGGAAGCGCTGATCATGAATTACATCATGAGCAAGTACAACCGCTTGCTACCTTTCAGGCACCCGGCAATCCAAGAGCTGATCTACCTGTACTGGGGGCCCGCCAAACGTGAGGGTGCGTGCATCAAGGCGGCGATGGTAGACTTCAAGAAGGTGCCTCTGAACCTCATCGCACTAGTGTGCACCGCCGTAAGCCCTATTCCAATCCACGCACAAAACCAACTGACGTCATTGCACTTGTGTAGATAGAGGGAGCATTGGCTGACGTCGCCGCGCAGGTGGAAGAAGACAACGAAGTGAACCTGAAATTTGCGAACTCGGTCTACGCCAAGAAGTAAGTCTGCTTACCTTGTGGTATCTATACTAAATGTTGGGCGCAATTCAAGATGGGACAGCCTGATGAGTGCACTGGAGTACATGAATAACAAGCCATACCTTCAGGAGACGCAGTCACTAATCTGGTCGTATATAAGGTAACTTCTCGCAATCAATATGGCTTGGTTTGCTCACTAGGGACGTAGGTCGAAGATGCAAGGGGACGAGGATGGTGATATGGACGCTGTGGAGGAGAACCAGGAGGAGGAAGAAGACGGGGAACGTGTGGGCGGTGCGGCTATCGACCTCGACCAGCTGAACGTCACCTTGCCAGCCGTGGCATCAGGCAGCAAGGCAAAGACTCCTGCGGCGTCCAAGACTGCAGCTGGATCATCGAAGGATGCAGCGAACGCAGAGAGTGGACCGTCACGTCCGTCGCGATCGAAGTCCGGCGCGAAGAAGGCCCAGGAGCAAACTTCCAGCAGCGAGCGTGAGGTCGATGAACTCGGCAATGAGTGGTAAGTCAGTCAGTGTCCAGTGGTTTCTTTGTATCTCACTGCGAGAGGTACATCACCAAGATGTCGTAGTTGTCCTGTCGCATCAAGGCCGTGAACATCATCAACTTTGTCTGTTTCGCGTGGCAGGAGCAGTAGAATCGGCCCATTTCCAAGGCGAGTGTTTCTATGCCCATACCACCTCTATCTACACTTACTCATACGACAATCCTGCAGCTACTATATCTATCATCCTCTGTACTACTACACATCAGACGTGCGTGCCTGCTACGTATCCCACTCCCCCTCTACTACTATTTGCCTGTCTCAGCCGTGGTCGTCATCCCGGCGCCGTCTGACCTCGAGTCTATGCCTATCTGTTGATCGTGCTATACCAGTAGTTATGTGTCTGTATATGTTGTACAACAACCCGCACTGCTAATATTTATGATGTGATCTGGTACATGTGCATAAGTGGACATCAGCAGACTTAATTCTGTACATAACTGTACTTCAGCACGCCCACTGAAGTACATATTGTAGGTGAAATAAGGGCAACTAAAGACCAAAATGACAACACAATTAAGACTGAATAAGACACAAGATGTCTTTATTGCGTACATTAGTGCTCTTATGCATAATATCAAAGACACAATAAGACGGGGACTTGTCTTAAGTGCCATGTTTTGGTCTTATGTAACATTTTATGTCTTTTGTGTCCTATACGTTCCTAAGATGTCTTGTAGATGACCTCTGATGAGACCTTATGTAGGCACGGTTTTTCCTGATGTGCAAAGCCTCATGGACGACCTCGACTTCGATGATGAGGACGAGGGCATGCCAGGCACCGACTCGGTAGACGGCTTCTACGACGTTCGGGACGATCTTGACGCTGCGAGCCGAGCGAGGATGGAAGCCGAGGTTAGGCCCGTAAAGATGATGCTGCTAAAGGTGAGTTCGTCCAGTAAGCACGAGGTAAAGTCAGCTGCTCACCCTGGTATGAACACCTCCGAAGCTCCGAAAGATTTCCATCTCCATACACCGCTCGACGACGCTCCTGCTCCCGGCGTGGAGGAAGCTCCTTGAAGAAATGAAGCTGGCCATTCGCAAGCTTCCCCGCGACGTCCGCACGCGGTGGAACTCCACGTTTCGAATGTTGGATGTTGCACTGACGTATAGAGGTGCGATCGAGAAGATGACAGAGGCGCAGGTGAACAACCTGCGCCAGTGGGAGCTGGACGAAAGAGAGTGGAAGATTGCCGCGCAACTGCGTGACATCCTGCAGGCAAGTCACCGTCAGTCACATTGTGGGTCCAGCGTTGACTTACCAAATGCGTTGAACAATGCCTCTTCGGGACGGCTGTGCGCTCGTGCTCGCGCTCTTGTTCCCATACATCCCACTGCTGTTGCCAACTTGCTCTGCTGATCCTCTGTCCCGCCGCCACCGACTTGCACCTTGCCGTCCACTGCCAACTCGTCATTGCACCATCAATCCCAATCGCGACATCGACACACCTACCAGGTGTTCTACGACGCGACACAGTTCTTCTCACGCGAGGGCAAGGATGCTCCTGACCTCACGGACGTGATCCCCGCCATGGACATCATCGACCAACGCCTTGCAACTGAGGCTCTCAATCAAACGCTTGACCCCGCCATCCGCGTCGCGTTAGGTCTGGGCAAGCGGGCGATCAATCGCTACTACAACAAAAGCGATGAGTCGGCCGTGTATCGCATTGCAATGAGTAAGTGAAACTTACCTTGTATCATACCCTTGCTCTGACACGCTTTTTTGAGTCCTCGATCCTCGGCATAAGCTACAGTATTTCCGAGACAATCGATGGCCGGATGAGTGGATCGCGCAAGCGCGCTTCTTGGTGCGGCAGACGTACGATGAGGAGTGGAAGGGAAACGCCAGGCCGCGCGAGCAGCCAGAGGGCGCAGATGAGTTGCAGGTACGTCCTGACATTTCTATTTGCCTTATAACATCACTCATTGGCTCGTCACCGTGCGGCGTGTAGCCACCGATGGACTCGGACGCGCAACCGACCTCATCGACTGGCCCAGCCAAGAAGCAGAACATGTTCGACGCCGCCCGCGCGAGCCGCAAGAAGGCCGCAATCCCCATCATCGATGAACTCGATCACTATCTGAATTTGGATGCCGACCCCACAATCGACAACGCACTCGCGTGGTGGACAAGCCGCGAGTCGCGCACAACATACCCGAACCTCTCGCGGATGGCCATTTCGTATCTCACAATACCTCGTAAGTACAGGACAGTTAATGCTGTGCCATCGTTGACCTGACTGTTGTTGTCGTCACGGTAGCTACGTCCGTTGCCGTCGAGCGGCTCTTCAGCAAAGGGCGCATCTTCATCTCCCATCTGCGAAACGGTCTCTCAGCGGCGTCAATCCGGGCCCTTATGTGCCTGAACAGCTGGAGTCTCCTGGGCTTCATCAAGGACGAGGATATCCTGTCTGTGGCTCGCGAGGACCCATCTGGAGAATTGCCTGAGGATGTAGAAGACGTTTGGGGCTTTGAGGACCCACGAGATGATGCAGTCTTTTTTGTCTAGTATTGAATGTTGTATACAATTTCAAATGTATGGTACGAGTATGAATGTTACCGATTGAAGTCGTACCCACTGAAGTCCTTGCGGGTACCCGCGGGTACCCGCGGATACCCGTGACCCGCGCAAACCCGCAAGACCCGCGGACGACCGTACCCCCCGGGCGGGTACCTGACCCCTGCGGGTACGGGTACGGGTAGGCGCCCGAGTACCCGGGGGTGTACTCGTGCAATGCACTATGTATGTTACTGATGACGCCGGGCTCAATATTCGACAGTGACACCGTGTGTGATCAATGTTGAGAGTATATCACGGACTCGGATTCCCGTCATGCACCGCTAGAGCGTGGAGTGCGAACACTAGGCACTCACACTTGCCATACAATGATCAATCCTGCGATCCATTGCATGAAGAGGGTGCCATGGTGTCTCCGGTACGGAACCGATGACCATAGGCGGCGGCATACTAGCCTCCAGCGACGACGTTGCAACGCTCCTACCGCGGGCGCCCATCCATGGGGGCTCAGTTCAGATGGCACTTTCGTAAATTGCGCCCCTTGAGTAGCTTCGTCACGCGCAGGGTATCCGACGTTTTACTATGACGCGCTCAATGGCATGGATGTAATTATAAGCTTTTACGCTGCAGCAGGCAGTTCGAAGCCTCGGTAGTCTTCCTCCTCGCGCGATGATTGAAGGGTACAATTTTCACGAGTATGATGCGTACACTGCCGGGTATATGTACTATATCAAGGACATTGTCTCGAAGTTCGTAAGAAGACATGGGACAACAGTGGACATATCCTGTGCTCTGAGCATTGATTACATCCAGCTACGGTACTAGGCAGGACGGAAGTGAGACATAACGGTGTCTATTTGAGAATGGCAACGACCCGACAGTCATTCAAGCACCGTATGTGCTTTACTCTGGCTCCGGATCCGAGTTCACCCACTTGATGGAAGCGAGGTCAACTCTACCAGACCGTAGTGGAGCCACGTCCTTTACCGACACCCTCTGCTTCTTCTTCGAGCGAGCTCCCTCGTCGCCGGCCTCCCTGTTGCGTTTGGATCCCGTTTGCACAATATTGCCATCGTCGTCGACATGTGGGGGTACGAACGGGCGCGCCTTGTCGTCCTCTGGCCAGCCTTCGGCATCCAAAGCACGGTCGAGAGCTTCAATGAAGGCTGCATGGGTCAGAGGCTCGTGCTGTGTATCCCTCTGCCTCTGGGATGCGTACACTAGGGACGTCAAGGCGTTCATCAAGTCGGTGAGGGGCTTGTTGCCGCGTATTGTGAGGTTTTGTGAATTTTGGCCCAGCCAACGGAACTTCTGACTGCTAGCAGCTTCCTCTGTGGCACCGCCAAAGACCTTATTGCATGCCGCGAAGCCGCTTGGGTGGTCATGGTCCGTATGACAAAGGATAATCCAGAGGATGACCCAATAGAAAGATTCGAGATCGTGATGCGCGCGGTGAAGGACCGGTCCACTTCTGTCCAGTAGCTCGCAGGCGAAATATCGAAATGTACCCTGCGCCAATGATCAGAAGTAGCCATCGTGTTATGAGACAAACACATACCGTCCGATCCTTGAGTTCATTCTCTGGGTCATCCTCGCTAGAATAGGCATCTGGACGCGAGCCGCCGAACTTTGTGCTGTCGACGAAGCTACTGCAATCAAAGTCACAGATGAATCCCTTGAACGGTACATCTCCCAGCAAAATGAGGACGTTGCCCTTGCTGATATCTCGGTGCAGCACCCCAGCGAGGAAGGCAAGGAGATGACCTACATGATGAACGGGTCAATTCACGGTATATGGAAATGTCGCAGGGCAACCCACCTTTGACAGCGTCGCGTATTGCCTCTATGAAAACTCTTGTGCTGGGGAATCGGTCCAGCGGGATTCCGACGGTCTGCAAAACAATCCGCATGTGGTTGCGATCGCGCATATGCAAGGGCGAATGATGTTTCTTGACATTGCAGGTCAAGGATTGGGCCTTGTGGAGGCTTTGTGACATCATTTGTCCCAGGTCGACACCATTCGCGAGTTTCGCGATGCCCTCGTAAGCACGCCCTGTCTCCTCGCAGTACTTCTCGATCCGCTCGTAGAACTCCGTCTCGCGATGCTTCCGAGCGCGCTGACGCCATGCGTCCTTGACAACGTACCGCTTGCCACTCTGATCGCCCTTCAGCACCGCCTGGCGGACGCACGTCGCGCGACAAAACGTGTTTGGATCGACGTAGATCGACCGCAGTAGCAGATAGTCTTGCTCACTGCGCTCGCCCTTGGACGGTACCGTCACCCAGCGATTCAACTCTTCCTCGGCCTCAGCATCCCATCGCCCGTCCGCAGCGACGCACACCTCCTTTGCCCATGCCACATCCGCTGCGCTCGCGGGCCGGATCGTGTTGTCGACGCCGATGAAGGGCGTCCCGGCCGTCGGATTGAAGAAGCGCCAAACAAATTGTCGAAGCACCTCTGGGTTTTGGACGTAGTTGAAGCGACGGCTGCTCACAGCCCCGGCGTGGTCGACACGGAAGATGCGTGCATCCTGGCCGTAGATGCCGACGACAAAGACACACAAAAGCCCAGTTGCAAGCATGACGTGTCCAGCGTCGCGCATGATCTGGATCCTGTGAGTGGCCGCTTTCTCGTGGTTGGAGGTGATCGGATCCGGGTGTTTGGTTCCTTTGACCTCGACAACGAAGCACGCATGCTTCCACTCACTAGGCTGCTCGCCATCAGCAAGCGTTGTCCCTGGTGGAAGCGCCACGATGTCGGGGGCCATGAAGGTGTGATGGCAAAGCCATCTCTTGTAAGGGTAACGCCACTGTTTGCTAGCCCCGTCGTAGAACGCGGGACGTTTGTCGGCATCCATATCGTCACAGAGGCTCTTAAAGCCATTGATCTACAAGCTCCGTCAGTAGCTAGCCTTGTGACCGATGGACGACATGACTGACCAGAGGCTCGTACATGTCTTTCTCATCCTTCAAGAGTTTCGTGTCCTCCAGCTCATTGAACGCTCCCATGTGGTCGCGGTCTGGCGGCTGGTACGTTGTGGCGGAACGCGCGTATTCTTTCAGGAATTCATCGACAGTGCCACCGTATTCAATGAACCTGCCGTTGGACTCTCCTCGATAGCTGCTCGCGTTTGAATGGTGTCTTGCAGCGCGTTTGCTGTGCGTATCGACCTCCGGTGGGCGCGTGTTCCGTCGATCAGGCGTGGAGAGATCGCTGACCGTCATACTGGACGAAATACTGGACGAAGAACCAGATGCGTAGCGGTCGTAGCCACAAGGGCAAGGGGCGTAGTGGGACATCCATGACAACGGGTCGAACATCTTTAAATCCTCGGCACTTCGTGTGGCCAACCTTCCTAAATGTGGACAATGTGACCTCCTTATGAAGCCACACAACGATGATATTGTCCGCTTCTTGACAAAAGTGTCTTTCGAGAGACGGTCAGCTCGTGTCGTTGGTGTAGCGAGATACTTACCTTTAGAAAACGGTGTGCAGAAGTCCGACTTAGCGACTTGCTACCACAGTTACTGGACGTTACTGTAGCCTAGTATGCCGCGTCTACTGTTCAATGATATACGGCGTGCCACTTGGTGGCTGAGATGATGGGAGTTGAGTTGTAAAGAAGCGAGGTAGGCGCCGGTGTGGCCCGCCGCCACAGCCGACGAGGCTCTCGTACCACACGTGATCACGCTGAGCGCAACACGCGTGGCCCAGGCCCCAGGCTACTGTATATGTACCGGGCGGTTTCACTTGGACTTACATCTGTACTGCGCAGAGATAACAACTTATTACGCGCTCACTGGCATGGATGTATAAGTCGCAGCAGGCAGCTCGAAGCCTCGGTATTCGTCCTCCTCGCGCGATGATTGAAGGGTCAAATTTCATGCGTATGATGCGTACACTGTCGGGCATATGTACTATAACAAGGATATTGTCTCGAAGTCCGTCCGTAAGAAAGCATGGGACAATAGTGGACGTATCCGATCTTGTGCTCTGAGCATTGATCACATCCAGCTACGGTGCTACGCAGGACGGAAGTGAGAGATAACGGTGTATATTTGGGAATGGCAACGACCTGACAGTCATTCAAGTCATTCAAGCACCGTCTATGTTCGACTCTGGCTCCGGATCTGAGTTGACCCACTTGAGGGAAGTGAGGTACCCTACCAGCCCATAGTAGACCCACGTCCGTCGACACCCTCTACTCCTTCGAGCGCGTTCCCTCGTCGCTGGACTCCCTGTCGCGTTTGGTTCCCATTGACATCGTCATCAAGACCCGGGGGTATGAACGAGCGTGCCTTGTCGTCCTCTGGCCAGTCTTCGGCATCCAAAGCACGGTCGAGGGCTTCAGTAAAGGCTGCATAGGTCAGAGGTCTTAATTGTAAATCCCTCTGCCTCTGGGCCCTGTTGACTAGCGACGCCAAGACGTCCATCAGGTCAGTGAGGGGCTTGTTGCCGCGAATGATGAAGTATTGTGAATCGCGGTTCAGCCACAGGAGCTTCTGACTGCTAGCAGCCTTCTGCGTGTCAGCATCAAAGACACCATCGTACGCCGCGGTGTCGTCCGGGTTGTCGTGGTCCGTATGACAAAGGATGATCCAGAGAACAACCCAATAGAACGATTCAATATCATGATGCGCGCGGTGAAAGACCGGTCCACTTCTGTTCAGTAGCTCGCGGGCGAAGTATCGAAATGTACCCTGCGCTAATGATCAGTAGTACCCATCGTGTTACGGGACAAACACATACCGTCCGATCCTTGAGTTCATTCTCGGGGTCATCCTCACTAGCATAGGCGTCTGGACGTGAGCCGCCGAGCTCTGTGCTGTCGACGAAACTGCCGCGATCAAGGTCACAGACGAATCCCTTGAACGGTACATCTCCCGGCAAGATGAGAATGTCGCCCTTGCTGATATCTCGGCGCAGCACCCCATCAAGGAGATGACCTACATGATGAACGGGTCAATCCACGATATATAGAGATGTCGCAGTGTAGCCCACCTTTAACAGCGTCGCGTATTACCTCGATGAAGACTCTCGTGCTAGGGAATCGGTCCAGCGGGATTTTGACCGTCTCCAGAACGATCCGCATATGGTTGCGATCGCGCATATGCAAGGGCGAATGATGTTCCTTGACGTTGCAGGTCAAGGATTGGGGCATGTGGGGACTTTGTGGCATCACGCGTCCGAGGTCGACGCCTTTCGCGAGTTTCACGATACTCTCCTTAAAACCCTCGCCACTTCCTAAATGCGGACAATATTGTCTTTCGAGAAATGGTCAGCTCGCGTCGTTGGTGTGAAGAGATACTTACCTTCAGAAAACGGTATGTACAAGTCTGACGTAGCGACTTGCTACCACAGTTACTCGACGTTAATGTGGCCTAGATCCAGACGCGCCGTGCTGCGAGCAGAGCGTGAGACGCCGTCGCTGTGGCACGGTGAGTGGCGAAGACATACCTGCGAGCAGAGCGTGAAATGACGAGGTCCCAGCCAAGCTCGCAAGGGCTATATATACGAGGAGAACAAAAGCCTTTGTCCTCCTTTGTCCTCGTTGTGCGCGAGGACAAAGCGTGATCGGGGCACGTGAGAGCGATCGTACGCATCGCAGAGACCCTAACTAAAGAAGTTCGCACCATGTACAAGTCTGACGTAGCGACTTGCTACCACATTCACTCGACGTTAATGTGGCCTAGTATGCTGTGTCTGATGTTCAATGGCGCACGGCGTGCCACTCAGTAGCTGGGATGATGGGACTTGAGTTGTAAAGAAGCGAGGTGGGTCCTGGTGGGCGCCGCCACCGCGCCGGGTGTGGGCCAGTGGCTCGCCACGTGACCGCGCTGAGCGTGGCTATGTACCGGGCGGTTTCACTTGGAGTACTCACAACTTTGCTGCATTCTGCGCAGGAATAGCAACTTTGAGGTGATGCAGCTCGTTCAGAATACAGTCGCCGTGGTGCATCAAACGGTGCTTTGAATGATATTAGTAGAGCTATACTGTCACCGACTCGACGCGCGCTGACCCCAAAACAAGTACTTAGTGCTAGCTTAGTAGCAAGCCCCCCCTCGGTCTCTGTCAAGTGCGTTCGACTTCACATTACACGACTTGGATCGAAATCACCTTCACAATATGCTGTCAACTGTCCATCACTCAAAACACAATGGCGCAGAGAGGAGGAGAAGTGATACCACTCAGTGGCGAAACTGCCAGGATCATGGCTGATCATTGAAGGCCGCATTGATTGAACGCCGTTGCAGTGACACGACCTGAAGGGAAACTGAAGAATACGACTCAGGGTGCGCAACTACGACACTCATGCTCGTCTATTCAGGTAGGTTCCAACGTAGAACTCAACCCGGTCAGCACCGGGCATAGCGAGAACCAAACACCGAACTAGATCATTCGCCGCGGCGTCGCAGAGTGCTAAAGAGTCTGAATGGTGCTGCCCTGAGCCACCATCACTCCGCTGAAGCTTGGCATTCCAGGGACCGAGCACCGCTTTCAGTATTCCGACCTGCACGGATGCAGATCCGCAAGGACCGGGTGATGATTCGCATTTGCAGAGACGCAGAATGGCTGGATTTACGCACAATGACGACGATGTCGAGCGTGTTTCTGCGTTGCAGTGATCGAGAGCAGTGTCGGCGTGGCAGCGCGCTCTGGCCTCGTGTTCAACGAGATGAGTTGTTTCACCTAGTAGCTGTGATGCCGCCATATATACTGGAGAGCGTAGCTCGAATGCCCAGGACACTTCTGCTATGGCATCCGTACCCGCACTTCGCAAAGCGCTTGCGTACTTCGAAGAGCCCTCCCGTGGGCCGGTTCCTGCAGACATCTATGAGGCGCAGTACTGGGAGATGGCCGGCGCGCATGCGTGTCTAATGAATGGGCTGCTGAACGTGTACCAGGTGCGTCCCTTTCGTGCACGCAAGTGACACTGACCATGGATCTGTCACGGCAGAAAGCAACGTCAGTGCCCACGGGAAAGGAAGCAGATTTCGTTGGATATGCCCTCCAATGGGTTGCAGCCCTTGAGCACCATCATCAGTATGTGCCTGCATATCCTTGACCTCAGTAACCCCTGATTTTGATTCCCTCCGTGCCAGCTGGGAAGAGACGATATACTACCCACTCTTCAACCCAAAGTTCGACACCTCCGCCATCGTCGCGGAACACGCCACCTTCACGGAAGGAATGCATGCGTTCGAGACGTACCTCGTTTCGTGTCTCCCTCCCAGCGAGACGTGGGGCTACGGCCAAGTTGCGGGGCCCCATGAACAGCAGCCGTACGATGGCGAGCGGCTGACGGCGCTTGTAGATGCGTTCGTCGAGCCGCTCACGAAGCATGTACGTTTTCGGATGTTCTAAAGCAAGTGTAAGCGGCTCAAAGAGTTTGTATCAAATCGCAGTTCATGCAAGAGATCACGTACCTTGAGCCTGCGAAGCTGCGCGCGTCCGGGCTGACGGAAGAGGAGGTCAAGCACATTGCCGACGTCAGTACGCAACATATGAAGGAGATGGTGAGTGGGCTTGCCATGTCCTTGTTTTAATACCAAGTTCTGACGTAGGAGTCACCAGCCACCGACGACCTTCCTCGTGTACACGATCATACACACACCACCATCGTCCGGTTTTCCGCCGGTGCCGGGATTCGTCAAGTCTTTCTTGGGGCCGTATGTGTTCGCGTTGCCGAACAGACGTGTACGTGCTTCACTCGTAGACTCAGGCGTGTTGATGAACATGTTTTGTTTGCAGTATTGGCAATTCGCACCGAAAAACGGAGTGTGCTAGTGGGCGAGTGGGCAAGGGATGTTCCCGAGGTGATATACGCGTGTCTATAGAGTCGTATTGGAACTTGTCTCGATCACAGAACATATCTGAAGTCGCGGTTCTGGATGTCCGTCAGATCCAAATACTCCTGCGTTTTAAGCGTGCTCGTCAGCACCATCCAGTCCCAACGGCACTCAAGTCACCCACCTTCTCCACCTTCCTCTCGACTCTCGTCCCGTCAGCAAGCAGGACCTCGATATATACATCGTCGTACGTCATGTCCCTCGGCTCGAGGTCGCGCTTCCTGTTCTCGCGCGCTAGCATCGACCGGATGATGAGCAGCAGGCCCATGCAGCAGACGTAGCAGATGCCGAAAATCGTCCACGGTACATGATTTCTGCAGTCTATGAGATAAAAATAACAAACTGTAGGAGCTTTATGCGTACCTAGGAACATATTGCGCTTGCCACATGAAAGGGCCCGCTGAGTTGCCGACGCAATAGCCGATGAGCATGATCGCGTTGACCGTGACCTTCTTGGTATGCCCCGCGGTGACGTTCGTCACCCACGAGAGCGCAAGGACAAATGCCGTCACGCTGATGTCTGCGAAGTATCGTAAGGAATATGAGGAAACGAATATCAGCTCAAACGTACTCGTCAGCTCCTGCCCACACAACAACCCCGCCTTATCGCTCCACGGCAACAAGTTCACCAACAAGATCCCCAACAACGTCGGGAGGTACCAACACACGCCCACATACGCGCGCGCGTTGCTCAATCGCGTCGCGAGGTTCACGCCTGACGAGATCGTGAGGAGCTCGATCGCGCCGCTGAGCAGACTGAAGAGTGTCGTCTGCAGATTCGTGAAGCCGAACGAGTCCATGATGATCTGCGTCTGGTTCGTGAGGCTGTTGGGCACGTTGTCGAGCGCGGAGAAGAGGAAGAACAGCCAGGTCTTCGGGTCAAGGAGGGCTTCGTAAAACCTAGTAGGGTGCGCCGGTGAGATTCAGGCTAGGGTCTGTAGGATGAACGCGACGGCGTACTGTTCTTTCTTGAAGTGCTTGTTCTCGACTCCTGTTTGGTTCACCTGTAGTGTGATGATGAGACTGAGTCCTCGAAGGCGCCGAATACCCTTGCCTTCAGCCGCTGCACCGCAATCACCCGCTCTTCATGAGTGAGGAACCACGCATTGGTCGGTGAGTCGGGGAACATGACCCTATTCAGACACCATCAACTCGAGTGATCCAGCGCTTGGTCGCAGATCACCCACCAGAATGCGAGGGACGAGACTATCGTGATCGCGCCAGTAATGACGACGAGCCTGACGCCATCATTATGCGTATGCCTATGGAGAGATGAATACCGTTGAAAACATTACCATTGCCAGGGCTCGAAGTTTGGTGTATGCGTATGCAGCGAGCCGAAGCTCACGAAGCCAAGGATAATCTGGGCTGCAATGTGTCAACAGAGCCTCAACGTCGGCTTTAATAGTGTACAGACCAGTCCCGTTCATCATGACTGGTGAGAACGCGAGGTCGTCAACCAAAGAACACACGAAGCAGAAACGCGAGTCACGCACACCAGTACCCAACCCTCAACGTCTGCTCCTTTCGGGTGTAAAACATGGACGTCACGACCATGAACCCCGGCGTAACGGAGCCCTCGCATATGCCCAGCACGAAGCGACATGCAAGGAGACCTCCGAAGTTCTTGCAGGCCGCGTGGCAAGCCATCGCTGCGCCCCAGATGAAGATGTTGATACTGTTCTTGAGAGTGAGTACAGAGGTGAGCTGAGGATCGAGGCGGCTTGCCTTAGCCATTTGCCGACGGGAAGTCGCTGCAACGCGAGGTTCTGGGGTAACTCAAAGACGAGGTAGCTGATGTAGAAGATCGTTCCTAGCCTGAGGTTTTGATGTAGCGTGGGAGACACATAGAAAGGCTACAGACATACCAGTTGTATCTGCGAGAGCTTAGAAAAGGGAGCCTATACACGACGAGCGTACGATTCTCGACTCACTGGTTCGTGGTCAAGTGTGTTGCAGTCCTGCAGTGCGTCCCGCGTCAGTCAAGAAACCACCTTCAGTACACGGAGCTGCTATTTTAGCTCACTTAAGTCCCAGGATCGCCGCGTTCCCAAGCGTAAGCTTGTCCATGTACTGCACCCAGTAGATCGCTAGTCGCACGAGACCGTAAGCTCTGCCCATGTACACAGACAACCTGGTGACCGCACTCACTGCACATAAGCGGCATGATGTGCCAGTCTATCTTCCTCCGCACGCGCAACGCTTCTTGCGGGTCCACCTCCACAACCGTGCCCGCGACGAGCTGTGCTCCCGTGTCGACCTCGTCCGTGACCACGGCGACGTGTATCTCAGCTTGTTTCTCGTTCACATCCTTGGTGTCGACGGACGTCTGTTCTGGGTCGTCTCGGGGAGCCATCGTTGTATGCCCTTTGCGTCTGAGTAGTCGGTAGAAGAGACGAGGATTACGACAGCCGTCCTCGGGGTGAGACCAGGCCTATCATGCCGATAGAATAGGGCTAACATTACAGAGTTGGAGTACGGAACGGCTTCCACGGAGCAGCGTGCCGTCTTCGCGAAGCACTCGCCTGTCCACACCTTGTTAGTACTGTCAACGCAAGTGAGGAGAAGATAGGTGTCAATGCGAGCAGCAGCAGATAGGGCTGAAGTTTACCAGTCCGTTATCGCAGTGATACTGCTTTCCAGAGGACGAGTGGCGGCTGGACGGCGCAGAGCTTTGAGACGCGCACGAAACGTTGTGCACCATTTGTATGCGAACTCAATTCCACGACACATTGCGTGAGTAAAGAGAGGATACCATGGTTTCTCCGGGACGGTACCGATGACTGTAGCCTCCGGCGGCCATGCTGCAGACTCCAGAGCCCCATTCGCGGACGCCCGTCCAGGCGTTGACTCCAGATGGCGCTCTCGTAGACCGTGTACCCCTTGAGTAGCTTCGTCACATGCGCGATACTCGACATTGTACGCGCTTACCGGCATGCACACGAGCTTCTACGTTGAATCCTTGCGGAGAGAACGGCGGATACTGAAGCTTCGATCTGTGTCGAGATAGCGGCGTATTGGCCAATCTTTGGTATGCCCACGTACACCGAACCTGTCGCAGCTCACCCTTGTCAGGGTCTACGGCGCACAGCGAGGACGCCTACGCCGACCTAAACGCGTACGCCTTCCACCCAGAGCATGCCTCTAGCCAAATCTGCCTCATACGGTGATATCGGACCGACGCAACATCATATCCGCGCTGTTGTTGCGATCCGAGTTACAGCCCTTCATCACTGAGCAACTGGTGGCAGGATGTGTCTGGGACGCCCATTCGCAGATGAAGCTGTCCACCCTACCGTTTCGAGGATGATCACCACTGTGTAGCGGCTTCTTGTCAATGCCTGGCTTTGAGCGGTCGCAGCCAGCCGCGGACTTCATAGAGGGACACCTTGACGCATGTTGGCTCTCCTCAGGACCGCCTCAGTATCCGCGAGACAAAGTCAAGTACTTGTGGCGCTCACCGGAAGCTGTGAATCTCACTGCGGACATGGTCATCCCACTGTCGGCCTGGCTATAGGGTAAGTATAGTAGTGTGTCCTGTTTCGGCTTCAGCTTTCAGTAGTATCGCCCGTGTAAAATGTTGCATACCCTGTATTGATACACTCGGCCTCCGTTCACAGTTATGTTTCGGTAAGCATCAGATGCACAAAGAGGCTATCTGCGTAAACGCATTAGCATTGAGTCGACACCCTTACTGTAAGTGAGCACTACTGGGCTCAATATCACACTGTCGGCCATTGAGTAACACCTTGACTGCTCACCCACATAGGATTATTCGATGAGACACAACTAAGACAACAGCCACACATGCAATCGGAAGGTGGACGTTGTCGTGACAGGACGAGAGAGCAGTTCCACGGCGCGGTCAGGCCCAGGAACCGCCACATCACAAACAAGAGCAAAGACGCTGTGGCACCGGGCTGGGCGGGAGCGACGGGGGACGGAGGAACAGCGCCGATTTGTTCGCACAGGTTCGCACCGTCTGGTCCTTGCAGTCCTCTCCTCGCCTCCGCCCTCTCCCCTCCGCGGGCTCCGCTTTCCTTCTCTACGCTCCTTCATCCTCCGTCGCCGTCGCGTCCTCCAACATGCAGCACCGGCTGTTGTCGCTCGTCCCGACGGGCCTGCTGAGCCTCCTCCTTGCGTGGTGTCTGGTACCGCTCGCAAAGGCAGATTGTGAGTAGTGTTAGCTCCAGTGGTGAGGCGTGGTGGCTGACAGAGTCCGTGGGCCCTAGATTGGAATATCACAGAACCGGCTCAGGGAGTGGTTTGGGCGAACGGGCAGGCAAACCTGATTTCCTGGGCGAAGGCGCTAGATGATGGGGTGTCGCAGTTCGACATCGAGCTGCAGAGATTGAGCACGTCGGGGCTGTCATATGTTGCACACCTAGGTGTGTGTCTCTTCGTCACTTTCATCATTTGGCGGGACGGACATGAGGGCGGGAGGTTCTCCCAACACGTTGCGTTGGGCGCACGACGTCCACTCCCCGATACGAAGAGAGTTGCCACTGTACAGAAACACGGTTTCCTCATAAGGGGGATGTTCGGCGATTGACCAACATTCGCGCACCTCTTCACAATGTGAAGGCGTTCGAAAGGACGTAGAGCTTGCCTTATGGTCTTACCACTCAGGTACGGACCGCATTCCCGGTCCGCGAGAGGTTGCAGAGCCGTTCTCAGAATCTCTTATGATACATGGAGGAGATGGTGGAATCTTGGCACACAAGTTCACTCGCGGAACAGATCGAAGGTTTGGTCTCCAGTCTGGGCAAAGTATAAGCCTGCATGGCCAGCAGATCTGGACGAAAGTGTGGAGGAATCGACTTCCCGCTTGTTGTCAGAGGTTCTCCTCATCTATGAAGCCGGGCAACGAGGACTGCATATCGACCACAGCACTTTTATAGCCTGCTATCCAACTTCCCTGTGCTATCGTTCCGCCTTCTAGATCGTCAACTCACCCCCTCCTAGTTCCAGATTCCATGTCCAGCATCAATGTCTACATCCAAGACGTGCCCACGGGCGACGACTACTACGTCATGTTCGTCAACTACACGCACGGCCTCCTCTACACCGCCTCCAACACCTTCACCATCTCGGACTCCGCCGACGCCTCCGCGCCCTCGCCCGACGCGAGCGCGCCGACCGTCACCATCTCGGGCGCGCCGAACCCCACCGCGCAGTTCGCGACGACGTTCGCGAGCGCGGGCACGCGCGCGTGGGCGGGGCTCGACGGCGCGGCGCTGCAGATCGCCATGATCACGGGCGCGCTGCTCGTGAGCGTGCTCTGCGGCGCGTTCTCCGTCCTCTAGGCGCCGACCACCCACGGAGACCCACATACACATACACATTCGACGCGACACACACGCTGCATACAGGGCGCTTTCGGGTCGGGGGCGGGGTCGGGAGCACGGCGGCTGCTTTGGGGCTAGCTGTTAGGGAGGTGTACTGTACACCGGCACTGCTGTCGTAATGTATACCTGCGCGGGCGGGCGGGGTGGCGTCAGACCCCGCCCGCTGGCTTGTTTTCTTGTTTCGTTTCGTATTTTTTCCCTATTATTTGACGGGCGTGTTCGCTTGGTTATGGATGGTTCGCTGACAGTGCAGTGCTATGGCTGACGGACGCGATGACATGCATGGTGTGTAATGTGTACGCGGGTGGGTGTCTGTGGACTAGATAAATGCACGGATTAGAGCTAGAGACGCGTTGTTGCGAGTGCCTGGAAGTGTCGGAGTGAGGGCGCTGACATGCGAGTTGCACTCACTGAGTCAACCGCTCCCTTTTACAGCCTGCCTGGTCGACACCTATCAAGTCACTGGCGATGTAGTCTGCACAAAGCGCTGATGTTCTGTACACCTTGCTTCTGACAGGTTCATCGCTATCTGTCTGCAACATCTTAGGTATGTGCGTCGCTCTGTGGCCACCGATGGTTGACCGCTTCATGAGACTGTAACGGATAGGCTAATGATGGTCCCCTCAGAACAGACTTTATGCATTCTCAAACACACTCGCGACACGCCTAGCAATATGTTTGAGCGTTCCGACTTGCAGCTTGCTCTCTGGTTATATATGTCATGACGACGCGATCTGTCTCAACGTGTATACGTCACTGGTGTACACTGTGGCCTCGTGGGTAAGCAATAGGTGGCTCAGTCGTGGAGAGAGATACTGATGATACCGATACAAGAGACTATGGCTAGATCCACAGCCTCCAGTGAACGTGGTGAACGTGGCGTTAGTGGACGAAAGCCATGAAGTCCAACGTCCTAGGTGTGGTAGCAAAATCACGCAGAGACGCTCGCCAGCGTCTCCGTGACGAGCCTGAGCTCAACGCGACAGGAGACCGCGGAGTGATGTCGCAGTCGTAGGCTTCAGGAGGAGGAAGAGGAGGTATTAGTAACTGTCTGGCAGGACTGACTGTAAGTCCGATCCCATTCCGCCCGCGATCTTCGACCAAACTGACCTGAAGAACGACGAGAGGAACTTAGTTTGGGTACGCTTCAGGGGAGCTAGTGACCGAGCGAGGCTCAAGTACACTCCCTCACCAGTGACTCATCAACGGCCAGATCGACTGACCTGACGAACGAAGAGAGACACTCGGCGCTCGGCGTGACGACGTTTCCTTGCGCGTCCCGGGCTTTGTCGATGTTGGAGTCGCGGCGATACTGGCCACTGCTGTTGTATCCGCGAAGAGGCGTCCAGGACACAGAGGACACAGCGTACATATTGCTATGTGAGCAGTGACGGGGCCGGATCTTTGCGGGGATACTACACTGACCATCTGCCATAACCGAAGACTGCTGCGATGGTCTTCACTGTCCATGTAGATAGAACGTGAGGGTATGAGGAAACGCTCCGGACGGAAGAGACTGTACATCTCTTCATTGCGCGTCATTGCCCTGAGATACGGTGGTCAGTTTGAGGGAGAACCCTGAAGACCGACTTTACCAGAGATTCGTGACGATGTGAGTGTCTCTGGGCATATGATAATCACTGTACTCATCATCTTCGGTCAAGAAATGCGGTACGCCTGCAGCGCGGTCAATCCTTGTTGGATCTTTATAACGACACGGAAAGCATACCCAAAGGAATCACTGGATGCCACCTGGTTGTTCGGGAGATGAATGAATTGTACGGTATTGCCGGGCAAGCGAGGTCTATCCTTGAGATCTTGAGAGTGCAACTGTGATACGATCACTCGTCAGGAGCAGGGTTCCGAGTTATGGCATGTATTTTGTCGCATTCAAGGACATCAGTGGCCGTATACTATACATGAGCTGATATGTCTCGGCCATGTCCTGGAGACCGGCGCACGGCTCACTCAGCCGGCTCACAATCTTCCTCAGTTTCGCCATCATCTTCACTCCAAACATTTGCCGCTTTGAGCCGCTTTTCAAGCTCATACTCCTCGTAATCCCGTACAATGAGCTCTTTCACGCCCTCTTCGAGTTTCTTCTCCTCCAAGCATTTGCGAACCGCTGCCGTGAGGGTATTGTCCTTGAGATTGTAATCCATGTGCCCGACATTTTCTCCCATGTCGCCGCCGCAAAGATGAAGAGTCAATGTATGCCGGAAGTGCTCATGGAAGTACAAGTCCGAGGCACCCCCTGCGGGTATATGCTTGAGATGGGATGGTAGACCCGCATTCATAGCTTTCTTGTCGAAGATCCGAATTCGGTAGTCGTCCTACACTCCCAGGTTCAATAGAAAATCAACGAGAAGACTCGGATTGGCTCACATCCACGTCGACGCTGAAGGCATTTTGATGCCACAGCTGATAAATGTCGTCTTCCATGTTCAAGAGGTTGTGGGACTCCTGAAAGTCCGCCTCGAGAAGTACAAACAACCTCTCCGCGGCAGGTGTAGTCATCTATACTATGATAGTAAGTTCTCACTGTACGGGGCATAATTTGACACGGGTACAGACCGTGCTGATCAGGGATGGAGGGAATATCCAATGCACATTTCCAATTCTGGGGCCTGTGAATGCGCACTCGCCACCGTCACACTTCGAAGCCTCTCTGTACAATGAATCATCGATGATGTCCTACAAACATGCTACTCAGTGCTGCAGTTCTGGTTATGTAGTGTAGAAGCTCACCAGTGCTAGGAGTGTTCTATCGGCGTCTTTTTCATTGAGGTCTTGCCAGAACTTGTGTGAATGGCTTCCGAATGAGCAATCGAACGGAAGGTTTGCGGTACTAAACGGTAGTGTATCTGTGGTTTTCATAATTACGGAGGTGCATTGAGAGCAGACAGAGAATTAGGCTTTACCGTTAGCTGGGAAGCGGCAGACATAATCTCCTGGTCTCAGCAGTTCATCATGGAGAACTTGCTCCTTTTCATCCGGCGACCACATCACAGGTCTAATACGCCGCAATGTCGCATGCATGAGTACCATCTCGTCAAATCTGTAAGTGGCCATCATGTCGAGCCAGCGGAGAAGAGTCGGAGGAGTGATAGGACCAATGACACTTGAGGCGAAGCCTAGAACCACAATCATCAGTATGAGACATGCTGAGGAAGTAGAGATGTAAGACTGAACAAGCTATCAACCCACGTCCTGACCACCATATGAAGGTGTCAGCACTACGGGATTGTGACAAGGTAGACGAGTGTGCTAGCGGGCATTCTTCGACTCGGATCCCAGTTGACATGATTGAATGCAGTTGAAGAGCTGGAAGAAAGTGCGAGTTCTCGACCTAGTATATATACTCCCTCTGCGCATGTACCTTGGTGCGTCTATGGTGTACCATTCGTCTCTTTATTATCACACGTATACAAATCTGTCGGGCTACTATATATATAAGTTTCGGACACTCGTATACTCTTTTGCCCGCCGCTATAGATATATATATATTGACCCGCTGCCTACGTATACAACCTTGTCGCGGGTGCACCCGCATATACAAAACTTTGGGCCGACCCGCATATATATAAAGCTCGGCTCCCGGACAAGGATATCCTGAGGCACGAAGGTTGAAGGAATTGTCTACGTCTGCCTGGGGAGACTAGCGTCATTGCGCGCGTCGAAAAAAATCCGCGAGTGCCATGATTTCTACAATCGACTGTAAGACCTAAAGCATGATTTACAACACGGGCGAAACGCTGGCAATAGTATCACTAACCGTGGGCAACATTTCGATTCGATGGTCACGTTGACGACAAGATGTTTGCCAGTGTTTCCTCTACAAGAGCCATGACGTTGGGCGAGCGCGGCGTGATAGCGCATTGGTACGCTTCAGGGAAGCTAGTGACCGAGCGACGCTTGAGTAGGTACACTGCCTCGCCAGTGACACCAGCGGCCATCGGCCATCGACTGACCTGACGAACGAAGAAGGAAATTTGGCGCTCGGCGTGACGACGTTTCCTTGCGCGTCTCGGGCTTTGTCGATGTTGAGGGTTGCGGCGATACTGGCCACTGCCAAGAACACGGTTGTATCCGCAAAGAGGCGACCAGGACAAAGCCTACATATTGCTATGTGAGAAGTGATGGATCCGGGTCCCTGCGGAGTTACTACACTGACCGTCTGCCGTAACCGAAGACTATGCTGCGAGGGTCTTCAACGCCCATGTCGATAGAACCTGAGGGTGCGAGGAAGCGCTCCGGACGAAAGAGACTGGGATCCCTGTACATCTCTTCATTACGCGTCATTGCCCTGATAGACGGTGGTCAGTTTGTGGAAGAAGCCTGTAGACCGACGTTACCAGAGATTCGTGACGATGTGAGTGTCTCTGGGCATATGGTAGCCATTGTACTCATCATCTTCGGTCAAGAAATGCGGTATGCCTACAGCGCGATCAGTCCTGACTGGATGTTTGCAACAACACGGAAAGCCCACCCAAAGGAATAGCTGGATTCCACCTAATCGTTCGGGAGGTAAATGATCCTCGCCTTGCTATCGAGGTAGTCGTCACTCACCGGTAGGTCTCCTTTACGACGCAATCGATATAAGGCAAGTTCGGTCTATCCTCGAGAGTGGGCAGCCGATTGTTCTCAACGACACGGTCCAGTTCCTCTTGTGCCTTCTTGAACACCTCCGGGTACAGTACCATGGCCAACAAGAAAGTTAGAAGCACGGACTTCGTCTTTCACGAAACCCTCGATATTTTGGCATATAATGTTTATGACACAACCGAAGACCTACCGTGTCAGAGCCAGCTAATTGTTTGAATGAGTTAGATGTGATTGTCACGGATACAGTCTCAGTCTGAGGGTCACTGACCGGCGTACAGTGCTCCCGCTGCAAAGCGGATGTCGTTCTCTTCTCCATCAAGTCGGCCCGACTTCTCTGCTTTCTCAATCAATTCCGCTGCGAACGACGGTCGTGCGTCTCCCGATGCCTGTACAGATGTAAGTCCCGTCGCTACTACGAGATGCGAATGTAGCACTTACGACGGCTTTACGAACCATGTCGAATGGGATATAATGAGCGTCGTGTATCAACTTCCGTGCGTGCAGCGCCTTTCGCTTGAAACTTGCACCTGGCATCCAAGCAGGTACATGCTTGACTATCATTCTGTTGAATCGTCAACTTCTACTTATGTGCAAGCCAAGACTTACGTAGTGGGAAGAAGTCCATTATCCCGCCTCCTGCCGGACCTGTGGCGTTCATTGCCTCCATGCCACGATCCATCAGCATTACATATTCATCATCCAAGGACGCGACGCGATGACCGTAGACAGTCTCGATGATCAGCGCGACGGTGAACCTGCATCAGCTCATGGACATGAGCTCACATCGAGGAGGAATAACAGAGGTACGTACCGTGTTATATGTAATTTGAAGTCCTCGGGAGTTTGCATCAAGCTCGCTAAGAAAATGCAGGTCTCCCGCTGTTGAAGGGCTTCATACGTGCGAAGCGTATCCTTCTCGCCGAAGGCAGCCTGTACCCACCGTCGTTGTTTCAGACGGCTCTCACTCCGGTATGGCGCAAACGATAGGGTAGGGTCCCATCCGATCCTAGCAAACGAGATCACCTTGATCGTAATCATGCATGTTGTTCAGTGTCGCAGAACGTACAGCTCGACTAGTGTTACCATCCGCGGCCTGCTAGAGTAGATAGCGCCGCGCTTGTCCAGAAGGTCTCTGGCCACTTTAGATGAATTGACGATGACCGTGTGGCTGCCGAAGAACTTGGCGTAGATGAGATCACCTACATATGCGGGTATTAGACACGAATCAGACACGGACCACTCGTATATGAGACGTCATTACCGTATTTCTTTGCCCATGACTCAAATGTATACTCTTGGTATTCTGAGGGTAGCTGGTGCGAGTTGCCAATTAGGGGAAGACGATTCGGACCAGGTGGGAGACGACGACTTTGAGAGCTTCGTCGATTGCTACGAATCTGTGATAAGAACAGACATAGCAGTGGTACCAAAACCCAAGCGTTGGAGGCGATGATTTGGTACATAGCGTTAGCTACCATGGCAGTCAATATTACTGGTCCGCAGGAGACGAGACGTACCTCTTTTATAGTCGTCTATAAACACAACTTGAGGCTATTGCGGCAGGAAATGACAACTGACAAGCGTGTCAACGGAGAACATACGCAGTGCCAGAGCATTGTATTGTGAGGATATCGCAGTGGACATATGACCGAAATCATGGCCTTCGACCGAAGCCGTTCCTGAGCATGTGGAATATGCATGGATGTCCGAATCATGATATCTGTCAACAGTCTTGCTTCAGTAGTACACGCCACCTCACGTATAGCATGGCGGAATATTGTCATTGGGTAACAAACCCACGTATACCTTGATCGCCGAAACGAATAAGGCTAACGAAGCCTCCCCGTCCATATCAAAGTTCACCTGTGTAGAAGTGGCGATAGACCGGGCTTCTTGTGCTGTCTGTGCTCGGTTGCAGTTTGGCAGGTTCATGACATCCTGACAGTGCCTATCAGAATCCAGATAGCATTCGCGGTGCATCCAGGAAACGATTGCGTCAACCCAAAGCAAGACCTACAGTTGGATGTTTAAATCCGAGTGTAGTACGCCAGTGACATTTAGGCTTGAGACTCTTCGTCGTATACCCCGTGGCACGGGTTTCTGGAGAGTGCTATGCCTTCACCAAATGGCGTCAAGAGAGTTCCCGACCACAAGCAAGGATAGTCGGCTCATGCCAGTGACGAAACGTCGACGTCTTCAACAAAAATTCAAGGCGGAGGAGGAGGAGGAGGAGAGATCCAGTTTAGCCACCGGCCCAGCACCGGCCCGCCGTAGTAGGCACACGCGCGATCCTCGACGTCTTGACGCCGACGGTGACAACGCTCACTAAACCAACACCACGACATGATTGAGCATGTTCAAATGGCTCACATTCACATCGACACTGAAGGAGTTCGAATCCCACAACTCGTGGATATCGGGACGCATAGTGAGCAGGTTACTTGTCTCCTTCAAGTGCTCAGGTGTGATTAACCATGGCTTTCCTGCTGGAGATGGGATCTGCGATGTTGTCAGTTTCTGCTGCATGCAATGGAATGGTGCACAAATACAGACCCTCATATACGCCGGTGGAGGGATAGTCCAATGCACGTCTACGGAATCATCTGACCCCGTGAAGATGCACTGGCCGCCATCACGTCTTACATAGTACTGTTTCACGAAACGAGTCTTGGATATCATCATTGAGATGTGAAAATCGACGCCTGATGTCTCCAAGAGACCTAACGAAGGTTTTGTGCGAGAACGGGTATTCGGTACCATCATACTTTGGCTGAGACTTGTCGCTGACTGCCCACATTCATCCCCTGTCAGACTAGTAGAAACGCGACGGCTCGGGAGGAGATTCACCTGTGAGTTGAAAGCATCCGTAGTCCCCTGGCTGCAGTGTATCTGAGGAGTCAAGAACAAACCCCGTGTCGTGAAGGTCGTACTGGAAGGGTTCATCCGCCTTCAAGAACACGCGCCTGACTTTCATGGTGTCGACACCGGCGCCGAACTTCTTCTCAATCTGGTTGAATCAACGGAGGAGAGTCCCGAGGGTGATAGGACCGATGATGACCGAATAAAAACCTAATAGAAGTTTGTTCAGTGCATGTATGCCGCTGCAAGTAAGGTGCGATACTGAACAAGCTATCATTCTGGAGCCGGGCCACCATATGAAGGTGTCTGCGCTGCGCGATTTCACCAGTTTGGACGCATGTTCGAAATGCGACGTGGGAACACTAGCACTGGTAGAAATAGTTGACATATCTGAACGTCCGCAACTGCTGGAACGCTAGTCATGGCAGGCTGCCCGCCTTACGTGTACGGTTGCTCCGAGTCGCTAATCTGTGGCTCAGGCTGACCATTTCGCGCCACGCGCCTGCGCCACATGATCGTGCCGCGCACCTCTTGCTTTCTCTGAGTCTCTGGGACCTCGGATTTACCTTCTACGCATGAAGTACGGAGCCAAAAGTGACAAGGTATAACGCTGTTGTATGCCACGCACGCGGTTGTGAGTGGTCCGAGTCGAGGAGTTCGAAGCAATGTAAGCCCCAAGGTCGCGGCCTCATATGCTCGCATCAGCCTTCGCCAGCCATAGCTCAGTACGCAGATGGCCTATACTTCTATAGTGTCGCAGGCCCGGAACGCCAATATCTTCTTTTGGTGGCCTTCCTTGGCCGAACCTGAGGTCATGGCTTGTACGTTCTGCTCCGATGTATGCTTACATGACACGTTTATTGCGCTAACCCTCGTCATTATGTCATTCCAGGCTGGGACTCGAGTGTTGTTGGGCCTGTAACAGCGAAGTGGGTTCTCCGCTGGGTCAATATGATCGCCCCTCCAATTGCTGGCGGCGCTGGCGTTATGGAGGTTAGACGCGTGTCATTGGAACAGGACGAAGTAATACGGTTCAAGTACCATCTCTTTCCGGAGGAAACCATGATACCCTCTGCAGTCTTGGAACCGGGAGTCTATGGATGCTACTACATGCCAGGTGAGTGTCTCGTCAGATTGCAGCTACATACGCAGCGACTCAGCTAAGCCTGCTTAGACAAAGAATTAGAATTCGACCGTGTAGGATCTCTCCTGAATAGTTTCCAGAGTACAATATCGATGGCGGATTTGAAGAAAGACCTCGAGACCGAAGAACCAAAGACTTCTGCCGGGACGGGGTGCTTGAAGCGGGTGAGCGTTGCCAAGTGACGTATCTCACCATAGTGTGTCGTGTACTGAACGAACTATACAGTACATCATCCCCACTGACTTACTTGCGGAGGCTTCTAGTCATGATGCCGACGGCAACTGCGTTTTCATGGGATATAAAGGCAAGAACAGTCAATATCCCGTGGAACTGCATTGGATATTCCCTCCAGGCATGGCTCGCTTCGTAAGCCTGGCTAACTTCCCTGTAGCAGAGCACATATCTGACTCTTGGCATGATACCGTAACAAAGCGTACACATGGTCCCAAGATGCTGACAACAGAGGAATTCCAGAACGCCCAGAATCTCATGACGGTGCGGAGTGACATCTGCCATCTATGGCACTTAAACGCATTCAGCGTAGACGTCGATGTGGGTCTCTATTACTAAATTTCCTACTCATGATCTGATTGCTCGCGCAAATCCGTTAACGGGATGGTTAGGATGATTACCGGATCCGCGTCTTCGACAAGAGGGCTACCAACGTTGGCTTACCTGCTCGTATCGACCCGGTATTGAACTCCGCCGCAGAACGTTTCTTCCGCGAGCATTTCCGATTCACTCTGTCCGTCAACTGGGGTGGCGGGGACGCATATGATGAATTTCCTCTGAGGCATGCACCAGAGGCCCCCGTCGTCGATGATACAAGTACACCTAGCTATAGCGACTCGGATGAAGGATCCGGCGCCACAGACAGTGAGCCGGAGGACTTCGCGTTCGAAGTCACCGCCAGACTGGAGGCTCTACACGGCTGATCAATGCGTGCGTGACAGCGGCGAATTGTGAGCGATACATACGAAAACATACACATGTATACTCCGTTGTACTAACCTCGTCAATGTGCAATGGTGATGAGTTCCATACCTATGACAGGTATTATCCCTCGTTCTCGTAGCGCTGAGGCTGGTAGGTTGAATCTCGTCGTGACCGATGATGGCATTGCGGTGCGCACACCGTCATGTCGCAGCAGCGACAAGGAGACGTTCGTGATTCACGACATCGAGCGGCTCACTGCGGTACCATGCCATAGCATGCTTAGCGATCCTCGTATGCCCGGCCGGCTCTGCTAGCTGTTGAGACGTGCCTGCGTTGACACGTTGACGAGTAACGACCACTGACTCATGTACGTTGAGTGGTGTCCGAGAGGGACTCGGCACACGGCGAATATCGCAAAATAACGCATGTGAGAACAGAGCTAACCATGCAATCTCTGCAGATTTGTACACGCCATCGTATGGAATGGAGGCCGCCGTATGAGAATGTTCGTAGCATGGTTCATCTTGCTCGCTACACAACTCGTGTGCACGGCGGCGGCGTCCGTTATCCTCTGGATCACTGAGGGAGTCCGACTCACGAATGTAGACCTGCACTGCTGTACTCACAGTTCTATTCCTTCCTGCAGACACTGTACGACATTCATTCCCGAACAACAACGTCCTACAACCCAAACTCAGTGATCAAGGTAGTACGGTACCCAGCTGTGCAGACCAGCACGCCGCACGTTCTCCGCTCGTCCGTGTCGTGCCGGCACAGCCTTCCGAGGCCTATCGGAGACGCGAGCCCTCCAGAGTCTGTAGCCACGACGCATATAGCACGACGCAGTGCCAGTCATGGCTCGACGCAACCATACTAAGCTGAGCACGGCTCGTCGCGACGTCCACCGCCCACGCGCGTCATAAGCGCAAACCAAAACGCCCATCGTACTCACCTAGGAGTGAGACTCACCACTCGCTACATACCACAACCCTACCCCGCCTACAAGAACTCGCTCGGATGCCTCCACGCCGCATCCTCGCACCCATAACGTTCCAATGGCCACTCGCCTCGGGCCACGCCTGCATCTTCACGCGCCCGTCCGCAAGCGGCTCGACGGTATAGCAATCGTCGTCCACGCGCACGACGTGCATAAACGGGAAGCCCGGGCGCATCTGCTGTGAAGCAGAAGGCATGTCCACGTAAGTACCATTTGGGTCAGAGAGCGAGCGGCGAACGGACGCACCAAGACGAATCCAATCGCGTCCGTCGACGGCTCCGCCTGTAGCGACATCCTTCGGTAGGGTCGCCGTGAGCGCTTTCAGCTCCGTCAGGCTCGGGAGCACGCCGCACACGCCCGCATCGTACTACCCCGCCCAATTCGCGCTCGGCACCGACAGAACAAGTGTCTTGAGCGTCCGGCGGTCGCGCAGGAATGCCGAGATCGCGGGGAACAGGTTGTGGTCGTTCGCGTTGTACCTGAGGAGCGTGGACTCGAAGTGCGCCGCAGAAACGGGAGCGCGTCCGCCGCGGTACCCTCGCGGAAGTGCGCCGACGCGTTGCAGTTGAGAACACACTACAGGCGGAAGGACTCAAGCTGGTGTCCGTTGCTCAGGATGTCCGCGAACGCGCGCGACTCGGAGGGGAAGAGGCCGAGGAAGTCGAGGTTCGTTAAATTGCGGATTGAGAGCGTCTCCGAGGGGAAGGTCGAATGCTGGTTGAACAGAAAGATAGAAGGCTTATTTTGTTGTCGGAACTCTTGCATGTCTGCTGGCCAGGTTGCCTCCGAGACGTACCAGTACCAGTGGTCGAGACGTATGTAAGTACTAAAGTTACGAGGATGCATCCTCCTCCGGAAGATGCCGAGGATCGCACGTGCACCTGCGGCCGGTGGCGTACCAGCCGCAATATCGTGACATGCTTCGCAAACTCCTCGTCGACGGGTGCGACCACACTTCAGTCAGTTCTACTGCTTTGGTACTGATACAGACCCATAAGGCACGAATCACCAATTACAACGTACCAGTATGTCGTTGACTTCATGAGTCATACCGGCCCAGGCTCATCCGGTAGTTCCAGGGCGACTCAGATTGCCCCGCTGAAGCACAGTCTCCTGTACGGTATGGGCTTCGAGCATCTCGATCGAGGCAGACGGGATGAGGATTGAGTTGAAAGTTCGCTAGCAGAATGCACTGGCAGCGGCGAGCTGAGCGGAGGAGCGGTATGTTCATGCCAGGTTTTGGTACGCTGTAGGTGAGTGTACACACGTCGACTTTATGAATTGCAACGGATCTTCTCAGATTGGCTATACAGACTCTTTCTTTGCGCACTACGTCGCTCTTTATAGCGCTTGATTTGTTGTTCTCAGACTGACGGCCGACATCGGTGGTCGTGGAACACCGCACGCTGCGCATGAACATGAGGTACGTACCACATCATTATCTGCACAAACGTAACGTTAAAGGATTTGCCAACGTGCCGACGTCAGCATGACCTCGATACAGAGCGCAGGGATAGCGTACTTTCATACGGACATCGCTTCTGGCTGAACGTACTCCGACCAGAGGCTGCTCATCGGTGGTCATGTACTTACCTCGCGGGAAGAACCATGCTAATAATGGTACGTCGCTTTCCTCATTCTCACTGGCATGCGACTTATGACCTATTATTTCCTTTGGAATACCTACGTGTAGACTGGAGGCCGGCTGAGCGTACTTAGGAACCTATGTGACGATATCAAATCATCCCAACAAGGTGAGCAGGACGGCAATATTGTTTGTAGTCACCCGGAACTGTTCATCTGTGACATTTGCCCTCGATCGGAGTAGAGCCGGCAGTTGATTCGCAAAAGCCTGAGCCCGGAAGGGCCTAAGCTGTACGTACAAATCGATATCCCAGTAAGCACATAACAATGATAGTGTACAGAGCCCAGGCTCGATGACTGCTACTGTCGTCTCTTGAGTCCCCTACCGTTCGAAGCTTATCCATTAAGTGACACTCGCTCCGATGCTCTTCTGCACCCACCAGTGTAGGTCCTGTTGTTCACAAGGGTGGTAACACGGCGCATACGGTTGCTGTGTCGAAGCAGCGAAGTTGCGCCAGGCACATATTCGCAATCCAGGACATTACTTTGCGATCCTTGTATGCACGTCCCTGTCAACTGTTGTGACATGCTCGCGTTGAAAACGATATCCCTTGAATGCGAGACTGTCGCTTGATTAGGTACATCAAGTACAGGACGCCCGCTTGCAAGTTCTGGGACTCGGCGCAGAGCATACGTCCCATTGCAGAAGTTCTGCACGGCATGCTACTCTTTATTCTCTGCACATACAAGGCCTGTGCGTTTGACTCGAATGTGAACGGTAACTGGCAGTGGGTTCCATTCCAACACAACGACAGACCACTACATAATACTGTGCGTGTAATATGTTCATTTATCGCACCATGCGCGCGGGTCGTTCCTCTCCATAGTTTAGTGTCCCAACGTTCCCTTCATCACTTTTTCGAAATACCCCTCCCCTATGAGCATTTGGAATAACTCGTCTGAGAGGTCAGAGCCGTCGATAGTCCCTTCCTCGTCGAGGCCCTTATCGACCAAATAGTCATTGATTGACATCGCATCCACGGGGATGCACCCGCCGAGGAACTCGACACACAGAGTATAACGGAAATGTTCGCGGAATTGTTCCGATGCAGAGCTGTTTGGTACTGATGCGAGACGATCGGGTAAGCCAAATTTCTTGGCTTCTTCAGTGAGGGTAAGAATTCGGCAGCCATCCTACGCGGTCCAATTTGGTAGGGTTAGCAAAATGTCGTAGGGTGGAACACTGCATCACTGACATCAACGTCGACACTGAAAGCGTTCTTATGCCACAGCTTATAGATGTCGCTGCGCACGGTGATCAAATTGTCGTTCCCCATGAAGATCTCCATGAGAGGCAAGTGGGCTCTCTTCCCCTGAAGTGTCGCAATCTATGTCGATCGTCAGAAATGTCACGTCACAGAGGTGTCAGACTATATTTACGCGGTCCGCCATTCCTGGAGGGAATATCCAATACACATCCACAGGACTATCCTGCGATGATGTACACCCTGTGAACAAGCACTTCCCATTGTCGCGCCGGGATATTGCTTCTTTGACTTCCTCGGGTATACTGTACTATGTCGGTAGGGAACAGTCACGAATAGCGACGAGGCATGACACAGTACAAAGCTCACGCATTTGAGCCTTTCGATCCCGCGGGGTGTATTCCACTTTTTATACAATATCTTCAAGCCTTCAAGTGAAGGACGCCGATTGAGCCCGCCAAAGGGAAGTGTTGGTGGTTCAAAGGCAGGGTTGTTATCGGCATCTGGAGTATGGGCTCAATTGATTACCCATTGCATCACGGTCGACTGTCTGTGGTACGCACCTACATAGAAGAGACCGTAGTCTCCACGATCTAGCACATCAGAGGGAGCGATCGCTTCCAATGGCTCGGCAAGAAACTGAAACGGTGCCCATTGCCGCACCAAGACCCTCCTAACTCTCAGAGTGCCATGCCGACTGACACCGTCGAGCATGTTGAGCCAGCGGAGAAGGGTGTCCGATGTTACAGGCCCAACTAGGCTTGATTCAAAACCTGACAAGGAGGCACATGAGAATAAAGGCAAGCCTAGTATCTGCGCAGATTCGTACAAGCAATCATATGAGATGGAGGCCACCATATGAGGACGTCTGCTTTCGAGCGCGAGAGCACCACACCGGTGGACGAACGGGCCGGGACCAAAGGAGCTGGAGATGCAGGAGGCGTGGACATCTGAGACTCGGGATTTGGCGTACTATGAGTAGTAGGTATCAGTGCGGGATAACGATGAGTCTGCTTCAACATGCATGCGACTTTTATACTGGTTTGCCCTCCTCGAGCGCATGCTACTAGTACATAATAGCATCACTGCAAGCGGGCATCGTTCGCGCCTCAACGCCCGGGCTCCTCACGCTTGCCGCACCGTTTCTCGCTTGCTATCACAGAACTGATGCTTTACGCCGGTCACACCGTCAGTGCCACCTAGCGGTGGGAGTCGCGACTTGGAGGTGCCATGCCAGTGCACACACTTGACAAGGCTGACCGAATGCTGTTCGAGAGTTCGAAGGAAGCGTGCTGCGCAGTTTGCAGGGTTAAGTGCGGGTTCTCGACCTATACGCGCCCCCTTTGCGCATGTTGCTTCCCCTCAATGCTCAAGAATCAACGTAACGTTGAGTCAACGGAACCGTGCCAGTGAGACAGCTATATGGCGCTAAGTGCTTATGTAAGTCAGGTGGCGGGTCTTGTCATGATACATACGCACTGGCACGGCCTGCCGTTGCACAGTACATAGTATACAGGAACCCGTCAACCTTGTCATCTTCGTCTAGGGTGCCTCTGTTTCCAACTGTGACGTCTCCTCAAAATTATACCTGAAGATCTCCTTTCCGATGTCCGTTTTCCATCTGTCATCATCGAATGGGACGTGGTTCTCACCCGACTCCGGATTTAGTAGGGCTTTCGTCATTCTCTTCACCTCCCTGGGAGAATGATCGTATGAGATGTCGCCACCAAGGAGCCCGACGATTAACGTCTGCCGAAAGTGTATACGAAGATATGCGCTCATATATTTGTCCGTTGGTACTGTCTTGAGCCGGGGTGGCAATTCAGCCTTCAGAGCATCTTGGTTGAAGATTCGGATACGATACTCATCCTGAGGTCCATTAATCAGTTTAGCCGGCGAGGTAGCAATTGAGTATGTACAAATGACTCACATCCACATCGACACTGAAGGAGTTCGAATCCCACAACTCGTGGATATCGGAACGCATAGGGAGCAGGTTACTCGTCTCCTTCAAGTCCTCTTCTGAGATCAAAGATGGTTTTCCCATTGGCGATGGGATCTGCAATATGTACTCAGTGTCTGTTGCACGCCATGAAACGGTGCACAAATACAGACACCCATATACGCTGATGGAGGGGTAATCCAATGCACGTCTACGGAATCATCTGATTCCGTAAACATACACCGAACGCCATCACGGACAGATACGGTTTCACGAAACGAATCTTGGATGTCATCCTCGAGTAGTGAAAATTGACGCCTGATGGCTCCAAGAGACCCAACGGAGGTTTTGCCCCAGAACGGGCATGGCCTATCACCACCATACTTGTCGCTGCAGCCTGCCAGTGGCTGCCCACATTGACCCCCCTTTTAGACTAGCAGGAATGCGATAGCTCGGAGGACACTCACCTGTGAGAAAGTAGCCGTAGTCTCCCGGCGGCAGTGTATCTGATGACTTGAGAGCATTTTCCGTGCTATAAAGCTGGTAGCGGAAGGGTTTATGCGCCTTCAATGACACGCGCTTGAGTTCCACAATGTCGATACCACCGAAGTCGTCAATCTGATTGAACCAACGCAGGAGAGTCTCGAGGGTGATAGGACCGGTGACAACCGAGTTAAAACCTAATGGCAGAAGATCGTTCAGTACATGTGTGCTGCTTCAAGTAAGGTGCGATACTGAACAAGCTATCATTCTGGCGTGAGGCCACCATATGAAGGTGTCTGCGCTGCGCGATTTCACCAGTTTGGACGCATGTTCGAATTGCGACGTGGGAGTACCAGTGCCAGTAGGGATGGTTGACATATCTGAACGTCCGCAACTGCTGGAACGCTACTCATGGCAGGCTGCCCGCCTTATGTGTACGGTTGCCCGCTAGTAGAACTTCTCAGACTGTGGCTGACCATTTCGCGCCACCGTCCACGTGCCCAGTGCGTAGTAAGTAGTACAGTACCATGCCATACCGTGCTTCGCGATCCTCGTATGCCCGTCCGGCTCTGCTAGCTGTTGCCGCGTGCCTGCTTTGACGACAATGATCCACTTACTCGTGTACGCGCAGTCAGAGACCGTTGGTTAGGTGATCTGGGACTCGGCACACAGGTGATCGCATGCGGAAAAGCTGCGTAGCATGCTACCCTCCAAGTCTACTTGTCCTCGCCAGCAGGATTTATAGGTGCACATCTGTCTACCAATGCACCTGCCCTGCTGTACTCGCACTGCTATTCCTCGTGCGAAAAATAGGACATCTATAACGGGACAACAACGTCCTACAACCCAAACCCAGTGATCACGGTAATATCGTACCAGATATGCAGACGAACATGCCTCACACGTCCTCCACTCGCCCGTCTCGTGCCGGCGCAGCTATGCGGGGCCTGTCCGAGACTCGAGCCGTCCAGAGTCTGGAGCCACTCGACGCGTATAGCACGACAGTGCCAGCCATGGCTCGACGCCACCGTCAAGCCGAGCACGGCAGTCGCGACGTCCGCCACATACGCACCTCATAGATGCTAGACGCAAACCAAAAACACCCATCGTACTCACCGCTCACATCACAGCCCTCCGTCGTCTACAAGAACTCGCTCGGATGCCTCCACTCCGCATCCTCGCATCCGTAACTCTGCAACCACTCCCGTATGTTCCAATGGCCCCTCGCCTCGGGCCACGCCTGCATTTTCACGCGCCCGTCCTCGAGCCGCTCGACAGTATAGTAATCGTCGTCCACGCGCACGACACGCACCATCGGGAAGCCCGCCTCGACGACCGCCGCGACGTCCTTGACCTCGAACTGCGAGAGCCCCATGAAGCTCAGGTTCGGCGGGAGGCCCGGGCGCATCTGCTGCAAAGCGGAGGGCATGTCCGCGTAAGTACATTCATAGCCAGAGAGCGGTGAACGGACGCACCGAGACAAATGGGACCGCGTCCGTCGACGGCTCCGCCTGCAGCGACAGCGCCGTCACCCCGCGCGGGACGAGCCACATCGCCACCGCCGCCGCCACGTCCTTCGGGAGGGTCGCCGTGAGCGCCTTCAGCTCCGTCAGGCTCGGGAGCACGCCCCACACGCCCGCATCGTACCCCAACCTCTTCTGCGCCCAGTTCGCGCTCGGCACGGAGAGCACGAGCGTCTTGAGCGTCCGGCGGTCGCGCAGGAACGCTGAGATCGCGGGAAAGAGGTCGTGATCGTTCACGTTGTACCCGAGGAGCGTGAACTCGAAGTGCCGCAGGAACGGGAGCGCGTGCGCCGCGGCGCCCTCGCGGAACTGCGCGGACGCGTTGCAGTTGAGCACGCACTGCAGGCGGAGGGACTCGAGCTGGTGCCCGTTGCTCAGGATGTCCGCGAACGCGCGCGACTCGGAGGGGAAGAGGCCGAGGAAGTCGAGGTTGGTCAAATTGCGGATGGAGAGCGTCTCCGATGGGAAGGTCCAATGCTGATTGTGCAGGAAGATGGAGCGGATGGAAGGCTTGTTTTGTTGCAGGAACTCTTGCACGTCCGCTGGGTTGCCCCCCGTCGAGACGTATGAGAACTGCGTAATATGCCGGAAGCGTGGGAACTGCAGCTCCGCGGTCCCATCCAGAGGCCTGTGTGCAGGCGAGTCTAAACGTTTGTACGGCTTCCAATTTCAAACAGACTGGACCCACATTAATGACATCCCGCGCAGTCGGTGATTCGCGGATTCGAGGATGCGCAGGAAGGAGAGCATCTCGCGCAATCGCATTGAGCAATGGACGTTTCTGAGATTTACCAATTTTGGCAACGCGTTGGCCAGCATGCCTGCGACGCCTGAGCGACCTCAGAGAGTCGACACCACCGAACCGCTCACCTGTCTGGAACGTCATCGGCGATACATCGCGCCCCTGGTAGAACACCCGCAATGTCTTGACATGCTTCGCAAACTCCTTGTCGACGATGACGCGGGTCAGGATGTCGGCGCTGCGCTGTGACTCCCTCTTATCCGGTACTGAGAGATATGTCAAACACGACATTCTCCGCCCACCTCATCAGGCTCACCAAAGAACAAATCGATCTTTCGGAACAGGAGCTCGCTTGCGATGCGGGACAGGATGTGCGGGACGAGGAGGACATTTTTGAGGTCGCGCGGCGGGAGCCATCGTGCGATCTCCCGCCATATTTCTGTCGAGAACCCTGGGGTCGTATGCGGCTGGATCAGAGACTGGGCATCGGGAGAATCACCCATCGTCAGCGTTCGACCAATGAGACAGCGTTCACGACGGTTACATGGAGGGATAAAGAAAGGGTGCTGACGCACCTTGCCCGAATTTGCGACATGATGAACCATAAGCGCCCTGGCTTCCGGGTGTTCGGGCTCGATGGCCATGACAGCCTGGAGGTCTGCGGAGATGGTAGGGAAGGCGCGTGGTGAGACGGGGAAGACCGTCTAGAATGGACCAGAATCCGTGCCGACCTTGGTGGGCGCCGACATGCAGTCCGGCGGCGAGCCTAGCCCTGGCGCGCATCAAGCGGGCCTTGGCGGCATTGGCCACAGAGAGACCGTTGAGCGAGAGGCAGGACTGGACTGCGTTCTCGATGAGCAATCTAGAGCTGAAGGGTAGGAACGAATAGAGATGAGCGATGAGGTGAATACAAATTGTGAACCCGCTAGACCAACCGCTCTAAGGGAAGCTGTCCCATGGCATGGAGAAGCACATCTGCCTTCTGTTCGTCTGGGAGACTTGCGGTGACATCTCGGATACACGCGTCGAGGATCTTAGGGTTGAAGACGCTCATGTCGCTGTGGCACCGAGGGCGAAGATCAACGGCCGGGATAGGAGGTGAGGATCAAGGAGGTAGAGGCTGCTGACGGGCAAGTAGCGAGGGATATAGCGCGAGGTTGTGTGAGCGATCTCGCAGCCTCGTAACACGCCGGGTGAACGTCGGACCAGGCGATGAGCAAGAAGCGACCGCGCGCGAACGCTGGACGCTGTACACCGTATGCTGACGTGCTTCACGCGACTCACTGCGCAGTGTTCTACCTTGATTGCAAAAGCGGTGGTCAATGCCGACATACTGAGTGGGCCCTGTGAAACACCCACGAGTGGACGAGGACGAGACACAGAATTTATACGGCCGAGGAGAGAGCAGCACAGGGGGCAGGACGAGGCGGGCGTGGTGGTGGTCCAGACGGTATAAGGGCGTGGCCAGCTCTGCCTGGCCTCTCCCTGGGGACCCTCCCAGTCGGTCGCACGCATGCCGCCGGATCAGCTCGTGATTCGGCGCTTCCCGCCCCGTCCACTCGCCTCCCAACTTCGATGTGACGTTATGCGCTGACAACTATTGTCAAGACTATGAGATGTAGTTGGCTTACTGTGGGTTGTAGGGACGTGGAAAGATTCAGCTCTTGCGCGGGGCGCGACTTCCGTGCACAGAGATGGAGGTGGTTCGGGGACAAAGAGGACGGTCGACCATCTGCGGGGATGGAGGCCTTTATACGCTGGACGTCGACGCTTGACAGGTTCCGAAGTATCGTAGAATCAGCAAGGTCGGAATGCAATTGGGAACACGCCCGGGGTCTCGTTCACCCGAGGTCCGCTGGGAGTCCGCTACGAACCGCAGAACGAGGGCATGGCTACCTGTCATTCAAGGCGACGTGATTGGCTCCCGAGCGCGAGGCGCGATGGTCGCACAGATCTGGAAGGTCGCCTGCCTCATTGGGAAACGCCGTCTGCAGGCAGCCGGCCATCCCCCGTCACCGGTCTCGCCCCTCTCCTGCGTTGAATCATTGACCGTTGGCATGTTGACCCATCATGCATATGTAGTGTACGTTCTAAACACACGTAAGTATCGCTAGACAACCAAAATGGCCCAGATGGTTGACCGCATGGGTTGCCGGACGACGCAGGGAAAGATTTGAACTCAGGCAGCAAAACATCTGTGATAAGTCTCATTCTGATTGTTGGAGAGAGGACTCAAGATCACGGTGAAAATAAATCCCGTACGCGTGTAAGACCGAGATGAGCGCAGTACGCTACCTTTGAGCCAGAAGCATAGCACACCTACATTCACCAACGTACACACTACACATGCCATTCCGACTCATCCGCCACGGGCATTTGCCGCTAGAACATCCAAGTCGACCCTAAATCGTCAACCTCCGCCGTGCGCACAACACAAAGGTCTTTTGTTTTACAATGGCCGCATCGGCCCTAGAAGTCGAAGGCGAACGCTCATCAAATTAGCAGAGGCTTCGAAGCATTCTCCAAGAAACGGTGAGAATTCGGGCAACGGGTATCGCCCCCACCCACTGTACTGGTCACGCTAGGGAAGATACCCCCGCAGTCAACCCGCAGTCGAGCGATCCTCCTAGTACTCTCGCACCAGGCACGCACGACCGGAGCCGCTGTACCATACCCGACCGACGTCCTGATCATTTCAAATGCAACAGACCCCGCGTACGAATCGCGCACGCAGGCCTTCATGCCCGTCAATCGCACCTAAGTACCACGCGCACCTGCTGACCCGCCGAGCTGTTCGCCCAGGACTGAGGATAAGGATTGGAGACGCAAGGGAATTATAATTTTCGCAGAGCCGTAGTCTGTCGGTCCGTCAAGACGTATCGTCCTACTACACTGCAGGCCATAATCTGCTCCGAGAGACAAGTCAGAACGTGTGCATGCGCAGCGAGTATGAAACCGTACCTAACTCTAAGGTCAGGTCGGGTTGCGGAGGGGCGGCCTCTACTTGAGCTTGGCGAAGAGCTTCGGCGCAACGCAGCCCTGAGTAAACCGGGTCAGCCGGTGTGTATGCGGAGCGTGGGTTGTAGGGACGTACGTCGACGCAGTGCATCATGCTTTGAGACAGACGAAGTTAGCTAACATGACAAGGGCGCAGTAGGACACGGGGCTCACTGGTCTAAACGAGTCACCCACACGCATTCGGAACATGTCAGTAAACCACTCATATGCAAGGAAGACATACGCACAGCTGTCGAAAAAACCTCAGTACCCGCAAAGCACGCGACACGCAGCAAAGAAACCGCACGCACAACTCCTCAATGCAATCCTCGTGCTGGTACCCGTTGCCCGCGTTGACCTTCTCCTCGCAGTGCCGGAAGTGCTCCGTCGCAGTCTTGCACTTCGCCGACTCCTCGCACTCCTCCCGGAGCGCAGGCAGAATCTACCACCCCATCAGCCCTCCCGCTCTTACAAACCAAAAACAAAACGAGGATCGAGATACGCACGTCCTCAGGCTCCTCCTCCTCTTCCTCCTCCGCCTCACCCCCCTCCGCGCCCTCCTCCGGCTCGTCCGGGGTCACCTCCTCCTTATGCGCCTCGACCTCCGGGGGCGGCGCGTCCGCGTGCGCCGTAGGCAGGAACGACGAGAAGAACGACGAGAGGCTGCTCATGGCGTCCTACGACCTAGAAGCAGAAACGCGAGTACGTGAACTGGGAATTATAGACGGGCGAGCTGGCCAGCGGTGACGATGCTCTTCGATGGGCACGGGAAGAGTCGTGTTGCGCGGCGGCAACGCCCGAGGGCCCGGTCGCGCGTTGCCGGACCCGAGCGCGAGGCTGGGCAGCCAATCAGATGCAGGCGTCTACGACGCCGAACGCAGTGCTGTTATTGTTCAACTTCAAGTACATGCAAAGTACATGCAGGGTAGTGTGAATATATCATGGTGGTTCGGCTCGAGATTATATTCCTTACTCTCTCGCCTACTCGTGACATTCACCCAAGCTCCAGCAGAGTGACCACGCCCTGCGTCGACGCCAACGCGACCACACCCAACTCCTCCACATAGTCCATCGCTGTCCAGTTCCCCACACTCCCGCTCCCCGCCTGGCGCACAAACACCGTCCGCGCACTCACCACGCCCTCCCCTCCCTCCGAGGCCTCTCCCCCATTGGCATGGTCGCTGAACATCGCGTCGCGCAGCGGCCCCGCGAACACCGTGCCCGCAATAACCTCCTTCTCCTGGCCCGCCGGCCAGTCCCTCGCTGTCTCCGACTGGTGCACGTCCAGGTCGGTGAGGTCGACGCTGCGCGCGGGACGCGGCTGGATCCACAGGGCGGTGCCGTACGCCCCGAGGACGATGGCGGTACACCGGAGGAAGCCGCGCACGGAGGGCGAGGACAGGCTGGAGTGGACCGGCGGGAAGAGGTAGGGTGCTGGTGGGTGGGATGTGCGGCCCCCGCTGGGACTTGTGCCGAAGGATGGAGCCTCCTCTTGTGACGAGTCGACCTCGACCTCTGTGTATGCGGGGTTGGGCTCGAGCACGTACAGGTCGAGCGTGTGCACGTCTGACAACCACGGGTCGTCGCTCTCGGCGCGCAGAAGGATCGAAAGAGGCGCGATGGAAGCATCCGAGCCCTGCCGTTGCATCTGCACGTTGACACTGACTCCGTCGATCCACCCGAAGGAATGGAATGCGAGCGGACGGTACGTCGGACATTCGTCCGGCGGTTGCAGGACGGGTTCCGGGAAGAGCTCGATGGAGCGCGCGCGCACCACGAGGATGCTTTTGTGCGCGAACACCACTTGCAGGCATCTGTTATACTGTGCACGGAACACTGATGAGCGGCCAGACTACCTCGAGCAGGGAACGTGTCACTCACAGTCAAACTCACCTGGAAGTGTTGGTCGACAGGCTCATCGGCACCTTGCAGCAGGGCCAGCTCGTCCGTCTTCCAGTTCGTGATCACCGTCCTGCAGGAATCATCGCTGTACGCAAGCAGGTCGCCCCGAAGCGCGATGGGCCTCATCGCAGTGTCGATGGTGCCAATAGACCGAAAGCAATCATCGTCCTTCTCCAGCGCGAGTAATTCGATGCGCTGCGCGCTGTCACGACCACGCGTCGGCTGATAAGCACCAATACAGGAACGATGTACTGACCTCCCGTGCTGATGAGTCGATACGGCGATGGCCACCTCCGAATCTGCATCCGAGTTCGCCACCAGTCCTGTGATGATTGTGCCCTTGGGCGACCACTTCGCGCGCATCACCGACGCCGCGCCTCCCACAGCCATGCTCTCCCAGCAAGCGACGACCGACCAGATGCCCTTCGACAGCGTTGCGACCCGCCGGCCGTCATGCCCAGGCAGAATCCGCACCTCCTCGACGCCCGTCCCGAAGCTTGCGCGAAACTCCAGCGCCTCCCTCGGCAGCGCCTCCGGCGACCGCCAGAACGCCCCGATGCGTATCGCACGGCAGACGGCGTGCTCTAGCTCTGCCGCGTTCATGGTGGCGAGTTGCTGGCGCGGGAAGGGAAATCCGGCGGAGAGCACCTGGGTGAGATAGGCGTTGCGCCAGACGATGAGCATGCGCGAGATGAGCTGCATGTGCTTGCAGGTCTGGCCGGATGTTGTCACTCGGCTGCATGGGTTGGAATGGGAGCACTCGCGCAACACACCTGCCTCATCGCGAGGATAGAGCGCACGGGCATGAAGCTGAAGAGCAGGATGAGAGTATCATCGTCAACATCGGACAGACGCATCACTCAGCGTCACTGGTTGGAGAGCAAGGGGCTTAACCCAAAAATTATGCTGGAGACTTTGCAGCACGATGTCTGGAAGGATACTTGAAAGCTCCGCGGTCGTGAACAAGTCGAGTTCCCCGCCACCGACCTGCGGGTGGCTGCAGTCGTACAGCTACGGCAATTGCCGGTTTATTCTCACGCCCTCCCACCGTATAAATTCTGCGCACGCGCGTTTCGCTTTTCAATCCTTCCACGATCAAAAACGCCCATGACGAAACTCAGCAGCGAGATGAGCACGACCGTCCTCGGACGTGTCGGCGTTGACATCGCTCGTTCGGCACCTTACCTTGTTACATTTTAAAGGGACGGGCTTTATGGATCTGAGGGCGTTCTTTGACGTGGAGGATGCCTTGTCGTCGTTGACAACTTTGCTGTATGTAACATTCTTGTTGATGCAGATGACTGGAATATCCTTGGAATACTTGTGCATCAAACCGCGCTTGGGGTCTGCGTCTGGGATTGTGTTTGCGTCCCAGAATGCACGACCTACCGTGAATACCGCGTGAGGCTCGAGAGACATCGAATTCCCGACATGTTCACCAACCCCCATGTCTCATTGTACCCTACTGTGTTGTATCTTATCGTGCTTCTCGACACCCAGGCGGACGAGCGTGCACGCTCGATTACGCTCTGAACAACTGCGGAGGAAACGATGTACATTGTTGTTTACGTTCCTCCTCAGCCTCAGTACAATCAAGGGAACATTGCCTGAGTGCGTTGTGCGTCGCTGCGCTCAACACGTCGGCCGCCGCCGTGAATTGCTCGGTATTCGTGAGCGGACGTGCGGGGTAAGAAGTGGTTTGAGGGTAGCCCAAGTCTGTGAAAGGAGCCGGTCAGTGCCCTCTGAAAATCTGAAGGTTCGGTAGACATCGTAAGCGTCTAAGTTACTAGTATATTAATGCCAATGGCAGCTGAGTGCTTGACTCTTGAGGTCACTGGACATACTTATGGTGGTATGCTCGGTGATATTCAACATCTGCAGGTAGAGATCCGCACTGGCACTATGGCACAGACCTCGGAAGTTCATCTCTTGAGACGGCGGCATCGTGCACATGAAGCTCTGCGACGGCGTACCGGTTCATCGCTGACAATGTGCTCCCAAAAAATCCTCACAATCAGGTTTTCACGCTGAATCATAATCGGAGGGCATTATCCGAAGGCTTTCCTGCATGGCATCGCGTCAACGACTAGTTCTTCCGTTTTCATTATGCCCGACCTTGGGGACTCACCGAGTATTGATTCCGAGTATTGATTGTCGTTGTACAGTCGTCGACGGGCCGCGCCTGTCATTCAGCTTGATTATAATTAGATCGTACTTGATGTCTTTAGGGCTACGTCGATCAGGGGCGTACTATTCCCACTGGGCTAGCGATAACCTGCATATTTTTACACGGCTCTGGGAACGAGAACGTACCGGGGCCAACACGGCTATTCCAAGCGATTCCAATGTGTTTCTCCTCGTATTGTAGCTTGGATTCAAACGTCCGTAGGGAGGGCTGTATCCGGAGTCCGCAGTAACGCTGAATCTCGCTGAGAGATGCGACGGTCTACAGTGCTACACTGAGCTGGCGAATATGGCACAACGAATGTGTCAGTCGGTCGAGCTCGAATACCGTTGCTGTTTGCTAACCTGGAGGTGCTGAGGCTGGTGGCCGTCGACCTCGAGGGGCTTATTTCGACCGGTTCAAGAGCAGGTTTCCTCCAGCGCTGTACACTGAGGAATGAAGGTCGGACCTCGTGGTGCCTTGAGCACCCGTTGTTCTATCGATGCAGCGGTGGGCGGAATGCCGCGTAGACATGATAAATGGATCAACCATTGCCACGGCCGATATCCCTGCGGGTCAGTCAGCGCTCTTCTCGTATGTAAGACTGAGCGGGGCAGAAGGATCAGCAAGCGACCAGGGAGAATCCTCGCCGAGATTATACTCGAGCCGGGTGGTGTCCATCATGACTGTGGAGTTCGTGTGGCTTCGGTCAAAGTGCTTCGAACTGGCTGACACGATGCCGAGGTCGCTGGCTTTTGTACATACTGTGCACTGTCCATGAGACCGCTGCTCAGTCAAGTGAAGGAACGACGAACCGTGAATATGGTGAGGAGTTTACGGCAAAAGAACGAAGGCGAGCGACTTCGAAGTGAGCCAGGACGGCACATGCCGCAAGGCACGTTGGCACAGGAAGCGGTGCGCAAGCGAATAGCACGGCCATGCTGGTCCTGTTCTAAAGGGGTCGCACTTGGCACTTCTTCAAGTTTTTGCTAAGTCAGGGACATAAAGAACATGTACTGGGTCTGCTGATATCGTCAGGCATTCACTTTGCCATCTATCGATTGCTCACCTTCATATCCTCTTGCAGCGGCAGGCAAGGCTAGGGCATGCACGGGGCTTAGCACTGAAGAGCACTGATGCGCTTTCGGTGGCCGTGGGCGCTCCGTCAAGGAAGACAATGTGGCTCACTAGGATGCGAACGTCGGGTTCTGGACGAGAAACAGAAACACTCGCCTCATAGTAAGCCAGTCGCCGGCCGTGAGTCCGTTGCCAATCAAGTTCGGACGTAGCCGGGAAGTCTCTTCTTAAGACACTGCAGTGCTGGCTAGTAGCACTTGCAGGCGCCTGGTCCGAGGTTCCTTCCAGAGGGCGATATAATTACACACGCAGCTCAGCGGGGAATGTGATGTGGATCGGGCCCCCGGCCTACTAAGCTATACAGTGGCCCATTCCGAGCCGCCGGGTAACGGTCACCGCAGCAAGACGGAATGAAGTAGTGCTGAGCTCACCAGTGCACTGTCAAAACGCAAGTATGCTCAGACATACCCATTGACAAAGTGTACGCCCTTGGCTGAACTTGAGCTTGATCCGGGTAAAGGCTCGGGGCAACAACATCAGGACTCGACGGCGCGGTCCGAACGAGAATGCTTCCGTAATAGGCAAGTGCGTTGTTGTACAGTGGCGCGCGAGTCGGACCGTCCGTTCAGCGGTTCAAGTCGACGACCCTCGACTCGAAGCCTCGAGCAACTCAGGCCAATCACACTCTCAGTTCAGAGGTAGGTCATGGTACTGCCACTAGTGAATGTGCAGATGGATGTTCATTCACTGCTCTCAGCTACGACATGGAAAGTATGTCACTGACTGACCCGACTGAATCAAGTATCTGACCGGTTTCTAGCGACGGCTTCTGCCAGTGGGACGACATGGATACCCCCAATCTATGATTGCTCGAGAGCTCCAGAGCTGGAATGGAACACGTCCGTACCGCATGATGAAATGATGCCCTACAATTTTGCTCGAAGCGCAAAGTGGTGCGCAAAGTTTCTCGCGTGACAACACGAAGATGTAGATGACGTTGCATGCTTGCAGGTGTCCTGATGGATCAGCAGTACTATCTCAATGTGAAGATCGCACATTTTACTTACCAGACCTGTGAGTTTTTTTCCGGGACGCACGTTTCGCAAAGCTGACTCGATGTCCCATTCAAGACCAGCGAAATCTTCATTTGCCGACGATTCTAGTACACAAGGTTGCGCCACACATGCTCGTGTATTCAGACAACAGGGTCCGATACTTGATTATGTGTGGTACCCATCCGCTAGTACTGGCAACCCTGCAGCCTTTTGCTTTCTTGCCTCGGTACGCGAATGTCCCGTAAAGCTTTTGGATGCCAGTGACGGCAGGGTGAGTACATCAGTATATCATTGGCACTACTCCGACTCTCATACACACACCTCGTACTGGTGTCCTGCGCATGTCCAGCTGCGCGCATCGTACCGAATAGTGGATCACAGGGAGCGTCAGGTCGCACCTCATAGCTTAGCATTCAATGCAACTGCTGATAGGTCAATGGCTATCTGGACATGAATTGTAGTGCATACTGAACAAGCGTTGCTTTTCAGGTTCTACTGCGGATTTGAGGACGCGATTGAGGTGTTTGATGTCCAGCGGCCCGGAGATGGAACGCGACTACACATGTCAGCATCGAAAAAAAGTAAAGATGGGCTGAAGGGTATGTTCCGGCGGGTATAAGCTGCACGCCATAACTGATCGCCATTAGGTATAATATCCGCATTGGCATTCTCTGCCGATGCTAGCTCGGGGGTCTTTGCGGCAGGATCACTGAGCTCACCGGCCCCTTCTTCGTCCAACATCGCACTGTTCTCAGAAGCAACGGGAGAAGCACCAGTCATGTTTGTAGGTGCCGAGAGCCTCTCTCACGGCGCGACCTCCGGTATTCGTGCAAGCGTGACGCAGGTGAGATCAATGATCCGCTCGATTATGTCTCTTTGACCGCCTTTCATTTGAAGTTGATGTTCAATCCTGCCCAACCATATCTGCTCTACGCGTCCTTCAGACGTCATGAGTCTATCTATGCATGGGATTTGAGAGGTGACGTCAGTACTCCCGTATGCATATTCGACAAAGAAGCCCTCGAGTCGTCTGCGACAACCGAGCAAACGCGCAGGCCGGCCTTAACCAACCAGAAGATCAAGTTTGACATCGACATTTCTGGGAAAGTGCTAGGAGTGGGTGACCAGGTGGGTGCGCATTCATGTCGCTGCCCAGACTCTCACGCGCAGTTCTCCAGCACGGAAACATAACCCTTTTCGATGCTGCGCCAGGTGGGCGTGAGGCTACTTCCTTTCCGTCGGAGTCAGAAGCACAAGTTGCGCGACAGCTTCCGATTCTCAGGTATGCGGCACACGACGGTGAGTACTTCCCCGTCATTGGACAGAGTTTTGTCACCGCGCACCATACTATATCGTGACCATTCATTACGGATCTATAGATGCGATAGGCTCTGTTGGCTTCCATCCACTCCGCCCCGTCCTTCTCTCTGTTTCGGGTTCTCGACACTTTGATGGAAGCCCGCCTACGTCCAGCTCGAGCTCAGAGTCAGACGATGAAGCCGACGGGGACGCAGAAGGAGGCTACGTTTCCGCCGGACGTGCGAGGGCGGTGAGAATAAGTCGCAGAGGGCCGCAGCCCGCTACACATGATGCGTCCACGAAGTTATGGAACTTCGATTCGCGTGTCGAGGCTGAGAGAAGCACAACAGCTACCGCGTTTTGATCATGCGCACGACGAAGATCACTACACTTTGTAGGTGTACGATAACATCATTAGCAATGCAAAGCTAATGAGGCGTCCTGACGACCCTGATCGTAATAGAAGAATGCGGATCGCCGGAGCCTGTGAGCACAAGATTGGGAACGTGGAGAGGCAACATTTTCAGTCTAACTGGATCACAGCCGCGTGGATCAAGTCCTCGGCGGCCTTAGAGCGCGGCTTGAAGCCGCATTTGAAGGGAAGCGGATATCTATGCGATTAACGTTGAGCAACGAGCCTCGGAAGCGTTGTAAGACTCACGTAACGAGGCCTGTGGTGTAATCGCCAGAGGGTTCAATTGGATTCCCCTGATCGTCTAGCGGCTTGTAGATCTCCAGGCTCGACAAAATTGAAGCAATTGAGATCCACAGCGAAGAGCAGGCCAGATACCGTCCTGGACAGATGCGTCGGCCAAATCCGAATGCCGGTAGCTCTGCGTCCTTCATATCGGTGTTTAGCTGGCCATCCGGAGTCAAGAAACGTTCAGGAATAAATTCGTCTGCATGCGGAAAGCGGTTTTCATCATGCAGCATGGCCCTGCACGAGAATATAAACAAAGGAAGAAATAAGATCGACAGGCACAAATGACGTACCATCCGTTGCCGACGACAATTGCACCCGCAGGAAGTCGGTAACCACGGTACTCATCCTCGGAGACAAGGCGATGAGGGACAGCTAGTTTGGCATTCATCAACAAGAGCCGCCCAGACAACGCGTGTATGTTTTTCATACCTAAGGGTGTGACTGGACGCCATCTTTGTTGTGCGTGAGCAAACCTTCCGAGGCATTGACTAGACGGTGAGGGCCTACCTCAGGACTTCTTGTACCAAAGCAGTTATATACGGGAGAGATTGTTCGTCAGAAAAATCAGGGAGGCGATCATTCCCAACAACGCCATCAAGCTCCGCTTGAGCCTTGCGCTGAACATCAGGATGTAGGAGCATTGCAAGAAAGAATGATCCGAGGGCCGAAACAGTCTGTATAGCTGTCAGAGGAAGGTCCACGGCCCGTATCCCTGAAGAAGTCACCAACCGTATCGGACCCGCCTACCAAAACGAGGGGTCAGCTGGCTTGCTTCGAATGAAATACAGATAGGAATAGCACTGACCCGTGTATGCTGCTGCGGCAACTCCGCTGAACAGCTTTTCCATATGTGTACTATCATCCTCTTCCTCGAGCGTGCCGAGTAAAGAGAGAACCATAGATGGGGGCGCCATGCCGTCGGCCTGGTAACGACGTCAGATGCACTCTAATGCGGGGAGGGCAAGGACCTACTATGGCATTTTTGACGGCTTTGAATGGCACTTCTACCATCGCTGTCGTAGACTTCCTCCACTCCGTAGCCTTCCGTTTGAAGTCCGCTCCCGGGAACCATGCAGGAACATGCTTGACTGAGAGACACCATTATGTGAGGAGAGCCGCGGCCGAGGACATTGAAGGACTTACGCCATGGGATCGAGTCCACGAGAAACGAGCCTGCATTGCCTGCCATTGCCATCGCATGTAGGGCACGCTCCGCGGTGGCTACGTACGGGTCATCTTTAGGTTGTACATCCAACCCATAAGCGACACCGATGATCAGTGAGCCGGCCATGCTGAAGAAGACATCAGACGCCGGTTCACTTGACGTCGCTGGATACGTACTGGCGTAGATGCCCCATGAAGTCATCGGGTGCGTCAAGTAGACGGCTCAGAAGGACTCTGGCCCCTCTGAGAGCTCTCGGCCTGTGCTGCAATGCCGCACTTGGGTGGAAGTACTGATGGAACACTCTCCGTCGTTCCCTCCATCTGTTGCCATATCCCATAAAAACGAAGTGCCAATCACATCCCACACTACAGCAGATTCAGCCACATGGACGAATGCATTTTGGCCTAGACAACTCACAGGTCGTTCAACATTGTCATTTTTGGTCTATGAACGAACATCAACGGAAGTGCGAGGGCGTATGGAAACAATATACCTGTCCGAATACAAGGCAGACCTCCTCTCGAATAGTTCATAGGCTGCATCGATCGTGTTCACGACGACGACGGGCGTTCCAGCAAGATTCAAGTAAATGACATCCGAGTCTAGGCCAATATAAAGCGTACTGTTACAAACAGTCACGAGATTACACGACGTACCGTATTGTTGCGACCAACGCTGGTATGCAAGCCATTCTCGGCTCTTTGGGACATCATAGATGTTCCCAAGGAGAGGGAGCCCCTTTGGGCCCGGTGGAAGTGGTCGTTTTCTACGGGTGGCGAGAGCTGCCGCCACAAAGGCAGCGAGGAGCACGAGTGAGATTGCTGGAGAGGGCACGACCATTAGAAACGAAATGCACTTGCCCTGACGAGACCGTCGAGATGCCCTTAAGTACTTTCGTGTGCCTTTCATTTAGGGCGAAGCATTCCGCTCAGATCAGACATACATGCAGGGTGTCCGGAGAATGCTTACGGAAATAAAGCATCACTGCACGCATTTAGACGGTCAGTACCGATTACTGGGTGAGAATAGCTTCCACGCACGATTTGTTAGGTAAGGCAGTCTGGGATGGATCCTCATTCCGTGAGATCAAATATAGCAGCACGAAAAGCGGAAGAAGTGTTGGAGGCCCACGCTTGCCTGCATGGCTTCTTGATCCCCGACTGTTGTTCACTTAGAAGAAGAAGAAGGATCCGAGTGGCAGGGTTGATCATAAGATAAGATGCAAGAAGTCTATGATGGCCACGCCGCGATTCTCTGTTTGAAGTGCCGAATCTGAGCGACGTCACCAGGGTCTCTGCATACATGTGTTCGCCGGGAGTTACCTTCCGGTCTTGGCACCGGGCATAACTCGACCGAATATCGGACGTGACAAGTCGTGTAGGTGAAGAGCCTACAACGTACTAGAGTCAACTGGACTTCTCAACGTCATCTTCACCCGACCGCGTTGGGTGTTTTTATCCTTCTCGACCTCTATCTCGACCGTTACCTTGTCGAATACCGCGATAGTAGTGCCAACGGCCTCGGGAGAAGCAGCAGGCACGGTCATAGTGTATGCGTCGGGATCGAACTGCGTCTCCCGCTTGAACGTCACAAGGCCCTCGATGCCCAGTCTAGAGAACACAACGCAGTGGTTAAGCTTAACCTTTTCTACGGAGTTAAGCAAATTGAGTTGGACCCACTTTGACACATACACCGCCAGACCATTTCTGAAGGTGCGGATAACGAAGGCTTCTTCCGTAGTTGCCTTGCCCTTTCCGCGAGACTTGAGAGCCAATCCGACATAGAACTCCACGCTGGCACGGCCTGCCATTTGAGCCATCCTATGACGTCGATTCACGACGTCGAGAACTCGCTCAACGTGGCTCTTGGAATGCAGCGTGGCATGTAACGACGAGTACCCGATCGCAGCAGAAAGCTGTCGATGCACGAGCACATCTATAGATGCCCTCGTCAGCGATGGTCAAAGTCATTGCGGGGCTCCGCGGCTCACCGGCGTACCGCCTGATGGGGCTTGTGAAGTGTGTGTATATTGAACTCGCTAGACCGTAATGCCCGAACGTATCACGGGCTACGCTTCCGGAACAGAAGTATTCCGCCGACAGCATGCAACGCGTTGCCATGATGCGTACCAAAGTATTGAAGGCGGGCTCGTTGGGATCCTAAAAGCGTCATTCTGAAAATTGAACCCCCATCACACTGACTCAGGCAACTCACTAGGCATTTGTCCAGCGAATCCGCGAGGGCACGAGAACTGGAGACATCAAGAGTCAATCCCTTCCGCTTCTGGAGGATATCTTGCAACTTCTCGAAATTCGAGCGTGGTGGAGGCAAATGTCGTCTGTAGGGAAATGAATTTCAAGATGCACTTGGTATGGGAAAGCACGGACCGTAATACGGCAGTCTGTGGGAAGGCCTCTTCTATTTTGCGCGCTACGCTGATGTTCGCGAGCAGCATGAACTCCTCGACAAGGCTGTTTGTCTCGCGCAATTCCTTCTGCTCGACGTCGATGGGGTCAGAAGATTCAGAGCTATCCAGCTGGATCTTGACTTCGGGCGAGGCGAGATTCAGTGCACCCGCAGCCATTCTGTTCGCCTTCAGCTTCTGCGCGAGAGAATTAAGCAGTCTGATGCTCTTTGTAAGGTCATCGTCGAGCTTCCTATGATCGGCACGTGCATTTGACTTCAGCATTGCAACTTCCTGTCCCGAGAATTGAGAACGTACGGATCATCCTTGCGGATCTGGGCCTCCTCATACGTAAATGCCGACTTCGAGGCAATAACGGATTTGGTGAACCGGACATTGACAATGTCGGCTTCAGGCGTTAATTCCTGCGTTAAGCAATAGCAATGTGCATGAAGGCGCTGTGGTAACAACCATGTCCGTGAAAGCGCCCACCCAGATCACGGAGAATGCCAGACGCTCTACATGCGGTCGCAGGGAGCAGAGATTCGTGCCCAAAAGCGCCGGCAACATGTCAATGCGCTTGTCAACCAGATATACCGTGGTTCCGCGCGCAGCAGCTTCGCTATCCATTGGGTTGTCCGGGTGAACGAAATGAGAGACGTCGGCGATATCTTGGAGTTTTGCGAACGTCACAATGTAGGGCCCCCAACGCGAGGTCAGACTTAGAGAAAACGTGATTCAAGAGTCGGAAGACTTACGAACGCCGGCTTCGATGTTCCCGTTAGGAAGTGTCCGTGCGTGAAGCGCATCGTCAATGTCCTGGCATCCTGGAGAGAGTTGAGTCAGCGCAACCTTTAGATCTAGGAATTCGATATACTGACCGGGGGGGTCTATACTGCAGATGATGAGGTCTCTCAGGTCCTCCCTGTCCCTCCAAACCGGGTTGTCAGCGGTCTTGGGCGGCACAACCCAGTGGTCACCCTCCGGCGGCAAACAGTCAAGAATAGCTTTCCCGAAGGGCCTGTATGGGATGTCGAACTCTAGCAGCAAACTCTCCTGCTCGGCCTCTTTGCTCTCAACCTTCCCCAGCGCACGTACGAAGTGACCCTCGGGGTAGCGAGATGTACTATCCCATCGGTCTATGGTGACTAAGATTTTTTGACCGAGCAAGGCGGGCGCCTGGCGTGTGCGAAGGCGTATACGAGGGAGGAGCCGGGACACGGGTGTGGCGAATACCGTTTGCTGAGACAGCGATGTAGTGTTGGAAGACGTCAAGGACGTGCTGTCAATGTGACAAACATAACTGGAATCGCGGTGGATCCTGAGTAAACCGCTCCATATGACTAGCATAAAAATACTTACGACCTCCAGTTACGTTTGATGATGCCGACGACACGGCCCGTGGGTTGTCGAACAGACGCTTCTCTTCGTGCCCGCTCCGCTTGCAAAACCTTACGCTCGGCGATGGCCTCTTCATCGTCGTTCTCCTCTTCGGACTCGTCCGCATCGTCATTCCTCAATGTTGCTAATTGGGGAAATCATGAGTTCATACTGAATGACTCGGCACAACAGTGTACTTACTCTCTTGCTCAACGACCTCGTCTGCGGGCGCCTTCCATTCACTTTCGCTGAACACCTCGACCGCCACGACGTCACCTTGCACAGCCCTGTTCATATTCTCCCGACCAATCAGAAGGATCGGTTTGTCGAACGCGGCCACTGGTACATTTCCCTATAGGATCTGCACCGTTATCATCAGGTCCTTTGGCGGAATCGTGTTTGCCGTACCTCCAAATAGTTGTATTGATTAGCATTGAAGTGCCCTTGGTGGAGTTGTCCGGACTTGACCCCTGCGCCTAACGTTGACATCGGCAGATACTGCATGTAGACCTTAGTACAGGGGTCTTCTGTAAATGATCGGCACTGACATCCGGGTACAATGCCTGCCTGGCAGAAGCGACTCTGGTCGGTTCAACCTCATCTGATCCGGGGGCAGACAGGAGATCCAGTAGTTTGGAAGTGTCTTGAAGCGCTTCGACGTATTTACGCACTATACACGGAGCAGCGTGTCAGGCTTGGTTGATGGGGCCGTGGCGAAGACGAACCTGAAATGGACACGAGCCCTTCTTTTTCTGCTTTCTGACGATTTGCCACGTCATCCGACAGCAGGACAACTGTCGGTGATGGTCTCGAAGGTTGCCCTCGTACGGGAGGCCGAGCAAGGGAAATATGAGTTTTGTACCACGCAGTAGCCATGCGGATCCCTGGAAATGAATGCGTAAGATGTAAGAACGCCGCAGAACATGCCTATAGAACACACCGCGGTCATTTCTGTCATTAGGTGATTCGCCTTCCTCTCGAATCACGGCCGTCTCGCTGGAATAAAGGCTGTCACTACTACGCGTCATTCCCAGTATCCGAATAGCTTACGATCTATATTCATTGTAGAACACCCATATGCGCTTGTCTTCGGCTCGAATGAGCGCTTTCAGACGATTATAGAGTGGAAGCGACCGATGTCGCACTTCTTCCATTACTGTTTGCAAGAGGATGATGGGTGGGTTAAAGAGGTCCGATTCCATTAAGTCCATCTGCAGAGGACAAATGAGATAGTGTTCACGTCCGGATAATTGGGAATAAGCAAAGGGCACGAATGTCTGTTATGTCGCCGTTGTATGCGCACTTGTACCGAGAAGTTTTAGTTGCGCGCGAAGAGTCAGTTCAGACAGCAAGAACCCTTCGACGAACCTGGGCGAGGAAGACATTCGTGTCTGGTAAGACGAAATGGCCGTTCGGGTACTGTGCGTGGGCAGATGACCCAGACGATGGCAGACTGAAGTCTCTCAGGTCGTGGCAGACGCTGCAGCCATCGATTCCGCAGCCTACATCGTCCCGCAGGTATCTTTCGCGGAGGACTACTCATTGCGTTAGAAATAATATCATGGCTTGAACAACCGCCAAACCTTTGATCACCTTCCCTCTCGCCGTTTTCTTGAAGAATTTGCGTTGCGTGAGAACCGCTTCCGTCCGGGGACGTTTCCTGATAGTGATATCTACCATGTTTGATCCCTAAAAAATCGTTGCACCTTTGGTGCAAGAAAGACGGGGTTGTCTGAATCTCTGCGAGGGTCAGTGGAAAGAGGCAGTCCTGGTTCTTGGTGAAGCGGGTGGCGGTCCGACAGGGTGGATTACAAACGGGTCCCACTGGTCCCGCATTATCCAAATATGGCATGTGTAAAAGTCCCGGGGACGTCGGCGACCAATGCAATCACTCATCGGAGTTTGATCGGAGTCACAGTTCACTTAACTTAGCAGCGGCTTGTTGTGCGACTGCTTCCATCTTCTCTTCGCCCTCAAATCCGACATGCAGATGCTCTCTGTCGTCAAAGAAAGTCGATGAGTAAGTAAGTACAAAGTCTCTGATTGCCAAGCCAGTGCTACTTGAACTATATTTTACGAGCCTAGAGTTCCGACCCACTTCTCACTTCCCGCTTTGCCTTTGCAAATCCCTTATATCGATACGCCGAACCCGGATCCATCGGAAACCTCACGATGTTGCTGCGGATTCTGCCATCGAGGTTTTCATTTACTCGTCTCGGTCGAACAACGTTGGCTTCCTAATCAATATCGCCCGTTCTCGCCCCTTGCCGGTTCTCAGCCTGCATTGCAACCGATTGCAACCTTAATCTTTGACGTACAGGTCCTGTCTCCTCATCGCTACGCTATGCCTAGACCTGGTCGGGGTGCTCGGGTTGCGGCGGACAAGTCTAAATGTAAATCATGGGCAGCTGTCAGTACGGGTCCCGCAGCGGCGTTGAGATAGAGATGTGGCGTTATACGTCGTACACGCAGCGCATCTAATCTGTACGGTGATAGGACCTCCTAGGAACAGCGACGCACGTTGCTTTCCTGGTAACCCGCCTTCCACTTCCGACTATAGTTTCACAGCAGGTCAAGAGGAGAACCGGCCCTCATAAGGAGAACCACGGAGTCATGAGCGTACGTCCCCCCAATCTTCCGCATCTTCCTATCGTCAACGATGAAGTTGGTGCAGGCGCGCTGGCTAGGCTTCATACTCCAAATCCCCGCTCGGACGGTGTTAGCACTGTCGACGGATCCGGAAATTCCAGTCTATAACGGCGTCTGCTCTACCACGGGGGTGTATAATACGTCCTTCACACCTGCGAATCTCCCTTGGAACACCTACAACTATTGCAACGCGCCCCATATCAACGCGGCTCATTACGAAGCTCCAGACAACGCTCCAGACGCGACGCTCGTCTACCTGAATGCGGTGATTCGCCACCACAAGGTAGAAGGGTCGTTCCCGTAGATCTGTCCGCATAGTGGCGCCGCTCACGACAACGATGACGGACCGCTACAGAGAACTCCGGACAACCTGTATCCTGAAGAGGGCGAACTCAACCAGGAACCATGGAACTGCTCTAATTTCCTGCAGTTCAATAACGGAGGCGGCACAACTCACATCTTCCACGAGACGTACAGCCCGCCTTGGCACCCCTTTCTCGTTCAAATCTGGAATGGCACGTGTGACGAAGGCCAACTGACGTACGAAGGACTCCAAGATGCCATTAGCCACGGAAAAGTACGTGCCTGCGGCTCCCGTCCTGTCTTCTTGGTCAAGATAACACCGTGCGCAGGACTTCTGGTCTGTATACGCCCAAAAGCTGGGCTTCTTGGAATCAGTCAATGAACAGGATATCTTCGTTCGCACGTCCGTTGCAGATCGGACTTACCAGGTAGCGGGAGGTCTTCTGACAGGGATGGACCCCACAATGGCGACCAAGACGTTCCCGGTCCTCACACAGCCATCTGTGGTTTGTAATCTTACAGCATGCCAGCGCAAGAACTGAGATGTCTGGACACCAGATTGATTCGATCGTTCCAGACTATTCGTGCCCAAACGCAGACAACATCCGCTCTGCATACCAGTCTGTGACCGCGTGGACCGGTCACCTCGAGGAGAACGCGGACTTGCAAGAACGCCTAACCACTATGCTAGGCGTTAGTGGCAATACAGCCTGGACCTCTTGGTGTGAGTGCGCCTCTCTTGATCCTCCCTGGATCGAACGCTTATCTTTTCCCTCTGGCCGTACCCCGACGATGCGAACGGACGCCACCAGACGACCACTTCTTCGACACATTCAGTTCGCGGACGTGCCATGGGCACCCTCTGCCATGCAACGCTTCCGGTGCATGCGTTACTGTGGAAGATGCCGCTCGCGTGTTCGCCATTGGAGACTGGGAGTACAAGTACGTTTGGGTGTCTTTGTTTCCGCTGCTTCCTGATTCCATCTGCTGCTTCTCAGCTACATATGGAATACGGCGGAAAATGCGACGACTTACTCACAGCTTACGTTCGGTGCGCTCCTCCCGCACGTCCGTCATGAGGATCTTGCTTCGCGCTGACTACAAGCGCACGGCGACTTCCGTAACAGGCGTGTTTTTCATGGAACTCGCGCACAACTTCAGGATGTTCCGTTCCGGCGGAGAAACGCACAGGCTTAGATTCTACGTCGGACACGATGGGTCGATGATTCGGCTCGCTTCTCTGCTAGGGATAGGGAAGGTCGCCCCGCTGCGTTGGCCGGCTATGGGATCGGAAATCGTTATGGAGGTAAGGATCAGTGGGCGAGTGAACGTGCCGATGATCGCTGACCAAGGCTGGGTTCATTCGCGCAGGTCTGGAAGACGACTGCGGGAGAACAGCATGTGCGAGTTATGCACGAAGGCACCATCGTCCCGGGGCTGGGATGGGTCGCCCTGGATGACTTCATCGATATGCTGGAAGCACAGATTCCTCCGAATGTCTTCGCGGCCTGTATGGGATCCTGACCCTGCACGCCCGGCGCATGCGGCGCGGCGTTGTCGCATCCCAAGTTGGCGTTGACGTACTGTGCGCGAGAACACCTATTGAATACGAGGCCTAGGCTGTCGTACGACGACTCAGATCCCCATAATCTCCCGAGTGATGACCGTCATGGCTCGTCCGATAAGCTCAAGCTTTCTGTGCAGATTCGCTAGTGCCTGGCAGTTGCTGTCTGCATGGCCAAGACACTATGCGGTTGATCACCAGCAGAAGCACGGCAGTCTCGAAGACTGTTTCGCGAACAGCTTCTCCCCTACATTCTCCACCTTTTGCGGATGCACCGAGTCCCCTGCCTGGACTAGCCATGGGCTTAATCCATAACGTTAATCTTGCACCCTTGACATCAGACGGTCTCCCCTCGTTCCGTTGTGTATCGCCCCTTCGCGCGGAGCTTACACAACATGTGCAGCATGGCTACTTGCACCTCTTCGCTTCCGCCAATTACATCCACATTCCTTCGTACTTCGACCGAAAGTGAGAACGAGCGGCCCGTTTGGATCCGCTGGCCGAGAGCAGTGAGCATGAGCACTCAGTGTTTAGCGCCCGTGAAGCATCCCGACGCGCGCCTGAAAATTGCACGTGACACATTCGCCAATGTCGTGTCGCGCGCCTCACGGGAGACGACGTCGAGCCGCTCTACGACGACGACGAACACTGCTTGCGCGGCATGCACCTCCTTTGGCTTTGCACGGCTGTGATATGGATAACTCAAACATGGGCAATACAAGCATCTGAAGTTGGAGTCGTCGACTGGCATAAACCTCTTGTTGGCGTACCTCTGTTCGGTGCACTCACGACGGCGCCGAGGTTCCAAAGAGTCGGCAACGCCGGAGCGAAGTCGCGTAGTTTGCTCTTCACTGCAAGCTCAGGGAACATCTTGGCAGCGATAGATCCTGCCGACGGAGAAATAGGTATGTAATGCTGTACATTCGAGTGGAACGGAATGCAGACCTCATTAAGCGTAGCATGGAGGTACGTATTCGAGGACAACGAACATATCATAGGCTACAAGCACCACGGAGAAGGTGAGTTTTCAGCCTCTGCTACATTTTCTTTCTATGTATTCGACAGGTCTGCGTATGTGTGCAGCGACGCAGCGACACTTGTTCTCTCAGTGATCTGTACTAGCAAACGTTATGCACCACGTTTGCCGCGCCATTGCCATGATGATTGCACATATTTCGTGAAGTTAAAGCGATCATGGACCGCGCCGGTTTATACAAGCGGGTTGCCGAACGGACCCTTCATTGGGGAGGGTATCGTTCCGCCTCTCGTTTGTCGGAACGACGCTCCTCTCGCATGACCGGCGACATTTAAACGAGCTTCACGGCCTGCGAAAGGTTGCGGACAAGTTTGACTTCCTAAGCTTATCTGTCACTACCTCGATTCGGACATTGCTACTCCACGGACAGAGGATGAACAAGATCGAGCGCGTTGGATAGGCTGTCAACTTCTGCGGTCTTTGCCATGAGCAGCGGGCAATGGACGATGCACTTTTACATCGTCTGTCTTCACTGTCACGACTGTGCTTTCTGTAATGATCTGGTTGCTAGTAACGTGTGCTGATAGCAATCCATAGTTGTTGCCGCTGTGTCTGGTGCTGGTGGAGCTACGCTTCGTCTACTGGATGCTGCGACCGGCGATCTCCTGGCTGAGAAGCGCCTGCACAAACCAGAGTTTGGCCGTCTGTTTGATCCGGCGACAATCGGGACGACCATATCCTTCGACGCCGAAGGGGATATCTACGTGGTGTCAAACGCGCACATTGCACGCCGCGTGGACGGGAAAACGGGAGAAGTGAAGTGGGGGTGGACCGCGCCAGACCAGTCGTGAGCATCAGCCATGTTGTCTCTCCGACCACATGCTCATGCGAGAAATGCTAGCTCGCTTGTGGCATACTCCAAGATAGTCACAACCCCGACGACTGTCTACCTCATAGGGCTCGCGAAGTCATTTGCCTCCTATACGATACATGTCACCGCTCTGTCTACGACAACCGGCGAGCTGCTCACATCAGGACACATTCCATCAAGTATCTCTGACGGCCTCACAGACTTCTTTGAGCTACGTGATGTCAAGGACGCATCCGTGCCTCCGAGGATAGTGTGGATCGAAGGCGGCTCTGTCCGGTACTTTACTCTCACCCCAGAACTCAAGGAAAAACCGATGGGATTCAAGGGAGCAACGTACAAGAACATTCTGGACATCGGACTCTCCGAGTACGGCCAGTTCATTGCTCTGAGAGAGGACGGCACTGCGCGCGTCCTCCGTTCTGTTCCAGAAGGGTTCCGGCAGATCTGGGAGTTTGCCGAATCTGTTTGTTTTTGAAATCGCCCTCATCTGCACAGGAAACTAACTGCCAGACCTACAGGCCAATTCACCCAAGTACACTGCTTCGAAGTATGTCGGCGCCCTTGACATGGATGGCCGATCATACGTAGCACGTGTATACTGGTCCAACGTCTACAAGGTTAGACATATTGGTTCAGTATTGATCGTATACTCACGCCCTTCTAGAAAGCCGTAGTCCACGTTTTCGCCGGTCACTTAGCGGAAGGAAAGGGTCTGGTCTCAGGGTACACGTTCCCGTTCGAGACCAACGTCCACGGTGTACTCTCTCACGTAAGTGTCTTGTAATCCGTTCCGCCGGCATATCCTTATCGGCTACCACAGGTTACTGTGGAGGCTGCCAACCCAGAGGGTAACACGATCGTCGCCCGTCTTGCCCTGACGACAACCACCGGCGCAATACAATTGTGGCAACATGACAGATTGCAGTGGGCGCGGGAAGAGGGACTGGCCGACATGAAAGTCGCCGAGCTCGTCGAATTGCCCGAGCGGAAGATTACCACGTCGCAGGTGGGAGACGAGGAAGAGTCGTTTGGCGACCGTCTCGTCCGACAACTGTCCGATGCGCAGGTACGTCGAATTCCCGAACCCTGTTAGACTTCCGCACTCACCCCTCGGCCCAGAACTTCCCGCAGTATGCTGCGAACTTCGTGCGACGCTTCGTGACGGGCTCGTATGCGTCCGCCTCGTCGTCGGCCGCGCCCAGCGCGAACGCGTCCGAGCCGCTCGCACGCGACGAGTTCGGATTTCGCAAGATGATCGTCGCTGCGACCGCGCACGGCAAGTTGTACGGCATCGACTCTGCGAACGGGGCGGTGCTCTGGAGCCGTGTGTTTGGGCTTGGCTGGGCGGCCGAGATTGGAGGGCAAGTCATCCCTGTGAAGATGTTTGTCACGCGGACGGTGAGCGATGGGGATGCGCCACAGGTCGTGTTGGTCACTCAGCGCAAGGCGAGCAATGTACGTTGATTTGAAGCTAATGAGCCCGGGCTAGGCTGACTCATGGAGTGATTCAAGGGCCTGATGGACACGGTGCTCTTCCATGTGGACGCGCTGACCGGCGAAGATGCAAGAGGCGTGTCAGCCTCTGGTGATTTGCTGCAAGGATTTGACATCATTGCTGGACCAATAGTCGAGGCGTACATGCTCCGCAATGGCCCGCAGAAATTCGTCGTCCTGCTTGACGAATTTGTTCAGGTCAGTGAAGCAATCCCGATGACGACAATATTATGCTCATAACATTATTAGGTACACATCTATCCAGATACCGCTGAGAACAAGGAGGCCTTCCGCCAGCTCGTTCCGTCGATTCATATCCCCCTCCGCACTGGCGCTCCTGGCGAGCGACGCCTCACAGGACACAGGATATCGTCTGAGATCGAATTTACCGGAAAGCATGTAGCCGACATTGCCTGGTCACTCGGTTTCCCTGCTGGCGAAGACGTCCTCTCAATCACCCCTCGTTCGCCGCACGAGCCAGTCGCCTCGCTTGGCAAGGTGCTGGGCAATCGCACGACGTTGTACAAGTATCTGAACCCGAACCTCATGGCTATCGTGACCGGCTCGCCTACCGCAGTTACACCCAAATGCTCGCTGTACCTTGTCGACGGTGCGAAGGGTACAATTCTGTACCATGTTGCGCTTCCTAGCGCAGAGGGTGCGTGTGATGTGAAGGTCTCATTGACAGAGAACTGGCTCGTGTACCAATATTACGACGGGGATGCATCGGGCGTGCAATCGACGAAGAGCCACCGTGTAGCCTCTGTCGAGCTATACGAAGGGTTCGGGATCGATCAGAAGACGAGAAGGTACGCACTCTTGCACTCCTGGAATCCTCTTCCAGTAGGTCTTACCATGATGGGTAGTTCCGACTTGAGTTCGTTTTCAAATGAAACCACAGCGTTGGCAGTGTTTGAGCAAGCATTCATCTTGCCTCGAGGGATTAACGTCATTACCACGACATCGACGTCCAATGGGATCACGATCAAGGACTTAGTCGGTGAGTGATTTTTCCAAACAGTCTTAACAGTTTGTCTGAATGCGTATACAGTCGCCAGCGAGACCCACCAGATCCAATCCTTCCCGAGGCGTGTCCTCGATCCGCGACGACCAATGCGGAAGCCCACCAACCAAGAGATGGAGGAATGGCTGATTCAGTACGATCCCATCGTATACGATGACCCGAAGCGCGTACTCTCGCACAACTACCAGGTACGCAAATCATCACCGCATTTCGAGCGGACGCTGATGGCAACTCTACCAGGTCGTCGGCACGAAGCACATCGTTACCTCTCCTGCCCTGCTCGAGTCAACATCTCTCATCTTCGCCTATGGCCACGACCTATTCTTCACGCGAATCGCGCCGTCGAACACGTTCGACGTGTTGAGCGAGAGCTTTAACAAAGCACAGCTTGTGTTGACTATTGCTGGATTGGCACTCGCCATTATCATCACGAAGCCCATGGTGCGGAGGAAGCGACTACGTGAGCGGTGGTATGATTAGACTGCGCGTGTTAGACTGTGTGATTGTACGCACCAGAATGTTGAAAATCGATCTCATCCTGGGAGTGATGTCTATGTATGCATCAAGCAATTACTGCAAAACATTCGTCGTTCGAGGGCCGCAGGCCTTCCCGCACGTGACCGTGCCAGTCGCGCTCGCGACGCGTGCACATGGGCGCCTACTCCGCGTCCCTCTTGTTTGCAGCCACCACTCAACCGCGATAGGCCTCTCGGTCGTCCTTACCTCACCGGAGCAGAAGAGTTCTGTTGGTACTTGGGAATACCTGTAGGGAGTCAGAAGCTACCGAAGTCACTCAATTGCCTGACAGCAATCGTTGTAACAGCGGCTTGCGCAGAGTCGCAGACTGTAGGCTATCGTATTTCAGCCACGCCGAAGCAGACTCGCAGACTCGCACACCAATGGACGACGAAGATCTAGCAAGGTTGGTCTTAGACTCCTGGCCATGGTGTATACTGACTTGTACGACAGAGCCATAGCACTTAGCTTACAGGACCATGCACCACCAGCGGCACGTCCATCAATCAGAGCGGAGCAGGAAGTCATCGAAATCAGTGATGATGAAGACGGTGTAGAAGTCAATGAAGAAGACCGTAGATTCAAGTCAGAACTGCAGCAGGCTATCGAGGCCTCGAAGCGAGAAGAGGCACAGCGTGCAGCATCGCAAGCCCCAGCCCAGTCGACCGCAACGTCAGAGCCGACCTTTTCACCAGCTCCTGTGACCGGGTTTCTCTCCGAAAGAGCGCAACTCGAACGAGAACGGCTCGCGAGACAGAAGAGACTGCGACCAGATCTCGACACCGACGGAGCGTCTGGCATAGATAACGATGCACATAGATCCAAGAGGCAACACCTTTCCTCGTCTTCTGCTCATACACGCAGAACCGACGTCCATGCTTATTCCAGTGCCACATCTCCTCGCGTAGCCGCAAGTACCTCAAGGCAAACGGCGCCTACGGCAAGCTCATCCGCTCGGAGCTCATCGGAGCAGTACTTCTGGGATGGCGAGATGCGCCCAATAGCGAACATGCACGTAGATCGTGCGAAGGACACCAAGCCTACGTTCCGCCTGAGCGATATTCTTGCACCTGTGAGTCTGATCCTAACAACCCCTTTTTCTCTTCTGAGAATGGAGGATCTCTAGAGAGATGAGATAGAGTTCGCTGTCATCTCTGCATATGTGTACAACTTCCCTTGGCTATACTCCATGCTCAGCCCGAGAACCCCTGTCATAGCCGTGGCACAAGACCCACATGGTGCGTTTGTCTTTTTCCACACAGCGTTCAAATAGATTAACGAAATACAGGTGAGGAGACTATAAGGGCAATTCTTCCGAATTGGATTAAGGCGACGCCGTTTCTACGGAACGGCATGGGCTGTATGCATATGAAGGTATGTCTAGTCCTCCTCCGCGCAACTGTCCACTTGATCCATCATCTGCCTAGTTCATGCTGGTATGTGATGATCTGCGTCTCGACAGTCACTGTTCCGCGATCTACAACAAAATTCCAGTTGTTCTACAAGACAGGTCGCTTGCGGATCGTCGTTTCGACCGCAAATATGATAGAATACGACTGGCGAGACATAGAGAACGTGCGTATCTTCAGATGCACTCACCCCGGCTGCGGGTCAAAACCTGATTCTCTCCGTGTAGACGGCATGGGTGCAGGACGTCCCTAAACGACCCTCCCCTATTGCTCACGATTCCAAGGTTGACGACTTCCCTGCGGCATTTAGTCGCGTTCTCCGAGCGCTGAACGTAGGACCGGCACTCATTTCACATGTCAACAACGACGTGCGTCGTGATGCTGCATCATGCGACACCAACCCAGCTAACGTCGTTACCTTGGTTTCAAAGCACCCGAACCTACCATTACAGCGTCTAGAGCACCTCCGCACCCATTGGGACTTCTCGAAGGTAAAGGCCAAACTGATACCGTCCATAGCGGGCAAGCACGAAGGTTGGCCAAAGGTGAGCACCGTCTGATAGTTTGCTTTGTGGCTCAAAGGTCGATACTCATACTCCGGCTAGGTCATCCTTACGGGCCACACGTCCCTCATGAAGGCTCTGCGCGAATTAGGCCTAGCCGCAAACAAGGGCAAGGAGGTAGTACTGGAATGCCAGGTACTGTCTCGCGGCTCTTCGTGACGTGATGAGTTCTCATTCGGTTTTCCAGGGATCGTCCATCGGCTCGTACAGCACACAGTGGATGAATGAGTTCCACTGTTCGGCACGGGGCGAGTCCGCACAGACGTGGTTGGACGTCTCGAAGGCGCGTCGGGCCAAGCTTCCGTATCCACCGATCAGGGTCCTCTTCCCGACGCTGCAATATGTGCGCGAGAGTGTGCTGGGCGAGCAGGCGAGTCTACCTCGTCGCCAACAAAATGACCCTCTAACACGTCGATAGGGAGGAGGAACTATGTTCTGTCGACGTAACCAGTGGGAGGCCGCCAAGTTTCCGCGAGAGCTCTTCCATCAGTCGCGAAGCAAGCGCGGACGAGTTCTCATGCACTCTAAGGTAGGTTCAAGCATATCTTTACAAGTCACCTGGTCAGTAGTAACCAGCTGGGGTAATCAGATGATCCTTGGCCTCATCCGTGATAAGTCGACTGCCTTCGGGAGTGGCAGTGGTGGGCAGTCGGACAGCGAGACAGAGCCAGAAGATGACGAGGCGGCACCTACCGAGATGGAGAAGCTCATCGGGTGGCTGTACATGGGCTCGCACAACTTCACGCCGTCCGCTTGGGGCACGCTGTCCGGCTCCGCATTCAACCCGACGCTCAACGTACGCATGAAACCTCAGTTATACCACGTTCAACGACGCTAACAGCTAGTTGTAGATCACCAACTACGAGCTCGGCATTCTGCTGCCACTTCATAGTGAAGAAGAGGCGAATCGACTGACTTGCTGGGAGCGGCCTCCGCGCAAGTACGTGCTTGGGAGGGACGACCCTTGGGTGAGGGGTGCTTGCCAGTGTTAAGGTTTATGCAAGACTTGCTGACACAGTTCTCTTGCAGATCCAATCTGAATCTCCTGCGTTCGCTGAAAGCCTCTCGTAAGAAGCTCGCAACAGACCGGCGAGGAACCGACGTTAGTCACGACGTATTCTATAATTGATTCCCGGCGTGAATACACTGTAAAACCTGGAAACTATGGTCATGTGAGGGCACGTCGTACTGGTGGTAGTCCAACAACAACACTCAGTAAGAGTGTACAGGACACAGGTACGGGTGAGGCGTACGAGAGTTCACACAAACTTCGATGGGCAATTTGAGGAAGTTGAGCACATCGTTCAACGTTCATGCCACACCGCGAGTCGCGACAGGCTTGAGTCAAAGACGATTCGTCATGAGCAAATTATCCTTGACTCTTGTGGTCGGGATTGTCTCTTGAGTCTTGATTACCGTTACATAAGTACCTCTATGTAGTAGTCCGAGAACAAATGTCTCACGCTCGACGCCCATGATCGCGCGTGCGACAGCGGCCGGTGGCTAAATTGGATCCCAGGCTCCTCCTCCTCAGCCACCCTGGCCGTCGGCTTCACTCAATACTTGACTCATGGCCTTTAATACCGTATGTCCGGAATCTACGTAGCGAGATCAGCTCAGACCAGGTCATCAGGAAGTCCATATTGACAGTGACCCGCACGTAAGACCTCGCGAGAGTCTGGACGGTGACGCGTGACGAGTCGGCGAACACCCGCAGGCAGCAGTGTATATAGTTCAAGAACTCGCACTCTACCCTGCAAGCTGCACACTTCCTTCCAACTCTTCAACTGCATTCAATCATGTCAACTGTGTCTAGTACTGACGCGTTCGACTCGGAGTCGGGGATCCAACAATTCCCGCTAGTAACTTACATGCGTCTACGAAGTCACGATCCCGTGGTGCTGATACCTTCATATGGTGGCCAACAGGGCCTGAGATGATAGCTTGTTCAGTCTTGCATCTCTACTACAGCATGTCTCGTACTTATTGTTGTGGTTCTAGGCTTTACCTCAAACGTCATTGGTCATGTCACTCCTAGGACTCTTCTCTGCTGGCTCGACATGATGGCGCATCACTATTGCTCGGAAAAGATGGTACTCAAGCTTGTGACAGTGCGGCGAGTTTGTGCTGTTACATACTCGCCGGATTGTGAATCGGAGCAAGCTCCCGATGATGAACCGTTGAGACCAGGAGATTACGTCTGCTGCCTCCGATATGAAGGTAAACCATAATTCTCTGTCTGCGCTAAATGTACATCTGTAACTCCGGACACCGCAGATACACTAAGTATGATCGCAGTATCCTTTCCGCGCTTGCCCTTCAATCCCTCATACACCAATCATTCACACAAATTCTGGCAAGACCTCTCTGAGGACCAAGGCGCTGGGGACGAGCCCCTGGCACTGCCTGAAGTGAGCTTCTACACTATATAGCCAGAATTGTGGTACTGAGTATTATGTTTGCAGGACAGCATCGATGATTCATTGCGCATAGAGGCTTCGAGGCATGGCGGTGGCGAGTGCGCATTCACAGGTCCCGACAAAGTTGGAAATACCCGTGTCGATGTGCATTGGATATTCCCTCCGTCTATGATAATCATGGTCTGTACCCGAGTTATTATATGCCCCGTACAGTGAGAACTTACTTAACGGTATAGATCTCTACATGGGGCGCGAAGAAGCCATTTTTACCCAACATCCCGGACTTTCGGGTGTCCCACAACCTCCTGAACATGCGAGACGAAATATACCAGTTGTGGAACTCAAATGCCTTCAGCGTCGACGTGGATGTGAGCCGATCCGAGTCCCCGTTGATTTTCTATTGAAACTTGGAGTATATTTAGGACGAGTACCGAATTTGAATCTTCGACAAGGAAGCTATGAATGCGGGTCTACCAGCCCATCTCACGCATATACCCGCAGGTGGTGCCTCGGACGTGTACTTGCGTGAGCACTTTGGGCATACATTGACTGTTCATCTCCTCGGTGGCGACATAGGAATGGAAGTTGGGCGCATCGATTGGAATATGGAGGGTAGAACCGTCATTGAAGCGGTTTGCAAATGTTTGGAGAGGAAGAAACTCAAAGAGGACGTGAACAGGCTCATTATACGGGATTACGAGGAGTGGGAATTTGAAAGGCGGTTCTAAAACAGCGAGTGTTAGGGGGTCAAGATCATGGCGAAACCGAGGAAACTGTGAGCCGGCTGAGTGAGCCGTGCGCCGGTGTCCTGGACATGGCCGAAACATAGGCACATGTATAGTAGACGGCTCCTGATGTCATTGAATGCGACGAGACACATGCCATAACTCGGAACCCTGCTCCTGAGGCCTGAGGCCTGACGAGTGGTCGTATCACGGTTGCACTGATCCAAGCGCAGACAACGCCATCCGGTAAGCGACGATACAACTCCACAACATTGCTTTGTACGGATTACTAATGAGTCGAAGCCACGAGACAGTCTTGTGTCCAGCAAGAACGCGAAACATCGCAGTCGACTCAGAGCTGCGCGGTCACGATATCTTTGCCCGCAAGAATCAACTCCCGGCTTTTCTCCGACCGAGGATGGATGTCGCAGACAAACGGCTCTGGGCGACTGAAGAAAGATCTCAGTTGAAGTGGCGGAGCCAAGGAGGCATACAAGATGACGTACATGACAGTGCCGCCATGAAACTTCGGTGACGCTGCGATCTCCTCCCCGCGTGCGTTCCGCGCTTTACGTACGTCCATCGTTGCAAGGAGGCTGGCTGCAAGGATCCATACGCTGTTGTCGGCAAAGTATCGTCCTGGACAAGCCCTGATGATGGTCAGTCGTACGCCATCCATGGTTCAAGGAGGACGTAGACTCACCTCCGTCCGAAGCCGAAGACAATCCTCCGCGGATCATCATACCGGTCTACGTTCATACCTGAGAATCGTTCAGGATTGAACGTTTCCGGCTCCTGATATACTTCCGGGTCATGGAACATCGCCCTGCAGTGACATTTCAGAATCGCGGCAAGACGGAGATAGACAGTCAGCTCTACTATACCATAAATTAGGGATGATCATAGAGCCCTTGGGAATATAGTATCCACGGTATACATCATCTTCTGATGACATGTGTGGGGCCGCTAGACCCAGAGATGGAAGAATGAAGAGCGAGGGATTGAGCTTGGATCGAGCAATACATCATTCATACATACCTGTAGGGACTGCGGGACGCCATCTAAGAACAGGTCAGACGTTGGCCGCATCTACGACTGCCGTTCATCATACCTGTACACCTCTCTAAGGACGTTCTCGAGGTACGGCATCGATGTCCTATCGCTGAACTCCGGGAGCCTTTCCTCGCCGACAACCTGGATGACTTCCTCTTGAGCCTTGCGAAAAACGTCGGGATGCTGCACCATCGCAAGCACGAACACCGTGATTGTTGTCACGATCTACACATACTATGCGTCACGAAAATCGAATCTGTGGAATCACTTCTTACTGGATCGGTACCCCCTAAACGAAGTCGTCATCAGCGATGCATAACGGCGACGACGCGAGAACTTGAATAGGAATACCTGCATAGAGCGTTGCAGCAGTGCCCTTGATGTCATCCTCATCTTCAAAGGTAAGCGCACCCTTCTTGAGACAATCCTGTATCATGGCAGTCGTGAAACATGGTTTTGCCACACCGGCTGCCTGTGCTTGGGTCAGGGATTTCGCCGTCCGCACTCCATAAGATCAGACAGACGTACCATAGCATCCTTGACGGACTTATAAGGGATATCCTCAGTAGCTGCGATGGCTTCCTTCGCCATCAGAGCAGCTCGCTTGAAGCCCGCGCCAGGCAGCCAAGCAGGTATGTACTTCACTAAATGACATGATTCATGTCGACACTGAAACGGGCGAGTGATGCAGTTAGTGACTTACAGGTAGGGAAGAAGTCAACCAGCGCCGAGCCGGCTCCACTGCCGCCGAAAACTTCATGTATCCCAGCCTCCACCAACTGGATGAACTCATCACCCTCGACAGAGGTCACGGTATGTCCATAACCGATCTCCAAAATCAGCGACGCGGCGTAGCTAGCCGAAATGTAATGAGTCTTTGTGACGATACATGCGTCACTTCACGTACCGCTTGATGTGGGAGATGAAGTCCGCTGGGTGCTGGACGACGTCGTACAGCAGACGACGCACCTCGTGCTCCTGAAGTGGCCGGTGACTCTTCAGGGCGGATGCGCTGATTAGCAATTGCTGGAACCACCTCCTCTGACGCTTCCACGTGTCATCGTATGGTCTCCATCCAATATTTCCTGTCCAGCCGATCCTAAGGAGACGGTTCAGAAGTCGGCGTGAAATGCTGTTGGATCACGCCACGTACATCTCTCTGATTCGCACAAACCGTGGTCTTTCCGAGAACTTCGCGCTCCGCTTCTCCATGAGATCGCAGGCAGCCTTGACTGAGCTCACGACGATGGTTGATCGAGTAAAGAACTCCGCGTAGACAACGTCTCCTGTAGTGCATGTTATGGATTGCATCAAATTATCTATGTAAGATGACAACTCATGAGCATACCATATCGTTCCGCCCATTGCACGAAGAACTTGTACTGATAAGACTGCGGCAGCTGATGGATGTTCCCCAGAAGCGGTACACGTGGAGGCCCTGGAGGGAGGTTCTGGCGTTTCGACCACTGAAGTTGGGTAGCGTATAAGATGCAGCATACAACGGTACCAAGGGCGGAGGTCGTAACCCAGAACGCAACGAGCATATTGAAACTGGTGCTGCTGTACGATGAGAGAGGCCCGGGCCTCCCGAGCGGTACTTATCACAGCTGTGGTACCGAGCAACGTCATAGTACCCGGGCCCGCAATGGAACACGACTGTATCGTCGTCTTGCTCACCTTGTTGGGATGATTTGATATCGTCACATAAGTTCCAGACTACGTTCAACCGGTCTCCGATCTATACCTGGATATCGCAAGGGAAATAATAGGTCATGAGTCGCATGCCAGTGAGAATGAGGAAAGCGACGTACAGTTATTGACATGCTTCTTTCCGCGAGGTAAGTACGTGACCGCCGATGAGCAACCTCCGATCAGAGTATCTTCAGTCAGAAGCAATGTCCTATGAAAATACGGTAAGAGACGAGGCCAAGGATATCCACCGCTCCGACACGACACGAGATAGAATCCTCCCTACGCTGTGGAGTCTGGATCGAGGTCATGCTAACATTGTCACATCAACTGGGACATCCTCTAGCGTTACGTCTCTGTAGATAAGGATGCGGTACGTACCTCATGTTCATGTGCAACGTGCGGTTTCACGACCACCAATGTTGGTCGTCAGTCTGAGAACGACAAATCAAGCACTATAAACGGCGACGTCGCGCACGAACAAGAGTCTATATAGCCAATATGAGAGGTTTCGTTGCATTCGTGAAGTCCACATGTGTACACTAACCTATCAGCGTATATCACACCGCTTCTCCGCGCAGCTCGCCGCTGCATTCTGCTAGCGAGCACTAACTTCGGTCTTCATCCCGTCTGCCTCGATCGAGATGCTTGTAGCACATGCCGTACGGGAGACCGTCGCTCCAGCGGGCAATCTTCCTGAAATTACCGAATGAGCCTAGGCCGGGACGACTCATGAAGTGATCCGTCGACGAGGAGTTTGCGAAGCACTTCAAGACATTGCGGGTGTTCTACCAGGCCGCGGGCGCGATGTGTCGCGAATGAGTCTGACGTTCCGAATAGGTAAGCGGCTCGGTGGTGTCGACCCTCTGAGGTCGTTCAGGCGTCGTAGGCATGCTGGCCAACGCATTGCCAAGATTAGTACATCTGAGAAACGTACATTGCTCAGTGCAACTGGGCGAGATGCTCTCCTTCCTACGCATCCTCGAATCTGCGAACCACTGACTGCGCGGGGTGTCAGTGGGTCCAGTCTGTTTGAAGTCAGAAGTCATGTAGATGTTTAGAATCGCCCACACACAAGGCCTCTGGACGGGGCCGCGGAGAAGGACTTTGGGAGGACTCAAGACTACTCAGGAGGAGGAACCCATTCACCGACTGCAGGTGCACGTGCGATCCTCGGCATCTTCCGGAGGAGGACGCATCCCTCATACGTAAGTACGTCCCGACTTGGTCCCGGCCACTGGCAAGTCTCGGGGCCACGGCGGGCAACCTAGCGGACGTGCAAGAGTTCCTACAACAAAATGAGCCTTCTATCCGCTCCATCTTCTTGCCCAATTCGTATTCGACCTTCCCCTCGAAGCCGCTCTCCATCCGCGATTCTACCAACCTCGACTTCCTCGGCCTCTTCCCATCCGAGTCGCGCGTCTTCGCGGACATCCTGAGCAGCGGACACCAGCTTGGAGTCTCTTCGCCTGCGATATGTGCTCAACTGTAACGACCACGACCTGTTTCCCGCGATTTCAGCGTTCCTGCGCGACCACCGGACGCTCAAGACACTCGTTCTGTTGGTGCCGAGCGCGAACTGGGCACAGAAGCGCTTACGGCACGATGCGGGCGTGTGGGGCGTGCTTCCAAGCCTGACGGAGCTAAAAGTGCTCCCAGCGACCCTACCGAAGGATGTCGCTGCAGGCGAAGCCGTCGACGGACGCGATTGAATTCGTCTTGGTGCGTCCGTTCGCCGCTCTCTGACCTAAATGGTACTTACGTGGACATGCCAAGATGCGCCCGGGCGTCCCGATGGTGCGCGTCGTGCGCGTGGACGACGATTACTATATCGTCGAACCGCTTGCGGACGGGCGCGTGAAGATGCAGGCATGGCCGGAGGCGAGGGGCCATCGAAACATCATGGGGGCGAGGATGCGGTGTGGAGGCATCCGGGCGAGGGCTTGTAGGCGGGGTAGGGTTGTGGTATGTAGCGAGTGGTGAGTCTCACTGCCAGGTGAGTACGATGGCTGCTTTGGTTTGCGCCTATGACGCGCGTGGGCGGTGGACGTCGCGACGAGCCGCGCTCGGCTGTGTATGGTTGCGTCGAGCCATGACTGGCACTGAGTTGTGCTACACGCGTCGTGGTTACAGACTCTGGAAGGCTCGCGTCTCGGCCAGGCCTCGGAAGGCTGTGCCGGCATAAGACGATGCTATTAGCAGGCGCTCAAGGAGGGCAAACTAGTAGTATTAAAGCCTCATCCGTGTTGAAGCAGACTCATCGTTATCCCGCACTGATACCTACTACTACTTATAGTAGTACGCCAATTCCCGAGTCTCAGCCTAATGTCCACGCCTCCTGCATCCCCAACTCCTTTGGTCCCGGTACGTTCGCCCAGTGGTGTGGTGCTCTCGCGCTTGAAAGCGGACGTCCTCATATGGTGGCCTCCTTTTCATACAATAGCTTGTATGAATCTGCGCAGATACTAGGCTTGCCTTTATTCTCATATGCCTCCTTGTCAGGTTTTGAATCAAGGGTAGTCGGGCCTGTAACATCGGACACCCTTCTCTGCTGGCTCAACATGCTCGCCGATGTCAGTCAGCATGGCACTCTGACGGTTCGGAGAGTCTGGGTGCGGCAACGGGCACCGTTTCGGTTTTCTGCCAAGCCATTGGAAGCGATCGCTCCTGCTGATGTGCTAGATCGTGGAGACTACGGTCTCTTCTATGTAGGTGTGTACTGCAGACAGTCAACCGTGATGCAAAGGGGAAACAGTTGACATCGTTGAACCCATGCTCCAGAGGCCGATAACGACCCTGACTTTACAACACCAATACTGCCCTTTGATGGGCTCAATCGGCGTCCTTCACTAGAAGCCATGAAGAGATTATTTGACAATTGGGTAACACCCGCCGCGATAGCAAGGGTTCAAAGCGTGAGCTTTGTACTGTATCACGCCTCATCGTTATTCGTGACTGTCCTCTACCGATATAGTACAATATATCCGAGGAATTGATAGAAGCGGCATCCCGGCGCGACGGCGGGAAGTGCCTGCTCACAGGGTGTACATCATCGCAGGATAGTCCTGTTGATGTGTATTGGATATTCCCTCCAGGAATGGTTGACCGCGTAAATCTAGTCCAACACCTCTGTGACGTGACATTTCTGACAATCGACCTAGATCACGACGCTTCAGGGGAAGAGAGCCGGCCACTTGCCACCTCTCACGGAGTTCTTTATCGAGACTGACAATTTGATCACCGTTCGAAGCGACATCTATGAGCTGTGGCACAAGAACGCTTTCAGCGTTGACGTTGATGTCAGTGATGCAGTGCTCCACTCTACGACGTCTTACTAACCCTACCACATTGGACCGCGTAGGATGGCTGTCGAATCCGTATCCTCGCTGAGGAAGCCATGAAAGTTGGCTTACCCGATCGTCTCGCACCAGTACCAAACAGCTCTGCATTGGACTATTTCCGCGAACACTTCCGTCATACTCTGTGTGTCAAGTTCCTCGGCGGGTGCATCACCGTGGATGCGACGACAATCAATGAATTTTTGGTCGAAATTGGCCTCGACGAGGAAGGGACTATCGACGACTCCTCAGACAAGTTATTCCAAATGCTCATAGAGAAGGGGTATTTCGAGAAAGTGATGAGGGAAAGATTGGGACGCTAAAGTATGGAGAGGAACGGCCCGCGCGCATGGTGCGATAACTGAACATACTTATCACACGCACACTGTTATGTAGTAGTCTGTCGTTGTGTTATCGCGAATTACGAGCGCGTCCTTGGCGGAGGTTCGCTACTGCAACATGACGGTGCGCACCGCAATACCATCACCAATCACGACGAGATTCGATCTGACCACCCCAGCGCTACGAGAACGAGAATAATATCTGTCCATGTCATAGATATGGAACTCAGCACCATCGCACGTTGACGAGGTTAGTACAATGGAGTGTTACATTGATCTGTTTCGTATGTATCGCTCAAGATCCGCCGCTGTCACGCACGTCTTGGTCCACCCTGTAGAGCCTCCAGTCTGGCGGTTACTTCGGACACGAGGTCCACCTGCTCGCTGTCTGCGGCGTCGGATTCTTCCTTCACGTTACAGCTGTAGGGGTCACTGGCATCGTAGGCAGCTGGCGGCTCAAGGTGTTCATCACTTGGGTCCCCGCCACTCCAGTTTGCGCACAGGCTGAAGCGAAAATGCTCGCGGAAGAAGGGTTCCGCGGCGGAGTAAATTCCCGGGTCGATAGAAGCAGGTAAGCCAAAGCTGGTAGCGCTCTCGTGAAAGATGCGGATCCGGTAGTCATCCTAACCATCCCGTCAACGGATTCGCGCGAGCGATCAGCTCATGAGTAGGAAATGAGTAATAGAGACCCACATCGACGTCTACACTGAATGCGTTTGAGTGCCATAGATCGTAGATGTCACTCCGCACCATCATGAGATTCTGGGCGTTCTGGAACTCCTCCAGTGTCAGCACCTTGGGACCGTGTGTGCGCTTTGTTATGGTATCATTCCGAGAGTCAGATATGTGCTCTGATACAGGGATGTTGGCTAGGCTTACGTAGCGAGCCATGCCCGGAGGGAATATCCAATCAATTTTCACCCTATACTGACTGTTCTTGTGTGTATATCCCGTGAAAACGCACTTGCCGTTGGCATCACCGCTGGAAGCCTCCGCAAGTAAGTCATCGGAGATGAAGTACTGTATAATCCGTTCAGTGGATGAAGCACTATGGTGAGATACGTCATTTTGCAGCTCACCCGCTTCAAGCACTCCGTCCAAGCAGCAATATTTTGCTCCGTGTTCTTGGCAAACATCTCCTTCAACTCCGTCATTGATGCCACCATCTCGACACTACTGAAGAAAGATCCCCGATTCTTGAATTGTGATTTTTTGTCTAAGCAGGCTTGGTTGAGTCATTGAGCATATAGTAGCAATCCGACGAGATACTGACCTGGCAGGTAGTAGCATCCATAGTACCCTGGCTCCAGGCCGTCTGAGGATTCAATTTTTTCTTGCGGCTCGGGATGGTACAAGGGGTGTAAAGTGGGCTCAGACAATGACACACGTCTGACCTCCATAACGTCAGCACCTCCAGCAACCTCAGGGGCGATCATGTTGACCCAGCGGAGGACCCCCTCGGCTGTGACAGGGCCAACAACACTCGAGTCCCAGCCTGAATGAGCATTACGAGGGTCAGTATACATGCCTTGTAAGCATACATCGGAGTAGAACGTACAAGCTATGAGCTCAGCTGGGGACGAGTGAGGCCACCAAACGAAGATATTGGCGTGGCGTTCCTGCGATAGTTGAGACGTAAAGGCCATCTGTGAAGGAAGTCGGTGAAGAGTAATGTGTATCCGAAGCCGCGACCCTGTAGCTTATATAGCTTTGGCGGACTCCTCAACCACTCACAACTAGCCGCAGATCTGGCGGCGCCACCTCACGGGCAACAACCCCGTGATCTATCAATGTATCGCCTGCCTGAGACGAGCTGCGACAATTTCCAGCTGCATTTGGATATCACAATAGCAACCAAGTGTACACTCACCTACAGCGTACCAAAGCCCATGACCATACCGCTTCACCGCTCAGCTCGCCGCTGCCAGTGCATTCTGCTAGCGAAAACTAAAATCAATCTTCGTCCCGACGATCTAGATGCTTGAAGCCCGTGCCGTACGGGAGGCTGTCGCTTCAGCGGGCACCCCGAGTCGCCCTGGAACTACCGGATGAGCACGGGCCGGGATGACTCATGAAGTCAACGACATACTGGTACATTGCAATTGGTGTTTCGTGCGCTCTAGGTCTGTATCAGTACCAAAGCAGTAGAATGACTGAAGTGTAGTGACTAGTCGCACCCGTTGACAAGGAGTTTACGAAGCATGCCACAACATTGCGGACTCGATAAGTTCTACCAGGCCAGCTACCCGCAGGTGCACGTGCGATCCTCGGCATCTTCCGGAGGAGGACGCATCCCTCATACGTAAGTACGTCTCGACTTGGTCTCAACCACTGGCAAGCCTCGCGGGCAACCCAGCGGACGTGCAAGAGCTCCTTCGACAAAACAAACCTTTCATCCGCGCTATCTTCCTGCACAATCAGCATTGGACCTTCCCCTCGGAGACGCTCTCCATCCGCAATTGAAACATCCTCGACATCCTCGGCCTGTTTCCCTCCGAATCGCGCGCGTTTGCTGACATCCTGAGCAACGGGCACTAGCTCGATTCCCTCCGCCTACAGTGCAGAGTCGGCGCAGTTCCGCGAGGGCGTCGCGGCGCACGCGCTCCCGTTCCTGCGGTACGTCGAGTTCACGCTCCTCGGGTACAACGTGAACGACCACGACCAGTACCCTGCGATCTCAGCGTTCCTGCGTGACCGCCGGACAATCAATACGCGTGCTCTCCGTGCTGAGATGCGTGCGTGTGGGGCGTGCTCCCGGGCCTAACGGAACTGAAGGCGCTCAGGGGCCAGGGCGACGGTCACCTCCCGAAGGACGTTGCGGCGGCACTTGTCCCTCGCAGGGTGACGGCGCTGTCGCTACAGGCGGAGCCGTCGACGGATGCGATCCCATTTGTCTCGGTGCGTCCGTTCGCCGCTCTGACCCAAATCGTACTTACCTGGACCTTGTAGCAAATGTGCCCGGGCCTCCCGCCGAACCTGAGCTTCATGGGGCTCTCGCAGCTCAAAGCTGAGGACGTTGTGGCGGTCGTTGAGGCGGGCTTCCCGACGGTGCGCGTGGACGACTACTAGTATACCGTTGAGCCGCTGGTGGACGTCGCGACGAGCTGTGCTCGGCTAGACCTGGTGGTGTCGGGCCATAACTGGCACTGCGCCGTGCTATACGCGTCGTGGCTACAGACTCTAGACGCCTCGAGTCTCGGAAAGGCTGCACAGGCACGAGACACAGGAGCAGAGGACGTGCGGCGCGTTGGTCTGCACATCTGGGTACCGTACTACCGGTACCGTGATCACTGGGTTCGGATTGTAGGACGTTGTTGTACCGGCACAGATGCCGTAGTGTCTGCAGGAGGGAATAGAACTGTGAGTGCAGCAGTGCAGGTCTATATTCGTGAGTCCTGTCGGCATGGAGACCGATATGGGTAGTGGCCTCCCTCAGTGATTCAGAGGTTAACGTACGCCGTTGCCGTGCACACGAGTTGTGTAGCGAGCGAGATGAGCCATGCTACGGACATTCTCATACGGCGGCCCCCATTCCATGTGATGGCGTGTACGGATCTGCACAAATCGCACGGCTAGCTCTATACTCACATATGTACCACATTTTGTCAGGATTCGACTCGAGCGTAGTCGGGGAATGGCTACCGCTTATCTCCGGCTTACGAGCTTTGGATCATTGGACGTGCAGAGACGTAGAGGGTAGCACGCTACTAAGAGAGCCGCTCGATGTCGCGAAGCACGAACGCGCGTCCCTGGCGGAACTTTGCTACTGCGACATGACGGTGCGCACCGCAATACCATCACCGGTCACGACGAGATTCGACCTGACCACCCCAACGCTACGAGAACGAGGGTAATATCTGTCATAGCTATGGAACTCAGCATCATCGCACATTGGCGAGGTTAGTACAACGGATTGTTACATGGGTATGGTTCGTATGTATCGCTCAAGATTCGCCGCTGTCACGCACGCCTTGATCAGCCCTGTAGAGCCTCCAGTCTGGCGGTTACTTCGGACACGAAGTCCTCCTGCTCGTTGTCTGTGGTGTTGGATTCTTCCTCCTCGCCATTGCTAGGTGCATCATTGGAAACGACGGCCTGTCCAGGAACAGCATGTTCCTCATTTGCGTCCCCGCCACCCCAACTGACGGATAGAGTGAAGCGGAAATGCTCGCGGAGGAAACGTTCTGCCGCGGAGTTCAATACCGGGTCGATACGAGAAGGTAAGCCTTGGTTGATAGCGCTCTTGTCGAAGACGCAGATCCGGTAGTCGTCCTAACCATCCCGTCAACGGATTCCCGATCGATCAGCTCATGAGTAGGAAATTCAGTAACAGAGACTCACATCGACGTCTACACTGAATGCATTTGAGTGCCATAGACGGTAGATATCAGTCCGCGCCATCATGAGATTCTGGGAGCTCGAGAACTCCTCTGTTGTCAGCAGCTGTGGACCGTGTGTGCGCTATGTTATAGTATCATACCGAGAGTCAGATATGTGCTCTGCTGCAGGGATGCTGGCCAGGCTTACGAAGCGAGCCATGCCCGGAGGGAATATCCAGTCAAATTTCGCCGTATACTGACTGTTCTTGTCTGTATATCCCATGAAAACACAATTGCCGTCGGCGTCACGGCTGGAAGCCTCCGCAAGTAATTCATCGGGGATGATGTACTGTATAGTTTGTTCAGCAGATGACACACATATTGAGATATGTCACTTCGCAAAGCTCACCCGCTTCAAGCACCCCGTTGCAGCAGCAGTTTGTCTTTCCGCATTCTCATATCTCTTCTTCCTAGCATCCATTGACATTGTAGTACGGAAACTATGGAGGAGAGATCGGCTACAGACGTCTTGTAATTCTTTGCCTAAGCAGGCTTGGTTGAGTCACTGAGCATGTAGTTGAAATCCGACAAGACACTGACCTGGCAAGTAGTAGCATCCATAGTTCCCTGGAATCAAGACTGCAGAGGATATCATGGTTTCTTCCGAATGAATATGGTACTTGGACCGTATTACTTCGTTTTGTTCCAATGACACACGTCTGACCTCCATAACCTCAGCGCCGCCGGCAATCGGAGGGGCGATCATGTTGATCCAGCGGAGAACTTCCTTCGCTGTGACAGGGCCAACAACATTCGAGTCCCAGCCTGGATTGGTATGACGAGGGTTAGTGCAAGACACATGTCACGTAAATGGCATACATCGGAGTAGAACTTACAAGCTATGACCTCAGCTTCAGCCAAGGAAGGCCACCAAAAGAAGATATTGGCGTTCCGTAACTGCGATAATCTAGAAGTAAAAGCCATTTGTGTACTAAGTTGTGGTTGGCGAAGGCTGATGTGGGCATCCGAGGCCGCGACCTTGTGGCTTAAATAGCTTCCTCCTCCTCGATGGCTCACAACCAGTGCGCGCCACAACACTGGCATATCTTGTCAGCGCCACCGCTCGGGCAGCCCCCCGGTGTCCATCGATGTATTGCCTAGCTAGATGAGCTTTAGTTCGGGTGATTTCTGATTCTATCCGGGTATCACAATAGCATTCTATATGAGTTTCAGATTTCTCACTCCCTCGATGATCCGTTTTACATAGGTGTAGACGCGTGTCAAGTCTTGAACTCATCAAGAAGGTTTGAACGACAAAAGCCTACAGTGTGACTCTGGCGCTGAACAAATTCAACAATAAACCACCGTACGTGGAATTTCGACTCTAGGGAGCCTTTCTCAGGCCGCTCCAGCCGTACAGGTCCAATGGCCATACTAAGCCATCAGAATCAAGGGTCCAGTGACCAGTTTTGTCGGCAAATTCGATACACGAACTCTAGGGGTAAGTTTTTTATCCGCCCTTGTTGTATTGATGTCCCCCCGCTGTGGAAGGGAAATCCGGCCGAAGGCTGGTGGGAGTCCAAGCGACACGTAGTGTCGTGTTCTCAGTTTTTTCTTCGCTCTATTAGCTGTGTTAGCTTATCTCGTTTCGCATACAGACAGTAACTACCATCGACTCTCCGGCGCGCTCACGAGGAACTTCCGGAAGGCGGAGGCGGAGGACCGACCGTAGCCTGGCGGCATGCCAGGCGGGCGGCGTTGAGCAGAGTGCCGCACCTGTCGGAGGCCCGAGCGAAAAATTCTCAATAGCACCGCTCCGCCGCTGTCACTGTCAGCCCCGCGCCGAGACCATGGTCCGCCGTCCGAAGCTGGAAGGGGAACCAATGGATGGCGTCACCCAGGCGGGTGTCCCATGCGGTACCTTCCTTATTTGGTATCATTCCTTCCCGATCTGTCTGTCAGTGATCGCTCGCCCTTCACTCATCATGGTCGATTCGCTTTCCATCATCCTGCATTCCTTAGTTCTTTCTCGATTTTTCTTATCGTGCTGCATGTACTTTCCAAGGGCCGCGTCGCCCGCTCTCATCATCGAATCAACTGGTATTGAATCTTACTATTGCATCTCCGCACACAGTCTCATCTCGAGCCCGAACGCCCATCACCGACTCCATCAAACACCTGCACCAGGACTAATTGTTGTGTGTGTTGGTTTGCCGACGCGCACACATTCTCTCCGACACCACCTAAAGTTCGGGGCTTACAAATAACAATAAGTTCCAGTGGCTCCTCGTACTCATCGGCACTAAATCGCACAACAACAACGCCACTCCTTCGGTGGCAGAAGCTATCGATATTCGTTCATGCATGTTTCATTCATAATAATGCGCCACGCTGTCCCAAGGACAGCGGTATAAATGGGCCCTCTTGTAGCTCTCCTGTCAGCCCAACCCGAAGCTGGTGTGACTCTTGACTAGCTTGACTCTTGAGGCCCGGCGTCATATATTGACAACATCTTGCTGCCATGACGAGTTTGGTAACAACGCCCTTAATTGAGGTCGGTCAACGTCAGAGAGACTATGTCAACTATGATCAGAGGAATGTACATATCTGGGGCTCAGATAGAGACGAGGGGACTACTCCAAGCACTGCGTTCGTTTATCTAATCGCCGGTACTAACTCTCAAGTTGTCCTTGATCGCTGCTACAATTGACTAATCACTACGGTGTATGACAGGTTTCTACAACGATGTCCAAAATAAGAAGAGGAATCTGATAACCTGGGGTCTAGTGTACCATTGGTTGGAGATGTTCCTGAAGGTGCCAGCTGATGGTACGTGTTATGTGCTTCGTTCCGTCTATAACAGGACCCATCCCCATGGTGTATGACAGCCGACCAGAAGAAACCATGGCTCTTGATAAAATGGGAGCATGACCCGACGGACCCTGCAACGGAGCTACCCTCAGATCTTGAAGACGAGCACTGGCTGGACACTTATCTTGCTACACTCGAGGGCGCGGTAAATTCAATATGGCCAACGGCAGACGCCCCTACTCCCTGCGCGCCTGGTCACTATCTCCTTGTTGTCAACTTGAAGCAATCCAAGACAGAGACATCTGGATATGCCGGTGGAAGAGCCACTAGATACAGCACAATGTTACCGGTTTTCCTGAGCAACTCCGGTTATGTTATTGATCGTTCACCGCCGGCGGGATCGACTCAGACAAACACCGGCACCACATCAGCTGTTGCCAATCGAAGACTCGGGACAGAGAACAAGGTCAATCATCTCATTTTTCACAAGGAAACCATCTAAGCTGATCTGAGGTGTAGTCTCGGAGTGCAGTCACTCGTAATCAAGTGCGGCTACGTGACATATGGTGCATAGTGACCCACGTAGCCGGATTACTTCGGGATCGAGGCCATGATTTCACAGGTCTCGATGTAGCCCATATTTTCCCGCTTGGTAGTGTTGGTGAAAAGGTGCGTTGGTGGTCGATTATGGAACAAGACTTGAGTTGACGTATGCATTTAGGCTCCCAACCTGGTCATGGACGGACATCACATGTTTGCTCAAGAGCTACTCACTTCACGTAAATCGGCAGACACACCCGAGAACGCCATTCTGCTTCGTTCAGATATTCACCACTGCTTCGATGCGTATCACTTTGCCATCTATGTGAGTCTGCCGTAGACTACTTCATTCAGGCATTACCATCTGCTGACCGAAGTAACCTATTGTGATAGCCTGAGTCTCCTCCTCCTCAATCAAAAGATGGACCTCGCTCTGAAGATGCAAAGGCCCCAATCCAGCCGCGTTACAAAATCTATACATTTGAAAAGACTATACCGGAGTGTTTGGTGCAACTTGATACTCTGACGTTGGACCTGAAACCTCACCCTGACGGTTGTGCGGGTAACCAGCGTCTTAGCCCGGAGTATACGGGAGTGGAGCCCAGCAACCCTTCCGACTGGCTGTTTATGGAGCATTTCCGCATGGCGTCACTTTGGCACGTTGCTGCTACGGGACGTCCCCGGCACAGAAAGTGACTGCTACCTCATCGGAAAGCCGGATTTTGTAATCTCTTGTATTTGTATCAGGTTCACTAGTGATACGATCACATTCAGTGACCAGTAATTCATGAAATGTAATCACCGCACGATATCTTTGACGATGTGTGTAACGCACGCCGACACGACACTGGCACTCACAAAGATGATGCACGTTGGTCCTGGCGACGATTACAATCCTGTAACGGTGTATGTTACTATGTCAATCAGAAGCAACCTGGCTCATAGTAGTCCGTCCAGTTTCCCTGAATTATGTTGATCACGAGTCTGATTAATATACAAGGTCAGGCTGCAAGACATCTGGGCCCTGTACGTGGCAAATAACATACCATCGTGACTTTGCCTGGCGAAACAGCCCTCGCGCTCTCGAGAAGATGTCGCAGACAAACGGTGCTGGGTGACTGAGAGCGATATCAGAATTGAAGGGACGGAGGCAAGAAGGTGTACAAAGTGACGCACATTCGGACAGTCCCGCTATGAAGTCCCGTTGACGGCGTGATCTTCTCGCGTGCGTTCCGCGCTTGATGTATGTCCATCGTTGCAGGGAGGCTGGCTGCAACAATCCGTACGATGTTGTGAGCAAAGTATTGTCCTGGACAAACCGTGGTGACGATCAATCATACGCCATTCATGGTTCGAAGGCGACGTGGACTCACCTCCGGCCGAAGTCGAAAATTAACCTCAACGTATCTGAATAATCAAACCGGTTCACGTGCATGTCTGAGAATCGTTCATGATTGAACGTTTCCGGCTCCATATATACTCGTGGGTCATGATACCAACATGGAGGGCCTGGAGGTATGGTTGTGGCATCTCGACCACTGAGGTTGGATTGCGTATAACAACATACAACGGTACCAAGGGTGAGGGTCGTAACTCCGAGCACAACGAGCGTACTTACTTCATGTAGTGTTTCTGTACGATGAGAGAGGCCCGGGCCTCCCGAGCCGTAATTATCACAGCTGTGGTACCGAGCAACGTCATAGTACCCGGGCCCGCAATGGACGCGACCGTATCGTCGCCCTGCTCACCTTGTTGGGATGATTTGACATTGTCACCTAAGTTCCAGACTATGTTCACTTCGTATAGAACGGGAGGTTTCCACCGCGCGTCCAAGTCCGGTATCAAACTGCGATGGAGTCTGGGTAGAGGGTTCACTATGGTACACACTTTTCGACGTGCCTGGTATCACTGTCAGCAATGGAGTACATTGGATATGGATAGAATGCACTTCGTCGGTTAACGGCCCACGCTTGAAGGGAGGTTGGTTGTACGGAGGAGGTAGGACATGCTTGTCTCCTGGGGAATCCAGCGAGGGTAGAGTAAAGGAGGCGATTTCAACCCTCCGAAGCGACTTGACCGTCAACTAGGACTTAGCAGGGTGGTGTGCTACAGTACATGGATTTTACAGATCGACCCCGGTCAAGTACCGGTCTACAGCCACATACGCACGGCGCTTATGCCACGTGGGAACCTTGTGGCTACTTTGTGGCCGCTGCCTGCACTGTCCCGACATGGAGACCGACCTATACCGACGTGCATTCAGCCTGATCGCCGCGGTCGGGTCTCGATCCTTGCTTCGTCTTGGGTTGTTATACTCGATGAGCAAGACTTCGAAGAACTTCAAAGCGCCGCACACGCTGGCTTACGGGATCGCGGCGTCGACCGAGCCAGCCCGGCCGGCCCCAAGTTGACGTTCAAATTGGGGTAGCAAACATTGTAAGTTGTAATGACCTCGTGCGGTATGATCAACCATACTATCATATTCAGACGGATACTGATGCTCACTGCAGCCTGCTGGGACCGTACACCATGACTTGAACAATGACACAGGATAAGCGCCGTCGCTTGTGGTCAGCGACGTAGTACAAAAGCCTCATGTAGGCCTCATGCCTGGCAGTGCGTGCTCATCCTCCTCCTCCTCCATCCCAAAGCCAATCAAGCTCAAGAAACCGAGACTCTGATGTTCACGTCTCCTTCATACCCAGCTCCTTCGTCTCCGGCTCGTACGTCCACCAGTGTGGCGCTCTCGCGCAAAGCAAGCGTCCTCATATGGTGGCCTCCAACTCATATGATAGCTTGTATGGATCTTACCACGGGCTTATCTTTATTCTCATATGCGTCCTTTTCAGGTTTTGACCCCAGCACAGTCGGGCCTGTAACACCGGACAACCTTCTCCGCTGGCTCAATATGCTCGTCGACGTCAGTAAAAATGGGGAACTGACGATTCAGAGAGTCTCGGTGCGGCAATGGGCACCGTTCATGTATTCTGCGAAGCCATTGGAAAAGATCCCTTCCTCTGATGTGCTAGACCAGGGGGACTACGGCTGCTTCTACATAGGTGTGTATTTCAGGCAGTCCACCGTGCAGCGTGATGCAAAGGGTACTCGGTTGAATATTCTGCTATACTCCAGATGCCAATAACGAGCCTATGATCATACGAGGAAGACTTCCCTTCAACGGGCTGGATCGGAATCCTTCACTAGCAAAAATGAAGGAAACATGAAGCGTCGAGCACAGAGGCCGCAAACTACAGGATCAAGCACGTGAGTTATGTACTGTATCATGCCTCGTCGCTGTTCGTGACTGTTCTCTGCCGATATAGTACACTATACCGAATGAATTCCAAGAAGTGGCAACCCGGCGCGACAGTGCGAAGTGCTTGTTCACAGGATGTACATCATCGCAAGATAGTCCTGTGGACGTGTATTGGATATTCCCTCCAGGAATGGCTGACCGCGTAAATCTAGTCCGACATCTCTGTGACGTGACATGCCTCACGATTGACATAGATTACGACACTTCGGGGGAAGAGAGACGGCCACTTGCCACCTCTCACGGAGCTTTTTCTTGTCACTGACAATCTCATCTCTGTACAGACCGAGATCTATCAGCTGTGGCATATGAACGCTTTCAGCGTCGACGTTGATGTCAGTCATGCAGTGTTTCACGCTACGACATTTTACTAATTCCACCATATTGGATCGCGTAGGATGGCTGCCGAATACGTATCCTCACTGAAGAAGCCAAGAATGCTGGCTTACCCGATCGTCTCACATCAGTACCAAATCGCCTTGCATCGGAGTTCTTCCGCGAACACTTCCGTCATACTTTGTGTGTCAGGTTCCTCGGCGGTGACATCACCGTGGACCCGATGTCAGTCCCAGAACACTATGTCGCACATGGCCTCGACGAGGAAGGGGATATCAACGACTTTGAACCCTCGAACAAGGTGTTTCAATCGGACATCGGGCGGGAGGTTATGGTGAATACGATGAGGGAACGATTGGAGCACGTAACTATGGAGAGAGCATCAGGAAAACCCCATCTGACCATTACCGTGAATACTCAAGGAAATCTGATAATATTGAGAGAGCGCGTGATTTGGGTGAATTTGAACACCATTATACCGAATGTTGATAGCGGTCTGCAAATTCGAGACCATGAGCACGAAATCTCAGTACATCAGAGAGCAAATCAGTAATCCTGTTCAAATCTCAGTGCAGACTTAGAAAAGCAGTACTTTGCCGAAGGCATTGAGGAATACACTACTACTAGTAGACGAGAATCTCATTCCAGGAATTGAACATAACCATGTCAACGAGAGCCAACAAATATCAATTGCAATATTGAGCTACAGTACTGTACATTGCATCGTGGTAAACAGACCCGCATTCAGCACGCAGGTAGAGGGCATGACTGACTTAACTTTTCAAAGCAAGCACTTGCGAAGATTCGTACAATGTGTGCGAAGATACGGTTGAGCGCGCCAAGTCGGACGTTAGGTGTGCGAGTGGTCCGAACATGCGCCTTGCGGTGCACGGGTGGGCTAGACACGTGGGGCATGGTCGGGAAGGATGTTTGGTGGGCGGGCAGGCTGCCAGTAAATGTGCAATCTGTTGGCAGACTGGACGAAAGGTCAGCATCTCAGCACCGGCTTGACACTCACATGATCGCGCAAACAATGAGCACAAGTAATAGAGACCTCTGCAGATTCCAGTTCGCGAAAGGGCGGAGGCGGCGTTGAGTGCGAGTCACATGAAGGCGGGGTGAAGACGCAGGCAGCGAAAGCGTGCGAGAGGCGAGGGTGACGGTTGAGAGATGGGTCGTAGCAGAACGAGAGAGGCGCCGAGACGACGACGAGGACACTGGGGGCGACGCGGGGGAGATAGTGGAAGGGAGAGGTGCGGGCGTGGAACAAGACCGCGTAGCAGCACGCAGAGGGTGGAGGGGGGGCACAAGCGCGTCAGTAGCGGTGAGGACGCGGGCAGGTCAGTAGCAATGATGGCACAACTCACAGAGGGACACGGAGACGGGACAGAGGGCCGCACGTCGTGGTGACGGAGCGCGGCGGGGACACGACAGCGAGTCGTCACCGGCGGCCGCGCAGCACGCGACACATGGGAGAGGCGAGCGGCGCCGCGACCGTCGCGTGTCCGCTTTGTCGTGTCCAAGGGCGGCGGCGGTGGGCGCGGACATATGAACGGTGCACGATGGCGTTGGTGCATAGGAGGACGGGAGAGGTGCGGAGACAGCAGTGAGGATGGCGGGAGTGACGCAGGGAAGGCGATGGGAGGAAGAGAGAGGTGCGGGCGCGGGGCAAGGCCGCGTCACGGCGCGTAGAGGGTGGAGGGGGCGCGCGGACGGGACAGTAGCGGTGCGGGCACGACGCACAGAGGGACGAGGGGACGGGGACGACTCACGAGAGGGTGGTGGCAGGCGGTACATCGCGGTGACGAAGCACGTCGGGGACACGACAGCGAGTCGCAGGTCGTGACAGGCGGTCGCGTAGCGCGCAAGGGTGCGGTGGCGCGGTTTGTACGTAGGAGAGGCGGGCGGGGTCATCGCGCGTCCGCCTTGTCGTGTTCGATGGCGGCGGCGGTGGGCGCGGGTACAGGAAGGCACACAGAACAAGGAGACTCGGACTTGCAGTCATTGCGGCGGTACGCATGTCACATGACTGCTCGCCCGAGCCCGGATTTGGCGCCACGTCACGTCTTGACTCTTCCCACTGTCAGTGCCTCCTCCTTCAGCACCGCCCCAACGCAAACAGCCCACTCGCTTGACCATCCACGTCGTCTTGATGCACATCTACTCTACTCTTCTAGCTGAAGCGCGTACCCTCCGGTGACCGGCTGGAGCAGCCGTGGTTTTGTACTACGGTGAGCTCATCCCCATGCCCATCAAGCCATTAACCTGCGCTCGCGCAAACGCAGACATATTCGCACGATTGGCTGCGAACGCGGGCATCTGGCCAATCTCGTAAAGTGCCGCCTCTGTCACGAATACATCCGCCATCGCGGCTGCCGCATACAACTTGTGCCCATTCTCTGCGCCAGTCGTGTCCGCCCTCACGGCGGTCGACACGATCTTGAACGTCTTCTTGTACGTCCTGCATCTGCCTGTCATTATTCTTCCACTCACATACATACCAGTATGCTGTACCCGATTGTTGCACGGCACCTCGATATGAAGGGTAAGCACATAGCTTTGATGTTTACTATATTTGACGCTCTTGTTTGCAGATGAGCAGGCATTCAAACTCCAATTCACATCTTGCGCAGGTCGACTTGTTGCAAGGGCACAGGCACGGGTGAAGGCGCGGACGAACAATCGACACGCGGACGAGCACGCACGCCGACCATGAGCATGACGGGCAACCCTGACACACAAACACGGCAGACGAGTGCGCCGAGTGTGGACAGACAAGGGAAAACGGGAGCGAGAGCGGCCGGGGACGAGTATGGGAACGGACACAGACTAATGGATCGCCGCGCGAACGAATGAAGGCGAGCGTGGACGAGTGGGAGCAGGCACGGACGAGTAGGAGCGAGTGCGGACGTGAAGGAGCAGACGAGCGGGGCCAGTGCAGGGGCAGACAAGGGGTGCGGGTACGAGCACGGATGACCAGGGGTCGTTGCACGACGAACAAACAACATCCGGTGGGAGTGGACGTTAGCAGGTAAGTCCCCACAGTGCATGCGGTGTACCCGCGGTACCACAGCCTGGGATGTGCATGAGTCGTAGTGCACCACTATCGGTATGTAGTACGAGGTAGATGAGTTGATTGATACGGGCACGCTAGTCATAGTACACTAGAATTGTGTTGTACTACGTTACACCTCAATTCATTCGATGTCACTGCATCCTTCAGAATGACGAACAGATGAGAGATAAGCCAGATAATAAGTGATATACACTGTGAGATCAGCTGCAAATGAGGTACGAATCGGTGAAAGCGGCTTGTATTGAGCATTCATTGGCTATAATTGTCGTTATTTCTCAAGCGAAAAGCAGAGGTAAGCAAATACTGGATAAATCAAATAATGAAGTAGTGGCCGTGATTCGCGATCTTTATCTGGAAACTTTGATAATTTCTTGCCATTCTCATATGAGGTTTTCCAGATGAGATGACCCGCACGCATGACGCGATGGAGATAACTGAACTTATCCCATGTATAGTATGTTGTAATTCGCCGTGTTGAAATGGAACACACTACCGCTCAAGCGCTCACTTCCGAGTTCAGCTTACGAGGCGCAAAGACTTGGAGTGCCACACAGGGTTTGCCGCATGGATATCCGCTTTGTGTTAAGTCCCAGGGCATTTTTGAAAGACGACGCGAATATGCTAGTAGGAATGGGCGGCATATCTGAGCGTATGCCACTGCGAGGTGGGCTAAGAGGTACTACTCTGAGCATGTAGCCTCCGAGTCGCGCCTGCCAGCGCGCATCATTGCTCAGCGCTCGCGCATGGTCCAGGTCTGCAACGTGTCATGAAAGTGGATCACGAATCACCGTATGCCACGACTACGAAGAGTCGGGACGGTGAGAAACAGTGGCTCGAGTTTTCGTTGAGGACTGTCCGGCACATCCAGTACGTAGCGAGTACCGCAGACAGGGCGCCCAGGTGGCGCGTCTTATCGTGCGCATATGACCAGTCAAGCAATGAGCTTGACTAGGAACCAGCCATGGGGAGTACGGCAGCTATGTGTTCGAGGTCTGAGTACACCGAAATGTGCATGAATAGTATGTAGCAATTACGCCGAAAGATACGTTCGTCCAACTCCATGCAACCCGGGCGCGACCCAGAATCGCGGCATTACAAAACGAGTCACCTGTCACTTCGGTGTAAGCCAAGCCGCTCGATAGTTCATGTTGTGTACGTCTCACCAATAAAGCAGGGGTTGGACAACTTGAGCACGGTCAACGCCTGGGAGTGGTCCTACTCCACGCTGATTCTAGACCGCTCACGTACCACGCAGGCGCCTCCTGAATCTCGAGTCGCTTCTGCATCTTCTCGATGTCGGCATGAGAGATTGTCCGGCCCAGCTCGTAGTTTGAGTAGATGCATATCACCATCTCGTGTGGATAGTGCAGCGCGTACCGGACCCTGAACGGCTGCCTACTGATGGATAGATGGCGCATGTCGACGCTGGTTTCAATCGCGATGGCATACAAAGCGCACTGCGCAGAGCTGTACTTCTCGACGTATCGCTCCTCTTCCTCCTCATCGTCTTCTTCGTCCGTGTCGCCCCAGTGCACACTCTCCACGTCGCTGTCGCCGTCCTCAGAGTCCCCAGAACGCAAGGGAGGTTTTGTGGAGCCACCGCCGTAGACCAAGAGTTGATGTTCTTCGGCGTATTCGAGGAGCATGGGCAAGACTCGGAGGTCGCCGATCGACCAGCCGTATAAGAGAACGGGAGGCTTCCATATTTCATTCAAGTCTGGAATCAAACTGCGATGAAGTCTCGGCAGTGGTTTCGTGATAGAGACGCGTTCAATTGCCTGTAAACATCAGCAAGAGAGAAATTCCGGTCACAATGGACGGAACCTACTTCGTCGGTCAACCGCCCGCGCTTGAAGGGAGGTTGATTGTATGGAGGCAGTAGACCATGCTTCTTGTCTGGAGAGTCAAGCGACGGTAAAGTGAAAGAGGCGATCTCAGAGCTGCGCAGCGACATGAGCGCAGCTACGATTCCGAACGTCCCGTTCGTGGCCACCGTGTTCAATATACACGCGGGCGCTTATGCCCGGCCACCACAAACTTGAAGCTTTGCCGATATCGATAATGATGCGGTTGAGCTCGATCATGGCCACCAGCTTGCTCAGACGTACGTCTATGTAGTGCTTTGTCTATCCTGTCACCTGTGTCAGAGTCGGAAACTTCCCTGAAATTGAAGGTCATTCCAAAAGTACGTGGCGGTCGCCACTGGCAGTCGCGTCTGACTCTTACCGACAAGATCCAAAACTTTGTTCGTATCATACCGAACGAAACGGGATCCGGTCAAATCATAGCCCAACGTGAATAAATGCTGCCCATTGCAGTGGAGACATGTCCGACTTCTGACACGCCCTGATCGCTGCGTGGAGCGCGCGAGCTGCACCACCCAAGTCGATCTTCTCGCCTTGTAGCAGATGTCGGTAGAACGACTCAGCGATGCGAGGTGCGTCATCATCGCTGATGGACCACATCGTCGCGACCGCTGTCTGAAATCCGGCAGACAGCATCGCAGACGCGATGTTGATGGACTCGTCGGGCTCCGAAGGGCTCAGCCGCGCCGTCTGGCACGCACTCAAGAACACGAGCTTCGCGTCGGAGAACGGGGTGCGCATGAGCCTGCTGACTGGGAGGCTTCCGTCACGCAGCACTATCGCGCTATCCAGAGGGTTTGGACGTGCGATGCCGTGGCACGCGAGATGGGTGATGTGGGACTTTGCCATCTCGGTAAGTACAGTCGGCTGTGTTGCGTCCGGGCCTTGCACGCGGCGGGTATGTGAAATCGAGCAGAGGACATCCTCGATCATTTTGAGTTCGACGCCGACGTTTGGAATGGGAGGATGACCAGGTGAGTCGGCTTGACCGACCAGCAAGACGTTGATTGGGGAGTGCGCGGCAGATGGTGTCGATGTCGGGAGGATATTTGACAATGTAGGTGTGTAGGACGAAACAATGTAGTCGGACGCACATGGCCCAGATGTCTTATCGTATATTCCCGCTGCATGGACGGGTAGTAGTGCTAAAGCACCAACGGGACACCACGTAATACGTGGAGGATCGTCACGCATCTACAAAACAGAGGTAAGCCACACACATGGCAATACAGGCGACGCCGCACCTCTCCACTGACGCCAATGAAGTCTAACACGGGTTTGACAATATCCCGCCATATTGCGCCCAGCAGACGAACAAGAATCACTTCTTCGCGCTGAGTCTTCTGAGTCTTCTGGCGAGGTTGGCCGCTGTATCGGTATGGCTCTATGAGATGCGTGAGGTCCATAGCCTGGCGAGCCCCTCTGTTGGCTTGTTTCAGAGTGCCGCGCAGGCGATCAACCCAGTCGGACACTCGGCTGCGTGAGATGGATGGCAGAGGGAGGTACCTTGGTGAGGGCTCTCGCTCCTCGACGATCAGAGCGTAACCCGACTGTTCCGTACAAGCCAGCAGAACAACTGTGGACGATGAAGCGGCCTGCCTGAGCCGTTGATATGGCGGCAGCCGCAACAAGTCTTCACAACCCTCGACATTCCGCGCTTCTGTGAGCAATCGCTCCCACTCTTCTGCAAGCGCACGTCGTTTCGGTCCTTCGCGGATGATGAACGCGTCTTGCGCTTCCGAGTCGCCCTCCGTCCGAGTCCGGAAACTGCTGATGTTGAGGTCCCGCGCCAGTTCGGCGAGCCTATGTGCCAGCTCGGGCTCATGCTCCATAAGCTCTGTCATAGGCGTCTTGAGCCGCAGAGCTTGCCGCCAGAATACGGATCGTCCGTATTCGAGGAACTCGACGGCTTTCGGGAGGTCGTTGTGGCGGATGGCGCACGCGGCAGCATCTGAGGCTACCCCCGACGCACTTCGCGTGAGAGATTGGTGGCGATCGCGGATGTCCAACCCTAGAGAGGCGAATTGGGGCAGTAGCTCCATCACGACGTCGTACGCCAGCAGTGCGTCTGCGTCGTGGTTTGCGTCAGCTATACGAGCCCAGGATAAGGCGCTACTGTATCGAGCGTGAAGGGATGCCGCTGGTGTCTGTGCAGTATCGCGTAATGCGGTAATCGCCTGGGCGGAAAGTGATTTATCGAACGTTATCCCAGAGAGTATCTCGAGCGATTTTCCGAGGGATATCTGATAGTCAGCATAGTGTGGGTTGGAGGGGGAGATCCCAGCGAGGCAAATACGGAGCGTCTTGATACTGGACTCCAGATCGTCTGGTGTCTTCGAGAGTACGTAGCGACTGCGATACGCGTCGCCGAGTAACGCATTTAGACCCGGCCTACGAACATCGCTTTCAGCTGTGTATTGCAGGGCAGTTGTCGCTGCCGCGATGGCCTCGTCTACTTCGTGCACATTCAAAACAGAAGCGCGACTCATGAGCAAGGTTGCCTTGCACTTGAGTACGCTTGCCTGCAAAGTGAGGGGACAGCGCTGCTCCGCGGGAGTGAGCACGGTCTCAGCAACGCGCAGCAAGTTAGTAGACCCATTAAGCGCATGTCGCGCGAGTAGTACGCGGCAATGGATGAGGGCTCGCCGGACAAAAGCAGAGGTGAGGTCGCCAGAGACGTCCTCCAGTTCGTCCGCGTCGAGACCCAGGTCGTTGGGGTCGGGATCTACGTCGAATGCACCAGTACGAAAAGCATAATCTAGGTCTTCGATGCGACCATACCTTTCGTAGCGAAGCAGGTATGCCTCGGCCAAGTCGGTAGAAGGTGCATGCGGTAATGCGACGGCCTCCTCTATGTCGGCGGGGTCTCCTTCGCGGTCGTAGCGCGCAAGCAAGCACAGCGCGAGTGGCGTCCGGTAGAAGCCCATATCGTTCTCACCCAGAGAGAAGCTGCTGCTGACACGCCGTCCCATCACAATGGCCTTGTCCAAATCAGCTAGAGTCCCGTTCTGGACGTAGCGCTCCCAGAGCACCTGCATGCGATCCGCGATCGTTCCAGTGGACAGGTGCGCGATGGCGCTAGTCAGGTGTTGCGGGTCGCCGGTCCTCCTGTACCATGACGAGTAGACCATCGTTCGCGTCGGGAGGGACCTGATGCCAGATGACGAGCGAGACCCGGCTGCATCCATTTTGTCGAGAAACCGGAGGACCTCCGTCAGATCAGCGAAGTCAAAGGGCCAGGTAGTGGTGAAGCGCTCAAACAGATTCGCCGCCAGGTCACCGCATACTGCTGCGCTAGGTGACTCCGAGTCGGTTATCTGTTCGCGATACCACTGTATCATCCAGTCTCGCTGCTGGGCTCGCGACTCTAGCTGACGCGGAGCAAGGGGAGGAAGAGAGCCCATGGGCGTGGGTAGCAGCTGAGGGCCCATGGCAACCGGCCGGTTCTCCATGGGCCACACACTGAGCTTTATCGAACGCTTGTAGTCTTCAATGTCGTGACACGCGAAGTATCGCTCCTGAAACGCGTCCTCGAGGTTACGCGTCAGGACATAGAAGTCGTCGTCTTGGACATCGGTCATGTGCCACGCTGCCTGCTGGTACTCGATGGCTGCGTTCAGGTCGCGACTCTCCTTGCTATTGACGTACCGATGGCGAAACAGCGCCCCAATTGTCGAGTATGCTAACCCTCGAGCGGCAGTGTCCAGGAGTGGACCTCGTTGCAGGAGGTAATACAGATAGGCGTGAATCTCCCCGTCAATATCATCGAGGAGCAGAGATGGATCCGCAAAGTACAGAGGTCGTAGAAGGAACTTGGAGGGGGAAGGCTGTGTGACATCGACGGGTAGGTCAACATAATGTACGCGAACGAGCTGCGGATGCTGATCCAGAGGGTTGATCTCTCTCTCTGGAAACTGAAGCTTGGTCAGAGATAGACGCAATAGAGAATGAGCCAAAGAAGCCCACCAAACTCTCTGTACTGCTCTCGAGTGCGTCCGCTAGGGCTCTGTACAGTGTACCGTCGCCTCTTGTGATTTGTGAAATGTCATCCGCCGTGTTGCGCAGGAGCGGAACCAAGTCGAGCCGATCGACAGGTGGACTGCACAAACGGCTCAGGAATCGCGCCATTTCGGAAAGCGATTGAATACGCTGTGCTGATGTATGTGGATGTTGAGCAGCGAGCTGCCTATGTACGTCAACAGCTTCCAGCATCTCCGCTATGGCGCCTGTCTTCTCGCTCGCGCCGATGAGGGACGACAAGGCATTAGCAAGATTCTGGAGCACCGGCAATCTATGAGGATCGTTGGCTGGCCACAGGACACACGCAGAGCGGAGGAGCAGTAGGGACTGCTGCAACTCCGAGACAGACTTGATCCTGTGCAGCATAGAGGACCCCAGCTGGCCAGTTAGCGGCGCGTACAGATCGTGGTCTGGGTCACATATCGAGAGTGCGGCATTCTGGGTCGCAATGATCTCGTCGAGGTCATCGACAGTGTAGCTCTGGCGGTTGCTCGGAGGCTCCTGTATGATATGGTCGTGAAGCAAGCGCTCCGGGAACGAACGGCGCTGCAAAGCGACTGCGAGGCGGTGCATGGCTTCCAGCTGCTTCGGACTACCCTTTGGACAGACACGAGCGAGCTCGCGTCTCAGGTCGATGGCCTCGTCACGGTCGATGGGCTGGTGAGGCGCAAGCGCAAAACGTGTGTCGTAGAGGTGGGCCATCGACTCCATAGCGTCCAGGAACGGGTCGCTGCCTTCGGGATTCCTCAGGAGTACATCCTTGAGCTCGTCGATTTGACTGTCGAGCTCAGGGTAGGGATCCTGTCAAGCATTGGAGACGCGGTGTTTTGTCTTCTCAGAAAATATAGAACGCACTCTCTTCGCTAGTTTGACTATCGGAACTGCTGGACCCCCCATCTCCAGCGAAACTGGCATCCTAGCGACCATAGTGGTGGTACTATGCAGCGATCCTGTACGAGTCGAAAATTCAATCGAGGTATGTTGTCAAGACGAGGGAGCCTGTAGAGGTAGACGTTTGAGGACCATACGTTTGCAGTACCTGTTGCAAACCTGTTGAGTACCTGATGTACCGGAAACCCCTGCTTACATAATACATCCCCAGTACCGGTGCCTCCGGACTCTGGTGGGCTCATCTCCAACTCCGTATGCGTTCAATGTTCAATAATGTTCCACCCCACTGGCAGCAGGGCCTGGGCATATTTAACAACGTGCTCCGTGAACCACGAACTCGAGCTCATACCCATGGTGAGCTGCAAAATTCACTGATCATTGGTTCCTCTTGGATTTAGTACGCCTTGATCATGGGCTTAGGCTGCCAGGACTGCCCGAGTGAAAGCGGAGAGACCAGTCACATTGCGAGCTGCAGACTGGGAAGGTCCCACGTCACAAGAAGATCACAGCAAGGCGAATACTATATCCGCACTTGCCGCCGAAGTCAGGTATGATTTCGAGGGCGCCATAGGAAGGACGCGCGTTCGGCGGTACTATCTGCGCTCAGACGCAGATTCGCTGGCTTCTCTTGTGTTAAGTCACTCAGTTTGTCGTCCTTGCTTTTGGCGCTGATTGCGCACCGCTTCGAGCTTCCTCCACTTCAAGGCCAGTCTTCAGTTGGAACATCAACAAGGGAAGGTACGATTCATGCAACAACAGCAAATTCCATCGGCGTCACTCTGAATAGATACCTCTAGGATAATATCATGTCAGAGAGCATCGGTCCTCCTTCTGGGTGCGAGTCCCGTTCTGTACAGTATCATTGCTCATTGCTCAAACTCTGTCCCAGGCGACATGCGATACCTGCTGAGTACGCACTCTCGCTCTCCTGTTCGACCACTGCCGTCTCACGAGCTGATCAGATACAAGCGACTGTTCGCCCTTGTCATCGGGGTCAACAAGTACAGCAACACAGCGATCCCTTCATTGCAGGGAGCTGTCCCAGATGCAGAGGCAGTCGTAGACTACCTGCGTACCAAGCTGCAGGTTCCCACCGACCACGTCCGATGTCTTCTCGACGACTCTGCGACGCGCGCCGCGATCATCGATCAGTTTTTACAGATGCAGAAGGATACGCGCATCGAAGCGGGAGATCCCATTCTTGTTTACTACGCTGGACACGGCGGTGAAGCGAAACCACCATCAACGTGGCCCGAAACGAGCGACATCCAGACGCTCATCCCGCACGACTTTGGGACCACGGTCGATGGACAGACAGTTCATGGTATTCCGGACTATACACTAGGAGCGCTGTTGAGCCGCCTAGCGGAGACAAAGGGCGACAACATCGTACGTGTCAGGGATTTTTGACTTTCAGACAATCGCTTTTGCTCATCAGCCGTAGACAGTCATACTGGACTGCTGTCATTCCGGATCTGGCACACGGACCACGGATGCTGACTCTACTCGGCTAGGTCGAGGTGTGAACGTTCCTGACACCCTGTCCAATGGCTTGGACGAGTCGATCTTGAGTCAGGGCCTTTCTGGAGGAACACGTCATGCGGAGATTGCGTCAGGCTTTCTTCGCCGAGGACTGCGTTCTCATGTCCTACTCGCCGCCTGTGGCTCGAAAGAGGTGGCGATGGAGGAACAACGGCGGGGCGTGTTCACAGTTGCGTTGCTACGCACTCTCTCGACCGTCGGCGCACATCAAGTAACCTATCGCGATCTGCTGCGGCAGATGTACGCGCTACCTGGGTGAGTGGTCTCATATAAAAATGGTGGTTGACCCTGATATACTAGCCCCCGTCCAGGCAGAACCCACAGTGCGAAGGCTACTTCCAGGATCGAATCCTTTTCAACACTAAGCTCTCGGCCTCTCGCCCATTTCACTCAGTCCGCCGAGACGCAACAGCGTACACGCTTGAAGCCGGGTCTATCAACGGTGTTACGCTGGACTCTCGTTACGCCGTCTACAACACGAGGGATGGTCCGGCTCTTGGCATTTCTCCGCTTGCATACCTGCGTGTTTCGGAGGTGCATCCAGCCGAGAGCACACTCGTGACAATATCCGACCAGCCGGTCTTCGTATTGGGTCTCGGCCAGTCAGCATATGCCCTCCAAACAGAAGCTGGGACCGACCAGTATCTGCAGCTGTACGTCACAGAGGACGAACGCCGATCCTTCTTGCTCCATGCGAGAACAGATCATGCACAGAATGGGCTAGTATCGAGGTCTGCGATCTTTCGACTGGTGGAAAAGACGTCGGCAGACCTGGAAGTAACCATGGACACGTCTGCTATGCAGTTCACGATGCTTCATCCATTGATCGCAACTCGGGGCCTCCAACGTTTACCATTCCCTGTCGACCTCTCGTCCGACGACGTATACGAGACGCTGCATGCAGCATCGCGCTTCTTTTGGCATCTAAAGCGTACAAGCCCCCAGCCTTCACTTCAGCAGCAGGTGAGGATAGAGTTCAGACGACTACGGGAGGTCCCCGCGGAGGATGAGTTCGACGACCCGATCTATGAGCCGTATGGGCCGGATCTGAATGTCGCGGGCACAGTAGACCTCATCGTCGATGACGACGCTATGTACGGAATCACCCTCATCAACGAGACTCACATCCCCCTGTATCCGTCGCTGTTCTACTTTGGCAGCAGCGACTTGAGCATCAGTGAGCTGTTCACACCCGTCAGCTTGACTGAATACCCGCTAACTCAACGTTAGCGTCGTACTTCGAACCACCCACTGCGGGAACTGCGCGCGTTGATCCGCCCCTCGAGCCCAATGGGACACTTCCCATCGGATATGGCTCTGCTGGCGCGGCTCCGTACAACTACTACCTGTGGAAAGACCAACAACTCGACGTCGGGTTCTTGAAGCTCTTCCTGTCGACGGAGTATGTTGACCTTTTGCATGTCGCCCAGGGATCGCCCTTCCACGGGGACTATCGGGGAGCAAGAATGGTTCCCAGTCTTAGTCGTGCACTACTGTGGGACACGTCTCTCGTGACCATTGTACAACGGGCACGGCCAGCCGGAGGGGAGTGAAGTGGTATGTAAAAACAAGTCCAGAACGACGGCATGTGGATTTTTCTTGTAAATAGTAAGATTGCCTCGCTTGGGGGAGCGCAATTCGGCGCAGGGATAGTGCCATTGTAGTTGACACTGACTCTGGAGTGTATCGGTAAACAAAGCTATCAGCTCGACGAATCATGATAGACAAGCTCGGGGTAAGGACCTCTCAGGCATTGCACCGCCGCCGTCACTGCGGCCGCACTGAATCACGTGATCGTGATCATGTTCAACTCGCGACCGACGTGTCGCGACTTGCAAATCAATCATAAGTACCACCAATTGTACTTGCATCACGCACACGTCAACCCCGGGAAGACTTGGTGTTACTACGTTTCAGTTGATCAAGAGTTCTACTGCTTTTGTTCTGGCACAGATCCAGAGGGCACCGATCACCAATTGCAATGTACCAGTACCGTACGTCGTTTACTTCTTGAGTCGTCCCGGCCTAGGCTCATCCGGTAGTTCCAGGACAATTGCCCCGCTGAAGCGACGGCCTCCCGAACGGCATGTGCCTCAAGCATTTTGATCGAGGCAGACGGGATGAAGACTGAGTTTAGTGCTCACTAACAGAATGCAGCGGCGAGCTGAGCGGAGAAGCGGTGCGATATATGGTCATGGGCTTTGGTACGCTGTAGGTGAGCGTATCAACGTGGACTTCATGAATGCAACGAGCTTCTCATATTAGCTATACAGACTCTTGTTCGTGCACTATGTCGCCGTTCATAGTGCTTGATTTGTCGTTCTCAGACTGACGACCAATATTGGTAGTCGTGGAACACTGCACGTTGCGCATGAACATGGGGTACGTACCACATCATTATCTGTACAGACGTAACGCTAAAGGCTTTCCCAACGTGCCTATGTCAGCATGACCTCATACCAGAGCGCAGGGAGGAATCCTCCTACCGCACTTTCATATGGACATTGCTTCTGACTGAACGTACTCCGGAGTCCGACCAGAGGTTGCTTTTCGGCGGTCATGTACTTACCTCGCGGGAAGAACCATGCTAAAAATTGTACGTCGCTTTCCTCGTTCTCACTGGCATGCGACTCATGACCTATTATTTCCAGTGGAATATCCACGTATAGACCTATGGCTGGTCGATCGGCGACCTTATGCCAATGCTCCTCGAGTACGCGGAAGAACATCATGTCTTAGTCTACGCCGGTGGCTCCACGAAACCTCCCTCGCATTCTGGGGACTCCGACGTGGAGAGTGTTCACTGGGGCGACACGGACGAGGAAGACGAACAGGAGGAAGATGAGAAGTACGTCGAGAAGCTCTCCTCTGCACACTGCGCTCTGTATGCCATGGCGATAGAGGCTGGCTTGGACATGCGCCACATACCGAACCACCGGCAACCTTTCCGCGTCAGGTGCGCGTTGCACGATCCGCACAAGCTAGTGATATGCATCTACTCGAACTACGAGCTGGCGTACATTATCTCTGATGCCGCCATTGCGAAGATGCAGAAGCGACTCGGGATACAGGAAGCACTCGTGTGGTACGTGTGCAGTTTAGATCCCGGCCGACGTGGAGTAGGATTGCTCCTAGGTGGTAACTATTCTGTTCGAAACCATGCCTTGCTGGTAAGCCGTACGTCATGAATCATTGAACGGCCATACTTATACCGGAATAATAGGTGCCCCGTACTGTAATCAGGCGATGGTCGGTCTCGCCCATTGGCACGGACTCGAATGGACGTGTATATCAGCATGCTCGCCACTTCCTCTTTGGTCTAGTTGTCGATAGTGTATCTATTGTGGTGGAAGTTGTCAATATTTACGACATGGCCACTGTTGTCGTGTTGCCATGCACTTGAAGAGCCCGCCCACTGATATACGGTTGCGAATCGAGTACTTATGACGCGGCCGGACTGAAGGGAATCTCAGTCTCTCGTCCTACGAGTGCCCGATTTGTAGTCCTGCGCAACTCTTTCCCAGCGTGCGCGCGCTGCGAAGAGCGGTCCATTGCTTCAGATATACCCGGTAGAATGTGTGATCTCACAGACCAGCTGCAGGACGAGAACCAAATATCCGATTCTCAGATGACAGACGGATACTAATATATAAACAAGGCGCTGAATACCACATTCTTGGACGCCATCGGACGCGAATATGCGCTGTTGCCTTCGGCGACATCAGAGGAGAATAGGACCACCCGTCGCTCGAGTCGAGAACTATACTGGCTAAGCGTACATACATTAAGAGTAGCCCACGCCGAGTCGCCACTGTCGCTGAAAGTCTGCAACGTGCCATGAACGTGTGTGACGATTCACCGACGACTACGAACAGTCGGAACATGAGAAGCAGCGATTGGGGTTTCGTTTGAGGACTGTCCGACAAATCGAGTAAGTAGGCGTCGAGTACCGCAGACAGGGTGCAGGCCGCCCGATAGGTGGCCCGTCTCGCGCTTCCAAGTTGCGCGTCTTATCAATGAGTGTTCCAGTAATGAGCATGACATTGACAAGGAACTGGTGAGTACGGTAGATAGATGAATATGAGGCCTGTGGATATACGGAAACGTACATGCTACTTGCCGTCTCGTATCAATAAGACATGCATATGTAGCAAGTACACTGATGTACACGTCCATCCATGTCCATGCAGCCCGGGCGCAACCCAGGACTGCGGTGTTACAATCTACGGTATAAGTTGAGTCGCTCGATGGTTCATACGGTGGACGGCTTACCAACAAGGCATACAATCACCACCTAGGAGCAATCCTACTCCACGTCGGATCTATACTGCTCACATACCACGCGGGTGCTTCCTGTATCCCGAGCCGCTTCTGCATCTTCTCGATGGCGGCATCAGAGACAGCGTACGCCAGCTCGTAGTTCGAGTAGATGCATATCACAAGCTTGTGCGGATCATGCAACGCACACCCGAGGGTGAAAGGCTGCCGGTAGCTCGGTAGGTTTCCCATGTCCACGCTAGCCTCTAACGCTATGGCATACAGAGCGCGCTCTGCGGACGAGAGCTTCTCGACGTACTTCTCATCTTCCTCCTCCTCGTCTTCCTCGTCCGTGTCGCCCCAGTGCACGCTGTGCGCGTCGCTGTCGCTGTCATCGGAGTCCCCAGAACGTGAGGGAGGTTTTGTGGAGCCACCGGCGTAGACTAAGAGGTGATGTTCTTCGGCGTACTCGAGGAGCATTGGCATGAGATGACCAATCGACCAGCCATACAACAAAACGGGAGGTTTCCACCGCGCGTCCAAGTCCGGTATCAGGCTGCGATGGAGTCTGGGTAGAGGGTTCATGATACATACCCTTCGACGTGCCTGGTATTATCAGCAACTGAGACAGTCCTGCCGACATGGAAAGAACGCACTTTGTCGGTCAACGGCCCACGCTTGAAGGGAGGTTGGTTGTACGGAGGAGGTAGATCGTGCTTCTCTCCTGGGGGATCCAGCGAGGGTAGAATAAAGGAGGCGATATCAGAGCTGCGGATCGACATGACCGTTCAGAGAACTGAGCGGGAGGAGGTACTACGTGGAACATACGGAGGAGGAGGAGGAGGAGATGGGTCGGACGTCCCGGTCACTGGCAAGTCCCGGTCTACAGCAACATATATACAAGGCGCTTATGCCACGTGGGAATTCCGTGGCCACTTTGTCACTTGTGGCCGCTGCCCACGGGCCACAACGAAACTGTCCCGGAATGGACACCGACGTGGATCGTATTCAGCCTGATAACCGCGGTCGGGCCTAGATTGTTGCGTCTTGGATTATCATAGTCGATGTGCAAGTCTTTGAAGAACTTCAAAGCGCTGCACACGCTGGCTTACTATGGGATCGTGTCGATCGAGCTACCCCAGGCCGGCCCCTTGACGTTCATCTTAACGGGTAGCAAGCATTGTAACGGTGTGATCAACCATGTTATCAAATCCACACGGATACTGATGCTCGCTCCTAGGACCGTAAGTATGTCGTAGTGATGATACACGATAAGCGCCACCGCCCATGGTCAGCGACGTACGCGGAGTACGTACTGTCACGGCGTACCAAAACCTCATGTAGGCCTCATGCCTAGCAGTGCGTGCTCTTCCTCCTCCTCCTTCCCGACGCCAGTCAAGATCAAGAAACCGAGACTCTGATGTTCACATCATACCCAACTCCTTCGGCCTGTACGTCCACCGGTGTGACGCTCTCGCGCAAAGCGGACGTGCTCATATGGTGGCCTCCATTTGATATGATAGCTTGTATGAATCTGCGCAGATACTAGGTTTGTCTTTATTCTCACATTCGTCCTTTTCAGGCTTTGCGTCAAGCACAGTAGGGCCTGTAACATCGGACACCCTTCTCCGCTGGCTCAACATGCTCAACAATGTCAGTAAGAATGGCACTCTGACAGTTCGGAGAGTCTCGTTGCGGCCACTGGCGCCGTTTCAGTTTGCTGTCAAGCCGTTGAAAGTGAGTGCTTCTTCTGATGTGCTAGCCCGTGGAAACTACGGTTGCTTCTATGCAGGTGCGTACCGCACACAGTCGACCGTGATGCACTGGGGAATCAGTTGAACCTTTACTCTAGATGCCGATTACGACCCTAAATTTACACCACCGAGACTTCCCTTTGACGGGCTCAATCGGCATCCTTCGCTAGAATCCATGAAGAAAATATTTGGAACGTGGGAAACACCCGCCGCCGAAGAAAGGCTCAAATAGGTGAGCTTTGTACTGTATCACGCCTCGTCGCTGTTTCGGAGGAACCGAAAGAAGAGATATCCCGGCGCGACAATGGGAAGTGCTTGTTCACAGGGTGTACATCGTCGCAGGATAGTCCTGTGGATGTGTATTGGATATTCCCTCCAGGAATGGTTGACCGCGTAAATCTAGTCCGAAACCTCTGTGACGTGACATTTCTGACAATCAACCTAGATCACAACGCTTCAGGGGAAGAGAGCCGGCCACTTGCCACCTCTCACGGAGTTCTGCATTGAGACTGACAATTTAATCACCGTGCGGACCGACATCTATCAGCTGTGGCATAAGAACGCTTTCAGCGTCGACATTGATGTCAGTGATGCAGTGTTACACGCCACGACATTTTGCTAACCCTACCACATTGGACCGTGTAGGATGGCTGCCGAATCCGTACCCTCACTGAAGAAGCCACGAAAGTTGGCTTACCTGATCATCTCGCATCAGTACCAAATAGCTCTGCATCGGAGTTCTTCCGCGAACACTTCCGTCATACCCTGTGCGTCAAGTTCCTCGGTGGTCGTATCACCGTGGACCCGATGTCAATCAGAGAGCTTTTCGTCGACCATGGCCTTGACGAGGAGGGGACTATCGACGACTTTGACCCCTCGCACAAGGTGTTTCAAACGCCCATCGGGCGGGAGGTTCTGGAGTATGAGGCGAGGAAAAGATTGGAACGCGTAACTATGGAGAGAGACAACCCACGCGCATGGCGCGATGAAGATAGTTGAACGTATCACACGCACAGTATGTTGTAGTTCGACGTGTTTCAATGGAACCCAATGCCCGATACCGCTCACCTCCGAGTCCAGCTTGCGAGGTGCAGAGCCTTGGAGCGTAGCTATGGCGCGCCACGCAGTTTTGCACATGCCAGATATCCGCTCTGTGTTAAGTCCCAGAGCATGTTCGGGAAACGACATGGATATGCTAGTAGGAATGGGCGACATATCTGAACGGCTGCCACTCCGAGGTGGGCCAAGACGGCGCGGTCGGTACTAGGCCAGTACTACTCAGAGCATGTAGCCTCCGATTCACATCTGCCAGCGCGCGTCACTGTTCGCCCATGGCCTGTACGTGTCATAAAACATTGAAAGGGGATCACGAATCACTGCAGGCCACGAGTACGAAGAGTCGGAACGATGAGCAACATCGATTGGGTCTCAATTGAGGACTGTCTGGCACATCGAGTATGTAGCGAGTAAATTAGGGACTGGCTACGTTGAGTACGGCAGCTTTGAGCTCAGGGTCTGTGGTTACATGGAAACGTACATGCCAGTGACCTTCTCGTATTCATGTCGTCAGCAAGCCTTGATAGTATGTGGTAAACACATTGATGTACACGTTCGTCCAACTCTATGCAACCCGGGCGCAACCCAGGATCGCCAGATTACAACATGAGTCACCTGTCACTTAGGAGTAAGCCAAGCCACTCAATAGTTCATGTCGTGTACGGCTTACCAACAAAGCAGGGGTTAGACAACTTGAGCGCAGTCAACGCCTGGGAGCGGTCCTACTCCACCTTGATTCTAGGCCGCTCACGTACCATGCAGGCGCCTCCTGGATCCCGAGTCGCTTCTGCATCTTCTCAATGTCGGCATGGGAGATTGGCCAGCCCAGCTCGTAGTTCGAGTAGATGCATATCACCATCTTGTCTGGATAGTGCAGCGCGTACCAAACAGTGAACGGCTGCGTGCTGATGGTAGTATGGCGCATGTCGACGCCGACTTCTATCGCGATGGCATACAAAGCACTGCGCAGAGCTGTACTTCTCGACGTATCGCTCCTCTTCCTCCTGGTCGTCTTCTTCGTCCGTGTCGCCCCAGTGCACACTCTCGACGTCGCTGTCGCTGTCGTCGGAGTCCCCAGAACGCGAGGGAGGTTTTGTGGATCCACCGCCGTAGACTAAGAGTTGATGTTCTTCGGCGTATTCGAGGAGCATGGGCAAAAGGTCGCCAATCCGAGTCGACCAGCCGTATAAGAGAACGGGAGGCTTCCATGTTTCATTCAAGTCTGGTATCAAACTGCGATGAAGCCTCGGCAGTGGGTTCATGATAGAGACGCGTTCAATCGCCTGTAATTATTAGCAAGAGTGAAATCTCGAGGACAGTGGACGGAACTTACTTCGTCGGTCAACGGCCCGCGCTTGAACGGAGGTTGATTGTAAGGAGGAGGTAGGTCATGCTTCTCTCCTGGGGGATCGAGCGAGGGTAGAGTAACGGAGGCGATATCAGAGCTCCGTAACGACATGACCGCAGTATGTATGGACTACAGACGGCAGAGTGCCTCTGCGATGCCACGTCCTAGCCTCCTCCACGTGGGAAATTCGTCCGGCGACAACAACGTGAACCCGATAACATTGCAGTGCAAGTTCATTGAGAGCGACGTGGCGTCGGTCCCACTGGCGATTGAAAATCCAAAAACGCGCCGCCGGCGTGTGCCACCTACCAATATCAATATCAACGTGCGCCAGGCGTATTCGGCCTGAACACATACATACCCTGTCGGACAGTTACAGTCGTTGCTTCTCACCAATTCTTGGCACGTTGCAGGCCATGAGCGATGACGCCTGCTGGAAATGGTGAGTTGAAGGTTACTCTGATGAACAGAACATAAGTGCGCTTACTAAGAAACAGGACGTATACGTCGTACGCGTCTCAGTCATGGACAAGATGGGGGTTCTGAGTTCACTGCAAATGTGTTCCTTGGCTCGAGCGATATATGGTCCTCTTACCCGGTATGACTTCGCAAAAATGAAAAGCGGAGTACATAATCACGTACTAGGGCGAGTATAATGACGTTCAAGACCCGTATACCACGTTCCCTAGATATTGTCGTGGATCGCCCCTAGCAGAGACGAAGAACCAGTATACTATCAATAGTATACACAGCGGAACTGCCCAGACCCCGTGCCCTGATATTATGTCTGCGCAAGAAACCGTCTGTGCTGCGATAGAGAACAACGCAGCACGCTCTGTGGATACGGTCAACGCGGCATTCGCAGCAGTAGAATTAGACACGCACACTCCATCAAAAACGAAGAGTCAGAACAAATCTTGATGAACGCTTAGACCCCACATCCGTTCTCATTGCCACGAAGTATGCCCACCGACGGCTCATCGCTCCTCTCGTTATCTCTCTCGGTGTGTCCCGATAGCCGCCCGCGGTCCGCAAGAGTGTCGACATCCGGATATAGATCGTCGAGGTTCAATACGACGCTCGATAAGTACGGTCCCCGGATGGATTGCATTTCAGCGAAGGATCCGTGCGAGGACAGTGGAGTGGGCTGCGAGACGGAGGTCATTTGCTTCGCCGCAGAGATCTTGCGAAGGTCCAGGATGAACCTCGAGATGATGATTGAAGTAATGCTGTATGCACGTGTTGGCAAACTCAGTTGGCAGCTGAAAGTGGAAACGCACGGATAAATAAAAGACAAAACGATGTCGTTGCACTGCAAATTCGTCAACATGATTACGTGTCTCACACAGGGAATAGAAAGTGCGGCTCACAGAATCCAAAAGAAAAACCATCATCTGCGCCACGTTGAGGAGCAGTAGAGTCCTATTTGCAGTAAGAGAAGTATCTTGCCAAAGTGTATCTGATCCTCGTACATGAAATACAACACGCCTATACTGAGGGTATTGAGCAACAGCCACAATTCACGACGCGCAACGTACCGTTTCTAGACAAGGTAGAAGTCAGAGCTGACTTGCTCGTCGTACCATAAAGCACATCTTTGACGCTCGCCGGGATGTTACGGGCTATAACCACTAGCACTAGAGCATCGGATGCAATGGTACAGCAACGTGTCACGATGAGTACTGCGTGAATTGATGTTAACGACAAGCCTCAACATCATTTGGAGGAAGATTGTTTACACCTTGTATGAGGTTGCACGCCGTGCGATCAGTATAAATGTCTGTACTAGAACGTTTCGTGGCTCCTACCTGATCTGTGTCCGCTTTGGGGTCGTAGCCCCACCCGAACATATTACCGATGCGCCGATCTGGATGGTTTCCATGGTTGTTGCCACGGCTTCATACTTAACATACGACGCACATTACTGCCTGAATTGTATCATATGGGTATAGTCACCTTACCAGATTCATGCCTAACGGCACAAGCCCCAAAATCAGGGTTATCGCAGTAAGCCGGAGATTGCGACCACTAATTGCGTAGACACGTAGTGCTGAGACAGCTTCACAGAAAGTATCAGGCCTTCTGTCGACGACGTAGGCACGACACGTACCTGCCCATAGTATCATAGCTATCATAGTGAGTGCTATCCAGAGAAAGCTTCTGATTAGACAGCTGAGCGGAGTCACGTCAGGTGCTAAGTCCAGCGTATAAAAGGTAGTAACAGGCACCTCTATATCGGCTTCAGTACGTCTTTCCCAACGCTGATGGTAACATACGTACCGACACGGTATGCCAGATGGGTAGAACACGTAGAATCAACGCAATGCACATCCCCCACATGTTCACCCGGTTCAACAGAAATATGACCGCGAAACCGCGATTTCCGCAACCCCATACATGGTGGATTTCGTCATCGAAAGTGACGAAATAATCGTAAACTGCGAGAGCTACGGATAGCGTCAGCCTTGACTTTACGCAAGTAGGCTCAGAGTAACTGACCTGTGGCAGCTACTTCGCAATAGTCACAGATCGCCCTATCGATTCATAGTTGTAATGTCAAATCGTGGTGACTCGACAGAATCGCACCTTGCTTGAAGCTGAGCCAGCGGATCCGGTGTTGCAATACAGTACTCCATTATCTCTTGCTTGAAGCCGCCTCCAAAGAGTAGACAGCAGCCACCGCTGGACGCTGTCTCTCATATAATCCTAGCAAGACCAGATCAATCGACAAGAATAGAATTCACAACGTGGCCACTCACAGTGGTACCGGAAGGTGTACAAGTGGCGTTCTGCCGGTGGGAAAGATTCCGCAACGTTGGACAGTAATTTCCGCATCGTGAGTGGCGTAGGATCAGAGTCCACGCATGCATGCTTGGTGGGAGGCGCAATCCGAGACACTGCCTGTCTCACACATGCACGCGGAGGACATAAGCTCCTCCGTGGCCACTCCGATCTATCACAGCGCGACAGAGAAGGTCACAGATGCCCCTCGGTGGCGACTAATTTGTAGATAATAAGAAAGCTCACGTGGCGCTGTGGCTGTTCCAATCACAAAGGACCACACTGTGTCACTCGCGCTGATGATATCAGACAAGCATTTCCACTTTCATTCCACATCGATTCCGCATCCGAATAGGCGAACGCAGAACGTCTTGCTCTCGTTGCATGAACTATGCATGACGACAACCATAGTCAGTCGGCTAAGCGTGGGGCCAAATGCTCACCGACTGGAAGACTCCCAGCTCAACCATACTTGAGTTTTTGCTGAGTCAAAAACGGAGAAGAAAGAGGAAACCCGACTGAGCATTCCCTATCCTTCCGCACTTTGATGGACAACGTGCCAAGCGCAACCCTGGTCGGGAGCACGTCCAGGAGGGGCCTGGAAAGTGAAGATTCTGACGCTTGGTCACATTCAATTGCGGAGATTGAACGATCTAAGCAGCGGGGAAGCAATCAGCTACGCAATTCCATAACTCTCTCTGCACAGTCGTATATAGTAGTGACCCAGCACGTACACAAACGCACGCTTGGCCCGAGACAGTACTGCTAGTCAACTGAAACACACCTGCGTTAATTGCTCTGAACCATGGCGACCCTGGTGGAACATGGCGTCCATGGTAGCCGTGCCGAGTTGAACGCGAGGCTTGGTGGCCGGTACGTACGCCCACCGCCCCAGGTACCCGTCATGACACTAGAGCCTGGAACATCCGTTATGGTACACAATACCTTCTCTTGAGGTACGTACGCATACAATACCGCACCGGCGCCCAGTGGTCCCCTGAGAGCACATTACGCCTGTATGTCAGTCATATAATGATCCGATGTACCAAGTTGGAGGACTCACCCGCCCTAACATGCGTATAGAGCCAGGAAGGCGACGCCACCGGATCTTATGAGAAGACTAGCAGAAGCCCGTGCTCCGCTACGGCTATAGACCGTGCTGCCTCCATTTCACCAAGCTATCTCACCAAGCTATATACATATGAGGCGAATAGTATGCGTACAGTATGCAGCTCAGAACAGTACTTGTGATTCTGATTGCACAAATCACTGGCACCGGATGATCTGCTGCTTCAACCCTAACATTCACGCAATGATACGACCTGCGAGGTTTGTCAATAAGTAGTGGTAGACTGTTAGACAATGTCTCTGAGGGCTGGACACAGACAGCAGGCCGCCTGCGGGTGCGCAGGGTGCATACCGCGCCCGCAACCCGCGTACAGGGCTACCCGTACCCTACCTGTTGAATGCGCGGGCTGGACAACTTGCGCCCGCACCCGCCGTTCTCTCCTCCACTACCACCATCTCCTCCTCCCGCTTGCTCGCCCTCACAGTCGCCCGTTTCCGCGATTTGCCCACCCTCGCGTTCGCCTGTCCCTACTATCCTCTGACCCTCCCCTCCCATTCCCACCGTCTGCTCGCACTTGCTCTCATCTGCACACTCGGCTGTGATCCGCTGGCAGGCTGCGCTTGCACACAGGTCATTCGCCCTGCATGCTCGCCGGCCCTGCCCGCCGCCGCCGCCGCCGCCGCTGCTGCCTCGTCTTCGCCCACCGTCCTCCACTCGCCCTCGCCCGTTCTTTCCCTATAGTACGTGTTGAGTACGTGCTCGCAGTCCATTCGTTGGTCATGTTGCGCTCGCAATCGCCACGCGTCTCGTCGCCCGCGTGTGCCCGCCCACTGTTCCGCTCGCCCTGTCCTCAGCGGTGTGCCTGTTGGGTCCGCATTTAGCTCGCTTGCTCGCATGCATCTGCACGCATCTTCCTTGCCTTTCCTTTGCTAGCGTGCCCGCGGTCCGCTCGCCGACTGCGTCAGCACGCAGTATACTGTTCTGCTTGTCCGGGTCTTTCTCGTTGGTGCCTGGGTCGTCTGTGCAGATGCCAGTTCCCTCTGGTTCCGGCAGCCTTCTCGTGTTCATTTCTTGCTCGTCCAAACCTTGTTACAGATCAGTACTTCCAAGTCAAAGCAGAACAGAATGCATACATACAGCACGTTCCGGCGTGAACAGGTCATCGAGCACTGTCTCCATTACTACACGCGACCACAGCATGCAATGAGCCCGTGTCTCCAACTGGTCTCACTAAGTCCTGATGTCGATGGTACCACGGGTCAAGGATCGTTCGTGTAAAATTCGAGGCAGATGAACGCTGAATTGCAAACCTTCCTTGTCGCGCCCACAACTTGAATGCTCGCCGGGCTCTTCCTGGGCGTCTCCCCCCCTCCCAGATCGTGCAGGATACTTGGATATATGGAGGAAGAGAGTCCGCTATGCCCTGTCACCAGCCATTCAGCCAGAAATGATCATCGAGGTTAACAATGAAGAGACACGACGATGACCTTTCCCGCAGCGCGCGGTCAAAGAGCGCTCGGGGCTCGGGCAGCGCTCGGTGCCCGTCTCTCAGCCAATCAGATGCTCTCTTTGTCTCCCGTGCGAATTCCACGCCTCTTGTATTATAGATGGAAGCGTAGAGCGACGAGACACCAATGCAATCTGTCATCTGGAGCCACTACTCCGGCGACTCGCAACACGAGTCTTCATACATCCATGACGCACCATGCGTGCCCCCAATGCTCGCCCAAAGATTGGTTGCAAACCTCTATCGCCAGTCCGAACGCTGTATACATGTGCAGATCAAGCGTACCCGGCCCCGCTGACGCATGTGGCTGTACACCACCGACAGGTGGAACAGCGATCCACCCGATGGTTCGACGTCCCGAGTGAGATGGCCACAATGATTAAGCCAAGAACGAATCGAAGAATGAAGATGGTCATGCTATGCAACGTCAGTACGAGCGGATTGTGAAGCCATGGACGGCCGGCTGGAAGTCGGTAGGCAGGGGATCTCACACCCTGACGTCGGATGCATGCAAAGATCATGCACGCTTCATCGCGTGTACGATAAGGAGAAGAGCACGGCAGAAGGGTAGGTCTACACAGGCATGAACATTCTAAAGAATATGAAACATACTAGACACTCACTCATCGAACACCGGCCTGAAGGATGTCTCGTGAACGTCGCAGACTATCCTTTACAGACTCCTGTCACCACGGTCGTTACAATACATCCACGGGTCAAGACGGCGTCGGGAGGCTCTTGCTCGACTTCGTTGGTGAGCATGAGACGCAGTGCACACACCGTCATAGTAGGTGAGACGCTATCATGGATCTATTCCAACATATAATCAATGTTCTGCAAGTTCAACGACGTTTCAGTTTCGGCGGCGTCAGCCGCCGACACAGCTACGAGCGCAGGGAAATGATCTCTTACGCATGATGAATCTGTGCTCCTAGTACGGATGCGCAGGTCTTGAAGCGCTGTACTGAATCGACCGACTGCAGACTAGAGCATCGAAGTCATGAATCTGAAGAAGGATTGGTGAAGAAGAGAGAGGAGAAAGCTCGTGCGGCTCTGCCGCCATGGAGGAATCCATGGCCGTAGTCATCGCCAGGTCGTCCGACGTCGCGGCCTGCAAGGCTTGCGTCTCCGCCAGCTTCGTGAGTATCACGTGATCGCGCCTTTCATACAAAAGTTCGCGACGCAGAAGTTAAAGTTTCGCGAGCAGCCCGAACACACCGCAGTGGATATCCAGTCGTGTAGTGACTGTAGCTAGAAGTCTCACTGTGTATCCTGCTATCTGTCATCGACTGGGCGTACACGAGCCCGACCGCCCACCAGAATTATCTAAGACGTACATGTTGCAACTCAATTTTCACGAAGCTGGTCTACGATACACAGAGGTTTCAAACTTGACAGAATCAAATGGCGCACTCAAAGAAGTATATCCGTAGGGTTTGGCGAATCATTGCATCTCTCGGTCATGATGTAGTATACAGGCATCGCAAACCGACCGAATTGACAGCGTCAAGAGTGGCGCGACGTGCCATGATGCTGCATGATGAGACCAAGTTAAGCATCCGCGAAGCCGCGAGAGCAGATACCGCGTACCTGCAGCCAGCTCATGCTGGTCAAATTTACTTGCTCTTCGGTGGCTCGGCGCAGCCGCACGCGGGGTAGGTGCAGGAACCGCCGTTGGCCTGGACGTTGGCGCAGGTAGCTTTGTCCTATGGCACATCAGGATTCGTGATGAGCCGCTGTTAGACGGGTGGAGCGAGGTGCGGTGTACTCACAGACATCGTGTTCGGTGGTTGGTGTTGGTAGTCGAAGACTGAGATTCAGAGGAAACCGAACTGCCTCTTTATACCTGACCATCCGAGAGGAACGATGTGGATGTGGTCTTCGCGGACGGACCACTTGGAGATGTAGGGCGAGGGATTGGATGAGGCGTCGGGCCAATCGGAGGACAGTCGTTAGGCATGCCAACCCTCGAGACCTGCCGTTTACGACGATCTGCGAATAGCGAGCTCTCAACTGGTGCTGGCGACACCTGGAGCTGAGGCGGAGCATGGTGATATAGCCGTCTCCTTCTTACAGCCACAACTGACACGCCTCTACAGGTCTGGCCCGTCTGAATGCAGCCTTATCGCGGACCTATGCGAAGAACCATGAATTGTCATCGCCTCTACGCACCAGCTGTTCCACCCATTCAGGTTACTGAGGCTTCGCCCTAACGCGACAATAAATGGGATTTACAAACAAACAGGTTACTGAGGTAAAGTCCTGCCTCGCACATCCGCGGATCATGCCGCTGCGATGTAGAGTTACACGCGGGTCGGCCGCTGTTCGGGAATCATACACTGGCGACGATACAATCGTACATTCATTGTTCTTGAACTTGAACTTCTTCCTTCCCTCCTAGCAACGCTTACCAGTGCAGGCGGTGCGTCGGGCACTGGTACCCAGTTGGGTTCTTGTGCAGGTACTCTTGGTGATAGTCCTCCGCGTCCCACCACTGGCCCGCGGAAACGATCTGGGTAACAATCTTCGTGCCTGCAGAAGCAGTGATGAATGACCAACCAAGTCCGCGGACAGCGAGGTGGACGCACCAACGGAATCAAAGTGCTTCTTCTGCACTTCCTCAGTCACGCGGCGGGCGATTTCGAGCTGCTCCGGGGAGTGGTAGAAGATGGCCGAGCGGTATTCTGCGGGGAGCTCCCGTGTAAGGCGCGCGCGCATGCGTCAACTGAGATGGTACGTACGAGTGCCCGTATCGTTACCCTGCCTGTTCGCAGTCGTCGGGTCGTGCGTCCGGTAGAAGAACTCTGCAGCGCCGTGAGCTCAGTCAGCACCTCAGTAGCCCCCGGAGTTCCGCTCTTGACACGCACCGACGAGCTCGCCGTAGCTCACGACGTTCGGGTCGAACTCTATCCGCAACGCCTCGGCGTGGTCCGTCGTGCCCGTGCACACCGTGCGGTAGTCGGGGTTCTTCGCATCCTCCTTCCCGCCAGTGTACCCGACCGCCGTCTTGAGGATGCCCTTGTTCTGGGATATGGGATAATGCTTCAAGAAGATGTGCTCGACCCCCCAGAAGCACCCTGCGGCGAAGGTCGCGACTTCTGGTGCTTTACCTGCGTCGGACGCGGACGGTGAGTACATCGTGTGTGCGCTGAGTGGTTGACCGTACCTGACATCGTTGTGATATTCGCGGCGCGGTTGTTCTGTAGGAAAGCTTGCGATGACAGTGAAGACAGAAGAGAGAGACGAAGACGGTTGATGGTAGCAAGCATGAGACTGGTCGTTCTGACCAAGCTGCTGTTCACACCTTGCGCCATCGTATGGCGTATGGCACGTGATCGAGGCGTCACGATGACAAGATGCATATGACTTCAAGGATACATAGCATATGAAGCGAGCGATAATCATACATGAAAAGCCAATGCACGATTTACTTTCAGATCTGCCAAAATTCCCGACTATTCTCTGTCGTTTTAATCGTCGAGCGAGTGTTGTTTAAGGCGTAGTACTACTTGTGGATGACAGGCGCTCGACAACTGTTGGTTCTGTGGGTGGAAGACATATCATTCGTATGTCCTGCACTCAATCGAGCCGCTCTAATTTGCATATCTAGGAAAGCACCTGAGCGGCATCCGAAGGGTGTCGTACCGGGCCCAATCCGACATCTAGACCCTCACACCATTCGGAGCGTCCGATAGCTTCAAGTTCTTAAAAATCAGCGGTTTCGCGTTGGTCCATCGCAGAGCTGACAGTAAGGGAGACATATTGAAGTACTGCAGCAGCACTTAAACATATATGCCGTCGCGCCTCTTGCTGTCAGATTTGTATAAGTAGTAGGAGAGCGACGTCCCAGGGCCCAAGCTCAGTGCCCGGCCACTCATCGATATAGTACGGAGCACAATGTCTGTGAGTACCAGTCCTTAGACTCTCACAGTCACAAGAAATCTCATCGACCCTTGAGTCTCAAATCGCTTACTTTAACTTGACCTCGATACGACAAAGATAAATTCGGCTGCGCCGGGCGAGTCGGACTCCGGAGCGCCCGAAAAGCAAGTGATATACGCCAAAAGACTAAGTCATATATGCGAGACATGCTACAGCTGGTATTGGTAGAGTGAGACAGCTAGATTGCTTTCTTGCAGTGCAGTCTCCACACACGCCACATTGATGGGTATGATACTTATCATGGTACCGAGTGATGCACATGAGCTCTCCTAAATAATTTAACCTATGAGAGAGAGCTACTACAACGCGATATGCTAGCAGGTCTAATCGATCATTGCTCGCAGTTGCAACGGGAGCCACGGTGCGCGCGCATACAAAAGGTCATGTGACCGCGTCGCCGTCAGCGCTAGCCTGAGACGATCCGTCGTTTGGCTGAGCGTCCCGTCACCGTCTTGGCTGTGGTTTCCTCCGACTCGTCCATGTCATCCCCGGGTCTGCCACCGTACCCGGGTCCCCATATGATACAAGCATGCCCGTCTACCATAACACTCGCGGATAATCAGTACAAAGCTGGACAACTGTTTCCCATTGAACTCGTCCCACGAGGCGGTGCGTGAGCATATGTTCGGTTGAAAGCACGCTGCCACCGGAGTCGACTGAATCTACTTGCCCCGACGCGACCGAGGCTTGGAGCTGTGAAGACGCATGGTTGCTAGGTTGGGAACATCCGCAACATTGACATGTAGCCACGTTGCAGGCGGAAGCTTGTTCCTAAACAGTGCGTCACGCGTGGTCGTGCACTGCGTGGAGAGGCTAAGTGACAGGAGTCTGCTGTACCACACGAGATGCGGTGGCCCATATCATCTCACAACATGGTAAGGTCTTGTTCAAGTTCAGGAGGCGGCGGCGGTGTATGCACTGAGCGGACTCGACACCGCAGGTTCCGTCGTTGCGACTGAAATTCTTTCGTCCTCCGAATGACGATCACCGGTTATTCCCATCCGCACTCTATCCGCGATGAGAAGTATGACCATGGCAGCAATCGAGCCGCACAACGGAACATTGAAGTCGGGGCATGGTCTGAATAGATGACCGTCAGTCGAGATGGTCGTGCATCCCGGATCTGTTGGATTATAATCACAGATGAGTACCTAATGCACTACGAAGGCGGGTCTGACATGAAATAAGTAGGCCTCGCTGGGCGTGGACGTTACATCATCCACATTCTCCGCGCTTCCATACAATGTCCACTCCTTCTACCGAAGTTATATCCGTCATTGGATATCAGTATGTTCCCACCTTGTTGCCCCCTAAGTCCCCTTGGCTCAGACTGTCGCCACAGCATCATCCAAAACTACTTTGAAATTGCCGCAGCAGGTGAGTCGTATTGTGCATTATTTGTCCTCTGGCTATGCAAGCACTAAATGCTGTACGTACATCACAGGGCTACTCCTCTATGACCTGGCGATCACCCTAGATGAAGAACTACAGTACATGTGGCTCTTCCGGCCTCCGTCAATGCTGTTTCTGCTTAACCGGATCGACATGCTGGCAATGTGCGCCTGCTTCCTGCTCAAGCCGTTCGCGTCACAAGCTATCTTGGTACGTCGCTGTCGTTCAATCTCAACATTAACCTGATTCTAGTGTACTATAGAGGTAATGCCGCGCCTCTCTCCTCGCAGTAATAGCTGACACGCATCACTCAATCAGTTGCAGAGTCTCAATTGTGCTCTTCGATATGGTCACCTTGTTGAATCTCCTACTATGGACCGGTATGTGTGTCGACCATGAATCCTAGTCCCGTATTGATTCAGACAGCTGTTTCGTCTCTTCGAGTGTATGCGGTCAGTAATCGTAACCGCTTCCTCACTGTCATTAGCATACTTTTTGGTCTCATACCCTTCATCGTGAATCTGGTAAGCCGAGAAGTCATGGAGCATAACGTAGCTGCTGACTAAATCCCTCTGCCGGTCATAGTTCGGAGCGGCGCAAGATTCGATTGTCCTCTATCCACTAGCACAATTCGGACTATGTGCCACCACGAACCATAACTCTCCGACCACGAGTATCAGGTAAGTGCCGCCCATTCGTCGGATTCTGGCTGCTGTAGTGAAAAATGGATATCTTTTCTGCGCACGAAGATGTTAGTAGGATTGTACTGTCATCGATGCGCAGAAGTTTATGCCCTGCGATGTGCAGTGTCGATTCTCTCCAGGGCCGGTGCTATAGGGTCCGACGCGCTGGTCGTGCTAGTCATCTGGTACTTCCTTTCATGTGCATCAACACGCTTCCGCAATGGTTCAGCGGGTTCCTCTCTGTCTCTGATTCTCGTGCGGAATGGTGCGTCTACGTCTCGAGATCTCGGGCACATACGTTAATGATCTCGCTTCCATAGGAACATTGTATTTCATGTGCGACGTCTTCATATCCTTGGGCAATGTCTACGGACATTCAATTCTTCTCTTCTGCCAGCGTTCTCCTCTTGGTGAACATCCTCGACTTGGCGCTCGTCGTCACGAGCGCTTTATATGTCAGTTCCTCCTCAGTAATCCAGGCCTACAACCCCCTTCCCGTGACTATCTTTCCGTACGTCAGCCTAGACCTGATGCGGAACTGTCCTCACAGAGCTTTTGCAGGATCACATCTATCATCATCGCACGTTTCACGCTCGACCTTCGCAAGCTTGCTGCCGAAGCTCAAAACCTCGAGTCCTCGAAAGTCGTCCCATTGTCGAACGCCGACGAATGGCAATTCATGACGTCGCCCATGAAGCCGTACAAGTCGATCGTACGTTGGAACAGGGAATGTCTGGACGCAGATCCGGACATGCCGGCTGGTTTTGCCTCTGTGACAGGGTTTACAGATGATGTCGAACGCGAGGGCGATGCGGAGATGCAAGTTGTCCATCGTGTTTCACTCAATGCATGAATGTATAGGTTGAAATAAACTTCTGCGGCTTTGACCGTCAAGCCCTACTCAAAGGAGGTGGTCATACCATTCGTTCCTGCTTTCGGGCCCTCCAGCTTTTTGTTCGTTGATCCTCGGCAAGTAGGCTAGCTTTCAATTGTACGTATCGTCTCTTTGATAATAATTATCTTCTCTGCGCAGACTAGTGTTAGTACCAGATCTTTCTCTACCATCTACACGGCGTAGTTGATCTGCAGCCAGCTTATCTTCTCCAGTCTTGGATTCCAGTAAATTGCAGTCCCATACAATCATGCAAATAGTGTATCATGAATCGAGCAACTCCAGGGTTCGTCGGTCCTTGGAGGCCCTGTCTTACTCTGGGCACGTGACTGCCTACCGCCTACCGTTCTCCGAGTCCAGCGCTTCGAGCGACGAGCTCGCAAGTTCAACGTTCAACTATTGCCAACCGCCTGAGTAAGCTGCTGGTGCAATCTACACGCCTTACAAACGACACCTCCACATGTACATGCTCTCCGGCTTGTTCATGCATCCTCAAACCAAAGTCGCCTTCAGTGTACCGTGATGACGTCAAGGATTGTCATGTAGCAATAGCGCGTGGGGACTCGGAGTGCTAGGCGACTAGTAGTTCAGTGTACCGTTGGTGTACAGGCAAGTCTTGTTGATACAGGTTCTCTCTAAGCTCACCGCTGCGTAATACAGACACTGGGACAACAATCCTCGACGATGCAGCTCGATGGAACTCGCTCCAATTCAGCCGAGATCGCAGAAGGCCGTTTTACAGTCCTTTCGTTCTGGCGCTGCGACGCGCGCTCTGAGTCAGACAGTCAGGTAAAACCAGACCTCCATGAGTTGTCTCTCGGTACTCCTACTCGATGAAGCAGGGCTCCTGCGAAAGCGTTCCTTGGCTATTGGCCGGGGACTGAGATGGCGTGCGAGATGAACACGTTGAACATCATGTGGGTGCAGCTGCGGCGCAGGCTATCGATGTCAACCCTGTTTGAGTTGAGGTACGCCCATCTATCTACTCTCCTTGCCCACCATGAGTGATATAACGCAGGTCATGACGGCTGTAATCGCTCGTGTGAAGAGCTTCTGGCGAGCCCATCGCAGATTCGCGGCTCAACGTGTGGTGCTGTCAACTACCCTCTCGCCTAGCGAGTCGACGTCGCGAGCAAATGCCAAGCTCGCTGTTCATCATCTGACATATCAGATGTCAGTACTTGAGCCTGAACAGGAAGACTTTCTCGGCGAAGGGTAGATCGTCTCGTCTCTTGATTCCGACATTTCGCGAGGCTATGTTGTAAACTCGATCGTCTCTGCGTTCAGCGGACGTGTCAGAATCTACTACTTGGATGGAACAGCGTCAACCACATCCGACAACATGTGTACACGTAGACAAGCGCTGCATCAAGATGCTCGGGAAGGCCATTTATATTGTCGGTATAAAGATGGTTCCGGCTGCCGTGAGTTCTAGGCTACATTTGGGCTACGTCGATCAGCAAAGCAAGTCTAGGGCTTAGGAATGTGTCCACATTGATTGTGGCATCAAGTGCGGCCGTTGAACACGAGATACTTACGTGAGTGCCCCCGAGTCTGTACATAAGGTGTCGAACTAACCATGGAACTCGGGTTACACAGACACTTGCTATGTCGTCGGTCCCCCCGTCGTCCGTCTATCTTGCACTGCTGATCCTTGGCGCGACATTACTCGCGCGTCGATGGGGAAACAAACACAACAGGGAAACCCTACCTGGACCCAAAGCCATCCCTCTGATCGGGAATATACACCAACTTCCGAGGGAGTACCTCGAACAGACATTCGCACAATGGGCTGGGAAATACGGTATCTTCACTCGGTGATCCTCCGTGTCTATCGCCTTGACCATACAATGTGCATAGGTGACCCAATATTCGCGAGGTTCTTTCGTACTCCGACGCTGATCATCAATACCCAACGGGTTGCGCGGGATTTGTTGGAGAAAAAAGGCGCGATATATTCGAGCCGTCCCCGAACCGTCTTGATGTCTGAGATGTATGTATCATCGGTTCGAGTGCCGCACATGTATTGACACCTTTTGTTCACAGAATGGAGTGGTTCACCGTCGTACTTCTTCCATACGACAGCGAGTCGCGACGCAGACAACGGAAGTGGATTCAACATGCATTCAACGACAAGGACGCGATCATCACCCATGAACCCATCCGAAGAAGGGAGACGTACAAGTTACTTTTGTCCTTGATGCAAGAACCGGAAGACTTCGTGACGCACGTCAAACGGTTAGTATCTAGTTTTCATAGGGTCTCGGCGCTGAGGGAGTTATTATGCGTCATGGTCTAGGTTTGTTGCAGCGATTCTGACCGAGATCACTTATGGCTATACCATCACGTCCCTTGACGATCCGTGGTTTGTGTTGATGGACAAAGCCGTCCAAGGCACTGGAGAAGGAGGGTCTGCGGCAGCGGTGCTCGTCGACTTCTTTCCCATCAGTAAGCTCGACTTGAATAATCACAGTTGCTATCACAATCATACTAACGAAACACAGTGAAGCACATTCCTTCCTGGATGCCCGGTGCGGGCTTCAAACGGCATGCCTTGGCAGTCAAGGAAGATATTCGAAAGGCTACGCAGATGACCTACTATTCAGTCAAAGATGCCCTTGTGAGTGACTTGCGATGACGGTGGACCGCTCTTGTCTGAACTGGCACAGGTAGCGGGTACCGCGAGGCCGTCATTCGCGGCAGCGCTCATCGAAGACGCGCAGCGAAATGGAACATTGGCTCGACACGAGCTCGATATCATGGCAGCCTCAAGCACTATCTACGCAGGTTGATCTTCGTTGTTGCTCGTTCGTTCGTCTCTAGCTGACTCGGGTCCTGGAACGTATAGCTGGAATGGACACAGTGAGTCTGAACCGCGCGGACGTTTTGATATTAGCTGCTCACTCCGGACACCCGCCTCTTCAGACAAGGGTTGTCTTGATTACGTTCATATTAGCCATGGTTCTCCACCCAGAGGTACTACGGAAGGCACAAGCCGAGGTCGATCTAGTAGTTGGTGCCGATCGACTGCCAGAACCGGACGATAGGGAGAAGTTGCCCTACATCGAGTGTCTCATCAAGGAGACACTGCGGTAAGCGATGCCGCCGTGCCAATATGTTTATTGTAATTGATCCCCCGCCCTAGCTGGTGTACGCCGATTCCATTGGGTAACATACTGAGCAGCGCACTCGTTCCCCATACCAGCTGATACAGTCCTTAGGGATCCCGCATTGTCTCACAGAGGATGACAATTATGAAGGATACGCTATTCCAAAGGGGTCAACCGTCTTGACAAACATCTGGTACTGCCGTCGCATGTCATATTTGTTCTCAGCTGCACTCATACGAACCTCCTCAAATCCGCAGGGCGATGACTCATGACGAGGAAACCTACCCGGATGCGTTTGCTTTCCGGCCAGAACGGTTTATCGGTGTGGACTCGAAGACAGCAGACAGCACTGATCCTCGCGCCGCCATCTTCGGATTCGGCAGACGGTGAGCTCACCATCACTGTATGGTCTATCCCCATGCAGTCGTCGCTGACTGTGTATTGCAACCAGGAGCTGCCCAGGCAGGTATTATGCAGAGGCAAATGTATTCATGGCAGTGGCTAGCATAGTTGCGACGCTGCATATCAGTAAAGCCCGGGATTCTAGAGGTGAGGAGGTGACACCGTCGACGAAGTTCGCTTCTGGACTTACTCGGTAAGTACGAATCGGTCGCCCATGTTAATGTGGGCTAATGCAACACATCAGTGTTCCGCCCACTTTTGTTTGTACTATTGTTCCTCGGTCCCCGCGTGCAGTGGGCCTTGTGTCCGAATTGCTCGATGGGTTACCCGGGTAAATGAACCATACTTCTACGCACGGAATGACTATATGGGTCTGGGTAAATGAACATAACATTAACCGTGGCGAATCAGCAATATAATATGTCCTAAACTCGAAGCATACAGCGCTGCATCTGCATTACTACGGCGTAAGGGATCGAACACGAACGTGCGAATGCCACAAGGTGAGTGATGAGATTTGACTCACGACAGCGTCCTGACGAAACGTTAGCAGGAGTCAGAGCTCTGAATCAAAGCCTCGATTGCATACAAAATCAGGATACGCCGAGGCTCAGTCCACATGGGTACGTCGCGTGATGGCATTTCTGCTATCGCATCCAGTCGTAGAGTGATCGTTCTGGCTGGTGTCATGAACTTGCCTCGTTCTCGGTCTACAGGGCCAATATCACACAACATCTTCTACACCTTATCGGAGTAGAAGGGGGAATCCATGTTGTTGTCGGGGCGTGGCTAGAGAGAAGCGAAAGTAGACACCGTCAGTCCTGATGACGTCGACGTCTGCCACAAGTCACAGAGGATAATCTGAGGATTGCGCAGCAGCGCATGGGTTGCTTACGGAAGGGCAAACTCGCTTCAACTCATCATCGTACCGTCTACAATTGAAAAGTGACCTATCACGGTCCACTGAGTGGACCGTTTAATTCACTGAGTTTCATTTGGTAGAGAAACGCGTGACCGCGTCACCCTCATCCTCTGGCACCGGCGCCCCGTCGTTCAACCGTCAACTTCAACGCGCAGTAGCAGGGATGTGGGCTTACTACCATACGGTGAGTACCTAAACTGTAAAGATGGCCTGAGCAGCGCCGAATGTCCTCATTGTGGTTCAGCGCTGATGATCGTATGAGCGCACACTCGGGGCAACATCCAATTACCACGTTGATTCAGAGGCTTTTAGTAGTACCACATGCGCTGGCAGACGGTACCAGGTATGTTAGCCTGACCTACTGCTGCACTTACTCAGGAAGTTTTTAATAAAAGCAGGTACCGGCGTGGCCATGAGCAATTATCCACTGTGTCGGTCTCATCATTGAATGACAAGAAAGATACATGGTCTCTAGGCTCTCCCACACTGTCAACGATAACCACAATACTGCCGTCATCGGTGAGCTGTCAATTCGATATGAGTCGCTGGTGAGCTCCTGTGCTCTGCCATTTAGTCGAAATGCAGGTGCTTTGTCCCGATATCAGACATTCCTGAATCCTCACAATGCGTTATCCGCGCCAGTCAATGGGTGGACACTAGCGGGTGGACACTAGCATCGATCTTTGTTCCTGACGGCGCCTGGGCGCCGATTTGGTCTTTGACACTTCCAGCTAAGTCCATATCGTTTGGCTCCACCATTTGATAACATGCATCGGTATTTGACGGGGCACAGATCGCGATCAAACCGCTCAGCCAGTGGCCAATTGTGCCACCGAGTGCGGACCAGACACCCGCGCCGCCGGTGGCGCAGCTTCATCGGCATGCGTGTGGACGAGCTTGAAATTAGCTAAATATCAAGGGCCGACACACTCGCGCTTTCCCAGCGGGGCCTATTGATATGGATTAAGCTGTAATGTCATTTATTGACTCTTGCGGAACCTCGTTTCTGATGATCAGATTTGGGACAAGCTTCGAGAGCTCCGAGTGGCCTATTGCATGCGGGATTCGCTGCAAGCGAACAACGTTGATCCAAGGATGTCATGATCACGATGCGTGTCCGTCTGACGAGTTACTTACATGTATTTCTGATGAGAACAGATTCACTGTGGCTACATAAGCCGTTGTTGATCATGCCCCTCACGCTTCCCTCAGACAGACACCGTACGATGGAGACCCTCTACCTTCTCTGCATATTCGCGACATTGCTTGTGTCATCGTACATGACATTCTCCCTGATGTCTGTGCATGGGCACAAAGTTGGAGTGCCGCCTGGTCCAAGAGCGCTTCCGCTCATTGGCAATGTACATCAGGTGCCGATGGCACACCTCGAGCAAGCATTCGCCCAGTGGTGTAAACGATATGGTACTCGTTCCTGCTTTCATCGACGCCCTGTGATTTGACCAGCGACTTTCCGCGCAGGCGACCCCGTGTTTGTACGGTTCTTTCGGTCTCCGACGCTCATTATCAACACACGACGAGTGGCGTGAGACTTGCTGGAGAAGAAAGGCTTGATCTATTCCAGCCGTCCACGTACTGTTCTATTTTCTGAGTTGTACGTGTCATTGTTTCTGCTTTGTTACGCGAGTCTTAGTCACCCTCCTTTAGAATGCAATGGGACAGCTCTGTATTCCTTCCGTATGACAGTGAGTCACGACGGAAGCAGCGCAAGTGGATTGAAAGCGCATTCAATGATAAAGCTGCGTTGCAATCCTACGAGCCCATCAGACAGAGGGAAACATACAAGTTACTTCACTCTCTGATGAATGAACCAGAGGGATTTGCTATGCACGTCAAGCGGTAAGCGTCGGCCTACATACACAAACTCAAAGCATCGTAGTTGACTCTGACCGGCCGTTTAGGTTCGTCGCAGCGTTGCTAACAGAAGTTACATATGGTCACACAATCAAGTCGCTGGACGACCCATACCTCTTATTAATGGACAGAGCAACGCGCGGGACGTCCGAAGGCGGGGCAGCAGCGGCACTGGTCGATTTCTTCCCCGTATGTAAGTGAATGCGGCTCTGGGCTGTTAAAGCACTCATCAGATACTCATGTGATCATAGTGAGGTTCATTCCCTCCTGGATGCCCGGCGCGGGTTTCAAGCGACACGCCCTCAAAGTCCGAGAGATAATACACCAAGCGACATCATTACCGTACCACGATGTCAAAGACAAAGTGGTGAGTAACATAAATAAGATTGTGCTTGACCTATGTTTGACGAGACATAGCTAGCAGGGACGGCGAGGACGTCCCTTGTTGCATCGCTTTTACAGGAGGCACGAAGGAACGGCACACTCGCTCAAGATGAACGGGACATAATGGCTGCTGCTAGCACTATCAACGGTGGTATGTAACATTGCGCAATGCACGCAACGAGGAGCTGAACATGATCCTTGGTTGGGATAGCGGGGTCGGATACGGTATGTTTATATTCGCTAGAGTAAGAAATTACGCTGATCTAAATACGCGTTCAGACAAAATCCGTCCTTGCTTCATTCGTGCTAGCAATGGTCGTCTATCCCGAAGTCCTGGAGAAAGCACAAAACGAGGTTGATCGTGTAGTCGGTGTTGATCGCTTACCCCAGATCGAAGACCGGGGCAAGCTTCCATACATCGAATGTATCATTACCGAAGCCCTCCGGTGGGTGGAGTGCTCGTGCATGTGTATGCTCATTCATTGATACCTTCCATGCCAGCTGGAGCTCGCCGGTTCCTCTAGGTCGGTCCGCCAATGTGGCTAATCGACGTATTGCGCATAGAATGTTGAAGCTCTCCTACAGGAATTCCGCACTGCTTAACCGAAGATGACAACTACAGAGGATATATCATCCCTCGAGGTTCGACCGTCCTGGGGAACATCTGGCAAGCCTGATGTGACCATTGCCAGTATCGCCTCAATAACTTGTAGCACTCACAGGGCAATGACTCATGACGAAGAGACGTACTCTGACCCATCCATATTTCGGCCAGAGCGCTTCCTCAATATGAAGGCAGAAGTGATGGAGACTGCCGACCCTCGTGCTGCTGTCTTTGGATTTGGTAGACGGTAAGGACCACCCAGGCACTTGTTAACGTCGACCTGCTGACAATGCGCCCAGCATATGTCCCGGGCGTTACTTCGCGGACACCAATATATTCATGGCAGTGACGAGCATAGTGGCGACGCTGAACATCGCGAAAGCGCGAGACTCAACCGGCAAGGAGATTGTACCATCCATCGAGTTTTGTTCTGGTCTCACTCGGTGGGTTTCCACGCCAGTTGAGCATTCAATGTTACTGAGCAGTACATCAGCCATCCGCCTGAGTTTGTGTGTTCTATCACGCCTCGATCACAGCGGGCAATGGACATGGTCTCCAAGATGCTGATGAGTCTATCAGATTGATACACGAGTGTTAAAAAAACCTGGCATAGTGGTCCACTAACAGACTTCGTCGTGTGTTAGTCTACGGCGGCCCTTCGTTTCATTCAATGCAATCCCCTCGATGATGTACACACCTATATGTATCTGCCTTCGGCGCCCAATGATATGCCTTACAGACAGTGTTCGAACGCGCCACTCTCAAGCGGTGCTAGCAATCAATTCTGCAGCTTGTTGCGACCGCGCTTTGATTGAGCATTGGAAGTGGACGGGACAGCTAGTCTCACGTCAGACACGATGCGGCAAAACTCAAATGGTATGTTCGCCTACCTTGTGAGACCGGGCTCGTATGAACCCGGGGGCGTGATCTCATTTCCTAGGGCATCTCGGGCTTTCGAGATGTCAAGAGTCGCTATCATGTAAGACATCCCCAACCATACGCTGATGTCTGCGAAGCGACGACCCGGACAAATCCTACGCAATCGTCAGCTTCAGTCTAGCATAGATGACGAGACATAGAGCGTGCCTTCGACCATGTCCAAACACTATATTACGCGGATCTATGCGCTCGACTTCCTCTGCTGTCAGCGCCGAAAAACGTTCTGGCAGGAAATCGTCTGGACTAGGGTAATCCTTCGGGTCTCGACACATAAGCCTAGTCCACGAGGTCTGTCTAGATGAACAGCGGAAGACATAATAGGACTGACCAGAGATTTGGGATCACAGTTGTTCCCTTTGGGATAAAGTATCCACGATACTCATCGTCTTCGCTCGATGCATGGGGTAGACCTACAAGTCGGTTAGGGATGCATGAAAGAGCCAGCCAGAGTGTCACATACTCAAGGGGACAGGACAGAGCCAGCTAAGTATACGAGAAGTTAATCGGGAGCTCGTGACGTTGTCGCTCGGGGCTTACCGATATGTCTCCTTCTGTATACACTCTAAGTACGGAAGGGAATCCCTGTCTTCCAATGTCGGTAACCGGTCATGACCGACGACACGATCCATCTCATCTTGCGCCTTCTTGTACGCTTCGGGATGTAGAACCATAGCGAGTATGAAACTATGCAATACACACTTTGTCTGCAGGACGCATCAGAATGGATACAAGGCACATACAAGATAGTTTACCGTATCTGTTCCAGCTATTGGTAATACGGTATTCTAGTGAGTGATCAACTAGTGAACAACTTTAATTCCGTACCATTGTATGTCGACGACCCGAGATGCATGATTTCCGGCAATAAGGACCCAATCTCTCCTTTGTCCGAGTATTCCTTGATCAGTGAGCCCACAACGGACAGTTTGCCATTCTGTACCTCCGGTCCGTCATCTGATAAGCCCCGTACATGGCATTAGCATGACTCACATTTGCATGCATTTCCGCAAGCGCATACGTTTTGACATGTGTCTCCTGCAACGCGGCTCTCCCTTCTAATGTGTGACGCTTCCATCCACCGCCGGGAAGCCAGGTTGGAGTGTACTTAACTGTAGCAGCCCTGAGCGATACATGCTTTGAATGCGTGGAGCAAGCTTACGTATGGGAATGAAATCCACGAGCGCAGCGCCAGGGGCGGAAGCAGCCGTGGTGCCCTCGATGGTCGTGTCAATGAGCCGAAGATATTCATCGTCCGATGAGATGACGCTGTGTCCGTACAGTGTCTCCAGCATGGTTGCCCCAGAAAAGCTGCAAATTGTGATATGAGTGACAGTCGTGCGACAAAGATCAATTCCTTCTAGAAGAACATCAAGTTACTATGCTCAAGGACTCACCGACGGACATGCTTCACAAAGCTATCGGGATCGACGAGTAGGTTGGAGAGAAGTACGTGAGCCTCGCGAGTCTGAACAGGCAAGTACTGCGCAATTGAAGCTTTGTCGAAGAATGGGGCTTGTAACCAGCGGCGGTGCCTCCTGAACATCTCCCTTCCTACGACCTGCGACCGGAGGAGATTGAGACGATAGAGGCGACTCGCCTCCCCCCCGGCTGGCGATCGCCGTTCCCGCTATCCATGGCGGAGAACAAGGAGGCGGCTTTGGAGGAAGAGGAGAAATGGGCTTACAAGCCGGGACCCCACGTCTACACTGACGGCTCTGACTTGGACGGAGGAGTGGGAGCTGCAGCGGTACTCATACGGCCAGGACACGACACCAAGGTCCTGCGATACCACCTCGGACGCGCGACAGAACACACGGTCTATGAAGCAGAGATCGTTGGCTTAGTCCTGGGAGTGACCCTCATCGCGCGCGAGCTCAACGCCAGGGTCGCCTCCTGCGCCGCCGACAACACCGCATGCCTGCAAGCCACGCAGAATCGCAAACCGCACCCGGCGCATTACCTCATCGACAGACTCCTCGGGGAGGTAGACAAACTCCAGAGACGTCACCCCGGCATCAGATTCACGTTACGATGGGTGCCAGGGCACAAGGGAGTGGAAGGAAACGAGCTTGCAGATGCAGAGGCAAAGCGAGCAGCGAGAGGAGAAGGGAGCGAGGAGAACCAATTACCGAGATGGCTGCGGAACAGCCTACCGGTTAGCCTCTCGAAAGTGCGGCAGACGCTGAACGAGCAACTCCACAACCAGGCGAGGGAGGAGTGGCGAGCCTCCCCCAGAACGGAGAGAATGGACAGGATCGACCCCGACCTGCCCTCACGGAAATACGGGAAGTTAGTCGAGCAGCTACCGCGCCGACACGCGAGCATACTCTTCCAGTTGCGAACAGAACACGCCCCACTACAGCAGCACCTCCACCGTATCCAGCGAGCCGACTCACCTACCTGCCCGAACTGTGACACCGCCCGCGAAACGGTCTATCACTTCCTCCTCGAATGCCCGGCGCACGATGACCACCGCGCGAGGCTAGCGCACGACCTTGGACCCGCCGTTGCGGGGTCGATCCGCCACCTTCTATCCGAGCCGAAAGCGTTGAGCCCGCTATTCCGCTACATCCACGCTACAGGCCGCTTCGCGGCCACGTACGGCGAGCTCACGCTGCGAGACAGCGAACGGAAATGATCGCCTACGGCGATCAACTGCTACGACGCCCACACCACCTACTATACCCTGTCTCATACTGTACTAGTACCCCCTATCTCGACGGTGCTCGAGCATACACAGCGATTCATTAGACGACCAACGGACTCTACATTATGTACATCTTATGTCTACATAGGGCTACGCCCTCAGTGACAATAAAGGGAACAAACAAACAAACAAACAAACATCTCCCTTTAGTTCCTGAGTCCAAAGCTTGCGTCCCATCCCAGACTGCAACCACAACATAGTTAGCGATTTGTCCTTGTGTGACTAGGAAACGGTTCGGACGTCGGACGTACAGTTCGATGAACCTGATTGAATACGGTCTGTCTGAGTACTTCGTGCTGCGCTTTTCAAGCAAATCCCGCGCAGCTTTGGCAGAATTCAGGACCAGCACCGGGGTATTGAACATTCGTAGGAATATGATGTCGCCTGGCGTCGACGGGTAAGAAGCTTCCTAATGAACTTCCGAGTGTTTCGAATACTTACCATACAAGTCCTTCCACTGGGCAAACACCTTCTCGGCAAAGTCTGAGGGCATTTGGTGCGCGTTACCCAAAATCGGCAGTGGTCGAGGGCCTGGTGGGAGATGCCTCTTGGAAGTGGTTTGTCGGTTCTGAACGACATAGAGGACAACGAGGGTGACAAGCGTCAGGCCTAGAACAACGTCAAGCAATGTTAGGGTCATGGCGGGCTGCCACGGATCTGCGCTTGTTGGTGTGCGGTCCCCTAACATCAGCGTCGATATACGGTCCAGCGGGTACTTGACGAATACAGTAGGTTTGGTCCCACCAAGTCGTAGAATGGAGTGCTATACTGCGCACTAGCGCAGCGAAGACACCAAGCCGAAACCTTGGTACGTCGGCCAAGGTTCGAGCCTCCGTACAAAATCCGGTCCTGACGCACATGAGTCTATGTGAGCGTCTCATACGGTACCAATGTCATCAATCGCTCCCACCTCATGAGGTCCCATCTGTGTCTTGAGTACCATCCGGGCGCGGCATCCATGAATATGAGATTAGACGTCTTTCTCCACCCATTTCGAAGCTTTCGACGTCTACTAACTGGACCTGTATCATTCGATGTACGTTCGTCCATACGTTGCTAAGACGAAGCACGCTTTCTTGACAAGACGCCTTAAAGCTTCCTTGTCGCTTCCCAACATGGCTTGAGACACGCACTCTGTCGTAGAGGGAAACCAGGAACACTGAACAGAAGCTGAATATCTATGCATTGGTCAGACACCCGGACACCTGACTGACATACGACACGGAGAAGCTGATACATATACAAGCGCGGTTGCGTTTTGTTTGCGTTCAGTACCCAATGCGTTCGTTTGCGTGCCGTGTTCCGAGTAATAAGCTTTACAGCTGTCCCGATCGTGGCTTGATTGAACACTGGAAGGCGGCAGGTGAACTGAAAACAACGTATGTATGAATCATTAGCCACATAATATAGTCCGGGGATCTGACACACCGTGTAAATCGGATTTGAAACTCGCAGGAGGGGTAATCTCGTTGCTCACAGTGTCCTGTGCTGTGCGGATGAGTCGAATGCCGCCGTGAGGTTGGACAGACGCTGACGTCTGCGAACCGACGGCCTGGCCACATGCTGGAAGACGTGACCAGTTCATTCACTAACTGCAAACATGCTCCCTATGACTCACCGGCGGCCACGACCAAAGAGTCTGACTATGCTTCGAGGGTCTGTGCGTTCTGCTTCTTCGCGTGACAGCTTCCAGAAGCAATCGGGAATGAACGCCTGGGAGCTTGGTCGTGCGCGTAACTTACTGCGCTCGATAACAACGTCAGATGAGAGAAGCGCTTCCGTCAGGATATTGCTACTCACCCATATGTCTCCTTTGACACGCACTAGATACGGTACTTAAAGATTGTCGCTCGTGTACCGTGGACAGTCGGGCGCGGCCAACGGCAGCACCTATCTCTTGCTGCAGACTCGCAAAGTTTTCTTCACAATGTGAAGAGCAATAGCCAATTGCTCGTCTATCACAGCGTCAGAATCTGGGGTGAGGGTACACAGAAATGGGATTACCGTATCTGTCCCGGACCCTCCCGGCTGTTGGCACCGAGTCCGTCACGGTCTATTTTAGCATGTAGGATGGCTAGGGCGACGTACCAGCGTAGACCGCAAAAGCACTCGTAGTATTCATGTCAACTCGTACGTCTGGGATTCGAGTTCCCCTTGTTCCTTATACTCCCTCTGGTCAGATGCCCGGTGACCGAGTGTTTGTCGTTCTGCCAGAATCCTCACGTAAGCTCCACCCGAGCGGCTTGAGATAGGACATGGGAACCCACATGTTCGTGCTCGGCAGCTACAACAGGTCATACACCACTACGTCTCCAGCGCGGCATATTTCCAGCCGGCGCCTGTAAACCACGCGGGGATGTACCGCACTGTACTGTACTCAGAATCATTGGCACTGGTAGATAACAATCGAGGTAGCAGACATACCCATACCACGCCAATACCACGCACCGACGAGCAAGTCTTCAAGTTGAAGGTGGGCATTGGGTGGGCAACATTGATAGTGATCACGCTCAGCGCTTGTTACGTACTGTCACAAACGGCAGAAGCAGGTGCCGTGTGACGAGCCGCGAACGTGACTTCTGCACCTCGCGGCCTCGCCCGACGCCGTGCCCCATTAATTCGCTTCGGAGTTCTACTTCTATAGCTATATATCTTCGCTCTTGAGTGCTAGACATGTAGCCCGCTTATCTCCCGTTTACCGCTGACTACCCTCGCATCGCTCACACCATGTCCTACTACTGTGATCGCTGCGTTCGATTCTTCGTGAGTGAGCGTGCGCTCGAGCAGCACCAGGACGACTCGGGCACGCACAACATCTGCGACGACTGTGACAAGGACTTCACTACGTACGAAAAATTGAAGCAACATTGGATTGGCTCTCACAGGCATCACTTTTGCCAATACTGCGATGAACACTTTGACAACGAGGACGAGCTCGAGGAGCACGAAGAGGCAGAGCACTACTACTGCGCACCATGTGGCAGGGTGAGTGGTGCAAAGTAGCAGTCTCGTCGCACTTTCAAGTTGTATTCAATCACGTCCGCCTTCCCTACAGTCCTTCAATTCCGCACTCGGTCTGCACGAGCACAATCGCCAGTCGCATCACTACTGCACCGACTGCCGGCGGCTCTTCCAGAACGAGAACAATCTCCAGCACCACCTACGCTCGACCCTGCACGCAGGCGCACACGTTCCGTGCCCAGGCAAGAAGTGCAAGAAGATGTTCGTCAGCGGCGCCGCACTCATTCTCCACCTCGAGTCGGGCACTTGCCCCTCCCGCATCACGCGCGAGCAAGTCAACCGCGTCGTTGCAAAGTACGACAAGGGCAACGTGATCACGAACCCCGCGCGCATGCTCGCGTACAGGGAGGGTGGCTCGGGACAGACGATCGCGACGTGGGCTACGGGGCGTGCGTGGAACGGCCTCCGTTACGAGTGCTTCCTGTGCCACCGCGAGTACCGCACGCTCGAGGCGCTCAACCAGCACCTCGCGAGCCCTGCGCACGAGAAGAAGATGTACCGCTGCCCGCGCGGCTACTCGGGCTGCGGTGCTGAGTTCAAGACGCTGAGCGCATTGTGCCAGCATGTCGAAAGCGAGCAGTGCAGCATCCGCCGGTTCAATACCAAGGTGCAGGACTACCTCGGCGACCTGACGAGCAACATGAAACGATTGGGCATTTGAGCGACGTCCTGGACGGGATGTCCCGGCCGTTCTCAAGCCCAGCCGTCCTTTCTTGTTTCTCTCAGGTTCTTCGTTTGCAATGCTTCTCCAGCGCGCGATCGCTCCTCGACACGCCAGCCCTGGGGCAGTCATGTGGGGGAGCGCTCGATCTGGTTTCCTACCCAGCGTGTTTGTCTGCGTCGCTCACGTTATAGGCTCTTGTTAAATCGTTCGCTACGACCCTTGCGCTTGGTGCCCGCGTCATGAATACTTGTAGTTGTACGGAATGTTTTCACCTGCTCCTTCACGACAACGACATTGCTCCGTCTGGCTCGTGTGTACAGTATATTATGCTCGATCTCCCGGAAATTGACATCACTGACCGTGGGAGGAGGTCGCTGAGGCCTGAAGCCTCTCTTCTCGAGGAGATCATACACAGCTTGCGCGGAGTTGAGGATGACGACGGGCTGCTGAAAGAACCGCGCGTAAACCACCTCTCCTACTATATAATAGGGCTGTCAGCTTCGAGAGCAACAATACAACACGCACCTGCATGTTTACCGTGTGATGTGCACCATGTGGCGAACGTCTTGTGTGGATCGACAGCAGGGAGCTGATGAAGGGCAGTGACCACGATCCTGGAGGAAGACATGCACGCCTTCTGAGGGAGTGCACAACGTACATGGTCACTAACACAGCCAGAAACAAGGCTACTTCGAGGCCGACGGGGACGTGAGATAGCGTGTCGTCTATCTGAGAGTCAATTGACAGATGATGCGCATGGAGTCACGGATGAGACGCACCTTAGACTAGCTATATGAACGGGACAACGGGCTGCCAAAGTCCGGTTATGTTGGTCAGAGTACCTGTTTATTTGCAACATAAGTTAGCGATGGTAGGTCTGCTGCATCCTCTTCAAGCTCCGCTGGTGCATTGTCCAGTGTATGTCCGACTCCCATTCTCGATCGTCGAGTACGGTTAAGTGCCATCCACACACTCTTCTAGGAGCTTCGAAGTTGTTATGCTTTCGAAATTGACCAGACTCCAGGATGAACGGCGCAGCTCGGACTTCGTGAGAGGACTCGCAGTGGGGCGCTGCAATGCCAACGATACCTTTTGGTCTGTTAGACTCCGACGAGATTCCGTTCCACTCGGGTTCCAGAGCTGAGGGACATCAGGGCCGCGAGTGCAGTCAGCGCGCACCGATGCTATTGATATCGCCAGCATTACTGGAGTTCTTCCATTTGTCGGAAGCCGCAGGGTTGCTCTCCGACTGACCGGACAATTCAGCAGATGCAGGCGCGGTACGTAACTTACTCACAGTCTACGTCCGCGTTCCCCATGTGTATCGACCCCGAGAATGGGGTTAACCAGGGTCAACTTCACTCGAGGCTTCCCCAGACTTCCACCTGTATGTAGTCCCAGTGATAAGCGAATGTATGACGTCCCTGGGATGTCCATAGAGAAGGAGGGCGTGGCCACGAGCCTTCGCTTGTATTGCATTGACACTGGAGACTATTCTGGACGTTCATTCGTCTGATGATCTGCGTGGACAAGGTCTATAGCGACACGATGACACTCCTCAGTTATGGCGGGGTCAAAGCCGGCGGAGCACATAACGAAGGTACTCACTTGTATATAGATATACGCTCACGACAATGACCGCATAGCCACTGACATTCAGTGTACAAACGTCCTCAGGCCGCGGGGACTGAACATGGCACTGGCATTGACGTTGACAAGTTAACGTTAAACAGCGACTCGCACGACGCTTACCCATCTGATAGCAACTGAAGGCGTGTCATATCCAATGAATAGTGCAGTTTTATCCCAGACAGAGCGTCGAACGATGCAAGCCATCCAGTGTGCGGGAAGACGAGAAGCTAGTAACTAGAAAGGCTCGTTACGTACTAGGTCGGTGTCACATTTCACGGCAGTGCGTGCCGCAGTGTGACGGACCGCGACCGTGACTTTATATGGACCCACCCCTATTGTTCTCTTTCTCGAGCTCATCTTGAGCTCATCCACGAGTAAGTACTGCGAGTACAATACCACATTGCTGGAAGCGTAGCTCGTCATGGCTTACTGCGACCGCTGCGAACGCTACTTTCCACACGACCGTGCGCTGGAGCAACACGAACAGAACTCAGGCAATCACAACATCTGCGACGTTTGCGACCGCGACTTCGAGACGTTCTACCAGCTGAAGCAGCACTGGGGCGCCTCTCCCAGGCACCACTACTGCCAGCACTGCGACGAGCACTTCGACGACGCGGACGAGCTGGTGGAGCACTACGAAGACGACCATTACTACTGTGCGACCTGTCGCAAGGTGCGTTCCTCTTCTATCATGTACGTCTGATTCTGTGACATGTCTGCTCTCCGTAGATCTTCAACTCTGCGCTCGGTTTGCACGAACATAACCGCCAGTCGCACCACTACTGCCCCGACTGCCGCCGGCTCTTCCAGAATGAGAACAACCTCCGCAACCACCTACGTTCTGGCGCCCACGCCGCTGCGAATATCCCCTGCCCGGGCAGGGACTGTGGCAGGATGTTCGTCAGCGCCGCCGCACTCGTCCTTCACCTCGAATCCGGAACCTGCCCCTCCCGTGTCACGCGCGACCAGGTCAACCGCGCAGTCGCGCAGTTCGACAGGGAGAACGTCATCACCAACCCTGCGAGGATGATCGCGTATGGCGAGGGCGGCTCCGGGCGGTCGACGACGACTTGGGCGACGGACCTTGCGTGGAACGGGAGCGCGTTCGAGTGCTTCCTGTGCCACCGCGAATACCGCTCCCTGCAGGCACTCAACCAGCACCTCGCGAGCCCCGCGCACGAGGAGAGGATGTACCGCTGCCCGCGCGGGTACTCGGGCTGCGGCGCGGAGTTTTCGACGCTGAGCGCGCTGTGTCAGCATGTCGAGAGCGAACGGTGCGACATTCGCAGGTTCAACAGCCAGATGCAGAACTACCTCGGTGACCTAACGAGCAACATGAGACGACTGGCCTGGTGAGCGACGTCCAGGTTGCAGTGTCCTGGACGTCCATGGGCACACCTGTCGTTCATGTTATGCTTAGATTCATCATCGAGTTCAGTCGTCGCGGTGCTGACGGAATGGGAGATTGTTCTTCCACGCGTCTATCACTGGGTAGTTGTATGAAGGAGCAGTCGACGTCTCACTGTCAGTTTCCTTGTCCCATCCTCTATCTGCACGTTACTCGCGTTACAGAATCGGCCCTCAGATACTCTGCTATGGTTCGCCGGCTGGTTGCTGTGTGTTCGCGCTGTTTTCCCTCGCTGGTGTTGTGATTCCGTTCATGTATGTACACTAGCGAATCCTCGAAATTCCGGAAGTCGTGAAAATTGTGAAATCGTAACATAGCTTGGACACGATAATCTCATCCAGGCTGTTATAACGTTTGTGGGACCCTTCCGATCATGCCTGCTCTGAAACCTTATCCAGGATCAGCTCGGCGGCCTGTTTGGAGCGTGGAGTGATAGAGCATTGGAATCTGTGAGGATGACTGACGAAGCCGGACTCTTCAGCTTCATAGCCTCCCACAGAAAAGCGAACATACCGGACGAGGCCAGAAGTGAACGTCCCCGGTGGTGTGATCTCATTTCCCATTGCATCCCGGGCCTTGCAGATGTCGAACGTCGCCGTGATATTCGCCATTGCCTGCCATATGCCACTGTCGGCGAAGCGGCGACCGGGGCATATCCTGCGAGCGATAGGTGTGCCTCAGTCAATCCGCTGGCAACGTAGAGAGAACCCTACCTTCGGCCGAACCCAAAGATAATGTTTCGAGGATCCTCTTGATTTGCGTAAAGCCCGTTGAAGCGGTCCGGACAGAAGACCTCTGGGTCGGGATAGGCTTCAGCATCGTGCAACATCAGCCTGTCAAGTAATCAGGTAATACTCGCTCAGACCGCGCAGACGGGGATATTGCATAGTGTACGAACCATATATTGGTGATCACCGTCGTCCTCTTAGGTATCCAGTATCCGCGATACTCGTCGTCTTCGGAAGTTTCATGGGCCACGCCTACGAAAGCAGCCTAAGTAGTACATTCGCACGGTGAGGCACTTCCAAGTCACCTAGAGGTGCGGGGGAGGAAACCCTATCATCGTCTCGAATTGATACGTCGAATACGTGAACATTTCTATTGGCACGCACCGGTAGGTCTCTTTCAAAATACATTCAAGGTATGGCAGCGCATGTCTATCGTCGATTGTCGGTAGCCGTGCGTTACAAGTGACGCGGTCTATCTCTTCCTGTGCCTTGGCGTAGACGTCTGGGTTGAGAACCATGAAAAGTATGAAGACTGACACCGCCACGTGGCTCTGCTTGACAGATGAGCCCATGCAAATCAATGCCAATGGGAAGTGAGCTCATACACTTTCGATGCCACCTTTTTGAAGGAGACTGCATCAGCAATCACGAAGCGTACTGTTCTCGCATTGCGCGCGTTCAATCACTCACCTGCATACATCGCAAGTCCAAACATCATGATTTCATGTCGTTCAAGCTCCAGTGTTCCCTTGGCTGCGGAACTCTTGATCAATGCGGGTATCACGGCATGCTCTTCCTTATCCTCGCCCTATCGTGGCTCTGTGTCATGAGTTGTATCGCCGGACCCTATTCGTACTTACAATCTTGCTCTCTGCTAGATCGTACGTCCGTTGTGCCGCTTCTTTCACTATGCTCTTGACCCACGCCGCATTTCGCTTGTACTTGCCACCAGGCGCCCACGCCGGGATGTAATTTACTGTTCCAGGTGCGTATCAGTGAAAGCATGGTATCAGTAGAGCATACTTACGGAATGGCAGGAAGTACACGGGTACCGTGCCAGGAGCGGCAGACCTCACCGTTTCCTCTAGCGCTTTGTTGATGATGTCCAGATACTCATCCGAGTCGTCCGCAGATGTGACGGTATGCCCGGAGACATACTGAAGCATGGTGGATGCGGTGTACCTTCGGGGTTTTGGTAAGCGGACTACTGAGCTTTACCTAGCGTTGAATCTTACCGGTGGATATGGGCCCAGAAGTCGTCGGGATTGCGGAGTAGCCCGCCGAGCAGATTGATCGCGTTGCGTCGCTGCACGTCGGCAACCACGGATAGTGACCTCTTAGAAAAGAAAGGTATATGCATCCATCGTCGGTGCTTGCGGACTTCCTCAGTGTAAGGCTGGAAACCGGATATATGATCCCACCCCAGCCTGCCATACCAGTATCGTCATCTTCAAGGCGCAGGAGGTGTGCCGGTGCACTCACGATTCCATCAACTTGACCGTTGAATACGGTCTGTTCAAGTACTTTTTGCCTGGCCTTTCCAGCAGCTCTCGTGCATCGTGGACGGTATTGATAATCAGGACAGGTGTATTAAACATCTTCAGATAGACGATGTCCCCTAAGCAGACAACGAGCACTAATCAGCACTAGTACACTTCTGTCACAGGCCTCGCGAAACATCCTGACCGTACTTCTCCCTCAGTTTTGCGAACCTCTTCTCGGGGTATTCCAAGGTCATCTGATGTATGTTACCTAGGATAGGCAACGGTCGAGGACCTGGCGGGAGGTGACGACGGCGTCCTCGTCGTTGCCACGATGCATAGTAAATAATGCCTACAAAGATCGCCAGTCCTAGCGCAACTTGGTAGTCAAGTGACAGGCCCATGTTTGCGGGAGTATGGGTAAGCCTGGAGGCGGCCCAAAAGGTTGCAACATGATGCGGCTCCCGGGCGAGGTTCTTGTACGATCACTTCGGAGAGTATAACGTTAGTCGCCATCCGTAACCGAGCGGCATTAGGAGCAACGCACGCAGACACACCTCAGGCTTCTCCGTCACGGTGACCGAACGACACTGTTTGACGGTCTTCTATTACAGGAACTCTATTCAAATCTTGCTGAACGATTAGCCGCAAACAAACTCTAGTATGGCCTTCGAGTCCTCATAGGTCAGCAGAATTTTGACGCTTCGCACCCAGCGTTCCGCCACGGAGTGAGATCTGTGCATGAGGATTACGAGGCACATCGGAAGCAAAGCCGATTTGCCTTCGTCGGCTAGTACTTACGGGGTTGACACAGAGGCGCGGCGGCACGAATGTTCGAAACAAAGGCTGGACTGCGTCTCGCAGAGCATCTACTGCCATTCTGGGAAAGGAATCAAGGCACTCTTTTCCCAGAAATCACCCTCCTGGCTGTTCTCTACGAAGTGCAGTATGACAGAACACCTTGGGGGCTTAAAGCATACTAGCGGAGTGAGTCGTATCTTGCTGCATGGTAATACACAAACCGATCGTCCCGTTCACGCTTCTAGGATTCGTATCTTGGGAAAATTCTACAATCATCTCTACGCTCAAACCCCACCCAATATCAACTCTGTGGCTTGCTTAGAGCGTGGCGTAATAGAGCATTGAAACTTGTGAGGGTGACTGGCGAAGTCATATGCATGAGCTTCAGAACGTCTCCGACATGACATGGCACGCACTTGACGAGACCAGAAGAGAATGTCCCTGGCGGCGTGATCTCATCGCCCATTGCATCACGAGTCTTGCGGACGTCGAACGTCGTTATAATGTTCGCCATTGCATGCCATATGCCTATGTCAGCAAAGCGACGACCAGGACAAATCCTACGCAAAGCGAGCCCGATTTAGTTGATTACGGCACGACGCAAAATTGGAGATGTCATCACCGCCGTCCAAACCCGAAGACAATATTTCGAGGATCCTCTTGATCGTCATTCAGCCCATTGAAGCGTTCCGGACGGAAAGCGTCTGGGTCTGGATATGTGGCAGGATCGTGTAACATAAACCTGTACAGCAATGCCCCATCAGAACGCGCTTACCGATAGAGCTGGGCAGTACATACCATAGGTTAGCGACTACGGTCGTCCCCTTGGGTATCCAGTACCCGCGGTACTCGTCATCCTCGCAGTTCTTGTGAGGCATACCTATGAAAAGAGACTAAGTTTGAGTATGTCAATTTCCTGAGTAATGAGACAAGCAACCTAGAGGTGCGGGGCACGAGAACCTGTGGTCCGAAGGTGAATCGATGTACTCTGACCTGAGACGAGGACGAGCTGTCACGCACCGATAAGTCTCTTTGAGGATGCACTCAAGATATGGCAACGCAGGTCTGTCTTCGATGGTCGGAATCCTGCTGGTGCCGACGACACGGTCCATTTCCTCTTGCGCCTTGGCATATACATCTGGATTGAGCACCATAGCAAGCAGAAAGACCATCACGACGGTTTGTGTCTGCGCGGGAGATGAGACGACGCAGAGCGCAATACAGAGTGGATAGCTAATACCGTATCCGTGCCAGCTGTAAGAACAATCGTATCAGCAAACAGCTTTTCCTCGTTCGACTGCGTTGATGGCACCTACCCGCGTACAAAGTAAGGCCAAACATCATGATCTCCGGCCGTTCGTGCTCCAGTAATCCTTTAGCCGAGGAGGCCTTGATCAACTCCGGTAACACAAAGTGCGCGCCCGTGTCCTCGCTCTGTCGTGAGTAAGTGGCATAAGACATGATATATGTCGTTGCTCATTCGTACATGCGTACTTACCAGCTTGCTCTCCGCCAAGGCGTACGTTCGTCGTGCAGCATCCTGCACTACGGTCTTGACCCACAATGCAGTTCGTTTGAACCTCGCCCCTGGTACCCAGGCCGGGATATATTTGACTGGATCGATATGCTGTCAGCACAGAGAGGTGATCGGCGGGTATAGCGCGCCTACGCATTGGTATGAAGTCCACGGGTGCCGCGCCCGGAGCGGACGAGCCCATTGTCTCGTCTAGTGCCTTCTCAATGAGATGCAGATACTCGTCGTCAGAAGACGCTACAGTGTGCCCATAGAGACACTGGAGCATGGTCGACGCAGAATATCTATGTCAATATCATGTAAGCACCATGCCAAGTACTGCAGCGGGAGTAGAAGGCCCACCGATGGATATGAGTCCCGAAATCCTTGGGATCTCGAAGAAGCCCCGTGAGCAGGGTGACTGCTTCACGTCTCTGTACCTCAGCAAATGCAGACAGCGATGTCTTGGAGAAGAAAGGGAGATGCATCCATCGTCTATGTTTACGGACTTCTTCATTATACGGTAGGAGCCCGAAGTCGTGTTCCCACCCGAGCCTTGTGTTCGTTGTGTCACTTCGATGAGCAGCATCAAATGTAATCCGGGTTCATGTGCTTACATCTCTGTTAGCAGGACCAAATGTGGCCTATCCGAGTATTTGAAGCTTCGCTTGCCCAGGAGCTCTCGTGCAGCAGTGACAGAGTTGATGACTAATACATGGGTGTTGAATATCTTCAAGTAAACAATGTCCCCTGATGCCGTACAATCAGCTATAGGGGATCTTCAAGGTACACCGCAAGACACCCTCACCATACGTCTCTCTCCATTGTGCAAACCGTTTCTCCGGGAACTCCAAAGTCATCTGTGCTACGTTGCCCAAGATGGGCAGCTGTCGAGGACCAGGAGGTAACTGACCACGGCGAAATTGTCGACCCTGTAGTCCAAAGTGGATTATGCCGACGAGGACAACTAGCCCGAGTGCAGCTTGAACGCCAAGTGGGAAGCTCATCGTTAGGAGCGTGTACGCGATACTAGTGAGGCAATCTGAACGAATCGCAACACTGCCAGTGTGTTCCTGAACGAGGGTTCGCTTGGCTTGGCTTATATGGGACATCTGTACCACTGACCATGAGCGCGAGGCGCTGCGCACCGCGGTAAAAGCGTGTAGACTTACTGGCTACATGACGAATCGTGGCCTCAGCTGACTTGCCGACATACAGAGTTTGGTTGGTTATCTGCATTAGCCGCCGTTCACGACGCTCTGTCGGTGCCTTCTCGCAAGCCTTCGGTGTATCTACGCTCCGAGGTCACTCTTCCTCCACATTGCAAGAATCTATGGCACGTTTGACAAGAAGGCAGCGTGGCATACATGTTCGCAACCCGGGGTCTGTGATAGGCGAAGACCATTCGTCCCTGCCGGAAGCACTTCATACAGCACCATCTTGAGAGCTGCGAGCTATGAGCTGTTCACTTCTCTCGATCGAGGTCGGATGTCACAGACGAAATGTTTGGGACGTCTATTGACAGAGAAACGGTGAATGGTACCATGCTCATACAGACCTTTCATGATCGCACCCACCTGACGAAGCCAGAAGTAAACTCAAGTGGAGGAGTGATCTCTCGTCCCACTAAATCGTGCGCTTTGTCAATATGAAAGGTGGCTATGACGCTAGCCATGACAAGCCACGCGTTGCTGTCACCCAGAAAACGTCCGGGACATATACTATAAGATTGGAAGGAGTACATGAGCCGACTAAGCAAAGCCAAGAAAGCGAAGCATACCGCCTCCGTGCCCGAATACAATCTTGCGGGGATCGCGAAGCTCTGCCAAATCTGGTTCAAGTTCAAAGAAGCGTTCTGGCTTGAAGTCGTCAGGGTCCTCGTATATTGCATCGTCGCGCGACATAGCCCTGTGAAGGTCACGAAATCAGCCATTAGACCATCATGATGACCATAGCACGCAAAGACATACCAAATGTTCGGTATGGCTGTCGCGCCCTTAGGAATGTCGTAACCATTGTAGTCGTCCTCTTCGGTAAGTTGATGCGCAACGCTTACTCAGCTCTGCCGTCAGATCTGTTTCGCGCAACGTACAAGATAACTTGCTCAGAGGGATCGGAACACCCCATCTACTCGCGGTGCCTGTAAGTCGCAAACACATCAAAACGACAGTCTCCTACCTGTAGACTTCCTTCAGCACACATTCGAGGTACGGAAGTGCTTCTCTGTCATCCATCTGAGGCAGTCTTCCTGTCCCGACGATACGATCGATCTCCTCCTGCGCTTTCTTGAAGACTGCCGGATGGCGGACCATAGCAAAGACAAAGACAGCGAGGACGCTGACCGTCTAAGCATCACCCTCGCTCCATAGGAGCACTTCATCAGATAATTCGTGCACACTCACTGTCTCCGTTCCCGCTGGAACGTCATGCAACGGCACGCTCAGAGGGTAGATAACTGAGCAAAGGATGCACCCGACTCACCTGAATAGACCACACCCGCTGCGCCACTCATTTCCCTCTCTTCCGTGGGTGAGATTGGTTCATCTATGGGAGCCTCCTCCAACAGCGTGGCCGCGAAAGACGGCTTGACGCTACCCGCTGCCTATACATGTAGGTACCATCAACGGGCAACTACCGCTCGCTAGGGGTGCTGCTTCGTACCATAGTCTTTATAACAGACCTGAAGGGGTCGAGATTCATAGCATCGATATCAGGACGTAGGCGAATCGCAGTCCGCTTCCAGCCCGCACCAGGCAACCACCATGGCACATATTTCACTATCCAGCAAAGTCAGATGCACGGTTGCGTTATCGATGTCAGTATCACTCAACCGGGCGGCAGCTGCGACTCACAGATGGGGAAGAAATCGACCAGCATAGAGCCAGGGGTCCCGGCTGCGAAAAGCCCCGCCAATGCACTATCTACTTTGCGGATGTGCGCATCGTCAATGGACGTCACCGTATGGCCGTACCCGATTTCGAGCATCACCGCAGCGGAAAAGCTGGCAGAGTCCAATGACTTTTAGGCAGTGCGATCGATCGGCGTTGACTCACCGCTTGAGATGGTCCATGAACGCGCTGGGCTCTCGGACCAGGTCCGCGAGAAGTCTGCGTGTCTCACGTTGCTGGATAGGGACGTAGCCATCGAGAAGGTCCTTCGTTTGGAAGCTGTGCTGGAACCATCTGCGATGGCGCTTCCAGCGGTCGTCGTTTGTGATGAAACCGATGTTCCAGCTGAAGCCGCCGCTACGTGGTATATATGAGACTGCATGCATTAGGAAGGTGCGCTCTGGAATTCACCCACAGATCGCAGATGTAGGTGAAAAGGGGCCGTCCGGAGTATTTGGCACCCCGCTGTTCCATGAGTTCCCTCGCAGCCTCAGCGGAATTGATGATCAGGACGTCTCGGGTGAGAAATCGTGCGTAGACCATGTCACCTGTATGGTAGAGCTGCATGTAAGTGCCATGTATTTGTGATTCGACTTCGAAGTGAGGCGTACCGTATTTCCTTGCCCACTCAGTGAACGTCTCGTGCTGATAGGCATCCGAGATTTGGTGTACGTTGCCCAGTATCGGAAGCCGCGGAGGTCCTGGAGGCAGGCGGAGAGCTCGATGCTCGCGCCACCACAGTAAGAATACGCAAGCTACAAAGAGAATATACGATGTGAAAGCTGGGAACGTGTCCGTGGTGCTCCACAATAAAGACGTTGAGACGGTCGATGACATGACCAGAGCAGTCGCGATTTGAAGCTGCAAAGCCGGCGACAGCTCCGCAATCTATGTACGACCACGATGGCATCAACTTGCATCTAAGGGTCCATGGGCTTCAGAACAGTCGGCGTCACGGTGGATATCCCAAGTTCCCAGTCCGCGGATGGAGTTAGACACCTCCATCGGCTCGCGAAGAAGCTTGGGGGCACCGAGTTATCTCAGCGACGCTCGTCCCATGTCCGCGACAGTGGGAGAGCACGCGACCCTGAGCATTTGGTATTTGTAGCGAATAGGTTCTGCGACTGCTCTCGCAGACGGAGGAGAAAGGAGAAAAGATACATTTAGCCACCGACCGACGACTCGCACGCGCGATCATCAGTGTCTTGACAGTGGCGAACCCCACGAAAGGCAGCGGGAGGACGTGATTGCCGCGTTATGAGCGAGTCATGACTCTTGGGTCTGTGCGGAGACGTCCCTCTCAAGCTTTCCCAGTAAGACGGCATCATTACCGGTACCTGAAGGCTGAACGCACTGGCAGGTGTGAACAGTGGTTCCTACTCATGTCTGACGGGCGTCGGCTCGATGTCGCGGATAAGGACACAACGTTTTATCGTGCATGGTCACTATGAGCATCACCATTCTGCAATGGGCAATTTAATAAGACTCACCTGATATTCCCTGCCGCGCGTGGTTAACACGCGTGCACTGCGACTGAATGGAAACCCCTCCTTCTCCTCCTCCTCTATCCAGAACCGGACCAAATGACAAAGCAAACTAGATCGGGGGATACATCAGTCGAGCGTCAGACTTCGGCATGCAATCGCTGAGTCATTGGGTAGGTTGACATACGACAACGCGCTCGGAAGGTCATCTACGCGGATATCGTCAATGTCATCTCCACAGCCAATCCTTCATGGATGGCTTCTACAAAATACAATACATTACACCCATAAACACGCACGTGCCCCGCGGCTCATCGCCACCCGCATCGCGCCAGAACGTCCAAGGCGCAGCACGCACGCACGCGTCACAGGACATACCGGAAGTCCCGGTTCTGGATATCCGTCAAGTCCAGGTACTCCTTCTCGACCTTGCGCTCGACGCGCGAGCCGTCGGGGAGGACGACCTCGACGTACACGTCGTCGTACGTCGTGTCGCGCGGCTCCGCGTCGCGCCGGCGGTTCTCGCGCGCGAGCAGGACCCGGATCAGCATGAGGAGCACCATGCAGGTTGCGTAGCAGATGCCGATGATCAGCCAGGGGACGTGGTTGCTGCGGGGCGGGAGCGGCCGCGTCAGATAGGTGCGGGAACGCATGCGCAGGGAGAGCTTACCGGGGCTCGTACTTCGCTTGCCACATGAACGGGCCTGCGGCGTTGCCGACGCAGTAGGCGATCAGCATGATCGCGTTCACGGTGACCTTCTTGGTGTGCCCCGCAGTGACGTTCGTGAGCCACGACAGCGCGAGAACGAACGCGGTCGTGCTGATGCCTATCCCCATGAACGTTCAGTATGACACATCCCTATTCTGTATCGAGCGAGCGAGACATACCAGTCAACCACTGGCCAAACAGCAGTCCAATCTTGTTGCTCCATGGAAGGAGGTTGACGAGGAGGATACCCAGGATGGTCGGCAAGAAGTATACCGTACCGACGTACGCACGGGAGTTGGGCAACCGCGCGGCGAGGTTCACGCCCGTGAAGATGGTCGTGATCTCGACGAAGCCGTTGACCATCGCGAGGAGGGTCGTCTGCAGCGTCGTAAAGCCGAAGTTGGCGATGATGAGCTGCTGCTGGTTCGTGAGCGAGTTCGGCACGTTGTCGAACGCGGAGAAGAGCGCGAAGAGCCACGTCTTCGGGTCGGTGAGCGCCTCGATGAACTGCTCGCGCTTCCACCGCTTGTTCTCCACACCCGTCTGGTTCGCCTGCAGGCGTTGCACGGCGATGACGCGCTCCTCGGGGGTGAGGAACCACGCGTTCGTCGGGGAGTCGGGGAACATGAAGAAGAAGCATGCCGCGGTGATCAGCGTGAGGATGCCGGTGATGATGACCAGCCATTGCCAGGGCTCGAAGCTGCCCGTCTTGATGCGCAGCGTTCCGAAAGAGATGAAGCCAATGACAATTTGCGCTATCAGGTCGTCGATCAGTCGATCACAATGAGAAGAGGTGTAAGTCAGACATACCAGTGCCGTTCATCAAGACTGCAGCAAGAAAACGCAATCAGTCAAATTGCAATCAAGCTAGAGACTTCGAGAGGCACGCACACCAATACCCGACTCTCAGTGTCTGCTCCTTGCGCGTGTAGAACATACTGGTGACGATCATGAAGCCGGCGGTGATGGAGCCCTCGCATATACCGAGGATGAAGCGGCACGCGAAGAGACCACCAAAATTCTTGCACGCAGCGTGACTGCAGAGCGCAACACCCCACACGAAGATGTTCAAGCTGTAGGGCGCATCAGCTCCCGTGCATATGGACAAAGTCTGTGCTACGTACCTCATCCATTTGCCCACCGGAAACCGCTGCAGCGCGAGGTTCTGCGGATACTCAAAGGCGAGGTACGCGAGGTAGAAGATCGTGCCGAGCCAGTTGTACTCGTTCGTCGTGAGATGCGTCGCGGTCTTGATTCCGAGGATGGCGGCGCTGCCCAGCGTGGTTTTGTCCATGAACTGGATCCAGTACAGAACGCACATGAGCGGCATGAGATGCAGGTCGATCTTCCGGCGGAGGCGGCGGTCTTCCTCGGGCGTGATATCGACATGCTTGCCAGCGACGAGGGCCGCACCGGTGTCGACTTGGTCGGTGACGAGGGCGACGTGGACGTTGCCCTTCTTCTCGTCCTTTGAGTCGATGGATGCCTTCTCGAGGGAGTCTTGTGCGCGCATGGTGGACCGGTTCCGAGTCGGGGCAGCGAGCGGAGGGGCCACGCAGTCGCTAAACAGAGAAGCAGAAGCACCGCGGGCGCTGGCAGAGCGCGTCGGTTTATGTTGAGCGGTACGTCGACTCCACGTCGATCAGAAAATGAGTCCGGTCGCAGATGATAGCGCTACCTCCATGTGAACATGGAATGATAGCGGTGGGGAGGAGGGCGACACGGATGCTGGGCGAGCCAAGGAGATAGGAAGAGGGGATTATGACACCGTTATCTTCTATGGCGTAACTCAATATCAATCCTACTGGGACAAGGACATTGTATAACTCACCGCCATGTTCGGAGCACCGGGAGCGCTCTGTCGCATTGCAGTTCACAGATAAGAACCAGGAGGATAGGTTTACGGATGGAAAAAGTGCCTTGGTTCGCTGGGCTGGACACTTTGCTAGATGCGGTCCACAGCGGATGGCGGGCAGAAAGAATCCCGTTCGCGCGCTATTGCGCTCGTGAGAACGACTTGCCGACGGGCGCCTCCTGTGCTCAGTCCCTGACCGCCTCTACAAACATCATTGTTAGAACACTAATCTTGGCTATCTATACTTCATGGGACTTTGTTTCTGCAGGTCAACATCGACGTTGAACTATACGGAAAGGCGCGTATCGCAAAGAATGTTTTGCAGACCACGATAACGGAAGCTTACCGTGTCACACAGTCCACAGCAGGAAACGTACCGCCGGACGGCTGCTGAGCTCGAGAATGCCATGACATGACACACGCGACGAGTCGATACTGAGTACTGTTGGTGGAGCGATGTTTTAGGTCGAGGTCGAAAGCATACAGTAGACCTGCGCCAGGAAACCGCCTTTTGTGTACGATGAGGGCATCGACACTCGGTGCACTACGGTCGAAGCGTTTGCCAGAGTTACAGCAGAAGAGCCTATTGACTCCTCCGCGTCATCGTTCGCCTAAGAAGAATCGACCTCGACTGAGCAAACCAGAACACGAGCGACGGATCTCCCATGGAAACAACCAGCTAGTATCCTAGCGCTGAATATACACTGAGCGTGTGCTATGTAGGCAAGAGAGGTCAGAATTGCGGATATCCATCTCCTGACGGCCACTGATGGATAGGAACGCTTCACAAGGCACGAAGACCAGGAGAGCGTACGTGAATCAGATCGTAAGCTTCGTTTCGTTGGAGGCTTGGTTGCCTATGGATTAAATGACGGTATGTTTGCTCTGCTGTACAATGGGAGCATTTTTTGCGTGCATATTGATCTGCCATTCACCAGACGTCGATCTCTCCACCACTCTGACTCTCCACTACTCATTGACTTCGAGAACGTATCACACGCGCATAATCACGCTGGCACCGTTGCAGCGAGACTCGCCACCAGGCTCGCAGCCGCAGAGCGCGGCGTCATGGAGCATACGAAGGCCTTCGCATGACTACCTCCCATTATGTCAAAAAATGATCTAGCAGCATAACGTGCTATGACTCGCCTCACCGCGCCAGAGGTGAAGGAACACGGAGGAGTAATCTCCTGCCCTGAGGAGTCGCGGGCTTTGCGTATATCCACGGTGGCTGTTATAGCGGCTATGGCCAGCCAGATGCTCGCGTCAGCGAATCGGCGGCCAGGGCAAATACTACAAGGTCAGGATCGGCTTATATGTCAGCGAAGGGATACTTAGAAGAGATCGAATTCGACATACCGTCTTCCGAAACCGAAAATCACATTTCGAGGACATACTCGCTCCAACTCGTCTTCGGATAGGCCCCAGAAGCGCTCCGGGCGGAACGTCTCCGGTTCAGGGTACATCTCTGCATCCTGCACCATAGACCTTTGTACATATGGTCAGTTTACGAGTCAGAGGACTGTATGCAACGATCGCATCTTGCCAGAGATTTGTGATAATCGTGCAGTTCTTGGGAAGAAGGTAGCCTCTGTACACGTCTTCTTCCCTTAGCATATGCGGAATGCCTATGAATATCAGTGTTGTATCAGCGGGCCATCGCAAGAGATTACGACGTACCCAATGGTACGGGGCAGTTCCAGCTGATGAGGTGAGCCGACAGCGTTACGACGGTCGCACAATGTCATACCGATAGACTTCTCGCAATACGCATTCGAGGTAAGGCAGCGAGCTTCTGTCACCGGGCTCCGGCAGACGGTCGTTGCCCACAACGCGATCGACCTCGTCTTGCACTTTGGTGTAAACCTCGGGATGCAGAACCATCGCGAGGATGAATGTACGTAGTACCGACTCTGTCTGCCTCGATGTAAGTACGATTCTCTCCGGGAATGAAAGTGTACAGACCGTGTCAGCCCCAGCTGAAGCTCATATGAGGTGTCTGGCAACTACCGTGAGCTAACGGGCACGTACCTACATAGGTTATAGCTCCGGCACTCATGATATCTTGCTTCTCCGTAGCCAGCGTACCCTTTGACGCATACTCTTCGATTAGAGATCTGACCATCGAAGGCTTCTCATCGCCTGCTGCCTGAATAACCGGACATCATCACGCGAGGTCAGAGATTGAAGTCAAGGGCGCACCTACCATCAGCCTCTCCACCTGCTCGTATGGCTTGGTGTGTGCGAGTTGCACATTCGGCTTTGCCTGGGCAGCCATGATCTTGAATCCCGCGCCTGGGAACCAGGTAGGGAGATAGCGCACTTTCGTAGCCAAAGCTACGTCAGACTACACCGTGCTTCGAGGAGTGCGTGCAACTCACACCAGGGCAGGAAGTCTACTATCGCAACTCCCGGCGTTGCAACCTCCGTTGCTGTCCTGAGAGCATCGTCAGCATAGGTCAGATACTCATCCTCATCGGACATGACAACGTGTCCGTAGATCGCTTCCAGAACGAGGGACGATGTATATCTGGAGATGAGATGTAAGAGAGCCGTCTCCACTCAATATTACGAACTCACCTGTGTAGATGTGCTACAAATCGCTGCGGCTCGCGCAGGAGTCCCCCCAGAAGAGTATGAACTTCTCTGGTTTGGGAGTGACCGAGGTCATTGAGCGAGCGCTTTGCGAAGAACGTGGAATGGATCCATCGTCGCATCTTCCGGAGTCGCTCGCCCATCGGTTGTGTCGGTATAACATCACCCCATCCCAGCCTGCGGAGGCAGTCTCATTGAGTAAAGCATTGCTCGGAACGAACACAGGCATACTCACAGATCTGACATGAGTACAGACGGTGGCCTGTCCGAGTACTTTGCACTTCGTTTCTCCAGAAGCTCTCGCGCTGCTGTTGTAGAATTGACAATCAACGTCGGCCGAGTGAAGATGCTGACGAAGGCAATATCTCCTGCAAATAACGACGTGATCAGTAGTGTACGCATTGTGTTATTGAAAAGCTCACCGTAGCGACTTTGCCATTGGGCGAATGCTTTCTCTGCATATTCCAGCGGGACTTGATGAGCATTACCTATGAATGGAAGAGAGCGCGGCCCGGGAGGCCGGTCGTCTGCCCGCAAATGCGAGGTATAGAAGGCCCAACAACCCAGAGCAACGAGCACTATGCTAGCAACCGCCTCTAGGGAATCTTTGGGAAGCGAGGACATGGCGTCAGTGCTCACTGAAAGGTGGCGAGGCCACTAATTATGTAAGGACGACAGACGTCAGGGTCCAGTTCCCTAGAACCCGGGAGTATCATGGACGTCGAACATATTGAAGTTCTAGACTGCCTCATCTTCAGAGCCCGTCGTGCACCTGCCAGTGGCTGCACTATCTAAGGTTTCCAGCGAACATGCGGCGACAATGCCATCCGTTGTCCAAGGGGTAGCCAGTCGTGATTGGCCAACTCAGCTGGGAACATTGCGTCGTATCGCTGGTCATATGAGTAGTAGCGACTTCACGGGAGACTGGTGACTGCCGCATGGCTCACACGGGGATCTAATGTGATACAACTAAAAGACAATCGCGTTAGCATCGGTATTGCACCGTCGTCTCAATGGTATCCAAGGACAAGAACGACACTTACTCCGTGTGGGAAGCCACCACCCGCCGGTTGACTGCAAAGACAGAGTATCAGTAGATAAGCAGGCGTCCACTTTGCAACGTACCCACCAACTGTTTTCAACTCAGCGAAACGCATCGCACATCACACATAAGAGCATGTCGCGCAAAGGAATGCCAATTGTCAAATGCGTCAATGAACAAGAAAGTCATGGACACAGGCTGGGTACGTAGGCAGGGTATCTCCGTAACAATACAGTGACAACAGTGCATGAGTGTGTGTAATGCGTGCGCGCCTCGTCTCGCGTATCGTACAGTGCAGTAAGAATGAGTACCAGACAACAACCGACCTTCCAGATCGTACGTAACAACCAGAATATAACCAGATCCAAACTCACAATGCATAAATAGCACAGGCCCGACCGCGATGAGTCAACGTCGCAGTCGGGTTATCCTGGGATGCAGCCGACGGGAGAAAGAGGAGGGAAGACGGCGAGGGCTTAGGCGAGGAAGCCAGTCTCGAGCGCGCGGGCGGCGACGCTCGCCTGGGTGACCCCCTGGTCGCTCACGACCGCGACGCTCGCGAACTGCGTCTGGACACCGAAGGCGGCGTTGAACGCATCGGCCTGGGCGCCGGTCTTCGCAGTCTGCTGGTCTGCAGCAGCAGAAGCAGACGCACAGGTCGCCTTGGCGGTGGCGTCAGCGCCACAAGAGTTCGTGAGCGTATCGCAGATGAACTTCGTGATGATGTCAATGCCCTGCGCAGAGCCTAGCATGGTGATCAGTGAGAGGTTTGGCGAGAACATGAGGTACAAGAGGCATACCGTGGTTGTAGCTCGTCAGGTCCTTCGGCTCAAAGGCAGTCTCCTTACGGCCGTCCAGACCTTGGGCGAAGATGATCTCCGGGACAGAGCAAGAACCGAAGTTACCGATACCGCTCGACGACGCAGTCGAGCTCGCAGTAGCAGCAGCGGAGGTTGTCGTCGCAGCGGCGGCAGTCGTAGTCGCAGCGGCATCCGTTGTAGTGGCAGTCGCCGCAGCCGTCGCGTCCGCGCTGGTCGCAGCGGCTGTCGATGCGGCGCCAGCTCCTTGGGTGACACCCTGATCGCTCACAGCGGCGACATTGGCGAAGTTCGTCTGAATGCCGAATGCTGCGTTGAACGCGTCGGCCTGGGCGCCCGTCTTCGCTGTCTGCTGGTCAGCAGCGGTGGAAGCGGTCGCGCAAGTTGCCTTCGCGGTGGCGTCCGCGCCGCACGAGTTCGTGAGCGTGTCGCAGATGAACTTGCTGATGATATCGATGGCCTGCGCGGAACCTGCAACGATCATGAGCACTCAGATCTGAGGTAGTACGGAAGTTATATATGGCTTACCGTGGTTGTAGCTCGTCAAGTCCTTCGGCTCAAACGCGGTCTCCTTACGGCCATCGAGCCCCTGTGCGAAGATAATCTGAGGCACGGAGCACGAGCCGAAGTTGCCAACGGCGCTGGAGGAGGCGGTCGAGCTCCCAGTCGCAGCAGCAGAGGTCGCACTGGCCGAGGCATCCGCCGAAGTCGCCTACCCAACCGTATCAGCGACTGCCACATATACTGCTCATGAGAAACACTTACGACAGCCACGTTCGTGGTCGCAACCGCCGACGCGGACGCCGCGCCGAGGGTAGCACCTGTGTTGCTCACCTGCGCGACGCTCGCAAAGGCCGTCTGGATACCAAATACCGCGTTGAACGCGTCCGCCTGTGCACCGCTCAGCGCGGGGGTAGCAGCGGCGGCAGCAGCAGCAGCGGTCTGGCAAGTGTCCTTCGCGGTCTGGTCCGCACCGCAGGAGTTCGTGAGCGTGTTGCACATGAAGCCCGTGATCACGGCGATGTTGTCCGCAGAGCCTTCGAGCGCGTGTCAGTCAAGGTTGGCGGGCGATGTTCCAGTATGGTACCCACCATGGTTGTACGACTTAAGATCCTTCGGCTCGAACGCGGTCTCGGTGCGCCCGTCCAGACCCGCTGCAAAGATGATCTGGGGGACGCTGCACGAACCAAAGTTGCCGATTGCGCTCGAACTAGCTGTGCTCGACGCAACTGCCACGTTTGACGTCACGCTCACAGTCGCCGTAGCCGTCTCGGTCGCGTCCGACGAGACTGTCACCGTCACCGTCCGCGGCGGCGCGCACGAGCTATCGTCCGAGCTGCCCGTCGCGATCGCCACGTTCGTCGTCGCAGCCGCAGTAGACGCAGCAGCCGCGGTAGACGCACCGGCGGCCTGGGTCACACCCTGATCGCTCACGACCGCGACGCTCGCGAACTGCGTCTGGATACCGAAAACAGCGTTGAAGGCATCGGCCTGTCCACCGGTCTTGGCGGTCACGGTGTCGGCGGCAGCCTTGGCAGTCGCGCAGGTTTGCTTGGCGAGGGCATCGGCGCCGCAGGAGTTGACGAGAGTATCACACATGAACTGGGTGATGATGTCGATGTTCTGAGCGGAGCCTAGAGGCCGGACGAGGAACCATGCGTTTAGAACTCTAGACATCACGGTAGCTGGAAATGTCTCTCACCATGAGCGTAACTCGTCAAGTCGGCGGGCTCGAAGCTCGTCTCCTTGCGGTTGTCAAAGCCGACGCCGAAGACGATTTGGGGCACGGTACAAGAACCGAAGTCACCAATCTGCGACGACGAGGACGTAGAAGAAGCAGAACCAGTTGTTGTCGCACTCGAAGTCGCGGTAGCCTAGAGGCGGAGAATGCATCAGTGGATTGCATACACAAGACAGCCTGGGGGACATACTGCTGCAGCGGTCACCGTCGCAGTCTCTTCAGCAGTAACAGTGACAATAGCGCACGTAGAATCGTCGCGGACGTAGTTTTTGAACCACTCGTCGTACGACCGGTCGTGGATGAAGGGACGGGCCTGGACGAGGCCAAGGAGGGGTAGCGCGAGAACAACCTTGGAGAACATTGTTTTGAAATCTGGTCACAAGGAAGGTAGGCAAAAGGAGGGTGTTGCTGGCCTGCGGCGTGCGAGGAGACGAAGAGACTGCAAGGAGGAGAGCCTAACTAGAGGCGGTACCGGGACACCTGGTCGGATGACGAGCGAAAGGACGGCCGTTCAACGACACAAGGCAGCGCAAACGCGAGCGAAGGCGAACGTGAAGAAAGAGGGAAACGGAAGGGTGATGCTGCCCATGGCCGCGCGAGGACGAGTTATAAGCAAATGACCATCAGGAGACCGCATGGTGCCAGTTGGACGGCCCGGTTGGTGTAGAAACAGCTCGACGGCAACCTGACGACGGACGATAATGAACGCGTTGCTGTTGCTTGGCAATCTGGACGTCCCGCTTCGACCGCCGGTATGTGCGTGCCTGGGTGGGCCTGGTAGTCCTCCGTCAACCCTTTAGTTTGCGAGCTCCATCAACTCTCCAAATCGACAAGTACGCACCCCTCAGCATTCTCCCACACGACCAGTTCGATGTGCATACCGTCGGACGCGTCGCCATCAGCGTGTGAGGAGGAGGAGGATGGCAGAATGTGTCCGAGCCACGTGAATTGGCGCCTGCGTGCCTGACCCCGGATTGCGGAACATGTCCATCTTCGGCGCCGAAAAACATCATGTACTCGGATGTCAACCTGATGCTACACATCCAGTCACTATATGTTGCTGTACGGGGCAGGCCTGTTACTCCGGGTCGCTGAAGACTTTCGTCCGGGAACTCCCCAGCTTGGACTTACACACTTGTCGGCTGGTCCTCGAAGTCGCGCTCGGTGCGACCTTCTCTCCATTCGATGGTGGTCACTCAAGCTCAAGGCGGCAGTATAATACAACTTGACGCCTGCTATAAATGCGAGACGGCATTATCCGCCTGCTATCATGAACTGAGACTACCCACCGTCATATAGCTTGCGGCGAATGCTGGACTCATCTACCATCCTAACTCTGGTTGTCGTCGTACTAGTGGTGCACTATGTACTCGCTGACCGGTACCCGCGCCCGCAAAACTTGCCTCCAGGTCCTCGTCCGCTGCCCATCCTGGGCAACGCGCATCAGATGCCGCTAGAGTATGCTGAGGAAACTTTCGCAAAGTGGTCCTCGCAGTACGGTGAGATTTTGCCGCTCTGGAGTCCCACATACACGCTCATGTAGTGCACTCCAGGCGACGTCGTCTTCGTGAAGGTCTTCCATCGGCCGGTCCTCATTCTCAATTCCGCAAGAGCGGTCCGCGAGCTGATGGAGAAGCGGAGCATGAAGTACTCGGGCAGGCCGCCGTCCGTCTTGCTTTCCGAGCTGTAAGCACCCAGCTCTTTCTCCTCAGCCCATGACTCATCATCGGCGTGCAGATCAGGATGGGGAGACGTGTTGGGAGTGATGCAGATGGGCGAGCGGCTCCGCAAACAACGACGTTGGCTACACTCCGTCCTCTTCGCCGAGGGCGCGCTCGACAAGTTCCGGGCCGTCCAGAGGACAGAAGTGAACGTCCTCCTCGTTTCCCTGCTCCGCAAGCCAGATGACTACGCGGCGCATCTGCATAGGTAAGCACGGATTAGTATGTTCACTCGAAGTAGCGCGCGATCACGACGCTGATGGGACGATCAGACTGACCGCGTCTTTGATGATGGAATCCATTTACGGGCATACGGTCGCCTCGGATGAAGACGAGTATCTGCACTACGCTGAGGCTGCGTTGAAGGGGACGACGGAGGTTGCCTCGCCAGGTGCGGCCATCGTTGACATTCTTCCCTTCCGTGAGTTGGATGTCCCCGTCTTCCGCCCGAGTTGTTAGATGACATAACCGAGCAGTTCGCCATATACCCAGCTGGATGCCCGGCGCGGGGTTCAAGCGCGAAGCCGCAGAAGTAAAGGTGTCCATCGAGGAGGCTCATGTGAGACCGTACGAAATGGTCGAGAGAGCGATGGTGAGTTATGAACCAATATCCTTGTTGTAAAATTATGTAAGTTCGAGGACGTTGCAGGCTGCAGGTGACGACAAACCATCGCTCGTTCGGAACCTCATAGATGAGTGCGCGGGAAGAGGGAATCTAGCTGAGGAACGCCGCGACATCATGAGCGCAGGTGCTGTGAGCTACATTGGTACGTCCGGCCTACTCTCCATCCGAATGACCCGCGGTTTTACCATAGTCCCCATAGCTGGTGTCGACACGGTACGCTCCCTCCCAGCCTCGTCACTGGTCCGGAAGCTAGATGTATAGAGTTCAATGTGCTCAGACGAAGACCGTCCTCCTGAACTTCATCCTTTGTGCGGTCTTGTTCCCCGAGGCCTATTCCAAAGCCCAGGAAGAGATGGGTCGTGTCGTGGGCACCGCGCGGCTGCCTGATCTCAATGATCGAGACACGCTGCCCTACCTCGAGTCTTTCTTGCTGGAAGTCTACCGGTACGTTCCTGTCGTTCGCCGATTGCGAGCCGCCTCTGATCTCCAATAGATGGCATTGTCCTGTTCCGCTGGGTACGCCATCTCGAGTGTCGCCTGCATGCTAAGTCTGATCCTCGCGCTGGTAGGCGTCCCACACGCGGCAAGTGAAGATGATGAATTCCGCGGATGGTACATCCCGAAGGGATGTATGGTCATCCCCAATCTTTGGTCAGTGTTAACCGGACTCTTGGAATCAGCCATAGATCTGTTTCAGCACGTGAACGAAGCTGACTGACTTGCCTGACCTTAGGCTCTTGACGCTGGATGAAGAGCTGTATCCCGAGCCGGAATCGTTCCGTCCAGAACGCTTCCTTGGCCTCTCCGCCGAAGACGCGGAGCGGCTGGATCCTCGAAACATCGTTTTCGGCCATGGACGGCGGTATGTGCACCAGCTCCTGCGCCTCGAGTTGGAGGTTCGATGCTGATCACCCGGCAACGCGTACATGCGCCTTGCAGCATCTGTCCAGGCCGTCGCTTCGCCGATGTCAGCATCTGGCTAGCTGTGGCGAACATTGTTGCAGCATTCGACGTCCGGAAGGCGCAGGATGCGGATGGAAAGGATATCACTCCCCCTCTGGCTTTTGTTCCTGGGTCAGTAAGGTGGGTTGGTTCGAACGCCATCATGATGGCTAAACTGCTACTGATGAAGTGACATTCCATAGCCATCCTCGCCCCTTCAAGTGCTCTATCGCCGCGCGAAACGTAGCTATGGAACTGCTCGCAGATCTGAATCCGTGAGCAGCTATAACTTGAATCAGCCGTAGGTGTGCAGTGTACGGAGCTAGGCCATACCAATTGCCTTTTTTCGACGAAGTGCTCACTTGATGACGTCGCCGCGGCGTTTAAACTCTAAGGCTGTTGCCATATTTCGGGAAGCGCAGCGCTCGAAAAAGAAAAGGTTACTACGTCGGGTGTCCCGTGTAGTAGACACGCGTACACTGCGGCTAAATGGACCCATCTCCTTTTCCTCCTCCTCGGATAGGCGCCAAATGAAGTCAGCTGGAGTGCCAGGGCGGAAGGAGGTTTCCACCGCGGCGTCGTTCCAGTCACGGCAATCCACGCGAGGAGAGGGTTCCACCTGTCCAACCCTGAGCTTTACACTGCGAACATGTACAAACCCTTTTATGCGGCGCCCGATAAGTCTGCAGAATCAACGCGTACCAGCCTCTTGGCTCAACTGATACTAACATCACAATCTCCACCGGCACTGAAGTCGAGTTATAGTTCAAGGGCGCAGGCCTTGAGTTGCCCCACTTGAGCCATGAGCTATGATTGCTGCCGTCATTTTCTTGTGCAAAACGGAACAGTTCAAGTTGAAGCGAAATGCGCGGCAGCGGCCCCGCGGTGCTCTTGACTATCGACGTCACGGTGAGCACTTACTTAGTTTTCACTCCTGTCTGCTACTCAAGCTCAACTAGGCTCAGTGGTGCATCGTCGTTATCGCGTGACAATTTGACTGGCGCCACCTCCACTCAGTGCTACTTTCGTCAAAACGGTGGGACACATTGTCTCTTGCAATAGACAACGATGGATACTAATAGGCTCTCATCTCGACATGGGGAAAATCAGTTATTATCTCTGCAGTTGTCTGTCATCCATGTGCATGAGCGTCGGGCACTCGGCCACGTGATAGTGTCTTGAGACTCATCCATGACATTCAAAAGCTCCAACTTGTCTCCAAGTACTTGCAAGACACGTCAACCACCGTGCTTTCACTCTGAGAATCCCGCAACCTTTCTTGAAGGCATGGACGCGATGATTCCTTCCGGCGCGACGTTCGCTGCGACGGCTCTCATACTGGTATTTTCTGCGCTGTTCGTTGTCAAGATAGTATCCGCTGGATTCAGCCGTCAGCAGTATCCACCAGGACCAAAGCAATTTCCCTTTTTCGGCAACTTTCATCAACTACCGACTGCCGATCAACACAAGGCATTCGCAAAATGGGGGGCGTCGTAACATTAGCGATGCCGTCATTGAACTGGACGTTGTAGGCGATGTTGTGTTTGTCAAGTTTTTCCAACGGCCGGTCGTCATTCTGAATTCCGTACAAGCCGCCCGCGACCTCCTGGGAAAGAGGGGGGCTAAGTACTCTGGGCGGCCGCGCCACACATACATAAACGAGCTGTGAGTAATCCGTGCTCTGCCGTCTAGATCACGCTTCATAGCAGGCTTTCTCACAGCGTCGGCTGGACGGGCAACAGTAGCTTCAGAACGAATGATGAGATATGGAAGCGTCATAGGAAGTGGTACCAGCATGCTGTCATCACCCGAGTCGCACTGGACAGCTACCGTCTGCTTCAGCGCCGCGAAGCGGACCGGACGCTATATGACATACTCCAGGACCCAGAGAATTACAGGCACCACCTCAAACGGTACAGTCGCCATGTCGCCTCGCTTGCTAGGCACTGACAGGATCTACAGGTACGTTGCCGGCGTTGCCCTTGAGATAGCATATGGCCGGAGCATCAAGAACACAGAGGACAAGTTCATTCGACTCATCGAGAAGGGCGCCGGCGAAGCACTCGAAGGGGGCGGAAGGGCCAGTGCACTGGTCGACTTCTTCCCAATATGTCAGTTGAATCACTGCCAGTGGTTGTTGAAAAGACTGTTGTAAGGATATTGATTGCCTGATTTTAGTAAGATTCCTACCGTCTTGGGTTCCGGGGGCGGAGTTCCAGCGATCTGCTGCACGTGCACGGCTTGCCGTTCGCGCTCTGGAGAACGAGCCATATACCAAGGTAAAGGAGGAAATGGTATGATATTCAGTGCACTGCGGCGTACCTACCCTACACATATGTGACATCACCTACATCACTCTAGGCCGCTGGTACCGCCAAACAGTCATTCACGAGGTCATTGATCGAGGATTGTCTCGCGAAGGGTGCCCTCACGAAGGAAGATGAGGATCGCATCAAGGGCGTCGCGGGTACGATTTATGTCGGTATGCCAATATATATCCGATGACCTCCAAGATGACCATTGACTTTGCGCGTTTGTAGGGGCCTCCGAGACGGTTTGTGACATTTTCCGCCGGCAAATTATAGTCTAATGTTTCAACTTCATCAGACCTTGACCGTGCTGCTCACGTTCGTCCTGGAGATGGTGTTGCACCCAGGCGTCCTCCAGAGAGTCCAGGATGAACTTGACAGCGTTGTTGGTGACTCGCGCCTACCCGATTTCGAGGACAGGTCGTCGCTTCCTTACTTTGAGTGCGTACTCAAAGAGGTATATCGGTATACAAGTTAATACATATCTTTGGCGGAAGCGATGCTAATACACCAGTATGTTCTTTAGGATCTGCCCTGCCGGACCCATAGGTAGATACTTCGCTTAAGACTGCGCCGCCAGCAGCTTTGAATATCTGCACACTGTAGGGCTTCCACATTACACCACAGAGGAAGACGTGTATCGCGGCTATTACATACCGAAGGATACTATAGTAATCGCAAACATATGGTGTGTGCATCGACGCCCATTTTGTGCCGTCCTTGCTCAACATTCACTAGGGCAATGACTCGGGACCCGCAGTATTATGACGACCCAGAAGAATTCCGCCCCGAAAGGTATCTCGATGACTCGAACAATACGTGTAAGCCGGCGGAGCTCCAGGATCCACAGGAGCTTGTTTTTGGGTTTGGCAGAAGGTGAGGCCAAGCACGTCATTGCACGAGCCACTACTATTACTAACTATTTGGCCTCCATTGTGGACGTAGAATCTGTCCCGGACAACACCTAGCTGACAGGAACATTTGGATCGTTCTTGCCAGAATGGCAGCCACCATGGACATTCGTAAATCGCGTGACCGCGATGGAAAGGAGGTCACTCCGAATCCAAAAATTGTCGGAGGGACTGTCTCGTACGCCGATGTTATCTGATCAGGGAGCAACCACAACTGACATCTGGACATAGCCGTCCGCAGCCCTTTGTATGTGACATTCGACCACGCTCGGAGAAGAGGAGACAGGTGATCTTGAGCTGCCGCGAACTATGAGGAATTGATTATTGCGTTTGGATAAGAAACACAGTTGTATCAAGGCAACACGCTGTGCGTACCGTCAACTGGTTATTGGACGAATTACGGAAATTCGGATGGACTGTGTGGTATATTGTAAGCATCGCGACCAGCTTGTATGAAGAAACGTGCGAGTTAGAGGGAACGAATGGAGCACCCTGCCCGGCCATATAAGTACAGTAACGTATATCACAGACATTGATTCGATTAGTACTATAAGCACACCCACGATTGACCAACGGCAGAGGGCGTGAGCGAGGGGATGGGCAGTGGTATCCCATAGGAACACGAAGGGATGCATATTCTCCAGGACGCCCTGGACGCGTCTCCAGGACATCCTCATATCCCCAATCGCTTCATTCCGCTCGTCAGGTCCCCGATGAAATCCTGAACTTGCTTCTTAAACCGCCGGACACCGCACCGCTCGCTCTCGACGTGCTGGCACAGTGCGCTCAGCGTCTTGAACTCCGCGCCGCACCCCGAGTACGCGCGCGGGCAGACGAATTGCTTCTGCGCGTGCGCGGGGCTCGCGAAGTGCTGGTTGAGCGACTCGGGCGTGCGATGCTCGCGGTGGCACAGGAAGCACTCGAACGCGTGCCCGTTCCACGCGCGCGAGGTCGCCCACATCGTCGTTTGGCTGTCCGATCCGCCAGCGATCATCCTGGCGGGGTTGGTGATGACGTGGTTCTTGTCGAACTCGGTGATGACGCGGTTGAGATGCTGGCGTGTGATGCGTGAGGGGCAGGTGCCCGACTCCCAGTGGAAGACGAGCGCGGCGCTGTTGATGAATTCCTTGGCACACCCTTTGCCCGGGCAGAGGATACTCGCGATGATGTGAGTGCGGGAGTGGCGGTGGCTGCGGAGGTTGCTCTCGCTCTGGAAGAGAAGGCGGCAGTCGGGGCAATAGTAGTGCCGCTGGCAGTTGTGCTCATGTAGTGAAAGCGCGGAGTCGAAGACCTGTGAGTAGTAACGGAGGTCAGAGAGCATGGCAGGCAGGCAAACAAAGAAGAGCGCACCCAGCGGCAAGGTTTGCAGGGATAATGAGCCTCCTCCCTGTGTTCCTCAAGCTTCTCCGCACGGTCGAAGTGCTTTCCACATATCTCACAATATTGGTGATGCATCGGGGAGGAGATCCAGTGCCGCTGAAGTGAGGAGGTGTATCTGAAATCCGGATTACAGGCGTACTAGCCGCTCAGCACCGTCACGTCTAGTCACATGCCGTGCCGTGTGACGGGCCGCGTGCGTTACATCCTTGCCTTTGCTTTTCGTCCTATGTACGTTCTTTCTTCTACCCACAAGCTCGCTACGCGTTTGAGATCTCTGGCGAGCTATGACCTACTGCGACCGCTGTGAACGCTACTTTCCGCATGAGCGTGCTCTCGAGCAACATAAAGAAGACTCGGGCAATCACCACATCTGCAACCTCTGCAATCTCGACTTTGGGGAGGTCCTTCTGCTGAAGCGGCACTGGGTTATCTCGCCAAAACACAACTACTGCCAGAAATGCAACGCCCACTTCACTCATGATGGCGACCTCATGGACCACTGCGAGACCATGCACATTTGTTGTAGACTCTGCCGCAGGGTGCGCCTTTCTTTTATTGACTAGCGATGCCGACCGTGACCTGCCTTACGCAGTTTTATGACTCTGCGCTCGAGCTGCACGAACATAATCGCCAATCTCACCATTACTGCCCTGACTGCCGCCGCCTGTTCACGAGCGAGAGCAATCTCCGCAGCCACTTGCGCTCGCGCGTGCACACGAACACGACACACCTCTGCCCAGGCAGAGACTGCGGTAGGAAGTTCATCAGCATGGCCGCGCTCATCCTCCACTTCGAGTCGGGTACATGCCCCTCCCGTATCACTCGCGAGCAGTTCAACCGCGCCATTGCCCAATACGACAAACACCACATCATCACGAACCCCGCTAGGATGATCACGCACGGCGAGGGCGACGAGGGACGGTCGGTGGTGACGGTGGCGACGGAACGCGCGTGGAACGGGTCCGCGTACGAGTGCTGCATATGCCGCCGCGAATTCCGCTCGCTGCAGGCGATCGATCAACACCTGGCCAGCCCCGCGCACGCGCAGAAGCAGTTCTTCTGCCCGCGTGACTTCGCGGAATGCGGTGCAGAGTTTAAGGCGGCGAGTGCGCTCTGCCAGCACATCGAGCGTGAGCAGTGCGGCGTTCGGCGGTTCAGGAGGCAGATTGAGGCCCATATTGAGTGCTTGACGAGCAGCATGAAGCGACTGGGCTTCTGAGCATGTCCTGGCGTGGTGTCTATGGGATACCGGACGACTTGTCCCCTCGTATTCGACTATCGCAATCGCTCACGGCGCCCTCAATGTGTTGATGCGCGCAATTGCACGACCTACGGGCATACTCCGCAGAGACGTCTTTACGACAAGGTTTGCTTATTCCCCGTTATGCTTGTCTTCGCTCGACCTACGATACTTCCGGTGCCATCATATGTAGCTTTCATTCCCAGTGCAGCCCGGTGTATTTGGTATAGTATAGAAACGTCTAGTATTCTCAACGGTACACATATTGTGCTCTACACGGTACACACAGTATCATCCGAACGTTAGAGTACAGTAACATAACAAGATAGTCATTATCCTACAACAATAGATCTAATTCTTCCGCTGTGAGTCAACGAATAAAGTTGAGGCATCTGCCTCACCGCTGACGATGAACTGCAAACCAACATTCTCCCCTAATCGAACTCAGATGGACATAGCAGGTGAACAATCCGGGTACAATTAGCGGAGGATCTCTCCGTTCCGACTGAAGTGCACTGAAGATGACCTCGAGACAATCTCAGTTTTCAGTACATCATGATGCAGCCCTCGCCTTGCGCCACATGCCAACTACCGCAGATTGCTCTCCACCGACCCTCGTTTCTTCAAGCCATGGACAGAACGTGGGAGGACCCGCATTGGTTGATTCTAGCCGAGGGAAGGATGGGAGGCTGCTGAACGTTCGGACTTCCTACGGGATGTCAGCGCTTCAGCATCCGTAGAAGCCTGAGTCGGGTCCCTGGAGTACGTCGAATGAATGGCGGAGGCAAAGTTAGAACATCGCCCGCACTCTTTCTGCGAGAATGTCTGCGCTCTCGAACCTTATCCACGACTGTCCCTGATGGTGACTATGAGAACAAGAGCAGTTGAGCCGAGCGTTTGGTACCCTTCGCACGTCTGGTACTTACGGATTGGTTAGAGATATGGACACGCATGCAATCCTACAGCCTGGATTCGTGGCGTCATAGAGCACTTGACTGCGCGATGCTTCCTATAGAACGCTACTCAGCGAGTATCGCGAAACAGTCTGCGCACGATAGTTACAAGACTCACCTATCCTAGTCAAGAGCAGCTGCGAGCTGCGATGTATTATCTTCCCCATTTGCGCCTCGGGCATTCGGACGCCGCGATCATGATCATGCTAGTCATGGCAAGGTCATACATCGACATCTGCGAGCCTACTGACTTAGCCGATTGCTGAAAGAGCGTCCAGATGTATACGCACTGAATGAACGTAGCAATAGACCTTCTTTGTTGTGTATGCATAACCGGTCCTCCTTGACCAAGATCTAGTATGCTGCGAGGGTTTATAGCTGTGCGTCTTCAGTGGCAAGCCTAGGAAGCGTCTCGGGCGAGGGGCGAATCGCTTGGTCGTGATATATATCTTCATCGAGCGTCGCGAATCTGTTAAAGTGCACGTAAGTTTGTTGTATGAAAGAATCTTAGAGTAGAGTCTAAGGAATAGGAACATCGACTAAAGGCTGTGGGAGTGACTACTACTGACCATCGACGGCACTATGTCGTCCTTGCTCAGTGCAGGCGAAATACCGACCATATCAAAAACTCAGACATAAGGAGGCCGCATAGACGACATCGAGACACGTACCGAGAGAACAAGGATGTTTTCATTCAGATGCCGCGTGGAATCGCCACTGGAAAGCTTGTAACTTTGAACGTCGGTTGATTCGCGCTGCCGGAATCCCGTGCCAATTTCTTAAGTTCTGTCAGTGATGATGAGGCTAGACATATCGCAGACCTTTGCAGACTGTGGCGCGCACATAATCATAGGTCTCCGAGAGTTGCGAGACTTGCGGTCGAAGACTGGGAGGCCCGACGGAAGATGTCACGCTCGCGACTCGTCACATGGCACGCTCTGCGCTTGTCACAAGCGCAACGGCTCAGGTCGACCTCGAACCTGAGGCCTGAGCTCCGAGTAGGTCTGAGTCTGTACACTGGATGGCCCGCATCATTCGACGCTCGTACCTGTCTGGAATACGATATCAAAACTGCACTATGCGTTGGATATGACACGGATCTTCAGGCGGCAGTTGTCAATTGCCAGCCATTGCGATTGCGGTTAAATGGATCCCTCAGAGTCCTCCGGGAGCGTCGGGCGAGTCGCTGTTCGAACGTGCAATGTTCACCTTCAATCCTCGCCTAGTAGCAGGTTAGTACGCTGGAAGCTAGTGGCTATGCGGCTTGTCGTGAACCTACAGTTATGCACAAGTGAGTACCTTCGTTATGTACTCCGCCAGCTTTGACCCAGCTATAACTGAGAGGTATCATCGTGTTGCTATAGACCTTGTCCACGCAAATCATCGGACGGATGAACGTCCAGAATAATCTTCAGTGTCAATCCAATGCAAGCGAAGTTCGTGTCCGAAGCCTACTAGACACGGCCACGCCCTCCCTATCTTCGCGAGTCTGCAGCAAGAGATCATATCGGATGCTGCCGTTGGCCGCGACCGACTGTACACGGTACACAATAGACAATCCCTACCTCATGTAATGCGTGCTGAAGGAGATATTGGTGAGTAGCAAGATCCTGATGGACAGCGCTGAGTCTCTCATTCTACGTCTGCCAGCTATGGAGCGCAGCTGAACCTGTCCTGTCTTTGAGTGAGTTGTCGACGATCATTGCTGTAGCTATACGCGCATGACCAAACTCCCAGGCGTTCATTCCCGATTGCTTCTGGAAGCTGTCGCCCGAAGATTCGGAGCGCACAGACCTTCGAAACATAGTTTATGGTCGTGGCCGCCGGTGAGTCATATGTGCGTATGCTTGCAGTTATTGAGTGAACCGGCTACATCCTCCAGCATCTGGCCAGGCCGTCGGTTCGCAAACGTCAGCGTCTGGCCGTGGCGGCATCCGACATCCGCAAGACACGGGACATTGCGAGCAACGAGGTCATACCTGCGAGTTTTGAATCTGGTTCAACACGGTGTGTCAGATCCTCGGACTACAATATGAGGCTGACGATTCGTACAAATGTTGTTTTCTGTTCACCGGCCGCCTTCCAGTGTTCAATCAAGCCACGATCGCAGCAGGCTGTAAGGCCTATCACGAACACGGCGTGCAAACGAATGCATTGAGGACCGAACGAAAACAGAACGGCATCGCGCTTGTAAATGTGTCAGCTTCTCCGTGTCGAATGGAAGGGACAGGGAAGCTCTAAGGCGTCTTGTCGAGAAAGCGTGCTTCATCTTAGCGACTTATGGGCAAATGCGTACATCAAATGATACGGGTCCAGTTGGTAGACGTCGAGAACTTTGAAATGGGTGGAGAAAGGCATATAATGTCATCCCACATCCCTGGATAGTACTCAAGACACGGAAGGGGCCTCATGAGGTGGGAGCGTTCTCGCGGTGTTACTGATACCGTATTGGACACTCACATTGACTCATGTGCGCCAGGGCCGGATTTTGTACGGAGGCTCGAACCTTGACCGACATACCAAAGTTTCGGCTTGGTGTCTTCGCTGCGCTACTCCTCAGTATAGCGCTCCATTCTATGGCTCGATGGATACACCAGATGGGACCAAACCTACTGTATTCGTCAAGTACCCGTTGTACCGTATATCGGTACTGTGTACGGGGCCCGCACACCTACAAGCGCAGATCCCTGGTAGCCCGCCATGACTCTGACATTGCTTGACGTTGTTCTGTGTCTGGTACTTGTCACCCTCATCGTCCTCTATGTCGTTCAGAGACTTCAAACCTCTTCCAAGAGGCATCTCCCACCAGGTCCGAGCCCACTACCGATTTTGGGTAATGCACACCAAATGTCCTCCGACTTTCCCGAGAAGGTGTTTGCCCAGTGGAAGGACGTGTATGGTAAACATTCAAAATACTCGGAGGTTCATCGGGAAGTTTCTGACCCGTCGCCGCCAGGCGACATTATATTCCTACAGATGTTCGCCACCCCGGTGCTGGTCCTGAATTCTGCCAAAGCTGTGCGGGATCTCCTTGAAAAGCGCAGCACGAAGTACTCAGACAGACCGTATTCAACCAGATTCATCGAACTGTACGTCCGACATCCGAATCTCTGCCTAGTCATCGTGACCAAGGACAAACCGCTAAATGAATTATGGCTTTAGTCTGGGATGGGACGCAAGCTTTGCACTCAGGAACTACGGTGAGATGTTCAGGAGGCACCGCCGCTGGTTACAAGCCCCATTCTTCGACAAAGCTTCAATTGCGCAGTACTTGCCCGTTCAGACTCGCGAGGCTCACATACTTCTTTCCAACCTCCTCATCGATCCCGACAACTTTTCAAATCATGTCCGTCGGTGAGTCGTCGAGCATAGTCACTTTATGTTCTTCTAGATGTCATTAATCTTTGTCGCCCGACTGTCACTCATATCACAACTTGCAGCTTCTCTGGCGCAACCATGCTGGAGACACTGTACGGACACAGCGTCATCTCACCGGACGATGAATATCTTCGGCTCGTTGACACAACCATCGAGGGCACCACGGCCGCTTCCGCCCCCGGCGCTGCGCTCGTGGATTTCATTCCCATACGTAAGCTTGCTCCACGCACTCAATGCAAGTATCGCTGAGGCTGCTGCAGTTAAGTACACTCCAACCTGGCTTCCCGGCGGTGGATGGAAGCGTCGTACATTGGAAGGGAGAGCCGCGTTGCAGGAGACCCACGTCAAAACATATGCGCTTGCGGAAATGCATGCAAATGTGAGTCATGCCATGTACAGGGCTTATCAGATGACGGACCGGAGGTACAGAATGGCAAGTTGTCCGTTGTGGGCTCACTGATCAAGGAGTACTCGGACAAAGGAGAGATTGGGCCCCTATTGCCGGAAATCATGCAACTCGGGACGTCGGCATACTCTGGTAGGGAACTAACGTTGTTCACAAGTTGATCACTCACTAGAATGTCATACTACCAATAGCTGGAACAGATACGGTAATCTATGTTATATGTGCCTTGTATCAATTCTGATACGTCCTGCAGACAAAGTGTGTATTGCAAAGCTTCATACTCGCTATGGTTCTACATCCCGAAGTGTACAAGAAGGCGCAAGATGAGATGGATCGTGTCGTCGGTCATGACAGGCTACCGACATTGGAGGACAGGGATTCCCTTCCGTACTTAGAGTGTATACAGAAGGAGACATATCGGTAAGCCCCGAGCGACAATGTCACGAGCTCCTGATTAACTTCTCGTATACCTAGCTGGATCTGTCCCGTCCCCTTGAGTATGTGACGCTCTGGCTGGCTCTTTCATGTATCCCTAACCGACTTGTAGGTCTACCCCATGCATCGAGCGAAGACGATGAGTATCGTGGATACTTTATCCCAAAGGGAACAACTGTGATCCCAAATCTCTGGTCAGTCGTATCCCGTCTTCCGCTGTTCATCTATACAGACCTCATCGACTAGGCTCATGTGTCGAGACCCCGAGGATTACCCTAGTCCAGACGATTTCCTGCCAGAACGTTTTTCGATGCTGACAGCGGAGGAAGTCGAGCGCATAGATCCACGTAATATAGTGTTCGGACATGGTCGAAGGCACGCTCTATGTCTCGTCATCTATGCTAGACTTAAGCTGACGATTGCGTAGGATCTGTCCGGGTCGTCGCTTCGCAGACATCAGCGTATGGTTGGGGATGTCTTACATGATAGCGACTCTTGACATCTCGAAAGCCCGAGATGCTTTAGGAAATGAGATTACGCCCCCGGTTTTATACGAGCCCGGTTTCACAAGGTAGGCAAACGTACCATTTGAACTTTGCCGCATCGTGTCTGATGTTAGACTAGCTGTCCCGTCCACTTCGAATGCTCAATCAAAGCGCGATCGCAAAACGCTGTAGAATTGATCGCTAGTACTGCTTGAGAGTGGCGCGTTCGAACACTGGCCGTAGGGCATACCATTTGGCGCCAAAGTCAGGTACATACAAGTATGTACAAGGGGATTGCATTGAATGCAATGAAGGGCCGCTGTATGCTAACACACGACAAGGCATGTTAGTGAACCACCATGCCAGAGTTATCGCACTCGTGTATCATTCTGATAGACTCACCAGCATCCCGGAGACCATGTTCATTACCCGCTGCGACCGAGGCGTAAAGGAACACACAAACTCAGGCGGGTGGGTGACGTATCGCTCAGTACCGCTGGATGCTTATTTGACGTGAAAACGCACCGACTGAGACCAGAACAAGATTCTATGGTGTTATCTCCTTGCCATTTGAGTCGCGCGCTTTTGCGATGTTCAGCGTCGCCACTATGCTTGTCACTGTCATGAATATATTGGCGTCCGCGAAGGATCGCCCGAGACATGCTGGATGCATCATGATGATCATACACCGACGTCCGAGTCTGCGAGCCTGCTGACTGTGCTGATTGCTGAAAGAGCGTTATGGTGTTAACGCACTGAATAAAAGTAGCAGTTCACGTCCTGTGTTGTGCATGCATAACTGTACGTACCGTCCCCCGTGACCGAGATCGATGTCCCGGGGGTTTGAAGCTGTGCGTCTTCAGCGGCAGGTCTAGGAAGCGTATCGGGCGAGGGGCGAAAGAGTCTGGGGAATAGGAACATTGACCGAAGATTGGGGTGACTACTGACCACCCGCGGCACTCTGTCGTCCTCACTCGGTGCTGGTGGGATCCCTACCATATCAAAAGCTCAGACTCTACGAGGCCGTGGAGACGAATTGAGAGACGTACCAGAGACTTAGGATGCTCTCGCCAAATACCGCGTGGAATCGCCATTGGGAAGCTTGTAACTTCGAACGTCGGTTGGTTCGCGCTTCCGGGATTCCATGCCATCCATTTCCTGTCTGTGACGGTGATGCTAGGAATATTGTACTTTGTGGCATGCACTAACATAGGTCTCCTGGAACCGAGTCGCGAGACTTGCGGTCGACGACTCGGAGGACGGATGTCACACTCGCGACCCGTCACATGGCACGCTCCGCGCCTGTCACAAGTGCAACGACCTCTGCCAATCGCCTCGAAGTTGAGCTCATTGGACGGCTAGACCCACTTTCCAGTACATCCGTCCTCTTGCTCTCTTCTGGTATACTTCACACAAGATCAGCTTCAACTCTCGTTCTGTGGCTAATGCTTCTGTCGGTATCCATGGTCCTGTCTGGCCGCTGTCGCGACAAGTAACGAATTGGGCCCAAGTGACGACACCTTTCGCAACCATAGCGCACGAGGCCCTAGTAGAAATGAAAATTCGATGGTCTTTTTATCATCAATTGTTTGGGGGCACCGGAGGATTGATAGCGATGGATTAGCCGCGACTTGGCCACGACTCGAGATTCAGCGGTATGTCGTACCGCCTAGTTGGAGCGATATCAATTGCAACACCATAATCTGAAGTCAGGGATGGGAACCCATGCGCGTACAACTCACAGTGTAGGCCTGTGGTCCGTCTGAATCTACTGCTGTGCTAACGTTTGTTCGCATCACGCATCAACCGGTTGGTGACACTAAGTCAATGTCATACTTATGTTCTTCGACTCGAGATTACTCTGGCACCGTATGCCTCGTGCGTCCGTCTTCGCAATGATTCCGCAATGCGCAAAGCTTGTGTGGGACTAAGACTGGACTAACATGTCCTTGATACCTAACTACTAGCGACACCACTTAGAACTCGGAATCATACGGCACTGAGTGTACAGTGCGTTCATTATCGGCGCGTATACCTTGTCCATACTGTAAGGCGAGTCATGTTGTCCTCGACGCCGACCGACTTGTGCTTATATCAGACCAGAAAGGCTTGAAGTGGACTCCGGACTCCGGAGTGTCGAGCATCACAAGCCCACGACTACATGTATGGCCACGAATAACCGAAAGGTACATCGACGCCTCGTTATGATCTGCTGACCAAATCATCCATCCGTACAGGGTCGCTCTTACACTATTTCGGACGTCTGATATCGGCTTCTCACATTCAACAACGCGGGAAAAACAGAATTCCACAGTTCCATAGTTGCTTTAGTCCTGACCGAGACTCGGACGACCGATTTCATTCACTTATGGTGCTGATGACGTGGCAGCTTCATTGTACCCACAGCCCTGGAGCGGGACTCAGGAGTGGGTTCCAAGCATGGATTGGTACGAGACTCAATCACCACGCTGCGCTTGCTGACGTGCTTCTGTCAGTTCTGTTACCGCATTGGTCCCGCCTGACCGAGTGGCCTTGGAGTGGCCCAACGCTTTTATATACTGACATCAAGCTGAGTGCATCGAATTGAACTTCGTTTATCGCGCCGAAGCCTAACTGGCATTATTGGATTATCTAGTACCCAAAGAGGTGAGATAATCACCATAGAATGCCTGGCCCTCGCACCGGTCATGAAAGCTGACGCAACCTAATTGTTATCGCTCTTAAAGGACAGGCGTCGCTCGTAGCACATGCTTGCCCATCTGCAGTATGACCACAGCATTCAACTCCGCGGCTCTCGCCCTGGCTTCCGCCGCATTGTACATACTGTATGCGCTCTTCATTGGAAGGTCGAAACGGCCCGATCTACCTCCGGGACCTCCGCACATCCCAATTCTGGGCAACGCACATCAGCTCCCACAGCTCGACCAGCACAAGACCTTCATGGAATGGGCAGTTCGATACGGTACGTCCATACCCGTGTATATGCGTGTAAATAGAATGATTCACTGCGTTGTAGGTAACATCGTCTATGCCGAGTTCTTCACTCAGCCCGCCATCATTATCAGCTCCACCAAGGTTGCGTATGATCTCATGGAAAAGCGCGGTGCTCGATACTCCAACCGACCGCGATTCGTGCGAATCAACGAGATGTACGTGTAGAAGATCAATTGTCATATCAAATGGCTCAATTGCTCGTGGACAGGATCGGCTGGACCGGAAACATGGGCTTCAGACAATATGGTGACGAGTGGAAGCGACACAGGAAGTGGTATCAGCGCGGCATTATTGCCAGATCCGCTGTGAATAGCTATCAGCCAATTGCACTCCGTCAAGTGCGTCACTTGCTTCACGACCTTCTTCGAACTCCGAACGACTTCAAGTCTCATCTGAAGCGGTATAGATGACTTTGTGCACATACAGTTGCCTCACTGACTTAAGATGTCTCAACCAGGTTCTCTGCATCTTTGATCTTCGAGATGGGTTATGGTCACACCATACAATCGCTTGACGGCGATGAGTTCATGAAGTCGGTGCAAGGCGGGATACGGGAAGCTCTCAGTGGGAGCGGATCTGGCTCGGCAATGGTGGATGTCTTCCCGATCCGTAAGTCATTGATATGCTGTCTTATGCATGATAGCCTCTGGAATTTCGTGTCTAGTGAAGTTTGTCCCTGCGTGGATGCCGGGTGCAGGGTTGAAGCGGGCGACTCTGACGGCTAGGGACGCTATCACGGCCATGGAGGACATACCCCATAACGCGGTCAAGGCCGATATGGTACGTACCTCAAGGCAACCTGCCCCGGCCAATTGTCACGTTGAGCTTGCGCAAAGGCCGCTGGCGTGGCCAAGCCCTCGTTGACGACATTCATGATACAAGACTGCATGAATAGAGGACCACTTACCAAAGAAGACGAGAGCGACATCAAGGGCGTTTCGGGAACTTTCGGGAACTTTGTACGCAGGTGAGTCCTTTTCAGATTGCCCGTTATTCAAGTTGTGTGTAATCTAATACTGCTCATTGTGTCCTCAAGCGGGAACAGACACGGTATTTTGAACATTGAAGTGACACTATTCAGGGGATAATCATCACTTTCAGTCGTTGACAAGCATGATTGTCTTTGTCCTCGTCATGACGCAATATCCCGAAATCTTTGAGAAGGCTCAACAAGAGTTAATCAGTGTCGTTGGCGAAAACCGGTTACCTGACCTCGGCGATAGGGCATCACTACCGTACCTCGAATGCGTCATCAGAGAGGTGTATAGGTGCGCAAAATCGCACTAGTCATGTTCAGAAACCTCACCGAACTCTCGCTTTCAGATGGTGTCCTGCACTCCCAACGGGTAAATAATTCATCTTCGAACTGAGTGCACATTAACTCTCATCCTCAGCCCTCCCGCATCAGTCAGCGGACGATGACATATATAACGGCTACTACATTCCGAAGGGCGCAATGATCGTACCGAATATATGGTGTGTATCGACATAGCAGTTCTGTGATAAACCTTTGACACGACAACAGGGCGATGTTCCGGGATCCCGAAGTGTACCCAGAGCCTGATATATTCAGACCTGAGCGATTCCTTGGCCTGCGTCTAGACGGAGAGTCAGATCTGCGAGACCCCAAGAAGGTTGTGTTTGGGTTCGGACGGAGGTAGACGTACTCTGTAGTACCGATTGCTTGCAATGACTGACTCTGGGACAGGATATGTCCAGGGCGATACTTCGCTGACAACAACGTATGGCTCGCAGCGGCGAATATCACCGCAACAATGAACATATGCAAGGCACTGAATTCACGCGGCGAGGAAATTACGCCTACTCCAGAGTTTCTCAGCGGGATAGTTATGTAAGTATCGTCACTTTCTTCTTCACGGTAGACATGATACTCAGGTCCTGCTCCGTACAGTCATCCTGAACCTTTTGTCTGCAATATCCACCCGCGGTCAGAAGAAATTCGACAGCTGATCATTGACAGCCTGAACGATACAGGCTGTTGATGTACATGAATCACTCTCGGGCACCCCAGCTCTTGAGGCACGGTTCGATGACGGCGTTCGGGTCAAATTGTGTGTTACAGGAGCAAACATAATAATATCAACTCGAATAGAGAGCGTTAGTCTCTTATCCCAATGGATCTTCACAATCTCACGCTTCACAGACAACGTTCACGGAGGGCACCAAACGGCTCAGCGGATGTAAGATAGCCCTTGCGAAGATTGTCGTGACGTCTGAACTACGGATGTTTTTGTTCGACCATCCCGATGTTCGCCCGATAATGAGGTTGACTCAGAACGCGCTCCGCGGAAGGTGAGCCCAGAACAGCAGCTCTAACAGCTGCACAGAAGAGCGGAGCTAGCACATCGAGGACAAAGTATATCCTACGTAAGTAATTCTACGCCGCAATCTGAGTCGCACTTCCCGCCGTGAACTGACTTCTAGGCAGGTACAAACATAGAACGGAAGCTGACGATGCAATCTAGGCTTGGAGCATTGAGCACCATGTTGGCGTGTCCCCCTTTTCAGCGGTTGACGTGCATAGTATCAGCTCCGAATTGATCTTCCTCACGGGCGATGTGCGCTGTATGGTGCCCAAACATTACAAACTCAGTCATATATCACATTTCAGGGCGCTGAGCAGCCCATCCGAATGGTTGAGCAAGCAACAGTGTTTCTTCTGAGTGCGTCGCACATAGGAATAATTTTGCTCCAATCTCGACCGCTTCCTTACGCTTGCGTCGCCTCTGCAGTAGGCTGTTTGTACAGTCGCACCTACCTGGCGGGTCTCTCGGCCGACGTCACAGGCAAATGGCATTCGCAGTACGATCCGGGAATTCAACCCCAAGTAGCAGTGTCTCAAGTGCTGCATTAAACCTTAGAGGATTCTGTTCGCTTCTCGTGAGTCCTGAAATCTTCGTTCGTCCTGTTGTTTGTCCTGAAAGGTGTGGTCAGGTAATAGCATGAGACCGAACCTTGCGACGCAACCCCAGTTCTGCATGACCTCACCGGGCCTACCAAGTACCGCTTGATATGTGTGAGTTGCCGCTGAGCATTCAGGGTCATTAGCTCAGGACCCGAATCACGAGCATATTTGTCTGCGCGGCCCATAAAGGAACAACTTGAATGGACCCACCTCCTCCTCCCGTCTCCAACGTGCCCCTTATGGTTGGTTCCGCCTTGCTCTCTGGAGCGGCTGCCTCAGTGGCACTTGCCCTATGCGTTCTGTATTCGATCTACCTGAAGATGTCGAAGCGTCGTGATCTTCCCCCGGGACCGCCATGTGTACCCTTCCTGGGCAACATCCACCAACTGCCGCAGCTCTACCAGCACAAGACTTTCATGGAATGGGCTGCTCAATATGGTATGTTTACTTCTGCGTCTTAGACGTCCCGCAATGACTCACTCGACCGAAGGGGACGTTATTTACGCTGAGTTCTTCACTCAACCCACGATCATAATCAGCTCGGTCAAGGCAGCCTATGATCTCATGGAGAAACGTGGCGCAAAATATTCCAACAGACCCCGCTTTGTGCGGAACATCGAACTGTGCGTACGGCTGCTCACGCGGAACTATCATTCGTGCATTGAAACCTTGTGATATAGGATAGGATGGACGGGAAACATCGCGTTTCGGCAATATGACGACGGGTGGCGGCGCCACCGGAAGTTGTTGAACAAGGAGTGAAAAGGGAGTGGCAAGTGTGAAGGCAACACTTAACAGACTACAAGACCAGTTAAGGACAGCAGTCAATGGAGGGCTTGCAAGGTCTCAAGAGACTGAGAGGGAAGACTCAGCAGGCGTAAGACAAGAGGAGAGACCAATACATTACAGGGGCATCCAGCCCAGTATATATACTGTTGGAGTCTGGGTTAGGATTAGTATAATACTTACTTCAAGGTAACCAGTTACTTGAAGTCGAGCAATAGAGTAGAGGATGTCTCCTTCATTACAGAGGAATAGTAACGAAGTTGTATGATTAAATGAATAGATTACCGAGGTATTCAATACTCGGTAACTCAGAAGGAAGCGTCGGTAATGCTTAAGTCCAGTAGAGCAGTTACCGAAGTGTCGGTAATAAATGATTACCGAGAAGCGATGTTAGAATGTTGATCAGTATGATGAACCTTCTCCGATGAACCCGACTCTTGTAGTCAGTTGAAGTTACTTAGACCTTACTAGTAGCGCGAGGACTGTACTAAGTAAGGTCTCACAATCACAGGTCTTAGAGTGCGTCGGTAAGAACTCAGTGAGAGTGGTCGAGTGGCTAGTATGGCTAACTTAGTCTTCGTGTGGCACACAAGGTGAATTTCGGTAAAGAGTGTAGATGTATTGCCGCAGTCTTTCGTCTCGTCTTATATACATTTTCTATGTCTCAATCCTGTACACTACTACCAGTCCAAGGCTGTCCTACGTACCGTACTTGATACATGTAAGATCTCACAGCCCAAGTCCTCACCGAGCTAAGTCCAAAGTGTCAGTGCAGCCTCTCCTCGGTGATCCCTCGGCCTTGCCATTACCGACAGTCAATAGTCCTCGGTGTCTCGGCCCGTCGTTCCGTCGGTATTGTAGTCTTGAAAGGGATTTCGGCAATTACCGGAAGTTGCCGGAAGTTACCGAGAGGTGTGTTCACCCAATCGTCGGTAATGCCATTGTGCTTACCTAATGAACCTTACCGACAATAGCGGAGCTTAGAACAATAGTGATGACTCGAGGCATATAAGTCAGACTTGGATTCTTAGAGATATCCATAACATATACACATGAGAGAGTCATCACATGATCATACAGTAAGTGTAAGTAAGCGTTATGTGTAAGCCTGTAGCAGGATGAGTAAGGCGTACACACGTCGTGTCATGATGATGCAATATAGTGCAATGAGCGAATACATCAGGATGATGTGATATGGCACTATAGATAGAACATGCTGGAAGGCACTGGAAAGGACTGGACAGGCCTAGATCAATGATGTGATCAATGATGCGAAGTGATGTGATCAAGGAATGATCTGGAATATGATGGAACCATGTGGAATGTTCCATACAGGTCTAGAACAAGTCATGTGCTACAGGTCTGGATCAAGTCCATCAAGAATGTACGTAATATGTAGCAATGAAGAACATAAGTCCATAACGGGTAAGGATAAGTCCTATCCCGTGTGATAACACCTGAAATAGTCGAAGTTCAACAGAAGTGGTATCAGAGGGCATTGGTCGCCAGAGCTGCAGTAGACAGTTATCATCCCCTGCAGCTCCGTGAAGCACGTCGTCTACTGCACAATCTTCTCAAGAGCCCAGACGACTTCATGTCCCACCTGAAGCAGTGCGTGTGTGAACAAAATGATCGTCATTCCATGACTGACTGTTAAATAGCTACACTGCGTCGATGATCTTTGAGATGGGTTATGGACGCACAATTTCTTCCCTTAACGGCGATGCTTTCATTCGGCTCGTCGAGGACGGAATCGTGGCGACATTTGGCGGCAGTGGATTTGGCTCCGCAACGGTCGACTTTTTCCCATTCTGTTGGTGACAGCTTGACCCTGATTCGGTGCTCATAACTTATGTTAAGAACGTTCAGTGAAATACATACCCACGTGGATGCCTGGCGCAGGCTTCAAGCGTGCTGCGTTGACGGCTCGCGACGCCATTGCAGCTACAGAAGACTTACCCTATCAAGCGGTCAAGATGGATATGGCACGTACATTCAGTTCTATGTGGACTACTGGAACTTAATTTTGGTGCAGGCAGCCGGCATCGCAAAACCCTTGTTCACGACAGGCATGATAGAAGACTGCTCGAAGAACGGCACTCCAACAACAGAGGACGAGCGTGAAATCAAGGGTGCCGCAGGTACTTTATATGCAGGTGGGCGCGCTGTTGATGCTGATGTCCGTGATTTTGTGGCGACATGTTGCTGACTAAACCTATAGCGGGCACAGACACGGTGAAATAGACTGTCACTCATACGAATGGTCGTACTTGTGAGCACTGACGAGTGTTAGTCTTTGACAGGCATGATTATATTCGTGCTCGTCATGGTGCAGTATCCCAACATATTTGCAAAGGCTCAAGAAGAGGTCCTCAGTGTTGTTGGTGACACACGGCTGCCAACTTTTGAGGACAGAAAGTCGCTGCCGTATCTTGAGAGCATCATTAGAGAGGTATACCGGTACGAAAAAAGCTATCAATTGAATAGCGTTGTCATGTTCATGGTTTACCTGCAGTTGGTGTCCAGCAGCTCCCACGGGTAAGTGTTCCCGGCTCGCATTGTCAAAAGCACTGATGATTGACGTGTCCTTATAGGGATCCCACACCAGGCTGCGGAAGCCGATGTCTATCGCGGGTACTACATTCCCAAGGGATCCATGATAATTCCGAACATATGGTATGTGTCTCGATCACAGCTCCAAGTTCTCGCTACTGAGACCTACCTTGTAGGGCGATGCTGCGGGACCCCGAGATGTATCCAGAGCCGGCTGAGCTCTTCAAGCCCGAAAGGTTCCTAGGCATGGGTCCAGACAAAGAATTAGACATGCGAGACCCGAAGAGGATCATTTTCGGCTTTGGACGCAGGTCAGTAGCCTGGCGTCGCACGGTCTCTTGAAGAATTGTTGTACTAAACATTACATAGGATATGACCAGGCCAATTCTTCGCCGACGACAACCTTTGGCTTGCCGCTGTCAGCATTGTAGCGACCATGCAGATAAGGAAAGCACGGAATGCAAACGGCGAAGAGATCATGCCTGCACCCAAGCTTCATAGTGGCGCCGTCATGTAAGTGACATTGTCTTGTGATGTTCATTATACTGATGTCGTCTCTAGTCATCCTGACTCCTTCTCTTGCAGCATTCGCCCTCGCTCAGAGAAGAGCCGACAACTGGTCATTGACTGTTTCTCAGAGATCTGATGATTCACCGTGTACATCTATTCCCCAATAGAATCTGAACTTTTGAAGGCTCGAATATGCGTCTCTGGGTCGTAGTGTAAGTTCATAAACGCGAGGTGTAGTCTAGTGCAGTCAATGAGCTAGGCTAACGACGTCTCGATTGTTACCGAGAAGCAGCTTCACAGCCCTTCTGCTGCCTCTATATCATAGATAAGTTCCGCCGCCTTCTGCGTCCGTGGACGGATAGAGCAGACGAATGGCTTAGGATGGCTGTTTTGTCCTTCAGCGAACAGTCCGAAGGAAGAGGCTGTGTACTCCGCACCTAACGGCACCTGGCACGAACTCGGCCATCGGTGTGATCTCGTTGCCTGTAGAGTCGCGAGCCTTGTTGAAGTCGAGCGTGGCGAGCAGGCAGGCGATAGCGAGCCATATCGAAGAATCTGCGAGCTGCCGACCAGGGCATAGCCTTCATACGGTGTGAGCTGTGATAGACGTATAGCCCATAGCGGACGCGCACCCACCGCCTGCCAAAGCCGAATACAATCTTACGAGGATCTATGGCGTCGAAAGTGCTGGCATCCATCTCGAGATAGCGCTCTGGCCAGAATACTTCAGGCTCGGGATAGACGTCAGGATCGCGCGTCATATGCCTAGGGGAGCGACTGTGAGCAGCTCAAGTACAGAGTCGATCAAAGGCTCACCAAAGGTTTGCTATGATGATGGTCCCTTTGGGTATAAGAAAACCGCGATACAGGTCGTCATCCATGACTTGGTGCGGGATACCTAGTAGGCGAACCAACTTCGTAAGCATTTAAACACAGAGCCGATGAACCTGAATAGTACCGATGGGTAGAGGCGCGTTCCATCTTCACGAAGTGGTCTCAGCGACGGACCACACACAGCCACCCTTTGACGTACCTGAAGCACTCCCTCAGGACACACTCAACGTACGGTAGCGAGTCGCGATCTTCGAAAGTCGGAAGCCGCTCACTGCCCACGACCCGGTCGATCTCAGCCTGTGCCTTCCTACAGATGTCCGAGTTCAGAACCATTGCAAGTACGAAGCTCACGACAACTGTAGCGGACTACGGAGCCTTAAGCCTACATGAAGCTGAAACCAGTTTATGAGACTCACTGTGTCGGTGCCGGCTACATTGTAAAGTCAGACGTCAAAGACGATACTAGCGAAGTGGCACCCTCACCTGCGAACAACACACTAGTGATGCCCTGCATCGCCCGCTCATCTTCAGCAGACAGCTCCCCTTTCCGAGTTTCCGACATCTCTTCCAGTAGCGCAGTAAGGAAAGAGGGGGCCGCGGTGCCAGCTGCCTGTTCCAGATTGTCTCAATGTTGATACCGTGATATGGGTCTGCTTCGAGGTGCGCACTCACCATAGCGCGTTTCGTCTTCTCGTACGGGATGCACATGACGTCTTGCATGAGTTGCCTGATGTCGAGCGCTCTGCGCTTCCACGCGCTGCCCGGAAGCCAAATGGGCATGTAACGCACTGGTGTCATGTATGTAAGCCTCGAGAGTGACACATCAAGGTGGACCGCTCACAGATAGGCACAAAGTCAACCAAAGAGGCAGAAGGGCTCCCAGCCTCGGTCAACTTGATAATTGTCTCACTGGCGAGCTGGACGAAATCGCTGTCGTGCGCCGCAATAGTTCTTCCGTAAGCGACCTCAAGCATTATGGCGCCTTCGTAGCTGGAGACGCATGAGCGCGAGCATACATCCACACGATCGACTGCCGTACCGTCTGATCAGCGATGCGAATGCTTCGGGCGTCCTGAGGATACTCCCGAGCATTCGGATCGCTTCGCGCTGCTCAATTGGTCGGTAGCTTTCAAGTTTGGTTTTGTCTAGAAGAGATGCTTGGATCCAACGTCGTTGACGGCGCCATTCGTCGTTGTATGACATGAGTGGCATGTTCGGGGAGAAATTTATCCTGGGACGTGTCATCGCTGCTGTTTACATACATGACAGGCGAAAAATACTCACATCTCGTGTATAAGGATAGAACGAGGACGATCTGAGTAGATAGCACTGCGCTTATTCAGGAGTTCCTGTGCGACCGACATCGAGTTGAGAGTAACAGCCCCTCTGCCAAGCACGGAGAAGTAGACTATGTCGCCTGCAAGGAAGAATATATCAATATCCTCGAGAAACACAGCGAATGGCAGTGCGGACGCACCGTAGCATTGACACCACTCGCTGAAGGTGCGATGTAGGTACTCAATCGAGATGTCTAAGGCGTTGCCCAGGAGCGGCCACGGCTTCGGACCAGGTGGCAATGGGCGAGATCGATGCCAGACCGCATTGGATGTGTACGCAATGCCGAGAGCCACCACAGAAATCAGACACACAACTATCGGTAGAGTCGGCTCCATGTCAATGAGGACCGTGTCAGAATCGGCGACGTAGTGCAGCCTGTCGGAATCAACAACTGCGTGTACTTATACCATCGTGACAAGACATACACCGCAAACACAAGCAGTGTCAAGAAGACAACATTTAAGACACTATCTACAATTGTCATCGTCCTGCTGAATGGCGGGTACGTAGTCGGAGCACGTAGTGACATACCTGATACCATCCTTAGCGGCGCAAGCGCCGATCCCGACTCCCCGGTGGAACGATGCACCCGCATACTGTCGTAGGAGATGAGATGAGCTCAAACCGGCGTCGTACAACTGGTGTCCGTACTCGTTTGAGGGCCATACAGGTCGGGAAAACGCATCGCAGTGGGTATGAACTCCGATATCGATGTCTTCCAGGCATTCGCGAGCTGAAGTAGACCAAGACACCGTGTCCTCCGTGGATACTCCGATGCAACATCATGGGACGCATGCGAGCGGCTGCCCTACACGACAAGAATGTCGCGGAGAGCGCGGGATTGCATTGGAAGCGGGCGATTATACACACATACGGCATCTAAATCGCAGTGGACATCTCAGCCTGATGATGCTGAGCGTTTGGTGTAACTTACGAACGCCGCACCTGGTCGCCATGTTCCACGTGTTGATGCCTTCTGTGCACGTCCGAGGGCCATGACTCGTACACGACTCGAATAAAGAGTTGGACTAAGACCCGGACAAGTTCGAGCCAGGAAGGTAATATACTAGCAGTATATGACCGGTACTCGAGCCGCCTATGCTCGGTACAAACACTCCCAGAGGCCTTGCTGCACGATTGGGGACTTGGAAGGCTATTCTCGAGTAAGCACCACGTATGGAAGTCAGACGGGCTGAAGCTACAAGCCTACAACCGACCTAGCCGTACGTGACGGTAGCTCCGCCGGATTCTGCCAACTCTGTTCCGTTGAGCTCTTTGATCATAGCGAGAGTTGCACGCTACGCACCGCCCGCGTCTTCTCCTCTCCCAGGAGTGTCATAGGCGCGGGGACGCACTGGCTGAAGTGACGGCGCACCCACTTGCCACTCACGGTGAATCCCCCACCGGTGGCCCAGTACGAAGAGCCCTGTTCTCCTGTTCTCTGCGAGAAGAGAGTGTAAGTGGAACGAAGATCCCGGCATACAATAACACTTCATACCGGAATGACATTGAACCGATGAGCAATGGGTGCTGCTTCTCCCGCGCAACCGCATCGTTCTCACTCATAAAGTTCAAGGTGATCTCAATGACAAGGACTTTAAACTCGGGGACGGACACCCTATCGTCCCCTGCCCTCGCTCACTGGCAGTCCATCATGGCAGCCAAGTCGATCCCCGGGAACGTCCTGCCAGTGCGCGCACAGTCCGCGTTGCAAGCGTTTGCCATGCAGCTCGGTGCAGCCGCACTCGTCTGTGTTCTGATAGCCACCAGCTACTTCCGCTCCAAACGGGCCCGCCGCCGTCTTCCGCCTGGCCCGCCCGGTCTCCCGCTCATCGGGAACCTCCACCAACTCCCGATGACCCATCAAGAGCGCACGTTCGCGCAGTGGGGGACGCGCTACGGTACGCAGTCAGCGTCACTTCCGGCGGGACACCAATAATCAGCGACCCCGATCCGCATGGCAGGCGACGTCGTCTACGCACGCGTCCTGAACAGAGCCGCACTCATCCTCAACCGCGCATCGACCGCGCGCGCGCTGCTCGAGAGGCGCGGCGCGAAGTATTCGGGGAGACCGTATACGACGTTCGTGAGAGACATGTGCGCCCCCGCCACCTCCGCGGATGCTCTGACCATGCTGAAGTCCGCCGATCGTACGCTGCGTCGCATGCATCCTGTGCCGTGTTTAGCGTGGGGTGGAGCCAACTGGTGAACATGCCCTACACGGACCAGTGGCGGCGCCACCGCCGGTGGTTCCAGACCGCACTGCAGGCGCGGAACGCACTCAACGCCCACGAGCCGCTGCAGTACGCGGAAGTGCAGAACCTCCTGCGCGACCTGCTGCGCGAGCCGGAAGGGGTGTTGAAGCACGTCAAACGGTGCGTCGATGGCTGACCAGGACTAGGCAGTGCTTCTGACAAGGAGTTGGCATATTGGGTTTGCACTTTGCAGGTATGTCGCGGCGCTGATGCTCGGCGTCGCGTATGGATACTCGCCGTCGTCGATGGACGACGAGTATATCGCGATGGCGGAGGACGCGATGCAGATCATCACGGAGTCGGGCGGGCCGTCTACTATGCTGGTGGACTTCATCCCTATCAGTGTGTTATTCCCCTTCCGCCGTCGCGGGCATATGGATGTGGACTCACCATGCTTGCCATGCGGTTGCGTGCAGTGAAATACTTGCCGGCGTGGATGCCCGGCATGGAGGTGAAGCGGAGCGGCCTCCGTGCGCGCCGCCTCATCAGGGACATGGAGCGCATCCCGTTGGAGCGTGTGAAGCGCGAGATGGTGAGTCGCCAATGTAGCGGTGCGTGGCGTACAGTGTCAGAGTGATCCTGGTAGGCAGAGGGCACGGCACGACCATCCATTGCTACGGTGCTGCTGGAAGAGGCGGCAAATACAGGGTCGCTGGATGAGGCTGAGGAGAAGGAGATCCGCTCTGTGCTGGGGGTCATGTACGCTGGTACGTGGAGATTCAAGGCGCGCTTGTATGTCGTTGATCAGCAAACGATTGCACAGCTGGTACGGATACAGTACGTACCACATCATACAAGACGTTGCTTCACGGCTTGCTCAACGACCCGCGAAGACGACGACGGTGCTCACGACGTTCATCCTCATGATGGTCGTCAATCCGGAAGTGTTGCAGAAGGCTCAGAGGGAAGTCGACAGCGTCCTCGGGGACTCCCGTCTTCCAAACTTCAGCGACCGGCCAGCACTTCCATACCTGGAGGCAGTGTTGAAGGAAGTCTACCGGTATGTTCAGTCACTCATGGTAATCGATAGATGATTCGTGTACTTACTATTTTAATAGCTGGCTCGCTCCGGTTCCGTTGGGTAAGCCGATGTATTGCATACTGTATCGAACTGGTATGATGACAGGCGAGCTTCCAGGCGTTCCCCACCAGCTCACCGAAGACGACCATTACGAAGGGTTTGACATGCCCGCAGGATCCATGGTGCTCGCCAATATCTGGTAAGCAATTCTCTGTGATTTGACATAGTACCTGTGCGTAGGAGTCAACGTGCTGACACATTCTGCGTGCAGGGCGATGTCGCGGGATGAGGCATTGTATTCGGATCCCGATACGTTCGATCCCGAACGCTTCATGGAGCTGAGCGAGGCCAAGTCTGAGGAAACGGATCCACGTAGGATTGTCTTCGGCTTCGGTAGACGGTCGGTACATCTCGAACCATCCAAGGCAGCAACAATACTCACGGAGGGAGCCCCGCTCGATTGTACAGGCTCTGCCCCGGACGCCTCCTTGCCGACTCGAGCATATTCCTTGCGGCGGCCAACATCATTTCCGCGTTCGATGTACGCACACCCAGAATGCAGGATGGGCAGGAGATCCCTCTTGTGCCGTCGTTCACAACTGGAGCGGTAGTGTGAGTACACGTTGAAGCGAAGCTCACGGGCACTCACCGCTGTCGCAGACACCCAAAGCCATTCGCGTGCGATATCCGCCCCAGGTCCGCGAGGGCAGCGGAACTGATGCTGGCGGCGGACGGGATATCAGAATGAGTGGCAGGGTGCTTCGGCCAGGATTGAGGGGACTTGTGTACTAAGCGAGGAGTGTCTATGCCATGTCAGCTAGGTACCTTAGATTAACCTCAGCGTGCCAGTCAGACAGGGTCGGACGGCAGTCTGACTCGTTGGGTAGGTTTAAGCTGCCACCGGGGGCACTGGTCGCTGCATACATGTACCCAGGGACGTCTGAGGGCACGGTCTGACCGCGGTGTGGACACAGGCGACGCGGCATGGCTTGATACTTAAAAGTAAGCCGCGAGAACGCGAGAATGTTGGAAAACACAGAATCTGTAGCCAGAGCGAGTGTGGCGAAAGTGCAAGCGGCGCGCCGACGCGACGCGATGAACGTGCTTATGTAATACGGCCAAGAGGTCGTCCCAATTAGTCCGAGTCGATTTGAAGCAGACCACGACGGCGAGCACCCGGCGAGCACTGCACTACGAGCCCCTCATGCACCGTTCTCTGCTCTCATGCCCCTCGTCGGCATCCAACTCACGATTGGTTCATTCATGGAGCACAGCTTTGCGTTTCGCGGCAGTCCGGACCAGCCGTTCATGCTCTCCCCTCGTTCCTCGCTGACTGACGACCGCTGCGATTCACCTGCCCCAGTTCAAGCTCTCATCGAACCCCACTCAGCCCATGCATCCATCGAGGCCCGCCATCCTCGCTCCCCGCAAGCGTCGACATTGTGCGGCCCAGGCACTTCGCCAGACGAATACTCGGCAGTCTCTTGCACCACAGTGACTTTCCGGCCGTCTGCGACGCGCTGCAACCTCGCTATAACGCACGGAAGAGGAAGCCGAATGCGTTGTTCCATGTCCTGCCTGAAGAGTGGAATCTTCTCAAGTCCGAGCTGCAGGAGAATCAGAGATTCTGCGTCACTTCTGGTGAGTCTTGATACTTTCAGTTGTGAGGCTCTCTCGCTATACTTCCGACGGACAAGCCTTTCTCGCTCCCCATTGTCACACAAACGAACAGCCTTTCCTCCTCCCTCACCATTCTCTGTCCTCGTGTCTGCCCCTCCCTCAAGCATCCAACCCAAGATCGACTCACTGGCATTTGAGGATGCCAGCCTCGACGACTTGAGACAATCCAAAAGTCCACAGCTTGTAACTGGTGACTGTCATGAGGCGCAGTTGAGTAACATCTGTCCCCGACGAGTCCTCGCAGACTCGAACATCTTCCTGGCGGCACCAATCTCGCCTCCGTCTTCGATATTCGACAAGCGAAGGGATTGAATGGGAAGGGGATCCCAGTGTTCACGTCTGGGACAGTGAGGTGAGCTAGTATCGACTCAGAAGCAATTGTCCTCGCTGACCTTCGACCAAGGCACCCAGAACCATTCGTGTGCGAGATCTCACCGAGATCAAGCAAGAGGACGATATTCATCTTGAAGGCAAGATCCACAGACAAAGGACAGAAGTTATGAGCGAAGTACCCAATCCGAGTCACACGATCGCCAACTCCTCCCTCGGATGAGTTACGATAGGGTTCAGCAAATAAGGAGTATTGGCGTGTGTACTCACTGTCCCGAGAATGCCATGGTACGTTAGCACTGGAGGACCTCTCCTTGCTCAGCGATGGAGACTACGGGTGTCACGATTCGCTCATAATCCGACTGACAGGTGAGATTGTCGGCCATAGACCGTTGCAAAGAGCCCCACATGTCGCTTGCCGTCATAGGCGCTGCACTACTCAAGTGGTTATTGGGATCCAAAGGTGCGTCGCATCGTCGGAAGCACTCCATCTCGGAGCTATTGCAACCGTAGCCTGCACTCACGAGCAACTCACGAGTCGTGAACAGTGAGCGCCCCGCTGCACCGTGCGCTGTAAGTCCCCTCGCAGGCGCAGGTTAAGGTTTCCAGCTGGCCCCCCCGCCGGCGAGTCCTCTGTCAGCTCCATCCTCCATTCACTTGCCCACCACTAGCCGTCAGACAGCCCGTTTCGTCAACGACATCAGAGCTTGCACCGTGTACCTCGCCATGAATCTGGCCACACCTGACTTCGTTCTCGGCTCAGTGCTCTTTGCCATTGCTCTTCTCTATGTATCTCGCAGCCGACGGTCGTCGATCCCGCACCACCTCCCGCCAGGTCCTCGCCCGCTGCCACTGATCGGCAACGCGCATCAGATGCCGTTCGAGTACCCAGAGCAGACGTTCGCTAGATGGAAGAACCTATACGGTGGGTACGGTGGCAGACCCGTCACCGAGGTTTCGCTGACCAATCTATTCCACCAGGCGACCTCATCTTCTTGCGGATGTTCAGCACTCCGTTGCTGGTCGTGAACTCCGCGAGGGCGGCACGGGACCTCTTGGAGAAGCGCAGCGCGAAGTACTCGGGCAGGCCATACTCAGTCTTTCACATCGAGCTGTACGTCCATCCTCCAGTCCTTCGACGACCCGTTGACGCTGACCGCTTCCACGCCGGATGCAGCATTGGGTGGGACGCAGAGATCGGGATTATGAACTACGGAGAGAGATTCAAGAAACACCGCCGGTGGGTCCAGGCCGCCTTCTTCGACAAGGCCGCACTCGCCCAGCTCCTACCCGTGCAGACCCGCGAGGCGCACACGCTCCTCGCCAACCTCCTCCGCGACCCGGAGAACTTCGCGCGGCACCTCCATCGGTACGTCCTTCACCGCTCTGTGCGCTAGGCTGACACGATGCCGACGAACGCGCTGGATATGCTCCAGGTTCTCTGGCGCGTCGATGCTCGAGACGCTCTACGGCCACAGCGTCACCGACGACGACGACGAGTACCTGAAGCTGATCGACAAGGCTAACGACACCATCGCGTCTTCATCCGCCCCAGGCGCCGCGCTCGTGGACTTTCTCCCGTTCCGTGAGCAATACATTCATAAACCATGGATTGCCGTCGCACTTCTGAAGCGACGCTGTATTCACATAGTGCAATATACCCCCGCCTGGCTTCCCGGCGCTGGGTGGAAGCGCAAGGTGCTGGAAGCGAGGGATGCTCTGACGGAAGCCTCTACGAGGTGTTATGCGCTTGCAGAAGCGCAGGCTGTGAGTCATAACAATTGCGTTGTTCGGGCTTGATTGCTGGGACGAGAGCTGAGCGCCGAGTTCTGGGTAGCACGCCGGAAAGCCATCTATCATCGGCTCGATCATTGGGGAGTGCTCAGACAAAGGCATTTTGGCGTCCGAAGAACATGAGATTATGCAACTCGGGTCTGTCACGTACTCCGGTACGTCTCCCGTTGTCTCGGGGTTGATCCCTTCGTTGATATATAATAATACTTGTGAATAGCCGGGACAGATACGGTATAGTACTCGCATTCACGCTTTGTGCATTGTTCTGAGTCTTCCTTCAGACCAAGAGCGTGTTGCACAGCTTCATACTTGCGATGGTCCTGCATCCGGAAGTTTACGCGAAAGCACAACAAGAGATGGACACCGTGATCGGCCGAGAAAGGTTGCCAACGCTGGAGCACCGGGATTCCCTTCCCTACATCGAGTGTGTACTCAAAGAGACATATCGGTGAGCCAGGACGGTATCATAATTCGTGAGCCGTCCACCAATGAATTGTTAGCTGGATCTGTCCCGTTTGTCTAAGTGGGTAATGCACTGTCAAAGTCCACGCCGCGCTGATAGAGTGCTAGGCATACCTCATGCATCCTGCGAAGACGATGAATACAATGGATATTTCATCCCAAAGGGTACCGCGATAATCCCCAATCTCTGGTAATCCATAGCGCATGTTTCGACGACTTGGAGCTGATACTATACTCATCATTCGATAGGCTAATGCTACGAGACCCGGAAGTCTACTCTGAGCCAGAACTATTCCGCCCGGAACGCTTCTGGGCGCTGTCAGCAGAGGAGTTTGAACGCACCGATCCTCGGAACATCGTGTTTGGACACGGTCGAAGGTCGGTCACGTCGCTTGGTAGCCGTTGCGATACTTCACCAGAACCTTTCGCCAGGATCTGCCCAGGTCGCCGCTTCGCAGACGCAAGTGTGTGGCTAGCGATCGCGGGCATGGTGGCGACGTTCGACATCCAGAAGGCCAGGGACGCCTTGGGGAAGGAAATAACGCCGCGTGTTCTGTACGAGTCTGGATTCACGAGGTAGGTTTTACTACCGATGGTGTTTCGCATCGAGATTCATGCCGAAATAGCGCACCTGCTCCCTTCAAGTGTGCTATCCAACCGCGGTCGAAACAAGCTGTAGAGCTGATCGGCAGGACTTTGTGAAGTAAGCACGTCCAACATGTAGGACTGGGTTTGGCAGCACATGCCCTCGGCTATGACGTCAACACGGCATGCTCCCATGAAGGGGATATACATACTGTACGAGAACACGGTGGGAAGAGCTACTACGCGGCCAACTGCCAGGGACTCTACGTAGCCGTTTCGAATCGTTTGCGTTCAGAGGTTTCGTGATGTAAACCATATAACGCTGGAAAATATGAGAGACGAGAACCAATTTGGATTTACCACGCACTGAATGCGTTCCTACTTCCTAGCTTGCCATGTCCCAAACGTACGCCATACGAGTCGTATGTCGCGAGGTTGTGTGCTGAATGTGTGCGCGTGTACGGACTCTCTCGACGCGACGCGATGAACGTGCTTATGTAATACGGCCAATCGGTCGTCCCAATGTGGCCGAGTCGGTTTGAGGCAGACAACGACGGGGAGCACGTCGCGTCGTTGTACGAGCCCCTCGTCCATTCACCATCCGCTGCCATCAATGCCCGCCGTCCTCGTCCCCTGCAAGCGTCGACGTTGTGCGGCGCAGGCCCTTCGCGAGATGATTACCCGGAAGCCTCTTGCACCGCGCTGCAACCTCGCTATATGGAGCTGAAGCATCAGTCGTGCCGGAAGCGTGGGGTCTCCTCAAGTCGGAGCTGCAGGAGAATGTAGACTCTGGGTCACGTGTGGTGAGCCTTGCTAGTCGTGCGCGTGAGGCTCTCTCGCTTACTCGCGCCAAGAAGGTCCTCACCGCCGCGTCCGCAACTCGCTCCGTCATTCCATCACGCATGGGTGTGCGGGGAGGAACAGCACGCCAACTTGAAGGTATGTGCGGACGCGTGTGTGATATGGCTGTCTGGCGCAACCCGTCATGTTGCTGACGAACGGTAGAGGAGACTGTCGGTCACCCTCTTGTCAGTAGCATGGGGCTGGGGGTCGGACGCCGAGGTCATTGAGAAAGGGGAGATGGAGACGGCGGTGGGCGGCGGTGCGGACGGCACCCAGGCTGACACCGGAGACGACAGTACACAACAGGGACCTTCCCCGCAGCCCGCTCTCACCCCCGGCCTCTCTCCCACCCAGAAGATCTCCTCCCTCGCCTTCGTCGTCGTCTGCGCCGAGACGCCCGCCACGGACCCCCCAGCAGGCGTCGACACCAACGCTGCGGAATGGGAAGAGTTGCCTGTGCCAACGACTGTCACCGGGGCTGGGCGTACGCCGCGAAAGTCTACGTCGGGGCGATCAGAGCATATATGCGGGTCTTCCAGGCAGCGGAGGACCACGCGTACCTCAGGAAGTTCGCTTCGGAGGCGTGTCTCCGCAGCGGGGGGTGCCCGTGAGTGGCAGTTGCTCTTGATCCGTGGGTCACTCCGCCGACGGGGTCGCTAGCTGTTGCGCAGAAGTTCGTCGACCAGAGGCTAGAGCGCAACGCGACGGACACGACCGGTGCATCAGGCGCGTGCGCGAGTGCATGCTCAGGGCGCTCAACACGGTCACCGTCGGCACCGTCAGCGACCGTCTCTCCGCCGGACCTCAGCGAGCCACAGCTCGAGAGCCCCGTGGTCAGGGTGAGACGCGTGGTCGGCTTGGGGAGCTGGGCTGTGGCGAAGGCGAGACGCGCGGGGGAGAGGGAAGGCGCGAGGGCGTATGCCGCTGCGCCCCGAGTCAACGGGGTCACGGGCGACGTGGATGTTGAGGAGGCCCTTCGGATAGGGGCGAGCTTGAAGCGGGCTCTTGACGAGGGGAGTGTTGCGCAGGCGCGGGATGCTGTTAAGCATCGGCATCTCGACCCGGGGCAAGCGATTCCAGGGAGACTCGATGGTCGTCGATCAACGGTCTTTTGGGTTTGTGCTGTGGGTTGCTTGCGTCGTACGGCTGTTGCTTTCGCTCCGTACGCTCGCCCTCGTCGTTAGCCCACCGTCCGTCTGCGTATCACCGTGTCCCCTCTTGTCTCATGTGGTCGTGTACGCGTGAGTATCGCATTCGTCTGCACGATAGCTTGGAGTGCGTCGGACCAAGTACCGGCCGCGTAACCGGAGTGAGGTGCACACGGTTGTGATTGGTACGAGACCCACCTATTGCACTGCGCTTGCTGACGTGCTCGCTGTGGAACTGCTGTTACGGCATGGGCTCCGCCCGGCATTGACAACTGCCTAGTATACGACACTTGTCCATATACTGGCCTCATGTTGAGTGCATCAATCCCCAAGGTATCGATGACCATTCTGAATAAGTATGGCATGTGTCTTGACCGTAGCTTCATTTCCTCTCTAAGGTCGCTCTTGTAGGCCGATGGTCCGGCGGCCAGGACCTATTACGTCAAGGCGTGGTGGAACGCCCTCTATAAGTATGATCACTGCATGTTGCAGCAGCGTCGAACACTCAGTCAGTGTGACGATTTTATCGCCCGGCGCGCGATTCTGCTCACTGGCACGCATCTTGGAGCCTGAGCCGAAGCTTAGGGGGCTCCTGTCTATCATTTCATACGTGAGAGTGTCCATGATATATCTGTCGTATCTAGTACCTTATGCTATTACAGCGAAGCCATGTCCCATCATAGGCCCCATCGCCCGTCTCCTTTATAGCGAGTCATTCACAGTTCGGACGCTACCTCGCCTTCACTATTGCAGCATGCCCGTCACAGTGAGCCCATCAACTTCCGCTGTACTGTGTTTGGTGGCTGCGGTCCTGTTATATGTTCTCAGACGAACAGCAAGTCGCAATGATTTGCCTCCAGGACCTCCACGGCTCCCCCTCCTTGGAAACGTCCTTCGACTGCCCAAGAGGGACCAGCATTTAACATTCATGGAATGGACGACTCGATATGGTACCCGTTTCGATGTGTTGCGTATTATAATGCCCGCCAGTAGAGCTAATACGGATTTACGACAGGGGACGTCGTCTATGCTCAATTTTTCACACAACCTGTTGTGATTCTCGGCTCAGCCACGGCCGCGATTGATCTCCTGGAGAAGCGCAGTGCTAGATACTCCAATCGACAGCGCTTCGTGTATTTCGAAGAGATGTGCGTGCATCCGCCGTATGCTAATGTTGTGCGACTTATGTTATCACGTTGTTTGATTACTTCGTCATAGGATTGGATGGACGGGGAATGTTGGGTTCAATCAATACAACGAGAGGTGGAAACGCATAAGGAGGTGGTATCAACAACGGCTAGTTGCAAAATCCTCTGCGATCAACTATCATCCATTACAATACCGTCAAGTGCGCCGTCTTCTACACGGAATTCTACAAAACCCCGAGGACTACGCGTATCAGCTGAAACGGTAGGATTCGCCATTGTGGTACTTCACTCTGCGAACTCAACCATCTAACGACAATAGACATGCTGCGGGGATCCTGTTTGAGGTCAGCTACGGGGACACTGTCATGTCGCTGAGCGATCATCAGGTCATCAGGTCGACGGAGGATAGCATACGAGACTGTCTCGTCGGAAGCAGCTTCGGCTCTGCGCTGGTGGATTTTTGCCCCATCAGTGAGTGTGTCGGCGACAACAAGTCCTGAGTACGATATTCTGATGCAAAAGCCACAGTGCAGCACCTACCTGCATGGATGCCTGGTATGAGCTTCAAGTATATCACGGAGAAGGCTCGAAGAGCTATAGTACAGATGGAAAGCTTACCGTACAATGCGGTGAAGAACGCGATCGTGAGCGCAAAGAGGTTGCGGCATGTATCATAGCTGACACTTGACTTAGGAAGATGGCACGGCGAAACCCTCGTTGACGACGGACCTGATACGCGAGTGCTCGACGAAAGGCGAGTTGAGTGCGAAGGATGAACGCGACATCATGGGTGCCGCAGGGGCACTATACTCAGGGGGTGCCGATACGGTAAGCATAGACAAGACCGCTCACACAATATGACGCTCACGATAGGCAGTCTTTAACAACCATGATCGTCTTCATACTTGTTATGGTTCAGCATCCTGCGATCTTCAGGACGGCGCAGGAGGAGATTACTCGCGTAGTAGGCGACTCGAGGCTTCCAGATTTCGGGGACAGGGAGTCGCTGCCATACCTCGAATGTATCATCAGAGAGGTGTACCGGTAAGCTGTCTCTTCGAGTTCTAGTAGTTATTGATCCATAGCTGTGGAGTAGATGGTGCCCGGGCCTTACTACAGGTACGATCAACAGCACAACAGACGACTAAACATTCAATAATATTCGTTCGCAGGTGTCCCTCATCAAGCAGCAGAAGATGACATATATCGCGGCTACTTTATACCAAAAGGTTCCACCGTAATTGCGAATCTATGGTTTGTCGGCGCATACTATTGAGACGAGATCGACGCCACTGACTCCTGGTGCAGGGCGATTTTCCGGGACCCCAATATGTACCCAGAACCGAATGTCTTTAGACCTGAGAGATTCCTCGACGCCGACAGAGATGATACGTTCGATCTCAAAGATCCAAAGAAACTAGTCTTTGGATTTGGGCGGAGGTGGGACTGAATCGTGCCAGCTGTTGTTCAGAACTGAACATGAGGCAGGATATGCCCGGGGCGATACTTTGCTGATGATACTGTGTGGCTCGCAGCCGCCTGTATCATAGCCACCATGGATATTGGCAAGGCGCGGGACGAGCACGGCAAGGAGATTCTACCCACGCCGAAGTTCATCTCTGGGGCTGTCATGTAAGTCATCTTGTACACGTCATGTCCTTCACAAGCTGAGAACATGTTCAGGCGCCCTGAACCATTCGTCTGCGATATACAACCTCGATCGGAGAGAAGTAGACGGTTGATCCTGGATAGCGCTGCAGAAGTATGGGCCATCTAACCGATGTACGTGGTACCTGATTCGGATGTAGCATCAATAACTCTGTCAAGCTTACACGAGTTCCAGTATGTCGTCCGGACCAAATGGGGCCAAGGCATGGCCCAGATATATCACCGTTCTCGTTCTTGTGGCTCCTTACTGGTGTCTATTATATTACGACATCGTGACAATTTCGTGCAACATCGAAAGGACAACAAGCTAGATTGAAAACAAGAGCGAAAAACTGGTCTTACAGGTCGTGATACAGTTCGTACAAAGCACCGTCTGTCGTCGGTCGGATTCGTACGTCTCCCAGATAGCCCGGAATCGCCAATAGAGTACTACTACTAGTACCAGTGGTCAGAGTGCAGTCGCCTCAAGCCTAGGGACTGGGACTATACGGAGAAGCGTCGGTAGGGTACGTTAGATGAGCATGAGAATAACATTAGCACCATTCTAGGCGGAACGGTCCGCGCGGAGCGCGCGCAAGACGAGCTCGTTGCTCTTGCTGGACCGTGGACGGATGTTGCAGACGAACGGCTTAGGGTGGCTATGAGGATGCGAGCGGGTGAGCTACGCCGAGCTTATACGCGGAAGCGGGGCACACGTACCTCACGGAGCCGGATGCGAACTGCACCTCTGGAGTGATCTCTTCGCCCGTGGGTGTGCGGGCCTTCCGGATGTCTAGGGTCGCGAGGATGTTGGCTGCCGCGAGCCAGATGCTCGCGTCCGCTAGGAAGCGGCCAGGGCATATCCTAGTGACGGTCGTTCGGTATGATGGAATCTTGAACACATAACGGCAGATCTACTAACCGTCGGCCGAAGCCAAAAACGTATTTGCGAGGGTCGCTGAAGTCAGACTCGTCGGTGACGTCCAGGAAACGCTCGGGGTCGAAGCGCTCGGGGTCGGCGTAGTGCTGCTCGTCGCGCGTCATCGCCCTTGCGATGGAGTCAGCATCTCATAGGTCAGAGGACACAAGTGCGAACCAAATGTTGGAAAACACCGTCGATCCCCGAGGCATCCTATAGCCCATATGCTCGTCCTCTTCGAGCAGTTGGTGAGGTACGCCTGCACTTCCAAGTGAGTTACCGCGACATGCATGGACGAGCAACGAGTTTACCGAGAGGAACAGGAGCGCACCACCTGGAGCTTGCCGTCAACAAGGGCATCTATCACGACAGGGTACTGGGTCATACCGGTAAACCTCCATGATGATCGCGTCCAGGTACGGCAGCGCATCTCGGTCGCCGATGTCAGGGAGCCGCGAGTTACCCACCACGCGGTCCAACTCAGCCTGCGCTTTCTTTTGCACCTCTGGGTTCAGAACCATCGCAAGCATGAAACATTGGGTGGTGGTTGCGGTCTACAACAATTGAGCGGCGCGTGAGACTCATGGATCCTATTATGATCAGAGCTACTGACCGTGTCAGTTCCAGCTGGAGAGATGAACGCTGCGATCAGCGACCACAACGATGACGAAAAGTGAAGAACTCACCTGCGTACAACGCTCCCAATGCGGACGCAATCTCGCGCTCGTCTGCAACGCTCAGCCTCCCGTCCTTCATTGTTTCTTCCAGGATCGAAGACGCGATTGATGGTTTCACGGTGCCGGCTGCCTAGAAACAACAGGTATGCGGCCGTGCAATGCGTTTCGATGGGTGTCTTGCTTACCATCGCCTTCTGCACGCGTCTGAGCGGTATGTACTCCATGTCCCGGATCGAGCCTTGAACCTGTCTGGCCAAGCGTTTGAAGCCAGCTCCCGGCATCCAAGCGGGCAAATACTTCACTGGAGAGACCTCTCAGCCCGACGCCCATACAAGCCGCGGATGCTACTCACAAATGGGGAAGAAATCGACGAGCAGGGCCGCCGGGCCGCCCGACTGGAATACCGACTCTACTGCATGGTCGACGTGCTGGATGAACTCGTCGTCCATGGACGAAATAGAGATGCCATAGCCGAGACCCATGATGATTGCCACGGCATATCTGTGGTTATGCGTGAAGCGACGCGCCGCGGAGGAGAACGCGGTAAGACTCACTTTTTGATGTGGAGCATGAACTGCTCGGGGTTCTGGAGCAGATCGGCGAGGAGCTTGTGCGCCTCAGACATCTGCAGGGGCCGATAGGTGTCGACAACGGCCTTGCTCTCAAACGCCGCGCGGTACCACCTCCGGTGACGGCGCCATTGGTCCGTGTATTGCATCAGCACCAGGTTCCTCCATTCGATTCTGTACTTTGAATTGAGGCGGTTTAAATCGGTAGCAGTATTGAGCGACTCACATCTCGTTGTGGAAGGTGAACGGCGGGCGGCCAGAGTACTTGGCGCCTTTCTTGTCCATAAGCGCACGGCATGCATCAATGGAATTGAGGACGATTACGGGCGTGCTGAAGAAGCGGGCGTAGATGACGTCACCTTGCGATGTATGTTGGTACGACTCTGAGACGAAAGACGCACGGGAACTCACCGTACTGCTTCCCCCAGTCCATGAACGTTAAGTGCTGATAATGCGGGGGCAGTTGAAGCAAGTTGCCAATGAACGGGAGACGCCGCGGCCCAGGGGGATAGCGGCGGAATCCCTTGAAACGGGCCCAGCTGGCGTAGACAAGCCAGAGGGCCACACAGGCAAGGACGGCGGCCCCGACGTAGCTGGAGGCACTCGGGGAGAGGACACCTACTGGGGTCCACTTCGTGATCATCCTTGGAAAGGAAAGTTACTTCTGGCAAGAAGCAGTGGATCCATTTATAGGGCCGTTGTAGCATCACGAGCGTCACCGCCCCGGCGGAGATTCTGGAACGAGCAAGGAGCGAGATCAGACTAGCAGGTGGTCAGAATCGACGGAGCATACGGGACGCGCAGGCTGGGAAGACAACGATGCATATAAACACACGCATACGTCTGCAATCGGCCGCCTGTGCATTTTTCGAAGAGTCGTGGGTCGTTGGGACTGGGGCAGGACTTGGGAGTATTTACCTCCGCGAAATTGATTAATCATAAGCCTCCGAAGGGCATCATGATCATGGAACAAAAAACCCACCGAAACAGATACCTTATTTAAAAGCGTGGATGTGGTGCGCGTTAGCATGTAGCGTTGATGCCTAGCCCGATCGACACTTTGCAACATCCTGCAGCGTCTCAGTTGACAACTTGCACATGTCTTACGTCGGCAGCAGCGTGGAGATCATACCCGGGGGCGATACAAAGGCACTACGACTCCTAAGAATGGGTTCCTTGACTTGGAGGGGATGAGTTGCTGTCAATTCTAGGCGCGAACGGGAACGGGAAACGAACCTGCTAATGTAAGCGTGGACGAGAAACGCTCGCTGCGATCTCGCACCACTCTCGGTAATATCATTGCAACCATTTCCGCCACTTTTCACACAACCCCTTCTTCCGTGTGTACACATGGTGCCTCGGCGAACGCGGGGACGCGGGGACGCTTGCAAGAACTCCAAGACTTTGAGCTGGCTGGAGGACAACTGAATCTTCCGCTGTCCAGATAAGCAGCGTCGAATTGAGCATGCACGTTGCACTCACGAGATGCGATACATCCTCGCTATGGTCTAGCATCCACCACAGATGCGCGGAGAGGCAGGTGGGCCGTAAACGCCGGACGAGTGGGATACATGCGGTCGCGTGATGGCGTCGGACACGGGCCGACGAACATGAACTAGCCCGCTTGGTGAGGGCCTTCCTGATTTCGACGCCGGCGGAGCTGGACCCCGCGCGATCGCCGCAACGTGTTCATTAGTGCGAACCAGGTGCGAACTTCGAACGACGGAGCCTTGCTAGCACTGGCTTGAAGGGATTAGCCTGGGTGGTAGAATGCGTGAGTGCACTATCGTTCTCTAAAGAAGAATGCAATGCAGTCAGAACGCAGACCACGTCGGTGATACAATCAACAGGAATTGCACACCGTTGACATAGCATGGCATATGACAAACAGCTTGATGGTGTCCGGTACTACACCGTAAGAGAATATGACTGAACAGCTATCAGGCTGGCCCCGTTGATCCCAAGTCTTCTTTCGTCTTCTGGTCAGAACTTTTGAAGACGGACGCTTCCCGTCCTCAACGTGTCCGCGAAACGGCGTGTCAGCCAGCCCGTACTGTGCCCGTACCCTCTAAATCACATTTAATTAAGCAGACCCAGACTGATGGCTCGCGTATCTGACGAACACATCGACACCAGTTTGGTGTTATGTTAGGGAAAACATGTCGCTTGACGTCGGTGATGCGCACAAGAACGTCTCGCCCGCGAACACCGCAGCTCAAAATCACTGTTTTGCGTTAGCCACAAGTACGAGAACATTCCTGTGGAACGCTCACCCGCTCGAGCCAGCCTGAGCCAGCTGACGCATGGTTGGCGCCTCACTAGCACCTCTTAAGGATCGAGTGATACGGCCCTAGAAGAAAATCCAATGTTCAAGGTATACGTATCTGTGCCTCGTGTCAAGCCACACAATGCCCAGTAGCCTGCATCGCAGGTCCAGAACGAAGATATCGGAGGAACGCAGAGCCCGCCTCTCGGCTAGCAGTGCACGTATCTACCTGCTTGCAGGCGTGTACCTGGCCCAGAATGTGAGTATGCGATGTATCGCTGAAGGAAATCCGAACCGTCTGACGTAGAAGATGGAACAGGAAGCTGTGTACGGTTGCCGAGCATCTCCTGCGATCGACGGAGCACTCGATATACCGGCCGTGTCTGCGAGCTTGTGGCGAGCCCCTTTCCCCCTTTCATTGCGCAGCTGGCCCCACGACAGAACGTCACGATGAATTCAAAGTGGAAAGCGTCGATGCGAGGGAGAGTCCCGACGACACAACGATAGGACCAAGCCATCGGTGCCTAGCAGAGCCTCCGCTGCGCCGCGAGATACACATATGTCACACCGACGGCACGTTTGCACAGAAAGCGAAGCTCGCCTGCGGCCTGCCTGATGTTGAGTTCGTAGCGATTAGCCGATCGGTCGGAGGTTGACAAGCTTTAACCATTTGCATAGGTTTAGCGGACGGACGAAGGAATGGATGACGAGCGGCCGTACATCAGCTTCAGCAGAAGAGGGTGGAGTAGCGAGCCGATAGGCCACCTGGGGCGTATTGAGCGGAGCCGTGCCGTAAGTCCAATGCACTGTCATGTGGAAATCACAACCATAAGTAAGCAAGACTCGCAGGGAGAGGAAGCACACCACTGCGACTGATCGAGTGTTGGCGGCGTAAAAGAACTAGGGGCTCCTTCGCGGACAGACCGAACTTGTTGGACGTATATTACCACCTGTTGGGGCGCGATTGCTACGTCGAACACATCCGGTACCTGCACGATGGGCCTCCAGCGCGTTGCCTGTTACAGGACGACAAGGTCCTCATCATAACTCGGAGACGAGAACCAATCTGGACCTACCGCGCACTGAATGTGTTCCTACTTCCTAGCTTGCCATGTCCCAAATGTACGCAGTGTGATAGTTGATCGTTGCATACACGACCGTCGGCGCATTTACAGCGTACGACGGGCCTATTTCAGACAAAGAAGATACGCACGTATGTTTGAATCCCATAGCAGAGTATATGCGTTGAGATGAGAAGCTAGACTTGAAGAGCATGCTCGGACATACGCCACTGTGCCGCGCACATAGCAACAGATGCCTGAGATGCGACAATCGTCATTAGACACCAAGGCTATACGCGGGTGAGCCATACGCTACCGGGGATAGAGACACTCAATCGCCTTGCATACCCGCCTGAGGACTCAAACTCGCGAGTCGCAACCTAAGTACGGACCAGCGACGTCGAGGAGAAGAAAGAGAGGCGCTTGAAACGAGGTTTGGCGCTCGTGCGAGTCTGCGTTGTCACGAGCGCTTCTCACCCACGTCATCCGGCTGACAAGCAGCAAGCTCAATCCATACGAGTCAGATTCCGAGAGGTTGTGTACTGATCTCGACTCATATTTTCAGCATTATATGATTCACATTACGAAACCTCTACTATCCAAACCATTCGAAACGGCTACGTATCCCCAGTTGGCCAGTGCGTAGCTCTTCCCACCGTGTTCTCGTATATCCCCTTCCTTGGGAGCCTGCCGTGTCGACATCATAGCCAAGGGCATGTGGGGCCGAAACCAGTCCTACATGTTGAACTTACCTTCACGCAGTACTGCTTGTTTCGACCGCGGTTGGATAGAACACTTGAAGGGGGCAGGGGCGCTATTTTGGCATGAATCCTGACGCGAAGCACCATCGGCAATATGTCCTACCTCGTGAATCCAGACTCGTACAGAGCAGGCGGCGTTATTTCCTTCCCCGAGGCGTCCCGGGTCTTCTGGATATGGAACGTCGCCACCATGCCCGCGATCGCTAGCCACACACCTGCGTCCGCAAAGCGGCGACCTGGGCAGATCCTGGCGGAAAGGTCTGGTGAGATAGCGCAACGGTTACCAAGCGACGTGACTAATAACCTTCGACCGTGTCCAAACACGATGTTCCTAGGATCAGTGCGTTCACATTCCTCTGATGACAGCGCCCAGAAGCGTTCCGGACGGAATAGGTCTGGCTCAGAGTAGACTTCCGGGTCTCGTAGCATTAGCCTATTGAATGATGAATTATGAGTATAGTATCATCTCGTCAAAAAGTGGTAGACGTTACCAGAGATTGGGGATGATCGCAGTACCCTTTGGGATGAAATATCCATTGTATTCATCGTCTTCGCAGGATGCATGAGGTAGGCCTAGCACTCTATCAGCGCGGCGCGAAACCTGTCAGCGCATTACCCACTTAGACAAATGGGACAGAGCCAGCTGACGATTCATTGGTGGACGGCTCACAAACGATGACATCGTCCTGGCTCACCGATATGTCTCTTTGAGTACACACTCGAGGTAAGGAAGGGAATCTCGGTGCTCCAGCGTTGGCAACCTGTCTCGACCGAGCACAGTGTCCATCTCTTGCTGTGCTTTCGTGTAAGCCTCCGGATGCAGGACCATCGCAAGTACGAAGCTGTGCAAAACGCTCTTGGTCTAAGGAAGAATCAGAAGAATGCGCAAAGCGTGAATGTGAGTACTATACCGTATCCGTCCCGGCTATTCACAAGTATATATCAACGAAGTGATCCACTTCGAGACAACGGGAGACGCACCGGAGTACGTGACAGACCCGAGATGCATAATCTCGTGTTCTTGGGACGCCAAAATGCCTTTGTCTGAGCACTCTTTGATGATCGAGCCGATGATAGATGGTTTTCCAGAGTGCTACCCAGTATTCGATGCTCAGCTCTCGTCCCAGCAATGGGAAGCCCGAACGAATCAGTCGATATGACTCACAGCCTGCGCTTCTGCAAGCGCATAACACCTCGTAGACGCTTCCTTCAGAGCATCCCTCGCTTCCAACACCTTGCGCTTCCACCCAGCGCCGGGAAGCCAGGCAGGGGTATATTGCACTATGTGAATACCAGCGTCGCTTCAGAAGTGCGACGGCAATCCATGGATTATGAATGTATTGCTCACGGAACGGGAGAAAGTCCACGAGCGCGGCGCCTGGGGCGGATGAAGACGTGATGGTGTCGTTAGCCTTGTCGATCAACTTCAAATACTCGTCGTCGTCGTCGGTGACGCTGTGGCCGTAGAGCGTCTCGAGCATCGACGCGCCAGAGAACCTGGAGCATATCCAGCGCGTTCGTCATCCGACTCATCGTGTCAGCCTAGCGCGCACAGTGGTGAAGGACATACCGATGGAGGTGCCGCGCGAAGTTCTCCGGGTCGCGGAGGAGGTTGGCGAGGAGCGTGTGCGCCTCGCGGGTCTGCACGGGTAGGAGCTGGGCGAGTGCGGCCTTGTCGAAGAAGGCGGCCTGGACCCACCGGCGGTGTTTCTTGAATCTCTCTCCGTAGTTCATGATCCCGATCTCTGCGTCCCACCCAATACTGCACCCGGCGTGGAAGCGGTCAGCATCGACGGGTCGTCGAAGGACTGTAGGATGGACGTACAGGTCGATGAATAAGACTGAGTATGGCCTGTCCGAGTACTTCGCGCTGCGCTTCTCCAAGAGGTCCCGTGCCGCCCTCGCGGAGTTCACGACCAGCAACGGAGTGCTGAACATCCGCAAGAAGATGAGGTCGCCTGGTGGAATAGATTGGTGAGCGACACCTCGGTGACGGGTCTGCCACCGTACCCACCGTATAAGCCCTTCCATCTAGCGAATGTCTGCTCTGGGTACTCGAACGGCATCTGATGCGCGTTGCCGATCAGGGGCAGCGGGCGAGGACCTGGCGGGAGGTGGTGCTGATTCGACAATTGTCGGCTGCGAGATGCATAGAGAAGAACGACGACGAAGAGCACTGCGACTGAGCCGAGAACGAAGTCGGGTGTTACCAGATTCATGGCGAGGTACACTGTGCAAGCTCTGATGTCGTTGATGAAACGGGTATTGAGGGCTGTTTGACGGCCAACGTTGATATAGACCCTAATTCACCGAGACGTGCGACACACCGGAAGTACGCAGTGGGCAAGTGAATGGAGGATGGAGCTGACGGGGGACTAGCCGGCGAGGGTATCAGCCGGAGACCTTGGTCTTCGCCTGTGAGGGGAATTACAGCACACGGTGCAGCGAGGTTCTCACTTTCATGACTCGTGAGTGCAGGCTACGGTCGCAATAGCCGCGAGGTGGAGTGCTTCTGACGATGCGACGCACCTTTGGATCCCAATAACTACTTGGGTAGTGCAGCGCCTATGATCGTAAGCGACATCTGGGGCTCTTTGCGACGCTCTATGGCCGACAACCTCACCTGTCAGTCTGATTATGAGCGAATTGTGATACCCGTAGTCCCCATCGCTGAGCAAGGACTCCTCCAGTTCTGACGTACCACGGCATCATCGAGACCATGAGTACATACTGTACGTCAATATTCCTTATTTGCTGAACGCTATCGTAACTCATCCGAGGGAGCACCTAATCATCCCACCTAAGCAGCCTAATTAGACAGGTAAGACGGGCCATGTGACCTGCCTAGTGTAGGCTCGTTTCCACGCATCTCAGTGACTTCCCGTTATCTCACCCAAGACATCCTGACTCTGCCGGTGACCTCTCGAGCCATTGCCGCTGGACCCCAGCACGTGCTCTGTGTCTCGGCCGTTCCTTCGCGCTCTCGACCGTGGCCGTGACCTACCGGTCCTTCCCGTGCAGGCCCGCCACTCCTGAGCAGTAGCCTCGACGTCGTCCCCCGCCTCCTTCCACATCGGGTAGCTGTCGGTCCCTCAGCCACCAAGTGCTGATGGGCTTCCACATTTGTACCTAACCTATATCAATATTATTACAGCCACTTGTCGTCCTCTCGCCGGCGCTCTCCCTATGCTATTCTCGTCGCAGTTGCAGCGCCACCATGTCTCTCGATCATCCCCTGTCCCTTCCGCCCCGAGTCGTCGCGCCACCATGCCTCCCGCCCGCCGTGTCGGCCCGCGCCTTTCTATTTCCGGTGGTGTACTCTGGAACCTCCCGGCGCACTGCTCAACATATATACCTTCATTATCCTGCTGCTCACTCCTCTCCCTCTTGACGACTCTCCCATCTCATTGTGCGATGTGTGCTTCCGTCAGTCCGTCAAGGCGGCCACATATCGCCCGAGTCAGTGACTCTCCCCACCTCCTTATCGCTCCCCTCCCTGCGCCGAGGTATTCCTAATGCAGACGTGAGATCCCAAAGTTTTCGCTTTCAGATTCGGCGTCTCGCATTGCCTAATGCGTACGCCAGATCCCAAAGTTTTTGCTTTCAGATTCAGCGTCTCTTGTTGCCTAATGCGTACGTCAGATCCCCAAGTTCTTGCTTTCAGATTCAGCGTCTCTACACATGCCTTGTTGAGACGCTATCTCCACTTCCTGATTGTACCGGAGCCGCTATTCGCGACCACCCTCAGGCCACGTTTGCCGATAAGCTACACCTGGGCTTGCTTCCAGGCCTTCCGTGCCTGACTGAACTGTAAGTCAGAGATCTCACGCTTATTGCTTCGAGATTCAGCGTCTCGTTCCTGCCATTTTGAGATTGAATGCCGGAGGCCCCAGAGACTTAGTGCTGTTAAAGTCGTGACGAAAGTTTGTCCTACTGTAGAGTCGTACATATCAGTAGCTTATGATCATAGACATTGTCGAGACGAGCGCGTGAATGTCGAGTAACTACGAGTAATACATCATTTTACCGATGGGCTGCATAGAAGCTGAAACTATTCGTCGACGAAGATGAGCTGAACAGCGACAACGGAGACAATGGTAAACGTGTATACAGGGCAGATGTGAGGCTAGTCGGACTCGTCAACGATCGCACAGCTCTTGGGGGCCGTCTTGCGTGCACCAGAGGTCGCAGTACGGCGTCGCTTGCGCGCAGGGCCGTCAGTCTCAGGCTCGCGCTCCTCGTCGCTCGATTCGCTGCTGCTGCTACCGTCATCCCCGCCGCCAGCACGTCCTCCAGGAACAGACCTCTTGGCCTGCTTTCTGCGCTTGCGACCCGCATCGCTGCGAGTCTTGCGCGGCGCGATCTCCCCGGAAGCAACCTCCCTCGCATAATCGGCCTTGCGCTTCGCAAGGTCTTCCGTGGAGAGGTCGACGAAGCGGCATGCACCCGATTCCAGTGCGTCGAAGAGGGTCTGAAGGGGAGGGAGGCTCGTGCTCAGCTTCGAGGGGCTGTTGAACGTTGGGTGGGTCCAGCCTTCGATGTCGATTCCATATCGGATGACGATGTCTCGCTCAAAATTCTTGTAATGCATGTGCACGTTCGGGTTCTTCGTAATGGCGACTGGCGTGCGTGGTGAGTATGAGCGAACTTTGACCATCGAAGGGTGACGTACCGAGAAGCTCAGTTATCTTGTCTTGGATTTGAGCTTTCAGTCGCTTCGCCTTGAGCTTCGATGTGTTCGCCATGCCTCAAGCATACGTCAGCAGCTTGTATATGAATGGATAGATAGGCGACTTACTCCGGAGGTCACACTTCGCCAGCACGAAGGCTTCGACCATTGCAGCGATCCTGTCCGAGTCCCAACCCTTGCGTACGTTGTTGACGAGGTAACCAGGGATGCTCTTATCAGTAAAGAACCAGATAGGGCTGAAATGAAACGAGGTGTCGTTCCGAACAATGAGCGACATCACGTCAATGCCGCACATGATCTTGAGGAACTCGTACTATGATTAATTTCAGTAGTATTTCGACTAAGTAAACGACGAGGGACGTACCATGTTCTCGATCTTCTTGAGCGTTGAATACAATATCTTCAGTCGACCCCGGGACGTCAAGCGAAACGCTCCCTCCGAGGTCGAATCCCGCTCCTTGACGAGGTCGGCCTTGATCTCCTCCTTCTGGGCATCCGTAAGGTCGTAATACTCCTCGCCGTGCTCGAGTTGAATGTCTCGAAGCTTTTTCCGCTCACCTCTTGGGAGGTCTGAAGGCGAACAGTGAGTGAGAAGGCTTCAATGTATAGTCAAGAAAGAACCAATACCTTCGTTCACCTGGTTTGCGCGCCAGTGGAGCCAGGCGTTGTACAGATTCGGCTTGCGTTTATCGGCCTCCTTTGTCCCAAACTGGAACATCAAGGTCAGGAAGTGGGACTGCGACTGGTCGAACTCTTCTCCTAATTTGGCCGCCAACGCCGCAGTCTGCTGGTACCACGCTTCGAGTTCCGCGTGGATCTTCTGCTGCTTTGCAGCGCGCTGTGCCTTCAACGCTTCCTTCTGCGAGGTGGGAAGAGGCGGACGGCTTTGATGACTGGGTGCATCCGCCGCCGGTGCAACAGTGACCTTACGGCTGGAACCTCGAGGCATCGATACAGAAGCGCGTGTGACAGAGAATCAACGGGGGGCCGGCGAATGATTCATTAAGGCTATGGAACACTTACTTAAAGGCTCACAGCGTATTGGATGGAAGACATGTGGACCCTGCCCGCCGGCAGCGCACAGCAATGACAATTGGTCCTCACGGCGAGGCACATCGACTATGGATTGTTTTGTCCTAAAAGAGCGACGGGCACTTGTCAGCGATGTTCGAATAGGCACTCAATGGTACGTTACACATCATTTTTTGCGAGCATAGTTTGAAGGGCACCTTGGAAAATTTTCAGTCAGACTGAATATGGAATATGGCGTACCAATCGAGGGGCCTTTACTAGGCTGGTAGCGGGATCCGACAGCGAGCTCGGTAGCAGTCTCATCCCAGCCCAATCAAGTGTAGATGTCAATTGTCGATTTACGTGAACAGTCCCCTGCATCGCTCAAATTGCGGGGCTTCTCGAAGGTTAGCGCACACAACGAAAGAGGATTACATTGCGATTACATTCATGAGCACATTGATGATTCTACTACGTCGTAAGCCGCAACTGATCGCGCGCGTCTGCCACCATCGCGTCTGCCAGCCCTGAGGCCTGCTCCTCGCTGATGCTGAGACGACGGCGAAGTTCCTCCGGCCACAGCACTGCCGCAAATGTCACAGCCACGTCGTCCAGCACATAGTTAGAATACTTTGGGAGGCCAATGTTGGCGAGGTAGCGGGCCGAGCGGTAGCCAAAACCGATGATCACCGTCCCGGGGACAGACTCTGACGGCGACGACGGGGACAAGAACGGGGACACCGGAGAAAGCGGACGCGAGGATGATCCCACAGACGACTCCGAGTCAGAGATTGACACGGGCGAACCGGAAGGCAGCGAGCGTATGGAACACGTCATCCTAGGTTTGGCACTAGGCGAGCGGAAAGGGCTCCCGAGCTGTGGCGTGATTGCCAACGTATTCGGGGGCGACGGCTCAGCAGGTAAGGGGCGCGTACCCCCCTGCATAGCCTTCACCTCGGTGGTTCTGGACGGAGCGTCCTTCTTCGGTGCCTTGTTGCCGTCGCTGGACGCTGACGCACGCACCGCAAAGACACGGCCGCTGGCAGTTGTTGGCGTTGCTGCGATTGCCAGCTGCGAACGGGCCACAGGTGGCGTCGCCGGAGCCGCAGGCTTGGCCGTCAGCGGAGAGCAGTCTACGAGCTGCGGTAGGATGATGCTGGACGGTGGAGCGCGTCCGCCGGACGAGGACGGGGGTCTTGTGAGAGAGATAGCGGGGATAAAGGATCCGCGAGACGAAGACGGGGAGTTCACGGTGGAGGTGACGGTCCCACGAGACGAAGGTGGGGACGTTGCGGCCGACATGACAGGAGAAGGTGTGGACCGGGAAGGTGATGTGTCCACATCGGGGCCGAACAGCAAGCGAACTAGCGTGCAATATAATTAGTAACACCCCCTCAGAGAAAAGTCAGCACGTACCGGTGTCGGTGGTCTTGTTCTGGGGACCACGCAACGCAGCAATCTCAACTTTCAGACGACGTACGAGATCACGTAGCTGCGCGTTCTCGACACGCAGGTGGCCTACCTCATCCGCGGCCAGACACGCAGCGTCGGAGGAGGTTGCTTTGTTAGCGGGCTCGGGCGCACCAGTGTGAGGGGAAGACGTATCACGGCGCGGGGAAACGCTGACTTGAATGAGACTTCCCGTGTACCCTGCGGCGGTAAGGAGCTGTTCTAGCTCCCCCGTGCGTCGACCCCAGATCCTGTAATGAGAGCTGGTGTTGATAACGGGGAAGATGGGGAATGGACCGTTAGGGTTCGGCCCGTCGTCGCTAGAGGATAGATCCCACCCGGCATGCTCTGCCGCACGCCGCCAGCGCCGACAGACCGGCATGCCAATGAGCTCGACGGTGAGCTGGATGAGCTGTGAGAGGACGGGCTGAAGCTCCGGCAACTCGTTGAAGATTCCGGGCGGAAAATAAACATCCGTCTGGATGTTCTCGAGCTGGAGATCAGAGCCTGGCCTCAAGCTCCCAGGAATGGATACGACAATGGTAGCGCCGCCACTGAGGCGGTCGTACGTCGTGATCTGGGGCGCATTCAGGCCGCCTGATGAGCGCAAACATTACTTAGGACTCACTGTATCGAGTGCAAGACCGAGTAGCTCGCGCCTCATGTTGTAATTGTCGCGGCTGCCTGGCGTCTTGGCCGCCTTACAGTCAGGATGAAAAGCATCATTAGGCAGGCTGTGTCGCCCATCTTTTCGTACGCCTGAGACGAGGAATGCAAGAGCAGCGGAGTGAAGACGAGACGGGTAGCTTTGACCAAGGCCATCGTGGTCGAGACCGTCCTTCACGGACTGCAGTCCGGTAGGCGTTATGCGACACTTGGCGAAAGGGAGGGTGCTGTACATCGGGGAATGTGCGGGTGGATGCCCCAGAGAGTGAGTCGTCTTTATCAGTTCTCGACGGGCGCGTACTCACCTTCGATCTGAGTACGTACAGTACTTCAATTGACGTCCACGACAGCTGTTTGACAACTATTCGGTTGAGGGTCCGTCCGAAGCACGCATGCACTGAATCGGGACAGATCTTGTCCCGGGCCCAATGAGATAATCGGGGACCAGGGTAGATCTCGAGATCGAGATCGAGGATCGTACCAACCCAGAACATCGACGCGGTGAAACTAGACATACCAACGACTGAAAGAGGTACCATTGGGTGCACAAACTCATATGCAGTTCATCCTTCGCTTCTAATAATCACAAAATGTGCTCGTTCGAAGTGTGTCTTACAGTGCGGCTATGGCGCTTCAGGCTGAAATGAGGAGTCGTGCCAGTCCACTGGTTTACGATGTACCTAACACGAGGTGAGCATGCCAGTGCAAGGGAAAACAGAGCAGGTAATCAAGTATCGCGTCTCTGGAATATTTCAATGCAAAGACATGCTCACTTGTATCCGTACGTAGTGACAGCGACTGAGTACCAAGTTGGGCGAACGCACTTAAGTATGCACAGATCGCCCAGGATTGCGGCGTTGCGAGCGACCCGTTCATTGTACCTCCGGCCTATCTCGTTACCCCTGATCAAAACAATACATCATGATATTCCTAATTCTGACATTGTACTTCATGATCTCGTGCTCCGAGTGAATGCCAGTGCTACTTAGTTCTGAGTCTGTGAATCCTTTCACCAGTCAATGACCACTGACTCTAAGCTCGCGATCGACCGCATTGGTGCATTGCAAGTTGTCCGCATCGCAAAAGACATATATTTGGACTATCCAAGCTTCATACATATGAGTGTCATCACCTACGTCTCATGCTCTGTGCGATCGTGTACGCCAAGATTGTCCATGAATGTAACTAAGGTATCTGAGTCCTGCGCTGACAGCGATCCGACAGTAAGCATATCATCCCCCTCTGTACCCTCTGCGGACACCCCATTGTCAGCCAGAGGGGCATACATAGCCCAGTCCGGCAGCGGAACGTCATTGCCGCCTTGAGCTGCCCTTCCGAGACGTTGTCCCGTTCGGACACTTCCTGAGAAGCCAGGAAGGCGTGCCGTCTGTTGGAGTCGTGCAGCGATGTTGGCGTGAATACGATCGCGGTACGTCCACCGCTGCGCAAGTTCGTGAGCTAGGGGGGGATGAGTGATGATGTTGCGAGCAATAGCATTGTAGAAGTCGATATGTGTTGAACTTCAACTGTTTTGGGTGTTATCACACGGGATAGGACTTATCCTTACCCGTTATGGACTTATGTTCTACTATGCTACATATTACGTACATTCTTTTCGGATTTGTTCCAGACCTGTAGCACATGATTAGATCTAGACCCTGATGGAACATTCCACCGCTTTCCATCATGTTCCAGCACATTCCTTGATTGCATCGTATTGCATCATTGAGCACATCGCTGTTCCAGTCCTTTCCATGACATTCCATTCATGGTGCAATATCGCCTCATCCTTGTGTATTTGCTCATTGCACCATATCGCTCCGTTATGACTCTATGCTGTTATGCTTACTGTACGATCATGTGATGGCTCTCTCATGTGTATATATACCGGGCTGGATACGCCCTAGAATGTAACGGTCTCTCCTCTCGTCTTAACGCCTCTGAGTCTTCCCTCTCAGCTCTTAAGAGATCTGTTGTAAGTCCTCCTTTACTACAGTGCTCTTTGTGCTCCTGTAGTATTCTTTTGTAGCCTTGCCTCAGGCTAGCCACCACACTCCTTGTTCATCAGGTTATGAGCCCTGGTCACTGACCAGCTCCCTGTACAGTGCGCACTACTGTTGTTTAAAGTCCTACTTCTTCAAGGAGTAAGTTAGGCACCGTTTGCTGTCCTTTTGGACTGAGTTTGACGTCTCAAGGACACAGTGCCCAAGGCCTTGTCAGAGCGTCTCTCCAGGGTAGCTCGAAAGAGCGATTTTAAAGTTTATCCTCCGGCCAAACCTGAGAGAAAGGTTGGTCCGACGCCGACACTATCTACCTCTGATCTTCGGATCTAACGTTTTCTTGATCCCAGTCCCATCCGCTCCCAGTTCGCCCCACCTCTACCTCCACCTCTGCACCTAAGCCTTTGGCTGAACGTCTCTCTGCGCCTCGTCCTCTCCCTGACTTTAAGCGAAAGTCCGCTGAAGACGCCAAGGGTATCCTTCTCAAAAAGGTACACGCCACCGCCGATCGTTTCCAAGCGATCTTCGACAAGAAACACCTCTTCGATCGTCTCGACGGCGAATCTCAGAAGGCTCTTCATCGTCTCGCCGACCAACTCAATTGGGTCGACGACAACATCGACAAGGTCTCTACCTGGTCGAAGGAGCAGCACGAGAGAATTTCGTGGGCTTGCAAGCAGGTTGGGCGCGTCGAGTTTTCGACGGATACAGAGTCGCTCGCTCGTAGGTACCGCAAGGTAGCCAGGGAGCTTACGCTAGTCTCTGACGGCGGATATCTGGACTGGATCGTTTTGTAGAACTTTGGTCGGCGTACCAATACGTTTAAATACCTGGAATATTAGTTTGTTAAGCATCACATTGTGGCTTCGTCTGAGCATCACTCGGACATCAGCGAACATAGTAGTGGTGAAACACCCTACGATTGTACCGGTCATCATCATCTATTCGATTATCAGGAAGTCTACGACTATCACTATCGTCCTGAGGAAGCTGAGTGGAACGCTTGCGACGAAAACCACTGTCCTCATCGTTACGACGTTCCTGATTACACACCGCCAGGTAACACTTGGGGTGGCATACCGGTTGCTTCCTGGCAGGAAGATTTTATATTCGCTAACTCGTTTTCGGAGGCATCTTCTCCTCCTGGTCCTGAACACGTTGCAAGGCTACCGTCGCCAAGCAGCACCGTTTACTCTCCTCTCACTCCCCTCTCTGAAGTTTCGTTTGAGGCTCCTCTAGAGCCAATCGTTTTTGAGTCCGAAGAATTTAACGAGTTTATTCTTCTGACAACCACCATGGGAGACGTCAAGCCCGACGCTATTCCCGTGCTTGCCCAAGCGTCTCAGTACGCTAATTGGTCGGCTGCCATGCGCGGCTACCTCACGTTTATAGAAGCCTGGCCTGCTATTGCTCCGGGTACCACCACAGATGCCAATTATGGCAAGATGAACTCCCGCGCTCAAGGTGTACTCCTGATGCGCACGGAGAGGAACATTCATCACCACCTCCTGAAGGAAGATGGGGAAACCCTGAAGACCGCAAAGGAGATGTGGGACGCCCTTAAAACGGCGTTTGGTACTCCGGATGCGGCCTATTCCTGGTCGCTGTTTTGCTCGCTCATCAAGTCGCCTGAGATGTCGGACTCTAAACCCCTTCACGACCAGACGAACAAAATTGTAACTCGTCTGAAGGAAGTTGTTGCTGGAGGGATCAAGCTCGACGAGTCGACGCAGGCTCTGATTCTCCTGTCCAAGGTGCCGGAGACCTACCAGACCATGGTCTCTGCGCTCATGGCGACCACGAAGTTGACCGATCTGAAGATCGAGACGGTCGTCAACAAGATCTTGGCCGAGGAATCTCTTCGACGGTCCGGCATGGGACAGTCCGCATCTAAATCTTCGCAGATTAAGCGGAAGTCGAAGGTTCCCTGTCCGACTTGTGGAGGTCCTCACGGCGAGGAGAACTGTTGGACCAAGTACCCTCATCTGCGCCCAAAAGGCAATAAGTCGGGGGGAAAGGGCAAAGGCAAAGGCAAGGGCAAGGGTAAATCGGACTCGAATGGACATTCTTCGCATACGGTATCTACGTCGGATGGTGCTTCTTCTGGACAGTCGTCGAATGTTGTACAAGTAGATGCGAGCTCTGCGGGCTCCGCTCAATTGACTTCTTCTTTCTATGTTGCGGATCACTCCGCTGAGACTGAGGGAAAGATGACTGACTGGATAATGGATTCTGGTGCGTCTATGACGATCACAAATGATCTGTCTGATTTCTGGGACTACCACGAGTATCGTGTCCCTATTGTTTTTAAGACGGCCGGAGCTGCTACCATCAAAGCACTTGGAGAAGGTACCATTAAGGGAGTTTGTTTGGTTAACGGAAGGCGAGTTCCAACGACGATTACGAACGTTGCCTATATTCCGTATGCGTCCGGTCGTTTGTTTTCAACCGGATGTATTGAGAGGACGAACTATTGTTTGGTTCAAGGATCAGGACGGATGGTCATCTATGACCGCAAGTTTGAACATGGGCAAAAGACGCAGAACATCGGCAATGCCATCTTGCAGGCAGACTATATGCCGGTGAACAATTTGTATCTGCTGTTCTTGGAGATTTTGAGCCGCAAGTCCGCAAGGACTGTTTCATCGTCAGATTGGAAACTCTGGCATCGACGTTTAGGGCATCCTTCTAAGGAAGCTCTTGAGAAACTGCCTAGCCATACGAAAGGTGTTGATTCAATCGGAGACGAGGACAAGTCTCCGTGCGAAGGCTGTCAGTGGGGTAAATCACATCGTGCCCCGTTCCCTCCATCGGACAAGAGAGCTTCCAGGCCTCTTGAACTTGTTCACACCGATGAAGATGGTCCTATGCGTACGGCCTCTGTGCCGAATGGTTTCAAATACTTCATATCTTTCTTGGACGACTATAGCAGTCTTGGACGTGCCTATTATCTTAAACAGAAGTCTGAATCGCTCCGAGCGTTTGAGGATTTCAGGGCATGGGCTGAGAATGTTACCAAGGAAAAGATTAAAGTAGTACGCTCGGATCGTGGGGGGGAATACACTTCTGACGCTTTCACGGCCCGTCTTAAGTCATATGGTATTGAACACCAGAAGACGGTTGCCGGCTCACCTCAGCAAAATGGGAGAGCTGAACGTTGGAATCGCACCATCGTTGAGAAGGCTATGTCTATGCTACATCAAGCTGGACTAAGTCATGGTTTTTGGCAATTGGCAGTTGACACCGCGGTTCATATTTATAATCGCCAGCCTATGCGCCGCTTGAAGTGGCAATGCCCCATTACTCTCTGGGACGGCACAATCCCGGATGTTTCCTATTTTAGAGTTTTTGGGTGCAAGGCGTTTGTGCATGTGCCGAAAGAACAGAGATCTGGGAAGCTCGACAAGAAGGCAGTCGAGATGATCTTTGTTGGCTATGAGCAGGGTTCAAAGGGCTATCGTTTTTGGAACCCAGCCACTCGAGGGATCGTTGTGTCTCGTGATGTGACCTTCGATGAAGAGACATTTCCGGCACGGAAA